TCTTTGTTCCCTACCTCTTTGTGCTATAGTTAGGGATCATGTGGGGAGCCAAACTCTATTAGTTATTAGCTAGGGAACGCTAGTTTCCCGGGCTGATGCCTAACCGAGTGTCTTAGTCACGTGCTAGATTTAGCTAGTCCTAAAGGAGATAAGAGAGGGAGCTCGGACCACTGCTTTCGAATATATCTTAGCAGCTCGTCCTTCGACCTTCTTCCTCTCTTGTCTTTCTTTCCACCTACGACGCGTAGCTCTAGGTCTAATGAATCCACTTCTCTTACACCTTCTTCAGAGCAAGCCGTGACAGCCCTCAGACTTTGACCAGGCTGGCAATACTTTTCCCGGAGCGTTCTTATTGCCAAAGTTTCCCAATCCCTTCCTCAAAATATGGCAAACCAAATACCAGAAGCTCAACCTCATTCCTTCCCCCCATTCTGAGCCCTTCCCCTCTCCGCAGGCGGTCCACGTGGTAACGCCTGGGGCCGCTTCGGACCCAGCGACTCCCTCGGAATGCTGAATCTCCTCACGCCCTCTGTAGTCGCCGCCGCGGCCCTAGAAATCCAGACCGGCGAGCGGATCTCTCTCGACTAGCCTCTGAACAAGCCATTGCATCCCGGCTACAAGCGAACCGCGTTCCACCACGAGCTTTTCAACCGTGCGAAAGGCAACGAGTTGAGACTTGTGAACGATGATCTCTTGGCTTTTAATACGCAAAGTAGCAGTCAGTGGGACGGGTTTGGGCATTTTGGTAAGTTCTTATCGTTGCAAGACAGAGGGTGCTGTGTGGGAGTGTAAAAAATAAAGGTTAATGTTTTTGTTGGTATGAAGGGTATTTGAAAGAGAAACGATATTTCAACAATACGACTCATGAAGATATCATGGACTACTCTGTGCTGGGTATCGATGGTGAGTACTCTCACCTGACTACATACTACATACCTATATTCTAATCCTGCTCGGCCTGGGCAGAGAGCGGTGGCATCGTAGGTCGCGGCGTCCTACTCGACTATGCATCCTGGGCATCACAGAACTCAATTAAGCTAACCCCCTTCTCCTCAACCACAATCCTGCTCTCTCACCTCCAACGCCTCATCACAGACCAAAACATCGTTTTCCACCCAGGCGATATCCTCTTCCTTCGCACCGGCTTCACCGTCGCATTCAACGCACTAGATGATAGCGAACAGAAAATTCTGGTCGCACGCGCAACAGCTGATTTCGCCGGCGTCGAATCCAGCGAAGCCATGCTGAAATTCTTGTGGGAGAACCAATTCGCGGCTGTAGCGGGCGATTGTCCGAGTTTTGAAAGCAGTCCTGTGACAGGAGGGGCGATGTGGTGTTTGCATGAGTGGTTGTTGGCGGGCTGGGGAATGCCTATTGGAGAGATGTTTGATTTGGAGAGGTTGGGTGAGATGTGTAGACGCAAAGGCAGGTGGAGCTTCTTTCTGTGTAGTGTGCCTCTGAAGGTCCCGGGTGGGGTCGCTAATCCGCCGAATGCGGTTGCTATCTTTTAACATCTGAGTATGGGCTCTGTTCGGAGCTGCTATAGCTATAAAGTGTTTTAGTTTGGATAAACTGTTATTTCTTGCTATTAGCAAGCCACCCCAAACGTCTGGCTATGGTAGTTGTGGCTTATTCACATAGACAGTAACTCATCAAAATTTGTTCCTGCACCCTTTTTTTGGGAGTCTTATTGCTCTTGAATATCAGATTGTGATGGAAGAATGTTGAAATATTTACTTGGGCAACCGTCTGCCTTTGGTGGAGAGTGGAAGTTTCGGGGTTTCGCATGTCAGCCATAATGACATGTAATACTGGTGGAAATTACGGTAGCTGCAAATTCATGGGCCATCCAAAGATGCAGGGCGAGACACCCCTCCGCCATCGACCTAGGACCTTTGCATCAGCTGCACAAGATATCCATGTCCCTACACAGCTTGACTGCTCCTTTTTGTTGCGTTTGATATCATGCATTGCCCTTTCATTGATTCATTCTCCTTCCCCTTTATCTCCAATACGCTGCAAGTTTCAGCAAATGGCGAAGTCAACGAGCAATCAAGACAAGACACGAAGCCTTGGCATGAAATTAGAAGTATTGTTACATACGAAAAAGGTAAAAAGACTTCGAGGTGGATGTGCTTCTTTTCAAACATCGAATGATAAGAATCTACTTGAATTTCAAAGCTTCTCTTTATACATATGTACATATATTACAGTCTCGTATCATGATATACATTTCTGAAAGTTGAGAGTACAAATCTTCAGTAGCGATGAATGAATCCTGGTCGGTTCATTGCAATTTTCAATACTTTATTACCAGAAGTCAGTTACATTGAAGCGTGCTTGTTGTGACGGTTTCCCACATCAATGATCGCACCAAAGTTGGTCTGACACCATGGTCTGTTTGGCTCCTGGTCGTTCAGTGCATAATACGCAGCCCCAGGTGTCAGAAACAGCTTGTACCATTCCGAGAGTTTAGCCGTGGATTTGACAGGCTAGGGTACATGATCTGACGATCGGACTCATGGTATCTGACCGAGGGAGCCGTTACTACTATAGAGAAATCAGTATACACTTCTGGTAGAGACGTGCGAGTCAAGGAGCTCATTCGAGAATTAAAATTTTTTCAATATCTTAGAAGCTTAAATACTACACATTATAAATATTCAAATAGTAAATATTGAACTATATATTTCATGCGGTTTCACAACTCTTTTCAGTAGTTTGGTCAACCTCTGAGGTCTTAACAGGACCATTCTGCTTAACACTACGCCATTCCATGCTCAGTCCCCCGAGTATTGAGAGACAAGCTAAGACGAGGGCGATTTGGAAACATTTACGAAGCGAGTCGTTATAGGCTTCCAGAGCAGAGGTAAAGTTCTCTGGTGATATGTTCTCTAGGAGCCCGGTGACGCCGGCGGATTCAATCTGCTGAGCAGTCATACTTGAAATACCAGCGAGTCGTTTGGAGAGTTGGTTGTCCAAGACGTTCTGGCCGACCGAGACGAAGATGGCACCGCAGAGCGTTTGTGCGAAGAGCATCAATGACGCACCAATTGACACCTCATTTCGTTTGAGAACAGTCTGAGCTGCCACTACATGATGTTAGCATGAGATTCCAAGGGCGAACAGGCGTAGAAAAATCGAGCAGTGTCGGTTGAAATGACACATTTGGCGGCTTTCTGGAAAGGATTGGGGAGATGTGCGCTTGACACGGTGATAAAAATTGTGGGTAATTTTGTTACATACTGTTGGGTGCCTGGAAGGAAGAACCGAGACCAAAACCGTATAAGATCTGGTAACCAATCCACTGGCCTTCAGACGAGTGGATATCCAAAGTATTGAGTAAACCAGCACCAATCGCTGTCACGCAAATACCGAAGAGTAAGAATGGGGTGTAATAGCCCACACGAGACGTCAGGAACCCCGTGAGAATGGAGCCAACAACGATGGAAAGAACCATTGGTAACAAGTGAATTCCACTTTGTACGGCCGAATTGCCCTCGATTGCCTGGAACCATAACGGAAGGTAATAGACTAATGTTTCATAACGTCAGCAATGATAATACCCCTTGCGTCTCGGAGGAGCTTACTGAACAGGGTTTGATGAGCACCAACACAACAGCTGACCCAAAAGCCGCTGAGTATGCTTCTTTGTTTGAAAATAAGAGGTGGCACGGTGGCTTGCTCTGGTCTCCAAACTTGAATCAAGACAAAAGCGATCATAAGAACAAAAGCTACAACAAGCAATCCGATGATACGCCCGTCGCTCCACTAAAAATGCAGTCAGATATCGATTTGGGTCAGGATGAGTCTCCATAAAACAACACTACAACCGAAGAGTACTTACAGCATAAGTGAAGCCACCCCACTCCAAAGCCAGGCACAAGCAAATCACTCCGGGAAGGAGAGCAAAAAGACCGATGATGTTCAGCTCTTGCAGCTTGTGTATAAGAGTATCCGTGTTGTTGGTGCGGGTTGGGACATGAAGCAAAAAGAAGACGAAAACCATGACTAGGCCTCCTAGTGGAAGATTGATATAAAAACACCATCTCCAAGTTACATTCGTAGTGAAAGCTCCGCCCACCAACGGGCCAAGGACAGAAGCGATACCGAAGATGGCACCAAAGAAACCCTGGTACTTTGGTCGACTTTGCAATGGAACAGCGTACACAATGATGACAATCTGTTGGTTGCATTACGTGAGCGAACTGCGTCAATGGGCGATAAGAAGAAAAAACCAGGGTATAAGAAGGAAGAGGTGGAAAGGGATAAGTATGAGCAGGGACACCTACAATGCCGCTTTGGACGCCTCCAGCTCCCAAGCCAGCAATACTTCGTCCAAGAATGAAAGCGATCGAATTTGGTGCCGCTCCACAAATGGCTGAACCGATCTCGAAGAGCAAGACTGCAGCCAAAAATGTGACCTTGACGTTGAGAAAGGTATAGAGCTTTCCAAACACCAACAAGAAAGCGCAGTTGGTCAAGAGGTATGCTGTTCCGTACCACCCGATATCGTTCGATGAATGGAAGTCGTCCGTGATTCGGGGAATAGCAGTCGTGATGATAAGTTTATCCTATAGAAAAGGGCTGGTCAGCTTACAAGTGTTGTAGCCATGTTTGCAGAGTTTATTACTTACCAAGGCTACTAAGAACATACCAATGAAAATGGAAATCATCAGCAATGCGAGCTTGAGTCCTGAGGGGTAGACAATGTCGGAATTATCCAACGCAGCCTCATCTTTCTGTGACTGCTTGACTTTTTCGTCGGACGACATATTGATGAGCGTGCTTGATCTCAACAAAAATTTGGGTTCAAACGATATCGTCGTAAAGTGAAGTAAAAAAAATCGAGTAGTGTATGTGATGAGTTGACCGCTACGAAGCAAAAGTCTTTGAATGCAATGATGGTAAGGGAATGATAAACGTCTTTTGCTTTTACCTTCAAGGCAAGTCAAAAGCTTCTGGCAGATTTATATGCACTTGTGAGTGCTATATAAACATAATATATGAAATACTAAAGAAGCTAGACTCGGATTGCTGGTCCCGGTCCGTCTATCTCCTCACTACTCAGACCAGTGAGACATGGAGAATATGGTCATTGATCGTCTGATTGGTTGTCACCCGAGCGGCGCAAAGTCAGAACGTTCGGGTTTCGGTTATATCGTATTCCCCTTTTGTATATTTCGGCCACAACAACAGAGAATATCCGAAAACGAGAAATGAAGGAAACGGCGTGGAAGAACAATAACTGGCTTTGCATCAACTTGTATGTAGGTTTTTAGGCCTCCAATATCTCTCAAACATGTTCAACAACATGGGTGGCATATAGGCAATGGCTGTCGAAGATGTCTGCACTGCATCTTGAGACTGAACCATCTCGCATGTACTTGTACGATGGCATGGACTTACCTACGTGAAAAGATGAATCAGCAGTTGACTAAAACGGTCATGTGACTCGCTCTTGAAACGACTCTGAACAGCTTGCAAAGTACTCGGATTTCCTTCTTCCTATCCAATCTCTATCTCATCTCCAAAATGTTTACAATGTTTGATACAAATGCCGCCTCTTCGCGCCCAGATCCCAAAGAAGGCCCAGTTAAGCCGGTTCGGCGGAGAGACAAACCGCAGCTATCGTGTACAATCTGCAGACAGAAGAAGTGATCCCTGGCTCCCAAACAGGCATAGTCTCTACGCTCACACAAATGCAGATTGAAATGTGATCGTGTGAAACCTTCATGCCACAATTGTACTAAGCGTGGGAAGCCAGAATCCTGTGACTACATCACACATGATTCTTCTCGTGCTCGCCCAGCGAGAGCGGAAGAAGTGCAAGCTAGGGTCCGAGAATTGGAAGATATGGTCAGGGCTCTGATGAACAATCAGAACGTTCTGGACCAAACAGCAACAACCTCCTCTGCTAGTGCAGTAACGCTGACAGATGGTGGCTTCTCCCAATCTGCTGCTTCCTCACCTTCTTCACAAACAGACCAAGATACTCCGAAAGCCTCTCTCGGAAGATTCACTGGAAATCTGGATCAAATGAGCTACGCGGGAAATGAGCATTGGTCTGCTTTACTCGAAGACATCACAGATTTGAAGATCGACTTAGACAGTCTCGACACTTCTGAGATGACTGACTTCAAACCTCAAATTTTGTTTGGCAGAACTCATGCTTCAAGATCCGAGATCATATCCTCTCTTCCACCAAGGCCAGTCTGTGACATATTGATCACGCGTTGGTACAAGACCATGGATATGGCCTCTCGTAAGCTTTTGTTCCTGCAGCCTTTGCAATGTTGATTTAGATACAGTGATCCTCCATACGCCGACGTTCATGAAAGAGGCAAGCAAGCTCCAGTCCCGAGCTTGGGAATGATTTCATTAATGAATGACTGGATAGTACTATCAAATGTTCAGCAATCCCAACAAAACACCACTAATGTGGTTCGGTCTCCTCTTCTCTGTTCTCGGGCTCGCTTCTCACTTCTACGCTGTGTCTGGAGAAGAACTGCCCACACTGCCCGAACCATTCACCTCTACGTCTCAAATGAGCGTCTTTTACCGCGACCGTTGCGCACAATGCCTCGTTGAGGTGAACTATCTCCGTCCGAGACGATATACGGTAGAAACCTTATGTTTCTACTTCGCACTAGAAAAGTTTCAGGGCAAAGACTCAGAATTTGGGGACTACGTCGTTCTTGGAATTATCATAAAGGTCGCTATGCGACTCGGATACCATCGTGATGCAAGTCACTATCCTAACATATCGTCTTTCGAAGGTGAAATGCGTAGAAGAAAATGGTCTCTGATCTATCAGCTCGATCTTGTGACTTCTGCTCAAGTCGGACTACCTCGAACTATCCGGGAGGAAGAAACAGACACTTTGGAACCCAAAAATTTATTGGATACAGATATTGAAGAAGGAATGGCAACGCTCCCACACCCACGGCCGAGCACAGACGTAACTCCTGTGGCATATGCAATTTTCATGGTTCGGTTGCTTCGACAGCTTGGACGGATCGTGGACCAAATCAATTCCACTACACCTCCTCCATACGAAAAGGTGATGAGTCTCGACTCTCAACTTATAGAGACACATGCTACACTACCTCCATACTTGACGATGAAGTCTCTTAGTCATTCTATCATCGATGGCTCAGATCTGATTCTCAGAAGATATTCTCTTGAAGTATGTTTTCAGAAAAGCCGCTGCGTCTTGCATCGTAAATACCTTATTCCTGGAAAGTCCATTTTGAAATTCCGGTATTCGAGGACAACCTCTGTTGATGCAGCAATGAGGCTCTTAAATATCCAGCGCAGCTTCCATGACTCTATACAGCCTGGGGGGCGATTTTCCGGCGAGCAATGGAGAAATTCCGCACTAATCAACCAGGATTACGTCCTTGCAGCTATGATTCTTTGTCTAGACCTTTCTTGGGATATGAGACTCGGGGGAGGCATACGTTCGAACTTCGGAGATGAGATTGAAAAGATGTGGCCAAGGAACGAGAGACTGCAGGCACTGGAAAGCAGTTATGCCATTTGGTTGAAGTCGAGCGAAATGTCAGCTCTGGCAGTAAAGGCGGCGGAGACTTTGAGGATCATGCTGAAGGATCTCGAGCCCCATGTTTCGACAAATGCTACACAAAAAGTATCGACTTCCAATTCAACAAGTGTCCCTGGTAAGTTGCTTCCATTATTAATTTCAATGTCACAGTACTAATGTTACTGCTCTCAGATGTATCTTCACCTGCTCCGCAGTTACCTACTTACAATGACCAAGCATATGTTGGAGGTGCTAGAAAACCAGATATTGGCGCCCAATACTTTGACGGATTAATGGCACAAGACTTTCTCATAGGGACGGTCGATACAGAAATGAATTTTGACTGGGTAAGTTTCGATCTAATTGTAATGTTTTGGGCTCATGTTGATGACTGGATAGGAACTCTGGGATAGTCAATTCCAACCCATGCCAACCGTGGCGTTAGAAGAACAATGAAAGCTCACTTGAGCTCGGGGAGAAGAGAACTATCATGCGACTACAGCTCACAAACAGTGAGGCTGTGCGAGCACGGAACCCGACTCAACGAGTAACTCGGGGAACAAATGAAGGCGTGCACGGAAACGACACGCCATTGTTATCGAAGAGGCTGTCTGATATCTCAAATTTAATATACGGGCGAGCATTTTCAAGTACCCAGATGTTGCCCACTCGGCGCCTTCTCGCTGTGGACTTAACGTTCCATGGACAAAAGAGTCAGGTACTACTGCGCCAATACACTTCTCCACACTCCGCACTCGTCTTGCCATGCGAACACGAAACACCTAAACAGCCCTTTCAACCACCTCTTGATTTATCTTTTCGGCCACTTCTTTCGTTGTTTTGGCATCAGGGGATACCGTGCTCGCTTCCAATGCCCCCATTTGATCATTGGACTGTGCGTGTGTGGCTGGTGTCTGAACAAGACAAATCGTCATTATATCTTGTCTGAATGTTGGATTAAATAAAATGGAGTAGGACTATGCTAGTGGGAATGAAGAGAGTGGAGGTACTTGTGTTGGCATTGATCCTGACTGCGATAATTGGGCAGGTTGGTGGGAGGTTGGTGCTTCAGGAGCAGGCATTGTATTCGATGAATGTTACTGCTAGTATGTAATATATATATAAATATAATAAATAACTGGATGCTGATGAGATGATAACGATCACGTGTTTTTAAATGTCAGCTGTAAAAGTATTGTAGAGCAAACGATGTTGAGCAACTTAGAACGCGGGAAGGATTTAAAACCATCTTATGCTATCGACTGTCAAGTATTAGTAATGATCTGGCGTGATGTCACAATCGCCACCATACTGATCGACAAGACAATAACCTGTATCGCGATTACTTATCTTCCAATGATCTCTTCAAATTTAGCGAGGTCTATGTACTTTGAATGCAGATTACTTTTGTGTACTTAGGTATAGGTATGCATCTCAGGCACCTGACGTACACGACCGTGTTCAGTATGATGGAATTCATAGCTGCTATAATGACTAATATAAAGCATGAGGGTGGGCTTTCTCCGCGCAATCTGCCTTGGTTGTGCAGTTGTCTCTTGCAGGTGTCGCAAGTAGCGCTTACAGCTAGTGGTAAACCCTTCATCTCAGAGTTGTGAAATATTGCTATGCTAGCAAGCTATCTGGATGCTTGAATCTCTTGACTTGGATGGGAGTGCAGGGAGTTTCGCTAAGTTTCTCGCTTAGTGGGTTTAAGGGGGGTCGATTGCAAAGTCTTGATGACAATTTAGACATGAAGTCACTACATCCCGACAGTCGAAACATCGTGATGTTATAAAAACGGGTGTATGACGTAGCGAGTGTAATGGGCTATTACTGACCTGTCGCGAAATAAAGTAACCATAATGGTATTTTCAAGGCATTTTACAAGCTCCCTCACAGTACTATTTTCTTTCGTCCCCGTTTCAAATTTTGCCTCTTCGAAATTGTATTCCCTCCTTCATGTAAATGTAAAAGTAACACTCATCGCCATGCACTCAAAGGATTACTTTCCTGGCCGCGAGCGTGAAGGATGAAGAGTCATTACTTTTTTGGCTTGAGCACTTGGTCTATCTCGCTTAAGAAACGAAAGGTCCTTATCTATTCTAAATAGCTATTGGGAAGACTAGCGACTTTCTCCTGGAAGAGCTTCTCGGCCTTTGCCCAGGGATCAGTAGTTCGCCACTTGTTCAAAGTTAAGAGACTTGGTAATAAGTCCTTGCTGAATGCCTCGCTTGCTTCTCGTGGCAACAAGCTCGGTAAATGATCGATGCTAATGACCGACAACTTCGGTTCTGCTTTGACCTCGACAGGTACCGTAGGTTCCGTGAAAGTAGTAGCAACCGTGTAGACTGGCACAGGATTGTTGGGGTTTGTCGTATCCGCACTGACATCGCAAATGACCGACAGCTTGCGATCTGGGACATCGAGGCTCTTCATGTCGACAAAGTTGGAGATCTTGGATATGAGATATATGCAGTTGACGAAGATATCACTCTCCACAATCTCAGGAAAAGGTCCACCCTTGGCTGTCTCTGCCAGATCCCACTTGAGCACGTTCTCGGTGGGTACGCCAGCTCGCAAGCACATGTCCACCGCACCACTGCCGCATCGTCCTAAAGCGCCAATAACCAGGACTCGAGGATCCCTCCCAGTCTTTTCCTTTCCTGCTGCGATAGCCTTCTTGACATCCACGATCAATTCATCTTCATTGGGGTAGCTCGAGACTCCCGGAAAGGGCTCTGTGTGTGAGAGTTGCCAAGCCCATGTCTCGAGTGCCAGAGCTGCACCAGCAAAGCCTGCATGGTATCCAAAAGCTGCAACACGGCGTCCTCGGTCGTCCGTCAAGAATTCAAGATCTAGCAGAGTTCCACCCCCACGAGGGAAACGAGACAGGACCTTTTCCCAGCCTCCTTGTTGCTTGTAGCAATGTGCGAATTGGACATGTGTATGTTTGAGAGGGACTGATAGGAGTTAGAAATGAACAATCTTCGATTATGTTTCTGCAGCTTACACTCTTCCACTGGCAGCTCTTTCAATCCAATGATGATGTGATCAGCAGAAGCCTCTCTCCATGTATTTTCTGGCACCAATGTAGCTCCGACCTTCTCGAACTCTTCGTCGTCGAATATACGCTCAGGGCTTCGCTCGACATTGACAGTATAGCCAGCGTCAATGAGTGCTTTGGCAGTTGACGGTGTGAGGGCGCTGCGGTGCTCTAATGCCTTGCCCAATTCGGAGCGGAGATGTAATATGGTTCCCGACATGGTGGAGAACCTCAATCGAAGCTTGATGGTCAATTGAGAAGTCAATGGAGGATGTTGTGAGCTCAACGAGGGTGGGAAGATATTTATTTTGTTTTCTGCCGTTTGACTCACACTCACCGCATCAGCCGGCGCCCGACATCGCCCTCCATTTTTTTTCTTCCCGGTCTCAATCAACTTCATTACAGTAACATCTACACTGCTTGGACAACACTGACTAGGCAGGCGAACTGCTAAGTCGCTCGTATAGTAACAGTGATGTAAGAATTGGGATATAAAGTGTCATTGTTCCGTAATTCGGGGGGCATTGACGTATGAGTCGACCTATTCGGACTCCTCGATATCTTTAGCCCTTTCAGCTTTCTCCATGAAGATAACTCCTTCACGCCTCTAAGCGACCGAAGAACAACATACTCCTTCTTGTTGTGGCGTACTAGTATTTCCTTCCGCAATCAATAACTATCGTTCTTTCCTTCACATATCCAAATCGCACCTACTAAAATGTTGCTATTTCTATTACTTCGAACTCCAGTTGCTATCTTTCCTCGTTGTCTATTTCAGTTCTTCTACTCCATTCCTTGCCATCATTCACTACTGTGGCTGCACTTTCACTCAATGTCCTCGACAGCTTTCACAATCTCTCTGATCTTCTCGATCGCTACACAATCTTGACTTTTCCTGCTCGAGTGCTTCAATCTTGTCGACCTACTCGAATCGCTTCTCGATACTATATAGACGAGCGTACAGTAAACGAGAATACAGCAAATATACGCGCTAAAAATTGTGATTCTATAGATACAAATGTTGGCGAATTCCACGCACTTGCCTTGAACTCTCTCCAATATGAATCTACGATTTCGGACCGCTTGCGATTCCTCCATCTATGCTTCGTAGCACACGCTTCCTCGAAGGGTCGCAAAAAATACAAAAGACCAATGCGGCTTTTGTCTGCTTGCCAGGCTATGTACATGACACTCCTCACTCGTCACGCTCGAGCAATGCATACAACCCTCGCTCACTTCGAGGCTATGCCGGAGGATATGCCGAAGTTTACAACTGTACACATTCACCGGAAGCTCAAACGAACTCCTCCGTATAGCAAACAACACATAAGTCCATCAAAATCCCCCCCGACTTAAGCATTGTCTCCAGCTTCAAGATTGTGCAATAGTCATCAGTGGATGGGATGGCTTCACAAACGTTTCAAGCGGTTTGTGCTCATTTTTGAGTATATCTCAACCCCTTCGAGCTACAATGATGATTATGGTAGATAAGGATATTCAGCTACAAGTGTCCACGTCTGAGCTAGAAACATGACTTGGGTTACATCTACAACAACAATACGTGGGACACATGCGCTCGAGCTTTTTTTTGAGACTTGTGATAGAATATTCGATATCAAATCTCAGTACACAAAGCAGTTCAAGTAACTTCGGAGTTTGACGAAGAACCGCAGTCAGCACAACAATCGTTATGCACGTCAACGGAAAAACAACCGAGACGCTCTACCGTTTGTCTCCAGCTCCCTGTCCAGGCTTCAAGATCTACCAACTTTGGATCCGCTTTACATTTGCAAACACTGCAAGATGAACTTCACGTCCAAGACTGAGCTTGCTATCCACAAAGCCAATCATTTGTGTTGCCAAGACCCAAACACATATGTACACGGAGATGTACTAAGTGGTGTTCTTGTGACCAAGAGTTTGACGGATAGACATCATATCCGACACGTACTTGCACTACCTACGCCCCCATATTCTCGACTGAGAATTTGACTATTACCCCCCAAACTTCCCACGGATGTAGCGAGGCTATGAAATGCCCGGAGCATGAAGTCGCTCATGGTTTAGTAACGGTATCGTAAGAGTTGGGATACTAGATATCATTGTTCCATGGTTTGACGGACAATATGAGTGGGCTTAGTACTCATAGCCAATTAAGATCCGAAGAATCAAGTAGTTGGTATGATCCAACTTTCCATTTGAGCTCGAAAGATGCTGTTTTCCCAGAGTAATATTCTAATTTGTTACCTAACATCGGCACCTTCTTCAATCTGAGCACTCTTTAGTCCAACATCGACTTGTAGCTGCACCACTGCTCTTCATATCGGCTTATTCTGAGATAGAACTGGACCCCCAAGAAGCATAAGTCAATGTATTTTCGCAGGCCATGTCTCTTTCAATTCGAGGAAGGGTTCTCTTGATCCGAAAATAAGGATGTCACCGGTGTCAATAGTATAGTTCTCAATTGAACAGGTAGTGGCCGTGCTTCCCGCATTGATTCCTTGGTTTCGTTTCGTGAATGTTTCTTCACCCCCGTGAGCGACTCTTGGCACCAGAAGGACATTCAGATTACATATGATTGGAATCTTGGCGTTATCTAGAGTCTCATGTTTCTGGATTGGACATCGTTGTTTTGGGTTTCCGGAAGGATCTCTTGCCTGATGCTTGTCCTCCAAAACCCAATTTAGATGTGGGGACTGAGCTGTCGTGATGCTCTATAAATCCTTTTTGAGATTGTTGAGTATAATTATGACTTTATTGTCGGTACAGTCTGTAACACACTCCTTTCCATCAGCCTCCCTTGGTATCTAGCCACAAGCATGTCTTTTGCTTCTCGATTGCCAGGTGCTCTCACCGTTCTTTTCTATCTTCAATGCTTCTATAATGTGGTCTCGGCGCAGAATGAGACCGAGATACTCCCTGGGTTTGGAGATACAGTGCAAATTCTAGGAGCGGTCAGTCTATATAGAACAGTCGGAAAGTCTGGATTGCTTCTAACATATCAAAGATGGAACGGACGGATCAAGACTTCAAGGACGGTCTAGCACTCGATCTTTTCTCTCCAACGAATCGGACCTTGATAGTAAAGCAAAACAAGTCTCCTCTCGCCGCGCAATTTATTACGGGTACCACAGGAGAGCCATTCGTTGCGTTGTCAAACTACTCTTATATAATCCAGATGAACGAAACAGCCAATGACCTAATCGCCAAGATCGAGATTCCTTATGACCCAGTTCAACTCAACGAAATCGGAGTTCAAGAAGCCAACACATATGTCGCAACCTTATCATCCGACAAGACAAGTTGGGTCATCAATGATGCGACCAGGAACGTACATCGAAGCGAAAACAATACTAGAATTATCAAGATGACTTCTCTGGATGGCGAATACCTCCTGGTCGGCAGACAAACTGTAGATACGAGCAACATTTTCGTTCAGTATGGCCAAGGGGCAACCAGGACAGTCAACATGACCGGCGGTATCGGAACTCAAGAAGCAGAGTTCGTGGATGGCTTGCGCTTCTCGGTCCAGACCAATACGTCCATGACCATGAATGCCGACATCAAGAATGGTATAAATCCTGGGACATTACCGGCCAACACACAGTCTTTGAATTCTTTCGCATGGGTCGTCAACACAAGCGCTCCTTTCATGAAAATAAATGCTCAGATGCTAGTCCCTTGTAAGCTTTTCTAGGTTACCTGCTCAACCAAGTTGACTTGCTTTAGTCAATCGTAATATGCTGGTAGCATTGAAACCCGCAGGCTCTTCGCCGTCCACTATGCTCACCGTCGCTAAGCGGCCTCTAAACGCCACAAACGGACAATTTATGCCTGTTAATGCTGGAGTGCAAGTAGTAAAAGAATTACCTGAAGACAGGATTCAGATCCCAGAGATGACCCAACTAGATGGCCAGTATGTCATTCTGGTGACAAATCCAAAGCCAGTAGGACAGAGTAAGTTACCACTGTGAATTATGATAGGTTGCTAACTTGAGATACAGCTCTACCTGCTTCGAGTATTGTGGGCCCGGAAAAGAAGAAGAGAGCTTCTCATATTGTGAAATATGTGTAAATATGTCCCTAAGTTAGAAGTCATCAGGAAAATTGATTCATGGTCAATTCCATACTGAAGTCAATGATTTCTCGGAATTGATGTCATGCTTAATGCTGGCCATAAACTGAGGACAAGTACACCGGTAGACAACCCGCGACTTTGCTTCTGATACCAAGAACGGCCTCTGACTCGAATTTTATTCGCAGCTAGCCTACATCTTCCACATTCGGTCTCGCTATAGGAGTATTGCCAAAGCTCTCCAGTCCTCGGTCAGCCATCATTGGTATAGTAAGCCCACTAGTCTGAGCTTCAGCCAGAACTTGGGGATCAATAGCAGCGCCACTCGTATCTGCTTTCAATGCAGCATATCTTGCACCTGCTTGCTTCAACAATTCTTGAACCTCAGCTTCCCGCTTTCCAATGTCAAGCTTTTCTCGCTTCGACTCCTCTAATTGCTTTTGACGCTTCGCCAACTCTAGCTCCATTGAATTGAGTGTGGTTTGTAGTCTCTCGAGGCACTCTGAAAGAGCGGGCAGAGGTGTAATTCTGGCAGGTATTTGAACTGTACTCCGATCCAGATCTTCATCGGGTTTATGAAGTCCATCCATTCCAGCACGAGTTTGGGCGGCTTCATATGCGGCTCGCCGCTCGGCCTCGGAGTCATCTGATTCTCCATCCGAGCTGCCTTCTGCTTGATGAATCATGTCCGCCATCTCCTTCCTCTGACGTTTCCTCGCTTCTCGTTCGGCTTTCTTGCCTAATGAGACCCTTCCATCATCCACAAATTCATCGAAGCCCTCTCCAAGATCTTCATCTTCTCTCACCAATCTTGTTTCTTTCTCTTTTTTGCGTGGAAGGAGTGATATTTGACGTCCGTCGTCTCCATCATCGTTCAAAGAAATGAAATCTTTCTCATGAGCAAGCCGCGCTCGGCGTTCCTTCTTCTCCTTGATCTCTGCCTCTGTCGGTATGTAAGCAGCATTCGAGCTTGCCACCGACTTGTCCTCAAGTCGCCCTATTGTAGCACCCGCCAATTCCGACGCATCCAACATCTCTTCATCCTCAGCTGCAGCATGTAAAGCTTGTAGATCCTTCGGTGTGGTGGGTGTAGAACTCTTGAGCTCTTTCAAATAATCCTTGCTATACGTAGGTCTTTCATCCTCCTCCTCGTTTGACCTCACTGGCAAGCTTTGATAAGGAAGGCTCTTCCGAAAAGTATTGCCTTCTATCACTCGACGTTCCAGAGTCGGTTTCTTGGGCGTAAAAGCTTCATGGTCTTCTAGAGCTTCCGCAGCATCCCCAGAAATGATCTCTCCAGGTCCGAAAGAAAGTCTCGAAGCAGTAGATTTTTTCTTTTTCTTCATTAACGAACTTGATCTCCCGATCGTAGGCTTATTCGTGTCCTGCTCGTTCTCATCTTGCTCCAAGTCGTCAAATGCAATGCTCTGTCGCAGAGAAGATTTCTTAAAGGGTTTCCGGACAGGGTTCGAAGATACTGGGGGTTCTAAGGCACATCGTCAGCTGAATTCATTCAATCAGCCAAATTCATAGCTGCGCTTGTGGGAGACTTACGGGCGATTTCATTTGCTATGCTCTGGTCCTTTGTCTCCCCCTCATTCTCATCGACTTGGATCTTCCTCGCCTTCCTTTTTGAACCAAAGGCTGATTTCATCGTGACAGCTGATTTGGAAGGGACTTCGCTTTCAATTGAAGATTTTTGACGCGCTCTTCGATGATTGAAGTCAGAAAAAAGAAGTGTTGTAGCCTTGCTGTTATCGCCACGTGATCTTGATTTTGCAGCCTAGCGCGATTCAATATCTTCAAGAGGAAGAACCTCTTCCCCTCCCCCGCGCAAAGAAACACTTACCAACGATAATCAAGATGCCTCAAGCTCAGCCAGAGCTCAAGAAAGTACGGCATTCCTGTCCCGGTGCTCCTTCCGTCTCCGCACGCTTGCATAGGCTGCTGTGTGCTCTTGTACTCGACACCGATTTGCAGACGCGCGAACTTACACAAGAAAAGTAGAATTGTTAGCTAATTTGGTTTCCAGTACCTCGACAAAAGGCTCTTTGTGCAGTTGAATGGGAGCAGGAAAGTGATTGGCGTTCTGCGAGGTTACGATGTTGGTTGTCCTCTAGAATATTCCACGTAGGAAAAGACTAATGACGCGCTTAGGTCTTCCTGAATATTGTACTGGACGATGCAGTGGAGGAGAAAGATGGAGGTGAGAAGGTCAGATTAGGCATGGTGGTATGTGCATCTTGTCGGGCTTCTGCTCAAGAAGCTTTTTGGTGGAAACAATAAGAAGACTAACGATTTTATAGGTCATTCGAGGCAATTCCGTGGTTATGCTTGAGGCGCTGGAGAGAATTGGCGGTGGACGAGACGATAGGTAGATGTGGTAGTGAAGCTGGAGTAACACTCGTCGAGAATTGAAGCAGGGGTGAAGAGCCATGTGTCCAGATGGGAGGCCAAAAGTTGTTACAGGATTCACATTATGGCGTTGCTGGCTTCGATAATACCATCTCACGTATGAAAAGCAATGGAATACGAAATTCTGCCAAATGTGTTTCAAGGACAAGGAAATTACTTGAATTGCTCCAAATACTTTTCGTCAAACCCATCCATGATACTTCCTTCGAAGTTCTTTACCCAACCCTTTATTCCGCCTTTGAGTACAAGGACTTGAAGCTTGCTTTTGTGCCCAAACTTGGCTACGTCGTCAATATAGTCTTGCATCCAGCTTGCACAGCGAGGTCCTCTGCCATTACTAGAACCTGCAATGCTCAATACGTTGTACACCATCCAGGTCTAGAGGATACTAACCACAATAGAAAATGACCTTTTTGATGTTTGCCCTCTCGCAAAGATCCAGCAGAGTCTTTCGAGTTTGATAAAAGCTCTGAGCTGGGAGGTTGATTGACGTCTTGATAGTTCCACCCTGTGTCTGTCAATATAGACATAATGCTCACAGCCTAAAAGTTCTCACCTCCCAATCCGTTCTCCTCACATCAACGAGCAAGAACGGTCTTGCTTCAGGCTTGATGTCCATATCATCAAACATCTGCATAAGCTCTTCTGAAGTAACCTCTCCACATTTCGCTCAAGGAGCAGGAAACGAATCCCACCAGTTGTCTTGTTTGGGTTGAGTTGGCGCCGCCATATTGTTTGTGTGGAAAAGATTCCCGCTTCAGAGTAGGAAAAACAACGTATTGATAATTGTACGGCTAGGAGAAATATAGTGTCGTCAAATAATGAGTCAAGGCTACATGAGGCCGCCTACAGGTCTCAGAATACGCTACCTTCGGTCTAATTCGTCAAGCGTTAGATGACCTGCAATTGCAACTCAGGCGAAGCAGAAGAGTGACAAGTGTATTTTTCTTTTATCTAAGACACCTTCAAATCATACCTAGTTACAAGAACAATTCGAATCGAGAACTCAGTTCTGTCAAGCCATAACCGGGCTTCGCATCAACGCTGCAGCACTCGAAGCGAGGAGGGCTGACATCTCATGAGACGGCTACGACAAGCTTTTAGGCATCAGACATCCATAACAATCCAAGATCCACCGTCAAAAATCATACTACGAGTCATAATTTTGCCTCAAGATGACCATTGCCAGAAGCTCCCAGCACTCGGATCTCGAGACAGAGTCATCAATCCCGCCAAGCCCTACCACCTTGAACCATCACAGCCTCACCCCGCATTCCTCTGGGACAAACACACCTAACACACTCCAACAAGATCGAGAGTTTTTGTTCGATTCAGAAGATTTAGATGCAGCTTTCGAAGATAAAGGCCATCGAGATGATCTCCCTGATTACGAAGCCTCGAGTTCCCGGCCGCGTGCCGCAGAAACCGCACGATGTTCAATTCTACCTAGTCGGGCCGCAGTATGGGTTACGAAAGACAGAAACATCAAGCTCTCTGCCTTTGTAGCTGCTATATTACTTCACCAGGGAATCATCAGCACCAAGGACCTTGATGTGTAAGTTTCATTCCATTCTCACGTGTTAATATAGGTTCCTGACGAGAATTAGATATCATAATCAAGAAAAGGTAGAAAACCAAGGACCAACCGATCCCATCACTGGCATCTTTACCTCGATTCACTCCACCGTTGGTGGCGTCGTCCAAGGGCTCGTTGATTATCCCGTTGAGATATCGAAGATCGTGCAAGCAGATAGAGATGTCGCCAAGGGTCTTGCTACCGATTTCGCGCTTGATAGCAACAAAGGTGTATCAAGGATTATTGGAACGGGCTTGAGAGCTCCTATGGACTTCACGATGAACATCTCGAGGGGCTTTGGGAATGTTCCGAAGCTGTATGGAGATGAGAGTGTAAGGCCAGTGGAGAAGGTTGATGGGGTGGTGAGTGGATTGGAAGCTGCTGGCAAGGTAAGATCCTCATTTTAACTTCTACAGTTGCTCCCTTGTGTCTCAGTGTTGTTTGTATTTCGATATCATTCTTGATTATTTTTCATGTCTTAATGTCTGGTTCTCCTGTGGCATAGCTGCCAAATTCTATACGTGCCCGGGCGTCGCTTATACCGAGGACCTTCTCATTGTTACATTATTCTACACACTTCTTCTTTTCAGAGATTAAGGGACGAAGTTTACGCTCTGACACACGATGTAGGGATTCGGACTTAGCCTCTGGGACGGCGTAACCGGCCTTTATACCCAACCTGCCAAAGGTGCTGAAGAGGGAGGCGTTGGTGGGTTTTTCATGGGCCTTGGAAAAGGTATTGGCGGAGCCGTCTTTAAGCCTGTGGCAGGCGCGGTCGGTCTCCCAGCGTACGCGTTCAAAGGCGTCTACGAGGAAGTAGCCAGACTAGCAGGAGGAAGCGAAGAAGATAAAGCAAGAGCAGAGAGAATGAAGCAAGGCAATGAGGAATGGGCAATGTGCACCGTTGAGGAGAGACAGGCGATTTTGGGAATGTGGTATGATTTTCATGAGCAAGGGATTGGGATGCAGGATCATGATAAAGGGAAGTGGAACTGATGGTTAGCCTAATTTGCGTTGCTTTTCTTGCGGCGACTTTGTCTTTGGGGGTATTTGTTGCAGCTGTGCTGAGCAAGGCGTGTTTCGGGCGCGAAGGCTGAATGGTGATAAGGAGCAAATTGAATCCCTACTTTTTCTTCGCTGTATTGTCAGTATTTCAAGAGTATCGAACTCTTCGATGGACAATCCGTCTTTTTGAGGAGTTCTCGTCTTGTCTGGTGACTTCGACGGGCTTCATTAAGAACTTCGGCCCAACTTTGTCTTTTGTTATATATAAATATGTGCTCAAATAAGTGGAAATTTGTACCAAGGTAAACCAAACTTACTATATCCTTCCTTCCAGCATTAACGCTATCAGCCCTAAATTTACTTCTTCTCGCGCAGTGCCGGTAGAATGACTAGGCAATACACACATATCAGAACACTTCTGTACAAGCATGAAGACAAGACCCTTCCTTGGCAAAAATCTGCCCGCGCCAAACGACATGTATACTTGTTGCGAGTAGTCAGGTCGTGCAAGCTGGCTGGGGATACGCTACTGGGGGATCAAGTTCGGCGATACGCTTGGGAAATGTTACGAGGTCTGAAGTAGAAGTAGACTTTCCTTTTCTCGATAGCTCTCATTGGCATAGAAATCAAGTGAAACCATCGTACAATATATACAGTCCTCATGCACTGTCGGTACCGTAGCCTCTGGATCGCAGTATTTCTGTACTTACTACTCACATATGGGTGTTTGAGTGATATTGTCTGCAGGTCTTGACAGGGGTTCGGTGCTCACACTCGCTCGGTTATAGTTTTGAGTTTCCAACCACTTTGACAGCCCATCCCTCACCACCAGACATAACGACCGACTGCAGTAGCTTTGCCGCACGATCATACAGCTCGCAGTACAGATCTCGCGCTCGGATCCTTCATCTCCTCTTTCTCTCGTGAAGGGTGCGTCTCTGGCATGCTGCAACCGAAAGGCTTCTCCTCTCGACGAGTTTTGGATTTTCCTTTCTTGAGGGGCAGAAAGGGAGATCGACATCCATCTCGCCACCGGAGGTGGGAGACGACCAGGTTGATGATTTGATTGATATCGGGGGGCCATGTTGTCTCTGACGATCCCAACGGCCATCGACGTCGCCGCATTCCGCAACTTTTTCTGAAAATCCCCGTGATCAGCGTTGCAAAAGGGTCCAGAAGGCCGGAAAATGGCTCTCTGCTCTGTTTTGGAGACTGGTGTGCTTCACGAGCATTGCATCCCACCAATGGGCGATATGCGGTCGTGACCTCTTGGAGAGACACAGAACACAGCAGTTTACTGATCAGTCGAGAGAGGTCCTCCCTCCCTGTCCTGATTTGGCCTCGCTCGTATGGCTTCAACGAGAGGCAAGAGCGCCACCACCGTCACCTGCAGCCAAAAAAATCTACGCTGGATACACCCTGGGATCGGGAAACCTTACCTTAGCCTTCTTACCTTACAATGCAGAGTGCAGAGTGCAGTGCACGCAGACCAGCAAACGCTGTACCGAAAGCATGGCCTTTGCAGTCTTTACGATAGATCTGCGTGACAATTCCCATCACGAAGGAAGAGTGGATCTCCCTCGAGACATAGCATGGACATGCTCTACGGAGTGGACTCCAGTACGGAGGTACTCGTACAGTATGAGAGGCCATTAAGGCCCAGGCCAGACCAAACTCTGTGCCTCTGTCTTTCCCCCTGCCCTTGTCCCTAACCCTGTCCAGCTCCCCCTCATCGTCATACTGAAGCTGCGTTTCCGCTTCAGGCAATTAGTGTTCGTTTTGCTCCACCTTCTCTTCTCTCCCGAAGCCTATCAGCAACACTGACTGAGATCTTCGAATTCAGGGTCTAATCACCATTTCCAATCCCAACCCTCATCTTTTCAGAACCTGAGTTCCGAAGAAGCAGCAAGGATGATGTTCTGATCCCCTAATTCTATTCCCTCTTTTTCATATCTCCATCTTCTACAAGTTTCAAACTTTCAACCAGCGCTAGCACTGTAGTTAGAACATATTTTTTTGCGTTGGCCTCGCAGTGTTCCTTCTAGCCAATGGTCTGGACCCCTCCACTATCAACCTCTAACATCCTTTAGTCTCATTCTATCATAAACTCTGACTTAGCCCAGCCGCAATCCGTGGTGGTTTCTCGCAGAGGGATCTAATTCTTCTCACCTCAATTATCTTCTCCACGAGCTCCATATCTCACAGAGTAATATATCGATTATTAGGAGTGTTACATTGGTATACATCCCGCTGGTGGAGCTGTCGACCCTGAGAATACGATTTCGAATCTGCTTGTCGACGGTGAGGGGCTAGCTATGACGCAGTAGGTGGCTTACAAACTTCATCTTTCGGACCTGCGACTGCGGACACCAACGACTTCGATGCGATCATGAGCACTACCGTTCTTGGTGGCTTGCCAAATGGCCATCACATATCGCCTGAGCACGACGAACCTTCTCCTCCCCAGGACTATACAAATCATGCAGAAGATGAAGAGTATATCCGGCCGATGTCTCCATTACAAATGCCTCCAGGGCAGATCGATGGCCTCGAAAGCATCAAAGCTGATACTCTCCTTTCAAGTCGAGGACAATCTCCAAGAAGAGGGTCTAGGAATAGCAGCCTGCTACACTTAGACATTCTCAGCTTTCCTACTCCCGCACAACTAGCGATGTCTGCCCTGCAGTACCTCCCTTATCCACTATTGGTATTGGGAAGTCTGAAAACCCTGGTCATGGCTAATGAGGCTATGGTGAGGCTTCTTGGTATTGAAGACGATGTCGAAGAAGATACTGCGAGTGATGACGGGATGTCAAGCTTGGACAAGCTCCGTGGCCAAACGCTTAGTCAATTGGGCATTGATATGATCCAAGATGGAAGACCGGTCTGGGTGTCCTGGGAATCTTTTCTTGAAAGTCTTGCCGACGACCTCGACACCACGGTAGAGGACGATTCGCAACAAACGATATCAGAGAGTGGAGAAGGTGATGCCACTCCAACTGCGGAAAGAGCAGAGCCTTGGAGCAGGAAATCAGGCAATAATAAAAGCCAGTCGATGGTACACGATGCTGTCGTGGAAGTGATTATCACAAAAGATGCGATCTCGCAGAAGGTCTTCGCCAAGGCCAGGAAACCTGTCAATTCCAATCGGACGCCACACACGTTGGCAAAGATGATCATCACCGTGTGGGAGATTGGAGATGAAAGGTATTTTACCTTGACATTCACAAGTACAGAGACTAGTCACAATTCGACCATGGCCGAGTCCAAGTTGCAGTCCAGGCACGTTACACGGGCAGCGAAGCATCGGTCCCTAGGTTCTGCCGACTCAGGATCCCATTCCAGTCCGTCATCTGTCAGCTCCGGCCGTAGCAGCTCTACTCAAGATGGAAGTAGCACTTCATCTGCTATTACAAGTCCTACCAATGCTTCCATGTCCACATCTCCGTTTCCTCCATTAGGTCCACCATCGAAGACTCCTCTTTCCAGTGGCCCGTCCGCCTTACAAAAGGTAGTTATGATGAAGGACGCCCTCCTAGACAATACTACCGTACCAATTATAGCAATGTGGAAAGATGAGAGCTTAACAATTCCAAACAAAGCTGCAAGAGACCTCTTCCATCCGAATGCGGACCTTAGTAACGTCAAAGATGGTGTGGATCTCGTTAGCAAATGGCATGTATGGGACGAAACATTTACAACCCGGTTGGAGCCTTCTGAGTATCCAATATCGGTACTAGTCAAGACGCAAACACCATTCTCAAGTCGGAAGATTGGCATATTCGATCCTACGACTGACAAGAAGATTGTATTTGATGTCCTCGGCGAAGCCATTCGAGATGAGAATACAGGCGAGTTCTTGGCTGGCATTGTTACTTGTCGGGATATTACGAGTATGACGCAGCAGATCAATGATATTAAAGAGAAGGATGAGCAAAGGTTCCAACTCATTTGCGATAGTATGCCTCAGATGATATGGACAACGACGCCAGACGGATTGCACGATTGGTTCAGTCAAAGATGGTAAGTCGTACATCACTGAGCTTATCGATCTGATACCGATACCTTTAGGTATGATTACACTGGCTTGACAGAAGACGAGTCTCTCGGCATGGGCTGGAAGTTACCATTCCATCCTGACGACATGACAAGTACTGGGAAGAGGTGGACACACTCACTCGCTACAGGTGATCCGTACATGACAGAATACCGATGTAGAAGCAAGAGTGGGGAATGGAGATGGATGCTCGGTCGAGCTTTGCCTATGAGAAATTCAAAGACCGGAGCAATCGAGAAGTGGTTTGGGACCTGTACCGATATCCACGAGGCAGTGGAAAGCAGATTTGCTGCCAAAAGAATGGTAAGCAGCTCCATTTGTGCCACGTGCATCCCTTCTTCCCACCGATCCAGAAACTCCAGGTTGTTATGGAGCTAGTCGAATTGTCTATTGAGACTATTATGCGATTGATTCAAATAAGACTAACTTCTCATAGCGCCAACAATTGCTCTCAGTAATTGCACACGCCCAAGTCACCCTCTTCTCGGTTGACAGACACCGGAAGATAACATTGCTCGAAGGAGCTTTCATCTGGGATCTAGAGAGTGAGATCGGTTCTGGGGACGAAAGCAGCAATGGCAGACCCACCAAAGGCGAAGATTACATTGGCAAGAATGTCTATGATGTCTTCTACGCGACACAGAATGGTCGTAGCCGAGATGGTATCCCCGAATCTCTTCGTCCTATCGAGGATATCCTCACCGGGAAAACGATGGAAGATGTGCATGAGCACTGTATCGATAATCGGTGGTACAGAACCAGATTCATTCCTGTCTTAGGCAAGAAGACCAACGGAGGGCATGTCAATGAAGCTTTCATTGATGGTGTCATCGGTGTCAGCATGGATATCACGGAGGTAAAAGATCGAGAAACCGAACTGCAACTGCAAGAGAAAGAAAATACGAGACTACTTGCAAATGAAGCAGCTGCCAAAGAAGCTAGTCGCTTGAAGAGCCAATTCCTTGCTAATATGTCACACGAAATTCGTACTCCGATCGCAGGTGTCATCGGAATGGCAGAACTACTTTCGGATATGGATCTTGACGAAGAGCAACGAGATTGCGCAGAGAACATTCAGCGTTCCGCAAACGGATTGCTCACAGTAATCAATGACATCCTGGATTTCTCCAAAGTAGAATCCGGACGTCTGGACATCGAGGAGGTGCAATTCTCTCTTTCGGTGGTGGTCAAGGATGTCAGTAAGATGCTTGGATTTGCCGCCGAGCGAAAGAATCTTATGTTCCAGTCTGACATCACTGTTGGGGTGGAGAAAGATCTGATCGTGATGGGTGATCCTGGTCGAGTGCGACAGATCATTACGAATTTACTTACAAACAGTATCAAATTCACCAGTGAAGGGTACGTTAAATTCTCGGTCCTCAAGGAGAGTGAGACTGCAGATACCTTCGAAGTCAAGTTCGTGGTTGAAGACACTGGTATCGGAATCGAAGAAGAAGTCCGGAAACGCTTGTTCAAACCCTTCAGTCAAGCAGACTCATCCACAGCAAGACGATTTGGAGGAACGGGTCTCGGTCTAACAATCAGCAAGAACCTTGTTGATTTAATGCATGGTCGAATCCAACTAGAGTCAAGTCTAGGCAGTGGTACCACAGCAACATTCTGGATCCCATTCAACAAGCCTCAGTTCCATGACGGAGCTGCCCTCATCGATATTGGAAGCCTCCCAGACCGATTACAATCCGAGATGAGCGTGTCCTGCAATAGTTCAGACTACGAACAAGCAGTTGGCACCCCACCTATGCAAAGCCCCATCGATCCTCATAAACATCGCCACCACAAACCCAGCTCTATTAGTATGATTCCACCCGCAGCTCCAGAATTCGAGCTATCCCCAGCCGAACGAGCGAACATCAAAATCTTGCTCGTCGAAGACAAGTATGTTCCTACTTCCCATATTCCACTCATTCCACTAACGGCGTCAAGTGCAATCAACCAACAGATCGCCCTCAAGACCATCAAAAAACTAGGCTTTGTTGTAAACGCAGTCTGGAACGGCAAAGAAGCTCTCGACTACCTCCTCGCAGCCGATAAACCCAACGCCCCACACCCAAAACCCGACATAATCCTCATGGACGTTCAAATGCCCATTATAGACGGCTACAAAGCCACTCATCTTCTCCGCCATCACACACCTTACAACGTCCTCTGCCGTAATATACCTATCGTAGCTATGACCGCCTCTGCCATCCAAGGCGATAGAGAAAAGTGCAAGAAAGCAGGCATGGATGATTATCTAGCTAAACCAGTAAAGGGTAAGACGTTGGAGAAAATGCTGGTCAGATGGGCACTCAGTAGGCGGATTCCTAGGACGCCTGGGGAGAACGGTAGTATTGGATATGAGTTTGATGGATCAGATTGCTCTGAGCCTGGAGAGCATAATTGTGGCACAGCAGCAGTACCGATGTTTGGACAGGGCAAGAAAACTGCGAAACCAAAGACAGAAGAAAAGAAGCCAGAGGTCTTGCAACCTTCAAGACCGAGCATGAGCCAGCGCCAGAAATCCCATACCTTAACACTGCCGGGAACTGAAAGTGAAGGAGATAGGGTGGAGAGGAGAGAAGAGGCAGAGGAGAAAGCAACAGCGTTGAGAGACGAGAAACTTGTGGAGGCGGCGGCCGGACATCCTGGGGAAAGAGTCGTAGGACCAGTGCAAGTCGAGGACCTGGGACAGAGATTGACTGTTGAAAATGTGGGGAAATTAGACAGGGAAGTAGGATTTCAGGGAAAGACGAAAACGAAAGGAGGCAGAAGTCCCAGGGGCGAGTATCTTAGGCGGAATTTGAGTGTTGAGGGCGAAGCAGGCGCGAATAGGCCAAAGTTAGAGAGGAGGGCTATGGATTCCGAGAGGACTGTTACGGGGCGTGATAAGGAATGAAGAGCTTAATCATGACGTGATGAGGTTTTGGTTTGGTTGGAGTCAAGGGATATCTTTTCATGACTTGGTATTCTGGATCGGATAGGTTGCATCAGCGAGCATTATCTGGGAAAGGTGGTTGATATATTGCAGCCAAAATTATTGTTTATTAAGGTTGAAGAAGAGCATAGACTTGGTCTTGCGGTATATGGGTTACGGTGTTGTAGATATTGAGAGAATGGTTGTATATTTGATCTAGAACTCGTACTCTGCCATCCCAGTTGATACCATCTACTTTTTGAACAGAGTGACTAATGAATTCAGGAGTAATATCCCTGTAGCTGTGATTCAAAAGCACACTCTTTCTAGGCTGTGCAGCGCAAGGAAATCATTCCAGGCGTTAAATTATAGCACATATAGCGCGTTGAGCGCAGATAGCGCAGTCAGGGCCTTCAGCGGGTGTAGCGCATGTAGCGTGCGCGCCGTACTGTAGCCTAGTTGTAGTGCCTCACGTATTCCAAAAAAAAAGTGCTGCGGATATTGCAGCAAAGTATCTTGGTATTAGAACGGACATCCATGACACTCTGTTGGTAGCGAGTCAAACTTGCGGTCCTGTCTTCCGACTCTATTCGAATTTTACGGTCAGATGTCCGAGAGAGCTGTCCAAAACCTTTGTCGTGTAAGTCACATTAATCGAGAACGAACACCAGTACTTTATCTTGAACGACCCAAATAATGTGTCAATCCCAATTAGGGGCTTCTCATAGCATTCACTATCTACAGAGGCCCAAATGCATTTACGCCTTAACTTTTTTCGAAGCCTTTTTTGCCTTCTTATGCGCCTTGTCACCGAACTCTTGCTCATATATCTCTGCAGCAGTTTCACCCGCCTTCCTCTTTTGCTTCGTGCTCTTGACACTCACAACAGGGTTCTTGTGACCGCTTTTCGAGGCATGGAGAACTTGCTTTTCGGCATCGGCCCATCCAGGCGCTCCTTCTTCGATCTCGTACCTGTAACAATTATTAATATCGAATATTTAAGATTTCGGGCGGCGAGTTGGAGTTACTTACTGATCCAATGGTAGAGCATCAATAAGTTCTCTTTGCTTTTCTCTCAGAGCTTTCAAAGCTTCGTCACCTCCCTCCTCCAACTCCTCTTCAAGCCCAGTCTCTAACGCTACAAACCGCTCGTCGATGATCTCATCATCGTGAGCACCACTCGCATCAGCTCGACTTACTCCAATAGTGTCTCTTGCCGGCATATCGGCCTCATGAGCACTCGAAACCAGTGATCCGAAATACGAGCTCATCTTTCTCATGATCTTGATGAACATGGCCAGCAACTGTGAAGCTTGTACAGAACTCAGTTCCTGTTCTTGTTCGATAGAAGAGAATTCTTTGCACTGCAAACCAATGGCAAGCAAGATCGCTTCTTGAACACCAGTGAGCTTAACGGAGTATTTGATGGGGCCGGTGAAGTAGGCCATTGAAATTCGAGGAACAAGGTCGAGGATTACGTGGTAGTCTAACATATTATTTGCATATGATTCTAGCCGCTTTAAGTCGTAAGGAGACATGAGTCTATCTAGTTCGTCTTTGGAGAAAGGTGGAGGCTCATTTAAGGAGTCGAGTTGTGTGCCTTTGTTGGCAGATTCGCCGATGCTCAGTGCAAGGACGGAAGGGAAATCCTTGAATTGGTATTTCAAGAGGTTGAGGAATCGGAGATGGAAATCGCGGGAGAACTCTCCGAGCCTAAGTACAGTTAGTCACTGAAAGGATTTGAAAGTAAAAGGGGTCTTGCTTACCAAGCGGCATCATCGCCTATAGGTCGAATCATAACACATGTATGCTCGCCAGTAAGTTCGTTCTGAGTTTGTCTGAGATAGACGGGAGCAAACGAAGCCTTCTGCCAGAATCTATGCAATGGCTTAGTGAGTCCGTAGCTAACACCCACATAATCCAGACTGTCTGGACGCCGTTCAGACAATTTCGCAAAAAGAGGGGGCAGTTTTCGAATATCCCGAATCTTGATGTCATCGTCGAGCAGAGATGCATTCGCAAGCTCTGCATTAGTGACTCTCGTGATCTTTGTCTCGGTGATCCCAGTTGCATTTTCGGAAAGGTCCGCAAATTTACCTTCATAGAAATCCATAAGAAGTTCGATTGCCTTCCGCCCATATCCCATTCCAATATAGTCTGGGTTTGTCGCTATCCTCACAATGCGAGCGCCGGATAGACCAGCAAACTGCTCATCTTGGAACTGTTGACTGACGATCCAGGGAATTAGATCACCTGCCGCTCTTTTACCTCTACTCAGACTGTTCATGACACTCTCTTTGCTGATGCGACCTTCTAGTGCCACTTGAATGACACATAAAGGTTCTGGCAGATGCTTCGTGTTCTCCTCAACTGGTGGTACAAGGACGAAAAGCTCATGAGCGGGAGCATCGCTCATCAATTGAAGATCATCCGGGGTATTCTTGTAATGACTTGCGACGTACAGGGCAACCATTTGCTGCAAGAACTTTTCGGAAAGAGGATGGAATGAGAAGAGGGTGTCACGATTTACGTTGAGAAGTTGGCATTGTCCAGGATCCGGACAACCTTGGACAGTGTTCAATTTTGACCGTGGTAGAGTAGCGTCAAGACACAGTACTGTGTTGAGCCACTTTTCAACTGCATCACCCTTCGTATACCGGATGGGTTCTGAAAGTGTTACTTCTCGTAGCGAGCGGCCACCGGAGAAGCTATTGTCTTGGACCTTAGCGGTTTTCCCAGTGGAGCGGTCTGCTAATTCAGAGTCTGTATTGTTTTTCGAGAATCCTGCTGATTGTTCCCGAAGCTGTTTTATGAGCTTCAAAGACAAAGATCTTCCGGTGCCTTCATATCCATTGATGGTGGAAGCCATGAAGACAAGGTACGGGCCCATTAATTTCCGGACCAAAGGTAGTGGAATTGCTGCAGCCTCATCGATGACTAGCAGTTCAGCTTGTCCGAGGACATGGGCATCTTGAGGCCTAATATACTGGATGGTTTGCCGATGTTGGCGATGTATGTTGACCCGAACAATGGCTTTCTTGAGCTCTGGATTCGTAGACTGAATGATAGAATAGTCTTCGTGGTCCAAATAGTTGAGCGCATCGAAGCCCTTAAATATGAATTCAAATAGAGTCTTCAAATTTTCAGGGCTGGGAGACGTGATGAAAATGTTACTATAGCCATGGGCAACTGCTGCAGCCACAGCAACTCCCAGCGCGGCTGACTTTCCTCGGCCTCTGGCCGCTGTCAGAGTTACTGTGCTTCTCAAAGTCTTTTCCGCAATCGCATCGACGAATGTCAGCAAAGCTTTTGCTTGATCCACGGTTTTTGCCAAAGTTACCAGCGGTCCTACTGGTTGAGTATCTTGCAACTCTTCCTTCATGTTGTCCAATTCTTTCTGAGCCTCGGTCTTCGGTTCGTCCAAGTCAGGAGGTGGCAGAGCTGCCACATTCTTCCCACCAGAGATGGGCAGCACATTCAGTTCATCGTCTATGACTAGACAGGACTCACAACCTCCCAAAGACAAGATGAACCTCTCATTGAATCTCGCCGTAACATCGTCATGTGCTTCTGTTCGATATCGAGAATGAATGTCCATGGATAGGGTATAGAGTTGCTTTAAGCTGGTCATGCCCTTGAGCAATAGAACTACTAGTCCTCCTCCCTCGACTGTCTCGATCGTTCGCGCGAGCAGATTGGGTGTTATGGCTTCGAAATCCTGCAATATACACATCCCATACGTATTACCAAGAATCTTCTCCGTCTCCTTGTAGTATACGTAGCGAATATTGTGCAGCGAGACAAAAAGTTCGAATGGGTCCTCGGTATTGGCTTCTCGAATGCCTCGCTTGACCTCTTTCTTGATCTTGTTTTCGCGCTTCTTTCGGTGACTGGCAGTATGTCGTTAGTTTTCAGAATCTTATAAAATATTGTGCAGATGTGCGCACCTAGTAAACCCAAGAAGATCCTTCTTGTATGCCCAAAGCACCGATTTGTTTTGCTTCATGTCCATCCTGGACATAATGTAATGAAGATGCACTATAACATCCTTCGAGCGGTCTCCCACCACCACAAAGAAACTGCGCTTCTTCTCTTGAACACCATTGCGAATGAGCGCTGGTATGCGCGAGTCTCTAAAAGCATGTCAGCAGTAAACTCGAAGTATATGGAAGAGAAATGTGTTTAGCCAGGGAACGCACACTGCCTTTTGCACCATTTTGCCCTCCAGATACGGCACTTGAATCAGAACCCTCTCGATGGTGACATGCGCTCGTAATGTTCAGAAAGAGAGTGGTGATTTATCGCTACCAAAGTCGCCCGCCATGAACTTTTTCAACGCTTAGCGTGCCGATAACCACAAGGCTGAGATCAGGAAAATTCTGATTGGCTTTTAGGAGAGACCATCAGCCTTGTGTCTCCACCTCCAGCCTTGCGAACTTTTTCGAGATGAAGCGAGGTGATAAAAAAATTTCATTCATATGACAAGTCGCACATCTATTCAAAGAATTGTACTACTTGGTCACAGTCATTTGAACCTGGTGAACACTCTTGCAAACAATTTCGAGGACCAAACATGATTGTTAGAATGTATCTAAGTACTGTACTTGTTGTGGCTCGTTGAATTATTAAGGTGCTTCTACCTAGGTATGTGACGTCTATTAAGAGTAGATTATTTACTGCAACGATTCAATGACAATGGCAGATGCTCCACCTCCTCCATTGCAAATACCAGCAACACCAATCTTCGCCTTCTGCTCTCTCAACACATTGATCAAGGTAGTGGTGATTCTGGCCCCAGAGCAACCAAGAGGATGTCCAATAGCAACTGAACCTCCGTGGATGTTGACCTTTGATTCATCTAACCCGAGGATCTTCATGTTGGCCAAAGCAACAACAGAGAATGCCTCGTTGATTTCGTAAAAGGAGACTTGGGAAGCATCGATCTTGGCATGCTTGATAGCTTTTGGGATAGCCAAAGCTGGAGCAGTGGTGAACTTGCTTGGAGCTTTCGAGGCATCTCCCCAGCCAAGAATCTTCGCCAGAGGCTTGATACCAAGCTCCTTAAGCTTGGTTTCCGAAACAAGAACCAAGGCCGATGCACCATCATTGAGAGGGGCAGCGTTTGGAGCTGTGACAGTGCCTCCATTTGGCTTGAATGCCGGTCTCATGGCCTTCAACTTTTCGATATTCAGATTCTTAACCTCATCGTCCTTCTCAATCTTGATTGCAGGCTTGCCACGTCCACCACTGATCTCAACTGGCACAATTTCAGTCTTGAAAAGCCCAGCCTCGGTTGCCTTTTGTGCCTTCTGGTAAGACCTGATGGCATATTCGTCTTGTTGTTCTCTGGTAATGCTGTGATCTTCCGAACACTCCTCTGCGGCCATACCCATGTGCTCCTTCTTGCCATATGCATCGGTCAAGCCGTCCTTCAAGACACCATCAACCATGGTTTGATCACCGAACTTGATCCCGCTACGCATTCCGGTGATGTAGTGAGGAGTATTGGTCATGGACTCAGTGCCACCAGCAACAACGATGTCGGCATTGCCAGTCATGATAGTCTGGGCACCAAGGATGATTGCCTTCATGCCAGACGCGCACACCTTGTTAACAGTCGTACATGCGACAGATTCCGGGAGGCCACCAGCGACGGCACATTGACGTGCAGGGTTCTGACCAAGACTGATTTTGTTAGCAGATGTATGAAGGGATTGAAAGATTGCTCTCGTACTTGGCAGATAAGACATTGCCCATGAAAAGCTCTTCGACATCCTCGGCCTTGATCTCAGGCACACGCTCAACGGCAGCTGCATTCACGATTAGTTCCAATTTTTTTGTTAAGGTCAACCAATGAAAGGCTAACCTTTGATAGCAATTCCACCGAGTTGAATGGCACTCAAGCTGGAAAGAGACCTATTCTCGTCAGTAATCCCTCATCTGCGAGTGTGGCAGAAAAACTGGAGCTCACCCCAGAAGAGAACCAACAGGAGTTCTCACAGCGGCGACAATGTAGACTGAGTGAAGTGAGGCCATATTGACAACTGAGGAGATAGGAAGTCTAATTTCCAGGGGAAGAGATGCCTTGAAGTAAAAAAAGGCGTGTTGGGTAAGAAAGCCGGTCAAGTCAGTAATCAACAGAAAAGGAAATATTAAATTGATTTGTTGATCTCACCGCCTCGCGATCGGAGGCGCTAAAATCAGGTACCAGGTTCTCTTGCTATTGGTTAGATGAAGCATTACGCCAAAACATAATTGCACATTTTATGTAATTCTCAATATGCATTCTTAATACTGGAAGAGAAAAATTCCTTTCGAAGCTGGAGGCAAAGAAAAGAATATACTCGAGGGAGCTGCCGTGTCGTGTGCTTGGCGATGAGGGGCTCGTTTGCTGCAAGGCTACCATTTATATATCAGCACGTGACCATTCTTATCCACGCTAAGGATTCTCGTCGCGATCAAAAAAGTTGAGGAGCAGGCGCATTTACAATCGCGACGCGACAATTTCCCTTGCGATATCTTAATCAAAATGGATGACCTTTATGATGAGTGAGAAATGCCCCTTCTATGATGAGATGCTTTATTCTAACGTTCTCACAGATTTGGTAACTTCATTGGCGAAGCTGAAGAATCCGAGGACGATAGCCAACATGGCATTGATGCCGGTGCCTATGTCTACGATGAAGACTACCCCGAAGAAGCGCCAGAAGCAACAGGCCAAGAGCTGATGGAGTTGGATGGTACGTTGATCTGCGACTTCTCAAAAGTCTATGGACGCTGACTATCCTTACAGATGAAGGGCCTTCTAATGCAGTTATTCTGCACGAGGATAAGCAGTACTATCCAACAGCTCAGCAGGTATACGGCGAAGATGTTGAGACTATGGTGCAAGAGGAAGATGCTCAGCCATTGACCCAACCGATCATTGCCCCCGTCGAACAGAAGAAGTTCACAATACAAGAGGCGGATCTGCCCCCAGTCTTTTTCGAACGAAGTTTCATGACAGATCTTATGAATTTCCCTGAACAGATACGAAACGTCGCATTTGCCGGACATCTTCATCATGGAAAAACAGCGCTGCTGGATATGCTGGTTCTGGAGACTCACGACATTACAGACCGGCTGGAAAAGAGGACTCGCAAAAAGCGAGACGAGCAACTACGTTATACAGATGTTCATGTGTTAGAGCGGGAGCGAGGAATATCGATCAAATCAGCGCCAATGAGTTTAGTATTGCAAAGCACGCAAGGAAAGTCGCATCTTCTGAATATCCTCGACACGCCAGGCCATGTCAACTTTGTTGATGAGGTCGCTTCGTCACTTCGACTTGTCGATGGCGTTGTCCTTGTTGTCGATGTCGTTGAGGGCGTCCAAGTGAACACAGAACAGATCATCAAGCATGCTGTGTTAGAAGGTCTACCTTTGACACTTGTGGTCAACAAGATGGATCGGTTGACTTTAGAGCTGAAGTTGCCACCAACTGACGCCTATTTCAAGCTGAAGCATGTCATCGAAGAGGTCAATACGGTCATTGAGAATACTCTGCCCGGCCAAGGAGAGAAGAGAAGATTAAGCCCTGAAAAGGGCAATGTCCTTTTCGCCTGCAGCAGTCTGGGTTGGTGCTTTACCCTTCAATCTTTTGCCAAGATGTATGCAGAAAACTATCCTCCCCGAACAAAAAGCTCTCCTGGGATCAATGTGCAAGAATTTGCTCGACGGTTATGGGGTGACATCTTCTACAATCCGAAGAAACGATCATTCACAAGAAAAGGTATCGAGGAGCGGTCCAAGCGATCCTTTGTCAACTTTGTTCTTGAACCAATTTACAAGTTGTACTCTCATACAATCAGTGAAAGTCCTGATGATCTGAAAGATACACTTGCAACACTTGGCATTACGCTTAAGCCATCACAGTACAAAATGGATGCCAATGTTCTTCTTAAGCTTGTCTGCGAACAGTTTTTTGGCGGAGCGAACGGATTCGTGGACATGGTTGTAGAGCATATTCCTTCACCAGTTGAAGCGGCCAAAAGCAAGATCGAGAGATATTACACGGGCCCATTGGATACCGCTGTTGCACAATCCATGAAGGAGTGTGATCAAGATGGTCCACTTGTTGTTCAGATCTCTAAGCTGTTCAATACAAGTGATGCCAAAGGATTTCACTCATTCGGACGGGTTATGAGTGGAACGGCTACCCCCGGGGCCCAAGTGAGAGTCCTTGGCGAAGGATATTCAATCGATGACGAAGAAGACATGAGCATGGCTACCATATCCGACGTTTGGATTGCTGAAACACGATATAGTATTCCTACCGATGGAGTTCCAGCGGGCAATTGGGTGTTGTTGGGAGGCGTCGACAATTCTATCGTCAAATCTGCAACACTGGTCCCTCCGGTATTAGCAGGAGGAGAAGATGCCTATATCTTCAAGCCGATTACCCATTTCACCGAGTCGGTATTCAAAGTCGCTGTCGAGCCGATCAATCCTTCGGAGCTGCCGAAGATGCTGGACGGTCTCAGAAAGATCAACAAGAGTTATCCGCTAATCACAACGAAGGTGGAGGAATCTGGGGAGCACATCATTCTCGGCACGGGAGAGCTCTACATGGATTGCGTTTTGCATGACCTGCGCCGCCTCTATGCCGAGATGGAGATCAAAGTCTCTGATCCAGTAACGAGGTTCTGCGAAACGGTAGTTGAGACATCGGCTATCAAATGTTATGCCCAGACACCGAACAAGAAGAACAAGATCACCATGGTCGCCGAGCCGCTGGACCAGGGAATTGCGGAGGACATAGAGAGCGGAAAGGTCAGCATCAAAAGCCCCAATCGTGTGATAGGAAAGTTCTTTGAGGAGAATTATGGTTGGGACTTGCTTGCTTCCAGAAGCATTTGGGCTTTTGGACCCGACGAGCTGGGACCAAACATTCTCCAGGATGACACTCTACCATCAGAGGTAAGCAATTCACTTCTCCAAGTTCTTGAGAGATCACCAGAGCAGAGCTGACTAGCGCCAGGTCGACAAGAAGCTTTTGTTAAGTGTTAGGGACACGATTCGTCAAGGTTTCAGCTGGGCCACTCGAGAAGGGCCGTTGTGTGAAGAACGTAAGTGCCCCATGTACTTACCTCCATCTCGATTTTGTTGTTCCCTGTGAATGGTCTAGAGCGTGAAGTCGCATTCTATCATTGGCCAGGAATACCGCCGTTCCGAACAATCCTCTGACAATCCTTGTAGCAATCCGCAACGGCAGGTTCAAGATTATGGATGTCACATTGGCTCCCGAAGCGATCTTCCGGGGAGGCGGCCAGATCATCCCCACTTCCCGACGTGCCTGCTACTCGTCCTTCTTGATGGCTTCTCCACGACTAATGGAGCCCGTCTACTCATGTTCCATGACCGGACCTGCAGACTCGGTCACATCACTTTACACAGTTCTGGCCCGTCGTCGCGGGCACGTATTATCTGATGGTCCAATTGCCGGCACGCCGTTATATCGTGTTAGTGGTCTTATTCCAGTCATTGATTCGTTCGGTTTCGAGACCGATCTCCGCATTCACACACAAGGCCAGGCCACTGTCAGCTTGGTGTTTGACCGCTGGAACATCGTTCCCGGAGATCCTTTAGATAAGGACGTCATCTTGAGGCCATTAGAACCAGCCAGTGCCCAAGCGACGGCGAGAGATTTCGTGTTGAAAACAAGAAGAAGAAAAGGCTTGAGCGAGGATGTAAGCGTTGCCAAGTTCCTGGAGCCAGAACTGTTCTCTAGTTTGAAAGAGAGCGGTTTATTGGATGGTTAAATAAAAGTGCAGCGAAAGGTAGATCTTTCTGGGAGTTGGCATTGCATGATCTCGAGTCTGACTGGGGATCTTTCGGCGTTTTTCTGTTCTGTAGGATGGTTGCATGTAGTGTATGGTAACCACTAGAGTGAACAAATACGATAAACGAAACGGCAGCGGACACCATTGTGGCGGCCGTTACGAAACTCTAATTACAAACATTTCCAGCAACGGCTTCTGTCAAATTGTGTCAATCATCACAATCTGGAAATCATTACGACCTGGTAACGTTCCTTCTTGCAATGTCAGCAGATGCTGACAGGTCCAAAATCTTCAAGCGATTGGGCCCCCCTATATGCATGCAGACCGGCAACGCCGAGCAGTCCTCGAAATAACAATAATGCCAGAGTTCCAGCGCTATTGGCAATTAATCTGTTTTTCTTCCCAGGAGGGAGATTTGTGCAACGACGACGATGATGACGGAAGGGTCACAAATGCCTTCGTTACCCGGTCTGAATTGACTCGAAGCACGCTTATATATCACGGATACCTATTCCCTGGGATGCGGATGGGGTGCGGGTTTGGGATTTGGTAGTTACGTGGAGCCCAGTAGTTTTGCACGCCTTGTGCCTCTTTCTGCAAGCAGGGCTGTGAAGGGGATATGCAGAAGAAGGTGGACTAGCGAATGTGAAGTACCGTGAGCATGTACTCTGTACAGAAGGAATACATTGTGAGGTTCGGCGGGCGCGTAACCTCGTTGCGTTTCTGCAAGATTGAAGCTATAGTGAAGGTTATATTACCAAGTCCCTGGGAACAATTTATTGTTTTGTTTCATTGATGTTTGTGTGCTGGTGCGCATGGTGTACGGCCCAGCACACGTGGATGGACCTGCTCATCATTGGTAATGGAAAATTTGCGGTAAACTTTTGCGCTTGACGCTGCTTGTTAGGATGACATGCTTTTTTCGTGTCAGGTTTATGCTTATCTGACTCGTAGAGAAGCTTTTAACGGCCAACGAGGTAACGCTCGCATCAAACTCCCCTGGAAGACGGTAGCTCTTAGATCGTGGAGTATAGGCGGGGAGCATGGGAGAAAGTCAGGGCTTGGAGTTGAGTTTTATCGATTCTGGTGGAGAAAGAAGATGAGGAACGGCAGGGCTTGTACGGGGCCGCGTATGTGGGAGATGGTGGAAATCATGAATAATGACGCCTTAAATCACCGAGCTCGTGAAGCTGGTGAAGACCCTGATGCGAAGATGTGGACTCTATGTACAGGGTATTGGAGGGGAAGTCAGGTCGCGGGTCAGTTGTGAGTGAGCGATTATTATTGACCGAATGGGCCGTTGAATCAAATAATCCGTCCGTGGGTTAGCCAACTTGGCATGGGAGCAAGCGGATGATTCTCTTGGGACACCGCACGCACAAAGGCTGCCATTTTCAAGCTTGGAGACGATGAGGTGGGGCCGAATGTTTGGGAAAGCTGGGAGGGTTGTTGCGCTGATTCGTAGCAAGGTTCACCTGTTGTGGTCATTGGCTAATGCAAATGCAGACGCTGACTTCGTCTAATGTTGCTCTGGAGGAGGCGTCAGGGGCGTTCTGCGGTTGTGGCGATCCATGAGGAGCGTCGATTTGCCAAGGTTGTGACCGAATGCGAGGTTGCAGACGACCAGGCTGTCTCGTGGGTCTTTGCTGCAGATGGCGATTGCCGCAACCCAAGGCCTGAGTGACTGGGATCTATGATATACACAAGGATCTGCTGGTATCATCTTGGCATGAAAGTATAATTTGCTTTTCGTCATTTGCCTTTTCTAGAAGATGTCAAGTCCGTGAGTGGATGCATACAAGTGCTTGATATACGCACTATTGGAAAATGATGTGAGGCACTCGAGAAGAACCGTGTAGGATGGAAGATTGGAAGATTCTATTGGTATTGAGGTTCTATGCACGGTTGCATCATTTTCCTCAGTATGCCCATGAGGCTCTTGTTCTCCAGTGCAGCTGCAACCCGCTCCTTATCTGCGAGCTGTTTATTAACCTCTTCGGCCTGTCCGTGGGTATCTTTCTTGATCTTGACCTCAACCCGGAAACTTGGGGGTAAAGCTTTTTCCAAACGAACCCTGACGCCAAGGCCAATGACAGTTGCGAGTGAACAGTGCGAAACGGTGGGGGTGAGCTCGACGAGGACACGCGAGAGAGCAGCGGGCTTCGCTGGATCGAGTGGCGAGATGAGGTGGACGTCTTGCAGCTTGACTACCCCAAGTGATTCGAGTGAAAGAGGGTGTTCAGGGTCGCATATTGGGGCAATGAGGTCTGTGAAACGTCAGTCGTCAGATCGTCTAAAACACCCCGGATTCTCCAAGTTTGGCCACGAAACAAAGGACAAAGTCCTCAAATAACCGTTACTGAAACCAAAAGAAAAAGGTTAACGGCAAGCTTTGAGAGCTAAATATAGCTTGAAGAATTGCAACTCGCAGCGATAGAAGTCTCATGGCGTGGACGACGATACACTTGTCCATGGGAAGACCGCGGGAGTTGAATGAAGAACGCTCCGGATTTGGGTAAACTCACCATAGATTTCTTGCTCGTCGATGGGTTCCAGGTTTGTGTCATCCGAGTCAGCATCTGAATATGCCAACGTGTAGTACGGATTCATCTCCCAGTCCGGCGTCCCATACAACTTGTCCCTAATTGAATCCTTCTTCGGCTGATCCTTTCTTTGCCGTCTGTCCCTGCGTGTAGGAAGTTCAGACACGCTCAGAATGGTGGGGTTCTCGTTGTCCAGCATCTTGGCCATCGCAGAATGATAATATGATAGACGGAGGAGGGGGAGATCGTGGTGGTTGAAGTCCCTGTGGGCGTTGTGTAACTGTCAATTTTCTATTCTGATATCTGCGGCGGGGGTCAGGTTGTCATAAAGGACGAGGTCGTCGAGTTGCGATTTTGAGGCTCAATTGTCGTTGCAGTTTTTGGCTTCTCCCCGGAATCGGAACTTTTTTCTTCTTATCGATAAACCCCGCTAATTCCAGATTAGGTAAGCGGGGGAACGATGCCATCCAGTTCTCCAAGACTCTTTTCACCTTTCTACAGATTATTCATGATTCCTCAACTTCAATTTTAGTTTCATGAAATTAACTTAATTGGCATTCATCGCCACCACCAAGTGGTTTGATGCTCGATCGACTTCCTTGCGAACAAATGATACATCATGGAAATGGATTATCCACCAACCAGGCGCACGAATCTGAGACGCAGTATCGTTCGGCTCGAAGAGTATTGGTAGCTCATGACCACGGCCAGGTCCATGTCTGACCAAGAAACTCGATGTCTTTACTGATTTTGAAGGGATATTGGCATCGGAGGAAAGCTTATCAGGGCGCCGGAAAGTTCCATTATTGGAGATGCAAACGACAACATCATCTTGATCGTCGCCAGCCACGACCATTCCATCTTTGAGATGCGGAACCATATTTCCCGTGGCATCTCCCGAGAAGCTTACTAGTTAGTGCCTCGTGGCAATCTCACAGATGTACCTAAAGTTGGGACGAAGTGTCCGAAACCTGGCTCATGGACAGTACGGACGAACGATCGTCATGATACGGTACCTAAATCGAAGTCGAATAGGCAAGTCTGGGGGCGAGTCTCCCTGCGCTTGGTCCTTGAGAGAAAGATCGTACACAGCTATGAGGCCGATGGTCTCTCGCTAAACTCTAGCTTGGAGACTCTGTGCACGGTAGGTATGTTTCAGCAGACGTCAGCTAGAGCAATACAAACCGCCAGAGGAATAGATCGCCGTTTAGCTCTTGCCCATGCGTTTCCAGCTCTTCCCGTCTGTCGGTACGAGAACCGCCAACGGGGTCTTGAAGGGAGTCGATCGACTTGTTCAGTACTATGTAGTGTAATTTACCTAGGTAGGTAGGTAGGTAGGAAGTGAAGATGAGCCACGACCACAACATGGATCATCATCCATCCCGTCACTGATCATCGAAAAAGGCCGACCTGTCGCAACTCAGCAATTATTGGACCTGGCCTGGCCTGGCCTGGAAAGAGGAGCACGACGCTAGTCTTCCCGTCTTCCCACATCACCATCATCTCGGCACAAAATGCAGCGTGCGGGAAACACATTCCCAATCTACCGGGCCTCGGATCTCGGATTACTCGTATAAGCAATTTTGGATCTTGATTGCTTGCTGGGCCCATGATATTACCACTACCACGGCATATCATGCGAGGAAATTATTCCTGATACTGTAAGCTGCGCCGGGTCATCAGAACGATGCCTTCGCCAGAGACTGCTTCTGGAATTTCTGGAAAGTGATGGGGCCAAGGCTTCTTCTGCATGCAGCCGCATGAGACCTCTCCTCTCTCAAGCTTCCCGTCTCTTGCTGCGGCCTTCCGCACCATGGCTCGTGGAGGCAGTTTGTTATGCATGGAACAACAATGGCAACGTTCTCCCGCATACATCCCTGCCGCCCCGGTGGAAATGGAAGGTTCTTTCGAATGTTGGAAGATGAAATGATTTGCACCACCTTTTCATCATCGCATTACAATACCAGGATACGCGGGGTATACCACGGACAGCCAAAGAATACCAATGGAATCTCTCCTACAAGCTGTGAGAACTACTCTAGTGCAACATCAGCTCATCTTCTGTACAAACGAACGGGCCTCAGGTCCAGAAACTGCCGAGGCTCAGTTGTTGGTAAGAAGGGACCAGCCAAGAGCGATCTTGTTCCAACGAGTTTCTTCCTCGATTTTGACTTTCGAAGTGGGTTGACCGGCCTTTTTAGAGCGGTAGTGAATCACCAGGAGGCCTTGACTCGAACATACGAAAGTGTATGGAGGTACCCTGAGCAAAAGCAACAGACAGCACGACACCGTTGAAAGGGAGCGGCCGCACAGATTGCACCACATCCATCCCAGCAGCTGTTCGTGCAAACTCCCTGTGGTGGGTTACTGGTTTTTCGGTAGCGGAACGGGGGTTGCTTGCTTGCTTGCTTGCAGGACAGGAACGCTCGGGATGCACAGAGCCGTCGATAATTGTCGTTTGCCCGGGCCCATTATATTATTCCTGCTGTTGTCTTCTTCACCCACCTCTGCCACTGAACGACCCCTCATCCAAGCTGGATTGTGTTCGCTTGGCAGGTTGGCAAGTTGGCAGTCCGTAGCTTTGGAGCTGATGGTGGTGGTGGTGCTGATGCAGGCTGCATGCTGCAGGAGTCTTGCTTGCAATTGCGGGCCGTCTGCGCTGGACTCCTGATAACCGTGTGGTGACTCGGATTGTGAGAGGTGGAGAGTTTCCGAAGCTGCCCTGACCCACACGAGGAGAGGCAGGATCAAGGGGCTTGAAGATCACGCCTCGGCCTGTCTTTCACTACTCCACTTCGGGCTAAACGGGGGGGGCTGAACGGGGGGGGCATCATGATGGCTCACCGTTCACCTCAGCACCACACCACACACACCACGCCTGGAATGGGATCAATTGAACACTGAGGTAATAAAATCTGACTGACTACCTGCCTGCCTGCCTTTGCCTGCCCTGCGTGTGTGATTGAAATACTGCTAAGCCATGAAGGCGACGACGATAGGTGCACTAAGTGATATTAGGCAATTAATTTAGGTTTGCATGTTATTTGCATTACTCCACTCGACTAAGCTTGAAGTAATGCACCTGCTATGCTATGCTGTGCTATGCTATGCTGGGCTGGCTGCAAGTTGCAACACGCTATCGCCGCACACTTTGACAGCGGCAAGGCTGGTCCTTAGTGGTCAGAGTACGGCAATACGCAACTGAACTGCACCCACCACGCCAGAACAGAACAGAACAAAACGTCGACTAGACTAACTGACTAGGGCTTGCGAAATCAACACCACCACCACCACCACCACCACCACCACCAACACTACCGCACCGCATCGCAGTCGCAACCACCACTGCCACAGCTCTGCTACTCCTGCTGCTGTACTTCTTCATGCCTCTCCTTCCCATGCACGTCGTCTCTACACTGCCCTGACAGACCTGACGAATCCTCCCTCGCCCCCGGAATCTCCTAGCGAAGCGCCCGCGGCCACGGACCACGACGACACATCAACGACGAAGTCACTGCGAAGACCTCCCCCCCCCTCAGTGTCATTCCTTGCGCCGTTTCAGCCTCAAGCTCACGTTGCTCACCACGACAAATATAGCATCTGGCATCGAGAATTGTCCCAGCAATCAAGCTCCTGAGATCGTCATTCCCAAACATCTCGAAATAGCATCCGATCTCCAACGCGTGCCTGTCGCCTTTTCGTCCAATGTTCAGGCAGATTCCTTTTTGCGGCAGCGCGAGCCACACCTCCCACGATATCCTCACACTTGCCTGAAGACGGACAAACGAACAGACAGGCACTTGCTGTACCACCGTGCGGGGATTTCTACCAGCCACTCACTGCTGCTGTGTCCGCTTGACCGCTTCCTCGGCATCCGCAGCCTCAGCCTGAGCCCTACGAAGAAGAAGCAACTCTCACACGTGAAGGAGGTCTGCTGCTACTGCTACTGCCAGTGCCAGCCTGCCAGCCATCCCGCCAGCTCTCGCAACGTCCCTCTTTCTTGTTGACCCGCTTGACCCAGGGTGATAGGGAAGTGGGCTAAGGCCTGAAGCCTTTCGTTTTCAAAATTGAAAGAGGGGCAAATAACCTTGACGAACCCCCGTCACTCAGACAGGGGATACGAGACCGCTGCTAGACACTTGCACTAGCCGTTTCCACTAGGGATTTGACACCCCCAGACGCCGCCCGTAATCCCATACCCATTGTTCGTTCGAATCCCTCCCTCTCCCCCTCGTACGGCGGCCATTATATAGTGGATCTTGGCACTCTGGATGGGCCACAACCACACCCGCAGGGACTTCTCACTACGGATGCACTGAAGCGTGTTCCTGGGAGCTGTTGCTGAATCTTCTCGCGGTTACTGCGCTACTTTGCTTCTATTGTTGCTACTGTCTGCTGCTAGCTAGACTGCAAGTCGTGGGGATTCAACGCATCCTTCCACCGAGCCACCAGTTCGCGCATGATTGCAGAGCGCCTCTCAGAAGCAATCAATCGACCGTTTGCGCGGGTAAGCTGGCGGCTTGAGTAATTGACAATCACAATAGCATCTGTTTCTGTGTACCTCATGCGAGTCTGGTACCGATTTGGTACAACGAGCCCACTCAACCCAAATAAAGGTATGCCCTGATCGCCTTATGCGGTTTCGTATACCCAAGCTCTCTTTATTCTTGATTAGTCCGAGGACTCGTGGCCTTGCTAAGATACTCACAGGGCAATCAAATCATTGCTGGGGGGCGTGGTCGGAACAATCCCAGACTTTTAAAGTTTAACATATCTCTATCACCACTTCCTATCTGTCACTGTTTGTATTTTCACCCAGTCCGCTCGTTGAGGTCCCTCTCCAGCTATAATTGCCTCGACATTTTAGGCACACTTAGGGCTACTGCGCCGGCTACCATTCAACCGGAGGCCAAACACTTCAAAGAGCGCATCGCATCCGACACACAATGGTTGGAGACCCAGGGACAAGGAGACTACTCCCACAAAGCTCACAAATGCAGAGCTTCTCTTTCGCACCCAATAACTTTGGGCAGAGAGAGAACCAGAAAAGTCCGTTTCCCTAAGAGTTTGCGCGAACCTAGAAAAAGAGACTGATATGGGCTATAGACTATGTTTTCGTCGATGAACACAACCGACACAAGCGCCTCAAGGGTATGTTGGAAATCGTCAAGGGAACTGTCCAGAATATTGACAAGATATAGTTATGAGGGCTTGTGAAGGATGCCGGAGGAGAAAGATTAAGTGTGATGCCGCGACTACCAATACCTGGCCATGTTCAGCATGCATACGATTAAAGCTTCATTGTATCCCACCTACAGTCAACTATGATCGCGACTTTCCACAGAACCCCCAAGGATTCGAGGGCGAGAGAGTTGAATATGAGAGCGGTGGAAGTGGAGATGACGATTACCATCAACAGGTTTCTATGCAACAGCAGATGGCTGGAACGCACAAGAATATCCCTCCCATCTATACGGCGCAAGTCCCTTACCCTGATCCTGTGGGAGTATATCAGTCCGGACCTTATGGCGAGCCTTCTTCTAGCCACAGCCAACCAAGCATGCATTATGGAAGCATGCAAACTCCGGTGAGCGTGATCGATCAGCACCAACAATACCCTCCACAGACTGTATTCCCAACCCCACCACTGCAACAACATTCTTCACATCCAGAAACTCCGGATAATTACGAGCAAGACCAGTATGGACAACAAAATCTGGCAGATTTGCTCGGAGAGCTGAGAATGAATGAAGCTGGCACAGGTAGGAATTCTTGCGCATCTCCACTTACCCTATGCTTATATAGATTAGCTCCCTACTTGAATAATAGAAATAAGAACAAGACTCTGGTAGAGGAACCGGCATTTGAAGAGCTCGACGAGTACAAGCACGTCTTACCACCCACTCTGTCCGGTCCCGATCTCAAAGTAAGGATACCACCAGAGCTGATGCCAGATGACGAAACCACACTGCATTATTTCGACATGTACTTCATGAATGTTCATCCATATGTGCCTGTTTTGAACAAGGCACTTTTCTACCAACAATGGCATACAAACAGAGAGTCGATATCACCTCTCATTCTCGAAGCTATCTTTGCTATAGCGGGACGACTCGCAGATGAACCCTCACAGGGCCATCAATGGCTTGCTTTAGCATCGAGTAAGTCCACCAAACAAGCTTCATCTAACTAACTAACCACTTTCTAGAACATGCTGATTCGTTCATGGACGTTCCACGTTTGAGCACTTTGCAGGGAATGTTGATTGTCTTAAAAGCTCGAGAATCGGCCCCAAAGCGAGGCTACTACTTCAGATCCTGGATGACTGTTGTTCAATGTGTTCAAATGGCAAAAGACCTGGGACTGGATGAGCACTTTGAGGAACACAAAGCCGGAAGATCTTGTGGCTCTGATCTTGCTGATTGCATTACCAAAACTCGAATTTGGCAGACGATCTTTGTTTGTGAATTGATGATTGGGTCCCCACAAGGTAGGATACCATTATATTCTGACGTTATGTCTGTTGTTGTCGACGCTAACAATAAAAAGGCCGGACGGATTTAGCAGTAGACATGGAATCTTTGGATTTGAGCATACCCAGGACAGCTCTCGGGAACGACGAGACCGAATTTCATACTACGCGAAATTTTGCTTATTTCACCAGAGTCGTCCGAAATGTCAGGAGGATGAACAATGTTTATGCTCGGATAAAGAAGAAAAAGGAGTGGGGTATCGATCCCGATTTTGTGCAGTTGAACCCTTCATTCGAGTCTTGGATGAATGATTTGCCTGGGGACCTGCAACTCACCTTCCCTCCTGATGGATCGCCGCCCTGGTTGCCTTCTCACTTCATCGGAAATCTTCATTCATACTACTATCTCAGTATTATCATGCTTCACCGACCTCAACTCACGTTCATGGAACCAACAGGAATGGACGGGGGCTGGAAACACCATATGATGATCTGCTACTCGTCCGCAAAATTGCTCTGTAGGTTGCAGGAGGCCATATTGCAGTCTTTCGGCATGACAGGTCTTCTGTGCATGCAAAGGGGAATCAACTTCACAATATACTGTGTTTTGACATGCACAGTCCTCCATCTGGTAAGTAGAGGAAGACGGGGAGGCGTTTCGCAATACTAAATTAGATAGGTTGCACTCACATCACCAGACCCTGACCTGAACGCCGACGCTCGCGAATACTTCACCCGCCATATGAGAATACTTGAGAAATGCACCAGCTCCTGGCCAATGCCAGACATGCAACACCAGATCGATGCTCTCCGGGAAGCGTTCTCAGCTGATACTAGGAAGCCCTTCGTTCTCAAACCAACCTTCCCATATGGAAGTCCTGGAGCTCCATCTAGTGCTAGCCCACCACGAGCAAGTCAATATCGACAAGCAGTCACTCAATCATCTTCACACCAGCATATGGAGCAACAACATGCACCACAACAAGTCAGTTATACAGCCCACCCTATCTCACCGCCTATCTCAGCCGGAGGTGTGGACACGAAGAGTGACTCTCCTGCTGTACAGTCTCTGGTAATGATGGCCACTGGGCAACGTGGACCACAACCACCCATCGGTACAGGGGTTCCAATGTCCGATCCATCAGCTTGGAACCCCTCAAGGATTTTTAAGTAAGCTCGCTAAATTTCTCCTATCATTTCCGAGTACATAATTGACATATTTCTAGTCAGTGGAATTCCACGTTTGGTACGGCCCCTCCTCAAAGCACTTCTGCTCCCCAAGCCACTCCTCTAAAACTTGCCGTTTCAGGTGCACAAGAGATTCCCAGCTTACCGGAGCTCGAAAACTTACCGAATGTGAGTTTGCCGCCAAACTCACAAGCAATGCCTCCGCAGCAATATTCTGGAGCACCAATCCCATCCTTTGTTTCGCCAAGTATGTGGCAAGAGAGCGTGGCCAGTGTTTATGAGGGTGGGTTGAAGCGACAATGGGATTATGATGATCAAGGAATGGCATCGAAACGGCCGAGATGAATGAAAATGCGCCAAGTATGGATAAACGAGTTGGGATTTTCATGACGAATGATGATAGACGGGCATCTATTTATGGAACAGGTGCAAGGGCCTACTGGGCCCGGATGTCACGGCGGCTGTTATGCATCATTCCCGAGGGTCAGAGCTGGGATGAAACGAAACCGGGTCATTTCCAAAACAACAGCCGACGAATACGGATAATTGGATCTAAACCGTCTATTCGGGACGATTTGAACGATTGGGATCACGAAACAAAGGGCGAGGACTATGGGACCTGCACATGGAGAGCATACTTCACAAAGGCGTTCCTGTGAATATTCTAGGGCAATTTCTGGAGTTGGGGGATTTCTACAACAAGAAGGAAACGTGGGAACGCGAAATGATATAAACATCACTCGCGAAGACGGAGCATGTTACCGACATTTATACTGCACATACTTGGATTTTTCTCGTTGCCACACCCTTGCATCCGAGCCATTGCTGGGAGGTGTTTTGTTGAGTTGGAAAATAAATCTTCTTTTCGGGAAATGGGCAGGTTCTGGGATATATATGTACTTTTAGGTCGACTACAATGTCACGCTTCTATGGCTCTGTGATCTACGCCTCGTACCATCTCATCGCCTTTTCTAGCATTGCATCTCGTGGAGTGGATGTTAATGGATTGATCATATCTTCTCCTTTAAAAATACATGGTCCCGATGCCCCGAATATCGAACCTGTATCTGCATACTCTCCAACACCCTCTGCTTAACCTTCTTACTCGACCCTCCTCCCCCATCCCTAACCTCCGTCCCCACAAAAGCCCCATGCGTGCTCTCAAACTCATACCCCTTAAGCACATCCCACATGCCCGAAATCTCCTCCGGACTCAACGGTATCATATTGGGTATACTCCACATGAAACTATAGCTATTAATTCCCTCAGGCCTCTCTCCTCCGTCTTTACTCCAATCTCCTAGTCCGGCGGGGGTCGTGACCAACGTATCGGCGATTAGGAGACGGTTGTGAGCTAGCAGGACGAGGGAGCCCGGGAAGTGGCCGCCGAGTTTGAGAGCGTGGATGGAGGTTGATTGGGAGAGGATGTGGATTTCTTCGGTGCGGGAGTGGATGAATGTTCGGGAGGCGCCGAGGGGGTCGAGGCGGTTGAGCCATTGTTTGTCGTTCCAGGAGAGGTAGACGGGGCAGGAGAATGTTTGAGCCCATCTGGGGTTGTTAGCGGTTGGTCTGGGGTGAGGTGGTTGGATTTGAGTGAGTAGATAGTTTGGGGTTGTTGGTTTGCGAGATGAGGAAGGGGGAATAGTGGAATTTTGGACTCGAATTCGGAAGTACAGAAACATCCAGGGTGTGAAATATTGATAGCTAATCCCAAGAATTCAAATTTGTGAATGTCTGGTTTTGAAACCGAGACACTAGACAACTTGAAATGTCTAAGCTAATGCCCGACTATGAATAGGTTTTTGTAGCTCGGACATTCTTAAGAAGTGAATCTTTGAGGGCTGGCCAGATCATTTTCACTAGAAATGTTCCGAACTGCCTTGGGACTTCAAAACAGACTGCAACAGCAAAACAATAACAGACAATAGAAGCAAGAGAAATACTTACTCTAAATGCGTAGTATAATAATGAGGATGACTTATAACAATTGCGGCCAACCCTCCCATCCCATTAATCTTCTCGATGGTTTCCGCATCAAGAAATGATATGCAATCCCAAAGCACATTTCCCACCTCAGTCTTGATCAATACAGCTCTCTGCCCAATAGCAAATTTTGGTTCGGTCCATATACTCCAAAACCGCTCATCCTCATAAAAGGCCTTCCACTTATTCTTATACTCCCCTTTCTTCAGATCCCCTAGAGTGGTAAAGGCTTGCCCAGTAGGAGGAACGAATTGTCTAGGATCATCACATATCCGACACCGGGTTAACAGGGAAGGATTATCAACGTCGAACTGGGTGCCACAAGCAGTGCAGATCAACAGGTTATCGGTGTTGGAAGTCATTTCCCTAGCGGATGAATGGTTGTAACCATGTAAAGGCTCCTCGAACTCGTCTACGAACGGGAGGTTGAGCTTTGGTGTTGGGGCTGGTGTGGTTGAGAGGGGAGTCGATGATTTCGAGGTGGGGTGGGAGGGAGACGGCATTTTATAGAGACGGGGAAGATGAATGAGGGGTCGGATGCAAGATCCGCGAAAGCTTGGGGTCGTTGAGGAGGGATAGAGAGATAGGTGTGAGGTCACGAGGGGGAGAGAAACGTGATGTTAAGGTGGGATATTGATAAGAAGACGAGCTTGGCCCAAAGGGGGAGGTCGAGCCGTTATCGAGGGGTGCGGAACAAAGGCGTTCGTTCGTTGAAGCTTGACGAAAAAGAACTCACTTTAAAGCCTTCACTTTCCGAGCTGCACTTCGCTCCCCTTTTCTGTTTTGTCTTTTCTGATTAAATCTTCATAATCTGGAGCATTTTCGGTCATTATTTCGGCTCCTCAAGATGGTTTATCCCTTTGATTATTTCCAGCATCGTCGAGATTGGTATGTGGAAGCTACCCCGCGTTTTGTCTTATGTCTTCCGCGGGGAAAATGTTGGAGCTCGACACTGACATTCCTCGCAGCAAATTCAAGCAAACGGAACGTGCACAACGGATACAAACTCTCACAAGCTACCATGGCGCATTCACAACACCTGAACGACAAATTCTTGCAAAGCCAATTAAGGAATTGGTGCAAGATGTTCACAAGCAGGTCATCCAGCCTATCGATATTCTGCGTACCTATGGGAAAGCGGCACTGAAAGCACACGAGAAGACGAATGCTGTGACGGAAGTCATGATTGATGCTGCAGAAGTCTGGACGAAAGATGGAAGCATTAACTTTAAAGGACCACTTGCCGGGATCCCAATCAGTTTGAAAGACTCGATTGTGGTTGGCGGATTCGATACCACGGTGGGATATAGTTGCAACGTTGGCAACAAGGGAGAGAAGGATGGAACCATGGTCCGGATACTGAAGGATGCTGGTGCGATTCCTTATGTCAAAACTAACTTGCCCGTTACATTGCTCAGTTTTGAATCCACGAACGATGTCTGGGGTCGCTGCACGAATCCGCATAACAACAAGTATTCGCCGGGAGGATCAACAGGTGGTGAAGCTGCATTGATGGCTGCTGGTGGCGGAAGAATTGGAATTGGTTCAGATGTTGCTGGCAGTGTCCGGGCCCCGGCTCATTTCTCTGGTATTTACAGCTTGAGGTGCTCAACAGGACGATGGCCAAAGAATGGTATGGTTACTAGTATGCCTGGGCAGGAAGGCATCCCGAGCGTATTCAGTCCAATGACGAGGACCTTGGGGGATCTTTCGTACTTCACGAAGTCGATGATCAGTATGAAGCCTTGGAAGTACGACCACTCTGTCCATCCAATACCTTGGAGACCAGATGTGGTGAAGGAGTACGAAGAGAAGAAGACGCTCAGAATCGGTGTATTGAGGACTGATGGGGTAGTCGATCCTAGTCCTGCCTGTGCCAGAGCTGTTGATGAAGTTGTCACAGCTTTAAAGAAAGAAGGCCACGAGGTGGTTGACGTGGAACCACCATCTCCTTATGAAGCACTATACATTGCTTCCCAACTTCTCAATGCAGATGGCTGCAAGACTTTCAAGTCATTCTTTAGAGCGGGAGAGTGGGAGGACCCTGGTGCGAAACAGATGAGCTGGCTCATGTCTCTGCCCAGCCCTATCAAGTACGTCTATTATCTCTGGGTCAAATATATTCGGAGAGATGAGGTATGGGCTGGGCTCATCAAAGACTGGAAGCCGAAGTCTGCTTACGAACAATGGAAATTTGTTACAAAGAGGGAAGCATACAAGGCAAAGTTTCATGATTGGTGGGAGCAAGAAGCAAAGATCGATATTATGATCACGCCTCCGAATGCTACTCCTGCTGTAAGTTTCAAGTTCTGAAAACACCCCAACTTTGCCGTCGTCCACAACTTAGGAAACAGGTAGACTAATCTCGTTTGATCATCAGGTACCTCATGATGGTATGAAAGATGCCGTAAGTAGCTGTGGCTACACCTTCCTCTTTAACCTTGTAAGTAGTGATACGTATTCCTCATATCTAAAAGGGAAGCTGACTAGAGGTAAGCTCGACTATACATGTGGGATCATGCCAATCACACACGTCGACAAAACACTTGATCAACTTCCTTCGGAATTTGACTTCAAGAAGTTAAATGGCGTAGCTCAAGGAGCATACAAGCTGTACGATGCGATAGCTATGCATGGGCTTCCGGTCGCGGTACAGGTAGTGGGGCAACGCTTAGAAGAGGAGAAAATCCTAGCTGTCATGCAGAGGATAGAGGATGCACTGGGCGATGACAAATATCAATTGATGGAGATCGATTAAGGAAATATGCAAAGCTGGGGCGTATGGGACACAAGTAGGTCTCATAGCAAAAGTCGTTTTTAGATAATGCCTAAGGAGTCCTGGCTCTCTCATTACGTGTGAAATGCCTTCCCCCTATCTCGCTTCTTGCCAACCTAGTTTGGGGGTATCTGATGTCCAATCACTTTCAGCCGATTGCGGAAGGGGTTATATCACCCACGTTTCCGGACTTATCTTGCATCGTCAAGAAACAGGATGAAGGTGCTTTATTACACATGTACGTGTGTTTGTTGTAAAGAGGGGCATATATCAAGTACGAGCTCCGAAATCGGAAGCGAGTCTTGCTATCCTCCCCCTTTCCCCATTTACAAGAGGTCATATATACACCAAATCAACAACACAGCTTCAATACCCGACAATTAAAATTTGTGTAAAGATGACAGTCCCAGAAAAAGATCATTGGTCTTCACAGGTATGCGATGCTTATGCTACGACGGAGTGTGCTTGGATTTAAATAAGAGACTAACATCCCACTTAGGCATACCAGAATTCAGCTTCTTTTGTGCCGAAATTAGCGACCAAGGTTCTTCAGTGGTTAGATGTTCAAAAAGATGATATAATCCTGGATGTGGGCTGCGGTGGTATGCCGTTCCTTTCTTCCCTTTGAATGTTTGCTTTGGGTTGGTATAGCTAGCGAGCCGGGACTGTTAGTACAGCTCTCTGGTATACTTTCCTACACGGATACCTGAAAGTCCACATACCATTGTCATTTTCTCGGATCAACGCTCAGCTATTGAAGAGCTCATTAATAACAAAAAAATAGATGGAGTCCTCAACCTCCAAATCGCCCAAACTCTTGCCCAAGGCACAGGCAAAATTCATGGCGTCGACTCTTCCGCATCTATGATCTCCACCGCTCAGAAAGCAGCCTCTGCAGATCCAGCGGCTTCCAAAACCTGTACATTCGAAGTTATCGACGCCACTGCTCTCCTCTCAGAGCCAGAACTCCAACAAGGCAGCTTCGACAAAACCTTCAGCAACGCAGCCATGCACTGGATCCTGCGTCCCGAATCCAAGCGCAAGCACTTCTTTCTTGGAGTTCGTAACTCCCTTAGATCGGGAGGCAACTTTGTCTTTGAGATGGGGGGAATGGGCAACGTTGCTGAAATGCGGACAGCGCTCCTCTCAGTCATCGGTCGAAGGGTTGGCCTGGAAAAAGTGAGAGAGATTGATCCTTGGTTCTTCCCGGACGAGATTTGGATGACGAAGATGTTGGAAGAGGAGGTTGGAGGTTGGAAGGTGGAGAGAATAGAGAGGGAATATAGACCTACGAAAGCCGACCAGGGAGGTATTGAGGGTTGGGTGAGATTGATGGGGAAGCAGTTTTTTGACGCGGTTGGTGACGGAGAGGAGAGGCTGGAGTGTGAGAGGGAAGTTTGTGAAGTTTTGAAAACGGTTTGTGAGAGTCCCGGAGGCGGAGAATGGATTGGGTATGTGAGGTTGAGGGCCGTGGTTAAGAAGCTTTGAGCAGGAGTACAAACTTAGCTTATGCATGATGACTTATTCTAGAGCACCATCACCTCGGAAGCTTACAATTCAACTGAATTTTAAGATCCCAGCTCAATGTTCTTTTGACATTATGACCCCAAGATCCGTTCATACTCGAAATGTGGGCTAGACATTCAGGCTTCCAGCGAAAGCGACAGCACAAGTTTTCGAAATCGTCAGTGTGCTACCCCTTTTCAATTCTCTATTAGGTGAGCGAAACTTCCTGAATGTTGACTCTTTTGGTGCATTTTATGGTCGGTGTTAAACAATATTCTATGAGCGATGCTGCACTTATTGTACCCCTCCTCACTACCCCGCAATATCGCGCTGATCTTTATCCATCCCCCACTCTATGAAAGCAACTCAACCGCACATTTTACCACCACTTCTTACTTTTCAAGCGGTAGTTATAGTGATCGCCTGTTACGTTTCATTTAACCTCAATGCGAAATGCTTTTACTAGGTACACATTGTCCCGAGAATGCTGGAATTCTCCGATCATGGTCATCACTCTTGGCATGACTATATAAAGTCATGTCATGGTTGAAGCAAGTGCTTCCAGAGAAATGGACATATCTCTTAAAATCAGCCATGCAGCTCCGCATATTCTCTCCGTTGATCTTGCTTCCATTGGCACAATCACAAGCAGTGTTTAATCCCAAAAATGTTGACGATGGCTTCTCTGGTACGAACCCTTCTGTACCTCTGGATCTGTCAAGCCTGTTCAATAATCGAGGATTTGCGATGAGTCCCAATGACTCAAATCTTGACGGTGATGGAACGGGATATCCTGCTCAGTCCTTACCTCCACCAAACTTCGTTTACAATGGCATCAATTTCACGTTTCCACAATACAAGTCTGCTGGAGATGACAATGTCCTTGCATTGGGACAGACAATTCAGATACCACAAGGCCGATATTTCAGTGTACAAATGCTAGCAGCATGCGAGAATGGACTGGCATCTGGTTTCATCAATGCAACGTATAGCGACAATTCGACTTCCTCGTCTCCAGTTCTCGTTCCTGCCTATTACAACTGGCCGTACCCCGCCGGAGGAGATATCATTTTGCCATATTACTATACCAACACGAGTATCAACTATAATAGATCAATGATCTATCAAACGATCAATTGGCTTGATTCGACGAAAGAGTTGGTCTCGATCACGCTGCCGAATGTAACGGCGGGCTCGAATTCTGGTCCTGGAGGAGCGGCGGTGAAAACGAGACTGCATTTATTTTCCGTGTCAATGTTGCCAGCTGCAGGCTCGAACATTGATTTGCAAGCCCAATATGCTCGATCTACCCAACTTTGGCTTCCTGGTACCAACAAGACTCAGATTGTTGAAGTCATTATCAATAATGTGGGTTCGGAGTGGGTTCTGGCCAATAATAGTGTTCAAGTTTCTGTCTCATCACCTGGTCTTGAGACTGTAGCTCCGGGATATATCAAGAGACTTCAGCCAGGCGATCAAGCGAGAGTCCAGGTTGGAGTTGTGAATGCTGATGGTGTTGCTGCCGGCTCGTCTGGGAGTGCTACTGTGGTCATTACTGGTGTGGGTGTGAATTCGTCCTATACGTTCAATGCTACATATGGTGTTGTGCCATATCAGGCAACATATGAGTCAGTTTACTCTCATGAAACCCCGAATTGGTACAACGACGCTAAGTATGGAATTTTCATTCATTGGGTAAGTCATAGCAAAATTGCTGGCTATACTGTATAAATACTAAGGGGACCAGGGAGTGTATTCTGTACCTGGTTGGGGAAATGTTGAAAAGAATGAAACTTATGCGGAATGGTAGATTTTCCACTTCTCTTGGGGAGCTCAAACACCACTAATTAATCATAGGTACTGGTATGACATGAATCTAGGCCCAGATACACCAGAAGAAACATACCAATACAATCTCGCTACTTACGGCCCGAATCACGTCTACGATGACTTCATCCAAAATTTCTCAGCATCAGTCTTTGATCCCAAAGAATGGGTAGACCTGTTCGCTGATGCAGGTGCCAACTATTTTGTACAAGTATCGAAGCATCACGACGGCTATGCACTCTTCGACTTGCCAGCAAACGTTAGCCAGCGGACTTCCGTTGCTCAATACCCTCACAGAAATCTTCTCCAAGAGCTCTTTGACGCGGCCGCCCAGTACCAACCTCAACTTCATCGTGCGACTTACTTCTCGCTTCCGGAATGGTTTAATCCTGCTTACAAAGAATATGGCTTCGGATCTTGGCCAGGAGGAAATGCAACGAATCCGTACACCAACAAGACTCTCCCTTATACTGGCTTTGTCGAAGTAAATGATTACGTCCCTGACGTGATTCTTCCTGAGATGAACGCGCTCGCAGACATGGGGACGGAAATCATGTGGTGCGATATTGGAGGACCGAATCTAACAGCAGAATTCGCAAGTGCGTGGTTCAACAAGGCAGCAGAGAGCGGGAGACAAGTTGTGATGGACAATAGATGCGGATTACCTGGAGACTTCGACACACCGGAATATGCTCGATATGACGCTATTCAAGTGCGCAAATGGGAGGTAAAGCAAGCTCCACCCCAATTCTGAGCCCTTCCCTTCTAAACTTAAGTTTGCCATCCCGAATTCGAGTCCAAGATTGTCTGCTTTGGACTCGCTTAGCATTGCCCCCCTTTCTCTCCATCGTAAGCGAGAAACTGACAACATAAACAGTCAAACCTAGGCATGGACCCTTTCTCCTATGGCTACAACCGTGCCACCCCAACAGCTTCATATATGAATGCCTCTGCCATAGTAACTTCGCTTCTGGACATTGTTTCCAAAAACGGAAACTTCCTCCTCGATATAGGCCCCACTGCCAACGGAACAATCATTCCCATCGAAGCCGCTAATTTGCGCGAAGCAGGAGTCTGGATAAAAGACCATGGAGAAGCTATTTTTAATACGAGTTATTGGTTTATTACTCCAGAGGAAAATGGAGAAGGGAAAGACTTGAGGTTCACGCAGACAGCGGAGGCGTTTTATATTTGTAGTTTGGTGGAGCCCGGGAGTAGTTTGGTGAATGACAGTCCTGTTCCTTGGGTTGAGGGCGATGAGGTAGTTGTTGTGGGTGGTAATAGTAGTGGGGTGGTCGTGCCAAGCAGTAAGGCGGCAAATGGGAGTTTGGTGTTGGATTTGAGCGAGAGTGTGAGGGGCGGAGAGACTTATGCTTGGGTTTTCAAGATTGGGTATGGTGGGAATCTGACGGGATCGAATAGCACTGGTCCGGGAAGTGTTCCAACTTCTGCGGCGGGAAAGGCGGAGGATATTGTGAAGGGAGCTGTATTTGCTTTGCTGCTCACTTTAGTGATCGGCCTGGTATTGTAGATTCAAAGAAAGATATGATTCCTTTGATAGTGAAAACGGAGTCACTTCACCAATGTACGTCGATTTTTCTATGGTTAATTCACTGGAATCTTAATTCACAATTGAGATTTACTTAGCCCACTTGTGTTGCCCCACAGATTCTGGAACCAAATTATCTTGTATTTCGATGTTCATGGTATACTGACATCACTCGTGGTATAGAACTTGAATAGATTCACTGGGTGAAGTGAGTGAGTTGTATTGCTCAAGTCTTTTGCCTTAGGACCATAAAGATTCAACTTTGAGCAAAAAAATTTATTCACTCAACCATCAAGCCCACAATTGCAAGCAGCCTTGTGACTCATATCTCGGCTGGACTTGCCTATATAAACCCCCACCTTGCCTCCTCAACTTCTTCAAACAAATAATGGACACGGTTCCTTGCTGAACCACGGGTTTGAGGTATCCAGGTACGGTCGGCTACAGCAAATCAAGTGCTGTTCTGCAGCAGTTTTGGCCGTTGCGACGGCGTTTGTCTGCTGCGGATGCTTGTTATCGTTTCGGGATATTATTTTCACCGTTAAAGAATTTTCTGCTGTCAAGTGGATTTTACTGTCAATGGCTTGTTCATTGTCACGTTGAGTGAACGGACAGAGCTTCTGAGTGCATGAAGGAAACAGACTTTGGGAATCAGGAACTAAGATTATAGCAGCCACAATCATGGTCTGACAATGCTTGAAGCACAAGGATGACAGACGAATTTTGACCAAATAATTCTGAGAGCATACAAACAATTCAAGCTGTAACACTTTCTGTTTTGACCATGCTATAATGTCAAGAAGCTGACTGGAGAATGAAGCAGTAGCACTTGCCAGATATAGTCTGAAAGTGATTACTCTGCATTTCACACATACTTTTATCTTTCTCTCTTCCTCCTTCAAGAAATGCAACGTTCGGTGAAAATTTGTCTCCATGCGGAAAGTACTGGTAGGTGACTTGCGAATCACGTTCATAGGACAAACAGCTGGACACCTGCACCTCGTCTTCAATAAATAGGAAGTCGAGGCTTAGAAAAGCATCTCAGAGTTGAAAAGAAAATTGCCAGACTATAATGAATGTGCTTTACTACTCCGGGGCCGGACCGGATCTCGAAAAGCTCGCTTGACATCCTCGCTTCCCCACATAAAAAATACCTTCTGCAAGCCAACCAACCAGGTCAATCTGACCCAAAAAAAAGAAAAATTGCAAAAAAAGCATTCGAAGTTCATCATGAACTCGGGAATTGAGCCCGAGGCTGAGAGCTATATTAGTTTTATGATTTAATCATGTAGAGCTGTATAACATACCGGGGCTCGCTACACAGATTATTAGCTTGGGAAATCTTTGATTCTTTGAGAGATTCTACTTACAACCCGCGACCTTGAGGTTATCTTAATTAAGAGCCACATGCTCTACCGATTGAGCTACCCGGGCTTCGGGTGTTGGATAGCAAAACATATGCTTAATCAAATACATACGGCTTGTTTCGTGGTTGGTTGCTTCGTTTGTCCTCGCTTGAGGAAGAAATTTTCTTCCCGAAGTGGGTTTTTTTTCTTTGACTCATGCCCAAGCACCTGCTGCTACTATTGCTTAATTACTGACTTTCATTGACCACTTTATCTAGGAAGCTACCTAGGATCGTGTATCTCTTTGCTGTACACAGCAGCTATTTCTCCTCCCATGCCATAAAAAGTGATGCCATGCCATTCATTACATACGTACGCACTTTCCTTGCAAAGACGTGAATAAACTCCCAAAATCGCTCTCCGCGCTCGACCTCATCTCAGTAGTTGCTCGATTGCGCCCTGCACACTTCCGCCGCTTCGCCTCAGTGCCTCCACGTTTCGGTCAAAATCAAAGAAACCCATATCATTCAATTGTCTCAATTGATCTGCGTATCGTTCTTCGGGTGGTCTGTTGTCCACAGGTGCAGGCGGACTAGCAGGACCTCCTCCAAAAGGGCTTCCACCGCCAAATATGTTACCCATTTGACCACTGTTGATCATCTGCATAGCTTGTTGCATCATTTCGGGAGTCATAGGTGGCATGCCTGGAATTCCAAAAGGATTTGCGTTCTGACCACCAGCTGCGGCTCCAGCGCCTGCTTGGCCAAAAAGGCTAGCGAAAGGGTTTGCTGCTGCATTCGGGTCGTTGGCGGTTGGTGAGCGAGGTGTTGCTTGACCAGCAGAAGCAGGTGCAGGAGGGGTTTGTACAGGAGTTTGACCTGCTGCCGCAGGTGGCATATTCCAGTATTGTGCCCAGGGAACGCCACGTGCGGGAATAGCACCATGGCGACCGAGACCACCCATGGCGAAAGGATTGAAAGGAGTTGTGTTTGCTTGATTGGGGTTCGGGTTACTCGCAGCAGCTCCGGTCGGTGTTGTGTCTGTCGCACCTGGTGCTGGGAATGCATTCGCTCCACCACCGCCTTCCATCATTCTTCTCATCGCAGAAGCGTGTCGGAGTGCTTCTGGGTTGCTTAGCATGCGCCTGAATTCTGGTGAGTTGATCATCTCTCTTGCTTGGGGGTTGTCTCGTAGGCCGGGGATCGAGTTGATCATCATATCAACCAATGCGGGGTTCTGCAGAGCTTCGTGCATAGTTTGTTGCACGTTTGGATCCTCCAGCATGGCTGCGACTTGCTCTTCGTTGGGAGGTGCACCCATCTATCATATGTTAGCATCTTCTCTCGAGGCATAAAGATTTTAACTTACCCCACCATCTACGCCAAACATGTCCATGTTGGGCAAGTTAAGGTGTCCAGCATAACGAGCACCAGTCAATCCAGCCAAAGGGTTATTTGCAGTGCCAGCAGCCATGTTCGTAGGTACACCAGCCGCCGCACTTGAAGTGCCGCTTGATGAAGATGCTCCGCCAGGAGGCTTTTGTGATTCGTTCGACGCAGCATTCTTGACCATATGAACTGTGTTGCCCGGCTTGATGTTGCAACTCTTTACAGTCTGATCATCCTTCATCACTCTGCCCGAGTAGATCAAGCGCATCTTGTGAGCGGGCACATTTGCCTTGTCTTCCGCAGAGAGTTGGTTCTTGATATCGAGTACTGTGGATGCCTCACTGATGGTAATCGTGTATTTGCCATCAGTACTCTTGACATTGAAGCTGACTTGAGGGTCGCCCTCGACAGCCGTCTCCTCTGAAGCCATCTCGGTGGCCTTCGACGATCAGAGTGATGAGATCTCTGGTATGTACAGTACAGGGAGGGAGAGGACGGGGTGCGCCACGAGGCGTCGAACTGCTGATCGAGATTGTTGTCTTGAGGGATGTTCTACTAGAAGGCGTCGAGGTGTGGATTGATATCGGTCGTGAGATAGTCGATAGTGACGTTCGGAGCCTGGTCGCTACAAGGGTCCGATTGACAGGACAAGGAAACGAGATTTTTGGGCGCAAAGTAGGTGAAGATGACAGACTCGATAACGTGTGGAGTGATTTCAATCTCGTGCGTTCAACTAATTTAGGGATGGAATAGGAGAATGGGGTAGGTGAGAGCGAGAGAGCTAGCTAGCTTTGAGAATGACAAAGAGCAAACTCGCTGCTTGCTTCCATTTCTGTCTGTATCTTTCTTAAGCCACATCGCCCCGCAATTACAGCGACGACTATACACAACAATTGTTAGACTCGAGGAAAACCACAAAGTACAATCCCAACAGAACAATTGTATTACCTCTTCTGGACCAGTACTTCAGCTCGATAGGAAATGCACAGGAGCCATTCGCTGTTCCCTTGGAAATCATTGACAATGGACTGTCACACGTGACGGTGTTCTACCTGGACTGGAAAGCCTCGGCTTGTTCCCCGCGTATCTGATCCTAAGTTGAGTTTCCCTTCTTACACTGCTGCACGCTTTATTTATTTATTTCTCCTTCTTTCTTCACACTCATCAATCGAGATCACATCTTTCACAATGCGTGGAATTCAGATCAAAGAATACGTCGAGGTCAGCACAACACAACACTCACCTACTCCCTCCCCCACTGATACTAACATTCGTCAAGGGCCCATCAGATCTCAAGGTAACATCACTTCCCGACCCAACACCGGCTCGAGACCAGTACACGATTGGCATCCACGCCTCTGCGACCAACTTCTTCGACCTCCTCCAAATTGCCGGCAAGTACCAACACCAACCGCCTCTCCCCTGGGTCTCCGGCTCCGAGTTCGCGGGCGTAATCCTCGCCGTGCCTTCTGCTCTTCCCAACAATCGGACTCCCAAGTACAAAGTAGGGGACAAAGTCTTTGGGGCTTCACAAGGAGGATATGCTACGAAAGTCTGTGCAAGAGAAGAGGCCTTGAAGCCCGTTCCTAAAGGATGGAGTTTCTTCGAAGCAGCTGGTCTGTTCGTTACTGCACCCACAAGTTACGGTGCTTTGGTCACTAGAGCTGGAGTTAAGAAGGGAGATTGGGTACTAGTACATGCTGCGGCGGGAGGAGTTGGGTTGGCTGCTGTGCAGATTGCGAAAGCGTTTGGAGCGACAGTTATTGCGACTGCGGGGACGCAACATAAGCTTGATGTTGCAAAGAGCTTTGGTGCTGATTATGGGATCAACTATGGGGAAGCCAATTGGCCTGATCAGGTCAAGAAGTTGACTCCCAAGGGGAGAGGTGTGGATATCGTTTATGATCCCGTCGGTATGATCGACAAAAGCACCAAGTGCATTCGATGGAATGGGCGACTTCTAGTTGTGGGCTTTGCAGCGGGAAGTATCGAGAAAGTGGCGATGAATAAGGTTCTCTTGAAGAACATAAGCATTGTTGGCATCCACTGGGGTGCATATGCAACCAATGAACCGGAGCAGATCGAGCCTGTGTGGAACGGTATCTTCAAACTGATTGACGAGGGCAAGTTTCGAGGGACTGTGTTCACAGACAAAGAATTCGTCGGATTGGAGAGTGTGCCCGAAGCATTAAAATCACTCGGCAGTCGAGGGACATGGGGAAAGGTCGTAGTCAAGGTTCCTCAGGAAGGGCAGAGCAAATTATAGGATAGGGGTTAGCTTGTAAGAAACGATTGAAGTTACATCATCACACGAATTCGGCTAGAAAGCGGTTTCAAGGGGTTTAAAGGTCCTGTGGTTATTCTTCGCCAGACGACACTACAAAATATACGCGGTAAAAAACCCATACCAACATCTTCAAAATATACACCCGCTCGCCGAAATGCGTCAGAAGATCTCTTTTTTCTTTCCTGAATTACTGGTCCAGCAAGAAAAATAGGGGCCTGTGGCATGTGCCTAGAAATGTTCTTTCCAGAATGAGAAGTTGACTTCGCGAGTTGCGGCCTTCTTGGTTGCCTTCTTAATCTCTCTCGCTGCTACATTGGGTCCTATTTTCATGTTAGATAGCTGTATTATAGACGGCTTCGAATGTAAAGACTTACCACAGAAGTAAACACCGATATTCGTTCTCATTGAACCTTCCAAACCGTTGATGTACGTCCGGTCCAAAATTCCATCTCTCATTCCCTGGAACAAACGTAAGAAGTCAGGGCGTCCAAAGTTTGTCCGGGACTTCAGTTCGGTGAGAGGATCTAATGTGGAACCGACACTGTTCAAGACAATGTTCTGTGTGGTATCGAGATCCAACTTTTGAGTGAGATAAGTGTGGATCTTCAAGAACTCATTCCCGTTGTTTGCCCCTCTGTTAGCAGCTTCTTGACTTTGTGCTTCAAGAGATGAGAGCAGGACTTGGAACCATTCGAAGGAAGTAGTGTCTTTGCAGACCCAGATGAATTCGACACGGCGGAGACGAGTGGGTGGGTTGGGGCTATTGCGCATGTGCCAGATGTTCTTGAGAATAGCAGCCCAAGGAGTAACACCGATACCAGTTCCGATGAGAACAGCAATTTCATTGTCGAAGACGTCTTCGGCGGGAGCTCCATATGGACCGTCGATCTTGAGTTCTGGCATAGTCTGTCCGTTTTGAAGAGCGACTTCGTACATGCCCATCGGGTCAACGTTGTCATAGAGTTTGGATTGAGCAGGTCCGGCTCCCAAAGCATCACCAAGTGCTCGGGTGAAGTCTCCGACTTGACGGACGTGAACCGAGATATAGGGATCGAATGGGCAAGAAGTGATGGTAAATGGATGCCATTGTTGCTTGGACACGGAGGGTACTTGCAGGAAGAGCCATTGACCCGCCTTGTACTTCATCGACGGCTTTACAAATTGGATCTCCATAGCATCTTTTCATGGTCAGCTGATTTTCGACTGAGACAAAGCGCACAACTTACCATATGGATGACGAACGACTTTCACGATTTTAGTATCGCGTCTAGATCTGATTTCACGATAAAGTCGCTCCATCAAATAAAGTCCACCTCCCCACAGCTCCCAGCGCCATCCCTCATAACCAATGCAGTGAACCCAGAATTGTTCTCCAGCGAATGGTGAGAGTGGTAGCGTAGAATCACGAACGAAGCAGCCAGTGGCGTGGGTGTAAAGACCGAGCATGAAGGGGATGAAAAGATGGTGAGTGTACCAAAAGGTCTCGAATGACTGTTGACGGATCTTGGCATGAGCGGTGGTGTACATGAGCAGCATGCAAAGCAGCATCATGTGACCAGTTATACCACCAGCTTCAGTGTAATGGATCTGTAAAGCCGTAACTGGTCGAATCTGAGTCTTCTCCACATTGAAGAAGCTGTGAGAGGAGATGTTAGTTTAGTCTTTGACTTTCAAATGTGGGAACTGACTTGACATAGTGAGCAAGGGTGTGGAGACACGTGTAGAACAGCATGGAGTAAGCCACCTGTCTGTGGAACCAGATCGACTCATCGAGAGGCAGAAACTTTATCTTCGGCCTGATCCATCTCATCAAGTTACGGCACATTGGTAACAAGATCATCGCGCCATCCACCGACAAAACAAGACCAGCACCACGAGATATCCAGACTGAGAATGTTAACATGTTCAAGCCTGCAAGTCTTGGATCATCTTGTTGTTTTTTCCTGTAGTGATTATCAGCAATGGAATCTCAGCACAACTGCAACTGCATACCATCCTAAAACGAAGAGGCCGATGTGGAAGCCATGGAAGAGCACGTTGAACAACAACTTCGTCCCCGTCGCCTGCGTCTTAACTGTGTCCACGAAACCCATGATGATGATATCTATACACCTCCCCAAGAAATATTAAATGTCGACCAGCGACGGTACTGCTTTGAAGACGCAGTCGTCGATATGAATTGGGCAGCCGCGGAACGAGTGACGGTGCCTTTCGAAATCGCACGCTCGAGTATTAAAGCTTCTATCCACGCCGCTGTACTGAAAAGGAATGAACGACCACCACCAAGAAGAGAATGTCTGAACCAGCAGGAGCGGTAGATATGGAAGGTTGAAGGTGAAAAGCTTGTTTTCTACCTGGCCGCACAGTAGGAGAAGAAGAGCGATCCAGGGGTTGGGGAGGGAGAGGATGATAAAAGGTTCGTACGAGAAATCGTCCCGTTCGTTCGACCTGGGTCCTTAACCACTACCGTGGTGGTTTGGAGCTCGTGCGGCGTTCTATGCGGGGGCAGCGAGCAATGAAATCGGATCCCAATAATCCCATGAAACCAGACAGGCTCTTCTCACTGGTGCAGCGAGGGGTGTCGTCTTTCGCTTAGGGCTGTCACGGCCACTAATGACATGCCATCTGAGGATTCTGCGCTGGATTAGGGGAGGAGTGTTGAGATCTCACAGGCGTAGTGAAGATCAGACGTAGCAGACGGTTTCGTGAGCCAGATAGCCCAGTATCAGATCAATCCGATATCAGATAAAGACGGCGGATGTGCGGTGACGGGACGCAAGTGATCGTTTCGCAGGGGACTTCAGCCGTGTCAAAAAAGCTTGGCGGCGAGTACGGGCAGTGTGAGACGTGCTGTGTTCCAGAGGCTCGGACGCATTGACAACCGGTCCGCCTGTGAATCTTATCTGATGTTTAGGCTTTCGAAAAGAGTCTGCAGAGAGCGGCTAGAACCTGAAGAATCATACGATGCAAATCATCGTACGATTTCTGAGTCGATGAGGTTATAAGATGGGCAGATTCCAGCAGAGAAGTGCTTGAGATTTTTGATCTCTCTGTTGACGGGAGCTGGCAGGTTCAAATAACCTATCGCACCTCCGAAAGAAGCCTCGCTAAGCCGGCGCTTCGCCTGGCAGAAGATTCGCCCACCGCCCTTCTCGTCACCTCAGTCACGGCACGCTCGCTCGCTCTGTGATGCACCCTGGCCTCCCCCTGAGAGTCGAGAGTCGAGAGTCGAGATCCGAACCAGTCGCCCGCACCACGCGTGAAGTCCTTAATGCACGAGCTTCATCGCCAGGAACTACAGCAACATCCGCTCTCCTCCCACGGTCTGAGTTCCCGTGGAGGCATCGCGCAGAGGGTTGGACACACGAGGGTGGTAGTGATGGGCGCTATGTCGTCTCAAGTCCATCTGACGAGACGACACAGACTTGAGGAAACCGGTTCGAAGCCAGGACTCCAATTTGATGGTCCCCAGGGCTATTCTCAGATCTGAGATAATTGTCTCTCCATTCATTCCCATTTTCCATGGCCTGTCGGGTCCCTCAGGACGGCCGCTGATTTCGATCGTGAGCCGCGAGATCTGGTTCCTGCCGTCTGGGAAGTCCTTGGATAAGGCGGATTCTCTTCTTCCTTCATTCTTCAATTTCTTCAGCCAATGAAGGTTTATTTTTAGTTATGAAACTTTTGAGACCCGGCGTCAAGTATGCTTATTGGCTGGTAGGGAGATCGGCAACTTATTTTCACACTCCAAAGAGTGGGGATATGCAAGCGCTCCAGCCACATCATAAACGTCTCTCTGCATCCACCCAATTGTAAATCGTCTCCGCAACGGCATGGTTTTCCGGTCACAAAAATCGCATTCGTTAATCAGATGGAAACACTGATGCCATGAAGGATCGAGTCAAGTTGTCTCTCACAACACTCGATTCAGTGCGCTCGTCCTGTCAATGGCTCCATTCGTGTTACAGGTCCCTGTGGTCAAGTGGCAGTGGCGGCGTATGAGACATTTGGCATAGTGGAGATCAATCTTCAGCCTCCTCAGGCTTGATGTACCCTACACACGTGATGGATGACGGCTTCTCTGGCTCGCTCGGTGATGTGCAATCCGGGCGTGGTTGTGAGACTGAAAGCGCATTAAAGATGGACGAAATCTTGGTTGTTCTGCCTGTTGCTCCTACTCCAATCAGCGGTACCGATCGACCATCCGGTCTCAGAATCCATAATCCCAGTAGAGAATGTTTCGTAAAATCTTGTGGATACTACGTTGAGCTTATGGCAACCGTCTTTTGCCCAATGCCTGGTGACCCTGAACTTCAGCAAGTCCATTTAGGAGTAAGTATATAAAACACAATGACCAAAGCAATGACCAAGCGAGCCCTGGATATAGATTTGATCATCACCTTGAGTTAGAGCCTCCTAATACGAGGAATGAAAATGTTGTGATAAGTACAATATGGTATAGATCAAGGACGTACGGCCAGCATAAGCTGGAACTGGCCATGGATGTTGTATCTCACGCCTGTGAATAATTTGATGAAGCAAATGAGAAAGATTGTGAACTTGGAATTTTGTTAGGCATTGACAAAGAAGTGTTGAGAAGGGGGGGCCGTCCTGTCATTCAAAGATCAGTTCATCCTGGGACAAACATTCTCCCTCTGAAGTTGCTGTAGATGCGGTTGTAGATGGTAGATGTTAATTCTCGTCGTGTGAAAGATGCTTAAATCTCCTGGATTGCTAGAACACCATAGGCTGAACTGTTTATCAACTAGAGTACTTACAATCAACATATCGAGCTACTCATGCAGCTCTCATCCAATATTATCATAAATTCCAAGCATGTGGTGTGATTTCCATCGTTTGGTTCCTGACAGACTAAACATCTTGGCCATAGAATTTACTGCACATAATATGAACGGGAAAATGGCTCCGCACAAGATACCTTAAGTAAAGTACCTACGATTCCAACACCTGAATACGAATTTAGATCAAGAAATCAAATCATAAGAGATTCTGTGCTAGCGGGACTCAATGTCTTGCAGAGCCAAGCTCTTGTGAGCGTCCCAAGAGCGGACTCGATTGGCCTTGGAAGTTTCGACGGCAGATATGGTCCTCAGAACAAGACAACAGGACTGTTAGGCAAGGCTTAGGTGCAATTATGAAGGTTAAGACCGTTGAACCGCAAGTTGCCAGACACTTCTGGTAGCCTAGGCATTCTAAATGACATGAACAGTTTGGAATCAAAAGCACAAGCACTAACAACTTCCCACTCAATGCTAACCCAGGGGAGAGACGAGAAGACGACAAGATAGGAACAAAGATAGCACCTTATATACCATACTTTGAGACACCAAATTTGTTCAACAGTCTGCCGCATTGTCAGTCGCAACCTCCAACACTTGTGGAGACGTCTACTTGTTGCTAGTTCAGAAGACACAGAAAGTTTCCAAGCCAGAACAATTCCACTGCAGAATTTGAGTAGAACAATACTGTTGGCAGAATCCTTCTTGACGATCCGTATCGGTATGTGCTTCACCTGCTTCAATGACTTTGAATCGGCTCTTAGGAGCAATGTCCAGACTTTCTTCAATCATGACCACAACGCGCAGTGGAGGCCGTGAGCTGTGAGGTCCAGAGAGCGATATTGTATTTGGACATAGTCCACGCAACGTCAATAGAAGGACGGATGACGGCATGGAGAGATGGCACATTGTTGAACAATGTGCGCTTTTGAATGTACAAGGAAGAGCTCGCGCTTTAAGGTCGTCATCCTGTGTTCTTAGGAATCCAGCGTCTCTGCATCAAAGATTAGTTGGGCGATCTTTGTAGCAGTTTGTAATTCCGTATCGCCTTGTAAACGTGCAGCCGATGTGCGGCGGATGATAATTCCAGTAGATGCAGCAGTATATCTGCAGAGCTGACAAGTATTCAGGGTCGGTGGTGGCGGAGACTGAAAAAGGTATTGTGGGAGTGCGAACGCGACGAGGCTGAGTTTCGCCCAGTTGCGTCAGCTTGCTTCGAAGAAAGTTGGTGCCTTTAACCAACCCCACGGCAGCCGAAGCGATCTTGAACCTCTAATAATTTAACTCCAGACTCAGAACCCTCGTCCCACCATAATCACCACTCCGATCTCTTGATGAGACATCATTATTCGCTCTACCCGTACATCGCTATATTTTCGTAGAATCAGGGACATCCCGCAAGCCGCCGGAATTCTGGACTTCGTTGGGTGCATCGTGAGGAAGTAGACAGAAACTTGGGAAGGGATCCACGATGGTAGGCGATCAAACGCATGCGAGTGCTCCATCTTTGGCAGATACTTATATAACTTTGTCTTCAGGGGATCAGTCGACGTCCGAAGGGAGATAAAGGTGGAAAGGCACAAGATGGTGGTCGTGCAGCGCCGTCCGGCAAGCCGAATATCAAGAAAGCCACATTCGACACAACCAAGAAGAAGGAAGTGGGAGTCTCCGATCTGACCTTGATCAGCAAGGTCTCAAATGAAGCTATCAATGAAAATTTGAAGAAGCGATTTGAGAATGCAGAAATATACGTAAGGGACATCAGATTCGGCAGAAACAATCAATGTTTCGAGGCACTGGAAGAGTGAGGAGTGCTGATATTGTGGCAGACATACATTGGACATGTGCTGGTATCGGTCAATCCCTTCCGGGATTGTAAGTCTAACGCTCTGCTGTTGTAAAGCTCTGCTAATGCCGTTTGCAGTGGGGATTTATACCGAACAAGTTCTAGACAGCTACAGAGGCAAGAATCGACTAGAGGTTGGAGAATGAACACCATGAATCTGGAAATAAAGCTTACCACTTATAGATGCCCCCTCACGTCTTTGCTGTAGCCGAATCTGCATACTATAACATGAATGCATACAAGGACAACCAGTGTGTCATTATCTCCGGAGAGTCGGGAGCGGGAAAGACGGAAGCTGCGAAGCGTATAATGCAATACATTGCAAATGTCTCAGGAGGCAGCAATTCTTCGATCCAGGAGACCAAGGACATGGTTTTGGCTACGAATCCTCTACTCGAATCTTTCGGTAACGCAAAGACACTTCGAAACAACAACTCGTCTAGATTTGGGAAATACTTGCAACTGCAGTTCAACGCCCAAGGAGAACCAGTTGGTGCGGATATCACAAACTACCTGCTAGAGAAGTCGCGAGTAGTGGGGCAGATCACAAATGAGCGAAACTTCCATATCTTCTACCAATTCACGAAAGGAGCCTCGAATACTTACCGACAATCCTACGGTATCCAACAGCCAAATACATATGCCTATACCAGTAAATCCAAATGTCTGGATGTGGAGGGTATTGATGATCTTGCTGATTGGAACGATACACTACAAGCCATGAAAACTATTGGTTTATCACAGGATGAGCAGGATGAAATCTTCAGAATGCTGGCTGCAGTGCTATGGACTGGTAATGTCACTTTCAAGGAAGATAAGGATGGTTATGCTGAAGTTGTGGACCAATCTGTGGTTGATTTCTTGGCCTACCTCCTTGAAGTTGATTCTGCAGAAGTCGTTAAGGCGATCACTATTCGGATCCTCACTCCACGAAACGGCGAAGTCATTGAGTCTCCTGCAAATCCTGCCCAGGCTATGGCTACCAGAGATGCTCTTGCAAAAGCTATCTACAATAACCTATTCGACTGGATTGTGGAGCGTGTCAACGTTTCATTGAAAGCTCGAGGCACGACAGCTAACTCGATTGGAATTCTTGATATCTATGGTTTTGAGATTTTCGAGAAGAACAGCTTCGAACAGCTGTGTATCAACTATGTCAACGAAAAGTTGCAACAGATCTTCATCCAGCTTACACTGAAGACCGAGCAAGAAGAATATGCCCGAGAACAGATTCAGTGGACACCAATCAAATATTTCGATAACAAGATTGTGTGTGATCTGATCGAATCAGTTAGACCACCCGGCGTATTCTCTGCTATGAAAGATGCAACCAAGACTGCCCACGCAGATCCCGCTGCTTGTGACAGGACTTTCATGCAAGCCATCAACGGAATGTCGAATCCTCACTTAACTCCTCGTCAAGGCAATTTCATTATCAAGCATTATGCTGGAGATGTGAGCTACACGGTTGATGGTATCACCGACAAGAACAAGGACCAACTTCTCAAAGGACTACTTAACATGTTTGGTCACAGTCAGAACCAATTCCTACATTCACTTTTCCCTCACGAAGTGGATCAAGACAACCGTAAACAACCACCTTCGGCTGGTGACAAGATCAAGGCATCTGCAAATGATCTGGTTGCGACGCTCATGAAGGCACAACCTTCATACATTCGAACCATTAAACCCAATGAGAACAAGTCTCCAACAGAGTATAACGTGCCTAATGTCATGCATCAGATCAAGTACCTCGGTCTTCAGGAGAACGTCCGGATTCGACGAGCTGGTTTCGCGTACCGTCAGACCTTTGACAAATTTGTGGAACGATTTTATCTGTTATCACCTCAAACATCTTATGCTGGTGACTATACCTGGACTGGGGACGCAAAGTCAGGCGCGAAGCAGATTCTTAAGGACACAAGTATTCCAGCTGAAGAGTTCCAAATGGGTGTCACAAAAGCATTCATTAAGGCTCCAGAAACTCTCTTTGCTCTAGAGCACATGCGAGATAGATACTGGCATAACATGGCCATACGAATCCAACGGGTGTGGCGTGCTTATCTGAGGATTAGGGTTGAAGCTGCAACTCGAATCCAGAGAATGTGGAGGAAGAAGAGAGCTGGTGCTGAATTCCTTGTTCTTCGAGAACGTGGTCACAAGGTTCTTCAAGGTCGAAAAGAACGGAGAAGATTCAGTCTTCTCGGTTCAAGGCGATTTATGGGGGACTATCTTGGCATTGGGGCAAGTAATGGACCAGGTTCCCGTGTCCGAAGTGCGATCAACTTATCAGAGCCTGTGGTCTTCTCCTGCCGTGGCGAGATCCTGGAGACGAAGTTTGGCCGTTCGAGTAAAGCGAGCCCCCGAATTCTGATTCTCTCTAAGAGCAAATTCTATATCGTCACGCAACATCTGGTCCAGAAGCAGGTACAAATTGCAATTGAGCGGGCGATCCCTCTCGGTGCTATCAAATTTGTTAGCGTTTCAAGCTGTCGGGACGACTGGTTCTCACTCGGGGTCGGTTCTCCACAAGAAGCAGATCCTTTGTTGTGCTGCGTACTGAAGACCGAACTATTTACCCACATGTCTATGTCTATGCCAGGTGGTGGCTTCCAACTCAAAGTCGGTGACTCGATTGAGTACGCCAAGAAGCCTGGCAAGATGCAGCTCATCAAGGTTGTAAAGGATTCGACCGTTCGTGATGACTTCTACAAGAGTCAAACGATTCATACGACTCAAGGAGAACCGCCAAATTCCGCATCACGGCCGCTACCGAAAGGTAAACCGATCCCGGCAAAACCATTTACCAAGGGTAGACTCATCAGACCTGGTGGACCTGGCGGCCGTCCTTCCAGAATGACAAATGGGAACAGGAATACCAAACCTGTGTCTAACAACTTTGTCTCTCCCCCTCCTGCTCAAAGCCGAAGTGTTCCTCAACCCGCAGCAATGGCCATCCCTTCACATACTCGAAACACGCCTTCAAGCTCATCCGGCAGAGCTGTCCCGCCGCCACCTCCTCCCGCAGCGCCTCCAGCAGTAGCTAGAGACCCGCAGTACCGCGTTCTTTATGAGTTCAATGGTCAAAGTGCAAACGAGATTACTCTTGCAAAGGACGAACTGGTGAGCATCGTCCAAAAAGAAAACAATGGTATGATTCCTATCTTCGATATAAAGAGTAAGACACTAATAACTTGAGTAGGCTGGTGGCTAGCAAAGAAGTCCAATGGTCAACAGGGCTGGGCTCCATCTGCATACCTGAAGGAAGAAGCACCCCCACCACCTGCCGCTCCCGCTCTGCGCCCAATGCCACCCCCTCCTCCGCCAGCAGCCGCAAAAGCCAATGGTAATGGCCATGGCCCAGTTGTGAGAAACAAGCCTACTCCGCCAGCTCCTCCTGCCAAACGACCAGCCGCTGGTGGTAGAAAACCAGCTCCACCTCCTGCACCACGTGATTCTGGGATGAGCGTGGCAACGAACGGTAGCGGAGGAGACAGTGGACGCAGTACACCAAACAATTTTGCCGGAGGTTTGGCAGAGGCATTGAAAGCAAGACAGAGTGCAATGTCTAGAGGCAGAGACGAGGAAGAAGATTGGTAGACGTGAACCAGTTGAGCAGTGATTCGTGTTATATATGATGGAACTTCTTCGTGCTTTAAGCTTGAGGTATGAGAGATGGGGAGAGTTTTACGAATGAACGATGATAGACGAGCTGTTATGATTCTGTAGTTTGTGAAATAGGGAGGAGCATGGCTTGAAATTGTGGATTTCAAGCATAGTCTATCATGGGCAGGCAACCGGAGGAACGAGATGAGAGTAAATAGAATTTGAATCGACGATTTGAATGCGCTCTCTATTATCAGTGACATATACATGTACTTAGTCTACAACGATGTGCGAAGCATTTCCGATCATGGTCATGCTTCAAAGAGCTGAAAGAAGTGTCTAGGTATTGAGAAGCCTCTCTACGGAGAGGCGATATGCTATTGCCGTGACTAACAGACCTGAGCAAACCGGCCTACAAAGGAGACCCTATGCACCAATAAAACAATGCCATGTATGCAACAATGCAACCTCATGTAAAGAAGCAAGAAACCCAACGATATCCGAAAAACGGTCTAATTACGATCCAATCTCCTCCTCAAGTTTCTCGTCCGTCGCATAAGCTTCTTGTACTTATGCTTCTTCATCTTGAGCTTCCGCTGTCTCTTTACGGAGATAGCTAGCATGTCGTTTCCCCCTCTTCGTTGCTCGCGGTCGCGGTATCGCTCTTGGCGGATCTGCATTCGTTCAAGGAATTTTGTCGGTCCGGCTCTAGGAGCTTCTTCGATTAACGGAGAGGAGTGAGCGCTGTATGTAACCTCCCCATTCTCGTCTGTAGATTCCTCGATGGTGAGAACAGCCGTGTATGTTCTATGTTGAGGCTCCAGTGCTTCTGCGGCTTCTGCGCCTGCTGCTAATGACTCGGCGGAATTCATTGGCTCTGGAGGAGGCGGAGGGTTGAATGGCTTATATCTGCTTCCACTGGACATGAGCTGCTTTGTGAACTCGGCAGCATTTTCGGGCAATGTGTCGAGATGGACTGCTTGTCTGTATGACTCTTCGGTGATTGCGGCTCGCATATCATCTCTCTCCTCGTTCCAGACTTGTTGCGTCCTCCCTGCTCCTTTCTTCCCCGTTATCGAATCAAGGTTTTTCACCGTATTCGTCAATGTCGAGATGACCTCCGAGGGTTTGTTCACTCGTATTCGAGGGGTGAAGATTGCGGCGAAGGTATCGTCTGTTACAGTTTGGGGAAAGCTCTTGGTAAGAGATATAGGTCGGTGGAGGGAGAAGAAGGAGGATGCATAGATCTCTACGAAAATAGGCTGATTAGTCGCAATTAATAAACAGAATATAAATTTGCAGCAGAACAGTTTGCATGTTCGCAGCTTGTAACAAGACAACAACTTACGCATTTCTGGTACATGTTGGGTGCTGGGCACACTGGGCAGATGGAGCAAAGAAGCATCTCTGCCCTTCACGGTGGCATTGGCAGCCACCTCCCTGGCCTTCTTCTTGCTCACTCGTGCCGCAGGCGGCGTCGACCCATCCGCAGGACTGGAAGGTTTTGAGGAAGAGAGTCGTCTTTGGTGAGAGCGGTATGAGAGTGCGATAGTTCGAGGAGTGGCGCCCGAGAGCGAAGGAGTAATAGGTACTGAGGGGGCTGCTCTGGCCACACGGCGGACTGATGACGAGAACATGCCTCTCCCAGGTTATGTACGGACCTTGGGTAGAACGAGGGACGAGGAGGTTGAGGGAAGAGTGGAGGCTGTTAGTTTCCTTGTTCAGCGCCTGTGGCGGTTATCAGCCGACTTGGATCACGTGGACTGGACATACATCAGAGTTTTATAATTGATTTTCACAGCTTTGTAGTTTCATCTTAATCTAGGAAGCTGATTTCAGTCCGAAAATAAATTAATTATATCGACCTAGGTAGTGAAAATGATAGAACGTCACATGCAGCTCTTACAAACCCCCGAAACTGCCCCACAATGAAGAGGAGAAAGCTGAGGTGTAAGGAAAGAACAAGTAAAGTTAAAATTATTATTTAGGGCATATGTCTTGAGATTCGAGGTCATGCTAAGAAATACTTAAGACATTTCGAACCACTGAGAAATTTAGGTTGTGCTAATATCACTTCATCCCTCAAAAATCTAGTTAAACTTGAACTTAGCCCATTTACATTACCTCGTTAAATCAATTGATCTTTTAGACCTCGACTTACTCTTAATGTTTGACCTGACTATATTGTCTTACTAACTTTGAAACAATAATATGTTAAATCCCAATTCCTACAATACCCATGTGGCTGGACTCTTGACACCGTACGGAGGTATGATGCACTACTATTATTAGTCAAGTAAGGTGCCAGAGATGTCAAACATACTACAAAATCTGCAACGAATTTTGGGTGGAAATTGAACTACAATAGAAATCCTATGATCATATCCCATGACCTTTAGAAGATCATGGACTTATCCAATGGTTCGCGTAATCCTGAGCCATTCTTATGTCTGGCGATTCTTTGTATTGCAGCCCCTTGGAACGACATGTCGAACAAACGAAAGCCCTCCAACAATCCAAGTAATCGTCCCATTCTTTTTGAGCTTTTATTTCGTCCTCGCTCAAAGGCTTCGTGAGACCAACACCGCTCTTGATTCTCGACAGCCTCCTATTCCATGGAACCTCAACGGGAAACCCAGAGTCACCCTTGCAGATACCGCAACACTGTCTGTATAAGACAACATGTTGAGGAGGCTCATCGAATACGATTGCAAGGCTTTCACGCGTCCAGCCATCATCAAACGAAGTGATTTGATCTTCCACGAACTGCTGTCTGTCGATTCCTGCACGATCTAGGATGTCCCGGAAGAGTGTGAACGACCAAGAGCGTTTCATTGCCAAAAAGAGAAGTGAAGAGCGCTCATGTGACTCCGACGAAGAATCGTAGGCCGAGAAATGCAAGCCTCCAGATCTTTCCCTCAACAAGTTAAAGTCTCTGACAAGCAGTTCTCGTCCATCCCGCTTCTTCCCCATTGAATAGATCATGTTGTGGATCCATTGCACGAAAGCTCTCTGGATCATGCCCTCATCACAGTGTGACATGATTTTTTCCGTAGTTGAATGGCCCCATTTGGATTGTAAAGTACCGTCGAGACACATCTGCCAGAATGTATCTTCAACGTATGGGTTGACGACGGGTATGAGCTCAAACATGATCCACATCGAAGTAGTCTTTTCGCTTAAACCATAGATTACTCCGGTACCTTCGAGATTTATTAGATGATGTATCACTCTATCAACATTCTCGAAACCGTGATCTAAGTTGGAGAATTGTCGGATCGTAAGGTCCAACTTTTGACTAGGCACACGTCGGAACGTCAGAGTATGAAGATCTCGTGAAATATCGCCCGGCTGACATGCAAACTCAAAAGGTGTCCTAGAGTCCTGTTAAACAATCTGATAAGGGGAGACCATGAGAGAACAAACATGTTGAAAGTGCTATGTTCTCGCAAACTTGGGTCTGCACCCTCTCGGAGAAGTAGCGCACATATGTCGACATCACAACAGCTCGCCGCAACCTTAGGGGATATCAGCACCGTTGCACCGAAGACAAGAACATGTAAGTTAGGAGGAAATGTTACACTAACATGAAGTGGAGTGAGTCCTGTTGGCGTAATGTCTCTAGTTGAAGCTTTGCCATGTCTTAATAAAGACCGCACGGCATTTAGATTACCCTCTCGACAGAAATCGAATATTGCTGAATCAGACGGTACGAGCTGAGGCGTATTGGTCAGGATCTTCGTTGCTCCTAGTATAATCAGGTTTGGGAGAACGTACATTAAAGGTTGACATTGTTGCTTGCCACCCTTGCCTGCTAAATTGCATAATATCGAACTTGAACATTCTAGCCATTCCGAACTTGACAATCCACCAAGATGGGACGAGGCTAAACGTTGTCTCTATCTCCAAGTTTTCCTCGCTGTCAACTTCTTCGAGCTCAAGGTCTGTCGTATCTTGGTCAAGTCTATAGGTGGAAACCGTGCAACGCATTTCGCCCAACGGTGTTCGAGTCACTCTATTGGAACTGTTAACAATTCGACGACCTCGCCTTTCTTGAAACTGTCCAAGTCGAGGACTAAGATGGTCTCCAGTTCCAAACGGTAGGACGACATTCTCTTGGCCATGCTCTACCATTACATTATTGAACGTGTTCTGCACCACCTGTGTGAGTTGTGTCTCGAGTCCAGATTGAAGGGTTCGATTTCCCCAAATTGAAGCCGCATGGTGTATCTCAGTGGAGACATCAGAGGGAATAACCGACTCCCGTCCAATCAACGACGGAGTAACAGTGCTACTCGAGTACGTGAGCTTCTCACAAAGCTCCGCAAGCCCTTGATTCAGCATCGTAAATGACTCCTGGTTGGTTTTGTGACTAAGGAAATGTGCATGTCTAAATGTTGGAGTCAGTGTGTATCCTGTGCCTGTACGATCGAGAACGTACGCTGCCGAAGTTTGCTGGGCTATCAAGAGATCCAGTTTTGCTTCCTGGAGTTTCGCCTTAAACCTAATTATTTTGTCGTTCTTCCGTACCACATCGATAGCAGCCCATTTTCTCTTCAAGCGACTGTTAGAAGCAAAACCCGGTACCAAAGACTCCGCAATGCTGGAAAGAGACTCTAGCGATGTTTCGCATCTCTCGAGCGCCGTATATGTGTCAGTTTGAGATCCGAATGTCTCTTCATTCCGTCTTATCTGGCTTAGTATGGAGTCGAAAGATTCCAACTCTTGGATGACCGCTTGTAATTCTATGGGAGCATCGCTGATGGAACGCAGTAAAGATCGACTAAAGCAGTATGAGTGGTTACGCAGATAATTTGGAAACCAGGCACATACATCTTGCTTATACCCTGCCCAAGTTGAATGGCTATCTGGGCAACAGCAATCACAGAAGCTGCTGCTGAGAGACCGTCCATGCTAGCACTGGCATCACAAGTCTCGCGTCTCGATAACTTGAAAAAGAATGAAGACTGACGTGCTTCTGAAGCGGCCTCTAGGCGCAAAATTGATCAGTGTCGTCCAAGCTGTGTTGGCACATCGTGAGGCTTTCACGAACGCATAGCCTCACTTGCAGGCTGCCAATGCAAGGTGTTACAGCATCCAATCAATTGAGCAGAATGTGACATTTTCAGACCCCCAAAACTACTCACACCGAGGAGAGCCTTCGACCCCAGTTATTGCAGTAGTGGCAAACATGTCATCTGCAAGGTTTGTCATTCCAACCAGCGAACTTTCCTTAGGCGGAAGGTGGTGGAACCGTTGTCACTAATCAGGGGCCTGGTGCAGTGAAGACACCGTCTGCGCGTAAGCGTAGATCTATCATACACGAGCTGGGAAGTATATGATACAAAGCACGGAGTAAGGACTCTGTAGAGGCTCCGTCAAGCGTTGGATTGAAGAGGAGCAAGATGGGTCGAGGCGTGAACTTACCTTCCTGGTACCTTACGAAGTTATGAACCATGCCAAGACTTATCACATGACTCCATTATGAAACTGAGCTTTCTTGGATCGGACATTCGACCTCAAAGTCCTCAATCTTCTTAGACACTTTGACCTGTCTGGCAGCAATGCGCCATGTTCTTGGATCTCTTGGTCTTGTGTCGAAGTACAGCTTTGCGTCGGTACTTTGCTGTCATATATATTTAGCCGTTTCCAGTAACCAAGGCCAATATAACAGAGTCGCGAGTACCGTTTCCGACAATCTAGTTGATGTCGGATTGCGGGCCGTAGCACTCTAAGTAATTATGTCAAGTGACATTTGCAGCTGACGACTACCTTCAATCCCATCTTGGGTGCCAATAGTCGCCATCCATTTATATTAGGACGTTCATTCAACCCTCTCTCGTCCAGTTTCACGTAGCCGAGAAGGCTCGTGGATATACCCATGGCAACGGCAGATAGAACGAAACCATACAAACGCATCGTCGGCACGTTTTCCATTTATTAATCCTTGATGTTCAGCAAGTTCCTTGTTGACATGTCCAGGGCCGGAGATATTCATAAATGTCTTCTCAAGCCACTTGACATGGCTTCCCCACAGTCTTCTTCACTACATTCAGATACTTGAAGTGTTCTGCTGGTTGAGCCTTTGATTTTCTCAATTCTACTTGGTCCATTTCAAGATGAGGACATCGATCTTGTTCTCTCTTGTTGCGTTTACAGCATCGGCTGTCAATGCTCATGCCATTTTTCAACGCATCAAAGTTAATGGTGTAGACCAAGGACAACTCGTCGGCGTTCGTGCTCCAGCCGTGGACAACCCTGTAAAGGATGTTACCTCTCCGGATATCGCTTGCAATACAGGTCTCAAAGCGCCAGTATCAACTGCCGTGGTCACTGTTCCTGCTGGAGCAATTGTATCAGCATGGTATCAACATGTTCTCGGTGGCCCACAAATGGCAGGTGACAAGGACAATCCTATTGCCGCCAGTCATAAAGGGCCCCTTATGGTTTATCTCGCAAAGGTATGCAGAAATCCCCCTTGCATCTACAGAGTATAGAATTGACACCTGCTCTAGGTTGACAATGCAGGCACTGCTAGCTGGACAGGCTTGGAGTGGTTTAAGATCGCCGAAGAAGGTCTAGACATCACGACAGGAAAATGGGGTGTAGACACGATGATCGCTGGCAACGGATGGTGGTCTTTTACAATGCCCTCTTGCGTCGCTGCCGGTCAATATTTGATGCGAGTCGAACTCATTGCCCTTCATTCGGCATATGCGAGTGGCGGAGCTCAATTCTACTTCTCGTGAGCTACATTCCGAGGCCCCCTTGAAGATCGATTGTTAACAACTGCTGTGCAGATGCTCTAATGTCAAGATCACTGGTTCTGGGACAACCATTGGCAACGACACAGCCAAGTTTCCTGGAACTTACGCAGCAAATGATCCGTACGTAACAGTTTCAATGGTCGATGACTGTGCTGACAAAATGCAGAGGAATCTTGCTCAACATCTACAATGGCACTCTGCCAAATAATGACTTGAAGCCTTACGCTATTCCAGGGCCAAAGCCTATGCAATGCTAAATGTTAAGAGCATGGGATCCAGAAGGGGCTTGAAGTGAAGCATAGATCTACCAGGGTTGGAAACTCTATTTGCTTCCATGAAGGAGAAAGCTTAGGATTGGTGATATAACAACATGCTCACCCACCTATCTTCAAGCTATTGGAACACCCAACACAATGCTGCCAGACAAAGCAACAAGCATATTCTACCTGGGTCCTTGTGTGGTTTCAAGTGCTACATCTTCCGGTTTCTCCAAAATTTCCATCTTTCAATCGAGTCATTTCTGTTCTTTACAACTCATCTTCAATTAAAAACCCTTGTTACCAACCTCTCTATGTACTGTCATCCATCCAAGCAGAGAGAAAGTACTTTCTCACAGGATCTCAAATTAATAGACACTCCTATGTTCGAAAGTCTTGTAAGCTGGGTAGATGGGTCATCTGCTGGTACATCTGCCTATCATGACCCTTGAACTGAGCTTTTAGTACAAAATCATATGGATGGTATTAGCAGTAGCCTTTGGCCCCTTACACAATCGCCAAAAGCCTCCTGTAAATATTCATGCTGCCGGCTGCCCTAGGTCTATTCACTCTCTTCCATATTCACTTGTCAAGCGTAACTTATCTTCAGCCTTCTAATCAACACGAGATATCCAAGGCGTGAGTATTCCATGCTTTTCTTTCAACACTTCGCTCCCCGAGTCAATGCCTATTGTATCTCAATTCACCACTGGCCGTCCATACAGTGAATTTTCAACTCCTTTCTCTGAATGATTCATGTCCAACCACAGCTAGCTCGAGTCCACCAAGCTTCGATAAATAGCCCTATCCCCTCTGATCAACCAGCCATCAACAGCACCAATGACTTCATCCCATGTGACTGGAAGTATGGTAGGTACTGGTGGTCAAGTTATCGATATCATTTAGAGCTACGTCGCCTTGCTGAAAAATTCTGTCCGAAAGTAGAACATTCTCCTCGTCAATAATGCTTGCTGTACGTCTAACATTTTCAGGATTAGTGACTACTCTAAGGAAGGAAGGATTTATGTCAATACAGATACAACTAAACTCCAGAAACAAAAACCCACAATCTCCTTCCCCTCCAAACATCCTCTCATAACGAAAATCTCTAGATCAAAGCTAGACTTTCACCCCAAAACATTCATTCACTGACCGAGATTCAAGAACAAGCCACGACTATAAACTCCCGCACACACCCAGACCTTTCAATCAAGCTACTTCTAACCTCCAATTCAAGACTCGACTACCCAGAAACCCAATCATGCACCAACCCCCCCAAAAAACATCCCCAAACCACCAACCCAGCATCACACACACACCCACCCCTATCCCTTCTCCCAGTCCCTATCCACTATCCCAATCCCCAATCGCCGACCACCCACCACACAATCGGCGTCCACTCTATCCTCACCATCAACTCCCCAATTACCCATCCTAATTTAGGCGCCAAAAGCCGAACCGAACAGCCCCTCCAGCGATATGCGATCCGATCCAGGCACCGGGCACTATATCCTATACCCTGACGGAAAGGAGTATAGCGCGGCTGAATTATGGGTTGGCTGGCTGGCTGGTTGATGGATAGGTAGGTCGATAGGTAGGTGGAGACTGGGCGAGTTTGTGTGCGAGTCTGAGGGGAGAAGCGAGGGATCAATGTTGAGAATATATGGAAGTACTTTACTCATAGGTACCTGAAGATGGGAAGAACATTGGACAGGAGGTGGTGTAACAAGAGTAGATGTTCATTGCATGCACCTTTTTAGCGGTTAACAGTACCTGGTACACTATATCGCCTACTGATATGATCTGCTCTGATCTCGACATCCATGCAGCAAAGATATCTAGACAATATATGATAATATAGGAATAGATAGAATCTTCGACGAACAATTGCAATTATCAACGCGTTATCTCAGGTCCCCCCTCACATTCCAGGACCAAGACTCCAATTGCAATCGCCCCATTGTCATCGCCGAAGAATATGATGACAGCCCAGAAAACCCATCCCTTATCCCATCCAAACCCATACCTTTAGGGTAATTTGCTAGCCATAACTCCATGACAGAAACTCCACGCTGAATTACATAACACAATGATAACAACAAAAATAGCATTAGTAACTCAGATCAACGTCGCCTAGTTGCGCGATGATCTTGTCTTCTTCCGTCATGGTGGTTTCGCTCTCTGCGGTACTTGTGCTGGTCCCTAACCGCCGTCGAGGTTCTTCGACAGATTCGAGTTGTATTCCACTCGATGAGGCTCCTTCGTCTCGCATTTCTTGGAAGCTCCACGAAGGTTGGAAGGATTTGCTCTTCCAGGCATGGTCGACTCTTTCGTACATCTCATCAATCTGTTCAAGACTGATCTTACTCGTTTCGTAAACCATGCACCATACGAAGATGACAGCCAACGCACAGAATGTGCCCCAGATGAAAAACACCCGAGCTTGTAAATTGGCGTAGCCCGGTCCACTGTTAACAAGATAAGGAGTGCCGTAAGCTATTGCGAAGTTCAGCAGCCAGTTAGATGCTGTTGAAATGGACATCGATTTGGCTCGGACCTTGAGCGGGTAGATCTCCGATGTAACGACCCACGCGACAGGACCCCAAGAGGAAGCAAAGAAAAATAGATAACAGCAGACGAAGACGATAAGAACCATGTTTGCTGTGTATGAATCGGGCATGGCAGTTCCGACCGAAGCGACCAGAAGCTGACACACAGCCATACCGCCAGCACCGATCATGAGAAGTCGACGTCTTCCAAGAGATTCAACGAGGAACATTCCAGGGATAGTAGAGACGACGTTGACAACGTTAGTGATGACTGCGATGACATATGGTGAAGGAATATTGATGTGTTGGAAGAAGGTTGTCCCGTAGTAGAAGATGAAATTGCAGCCGGACAATTGCTGTAATATCTGTAGACCACAACCTGTCAGGGTACGAAGGCCCAATTTTGGAGAGCCGAAGAAAACGTCGTGATAGGTTGAAGGTCCAAGACTGAGTTCATACTCATGGTTGGCCTCTATTTCAGCAAGCTCTTCTACTAAGGCCGGGTGAGTAATATCGAGGCGGCGAAGCCGACTGAGCGAGAGACCCGCAGCATTGGGAAGACCCCGCTTAATGAGATAACGTGGAGTTTCTGGTAACAAGATGAGACCAAGTAGGATCATTCCAGCCCAGATGAATTGCATCGCGAGAGGAATTCGGAAAGCAGTTGCGCCAGTCATCTTCTCTGTAAATATGTTGACAACAGCGGCCAAAAGGAGCCCGGTTGTGATGGCAAATTGATATGCGCAGACTAGAGTACCTCGAATCCATTTGGGAGCCATTTCAGACTGGTAAAGAGGCACCAGGACAGATACGATGCCGACACCGAGTCCAGCAACTAGTCTATGACAGGTTGTGTCAGCGTTTGTGAATCATAAGCGTTGTTCGAAATACCATACCTTCCTACGATGAGTAGTGGAATTGCCAACGCGAGAGTTTGTAGAAGGACACCGAATGAGAATATAGCTACAGCTATAATAAGTGATATTCGACGACCAAGCTTGTCTCCTAGGGGCGCTGCGAGAAGTGCTCCGAAAAATGTTCCTGCGCTCAATATCGCAACTATCACAGAAGACTGCGCGGGCGACACATTTGGGAAGCCGTCTTTTGGGTCGATATAACCAGTCGAGAATTGATTGCGAAAAGCCATCATCGCTAGAATTCCATTGATGGTCCTGCAGATCGTCAGTCGCAGCCACTTTGCGTCGTCCAGATCCCGACTCAACTCACCCTGTATCATAACCAAACAATAGTCCACCAGTTGCTACGAACAGCCCGACCATAATGGCCGGCGCTGAGGATCCAGCGACATTATCGGGTTTATGCCAGGCCATGGCTATTGCCATGGTGGGAGAGAGGTGTTCGTCAGGTCAGCGCAATATGAGGTTGTCGTCTCTCGAGAGGCTTCGGGCGGGAGTGTCGTCTATGATGATCACCAGATTTTGGAGCGAAGGTCGTAGGCATCCCTAGTGGTCGAAGGGTGATCTCGCACTGGGTCCAGTAGTCTTGAGTAACATGCCCTGGAGGGAGTTGTGGTCGAGTCTCAATCCAGTGGTAGTCTCACGTGGAGGAGGAGGATATTCGAAGATCGAACGTCGAAGGAAGTGGAGCAGAAGCGTGTGCGAAAGGCGACCAGAGGACGACGAGGGGAGTCGAGTCTGTGGGTGCCGGAAAGCGGGTCGCTATTGAGAACTTGGGGTCGACGAGAACGAGGGCAGCCAGGGTGAGAGCGTGAGGGCGAGGGTGGTGAGGAGAGAGAGTGTGGATGGTTTGTCGGAAGCGCAGTCGAAGGAGGATGTCTGGGACGGATGCAGTGCAGTTAGTGGTGGCACTGACTTTCGACTAGGGGAGGAGGAGAGCGGCCTGGGGCCTAGGAGGTGAGTTGTGTGTGTTCGTTAGGGTGTGGGGAAGGGAGAGCGTGTGAGAGCCAGCACCAGAGAACCAGCGCCAACGCTGAGTGCATATGATTCGCGACCTGGTCCTGGTCCCGGTCTCTCGTCCAATCCAGTCTCTCAAGAATAATGATAATAATTACAACGGCAAGAGTATGTAATGTAATTACAATGATTCAGACCTGGGGCGGGGAGACGAGAGAAAGTCGGGGGACAAGACGCGCAGATGGTGCAGCGTGCAAGCAATGAAATGGTGGTGATGGTCATGGTGTGGTGCAGATTTGGTGTGGGCTGGCGTCGAGCTGAGCACCTGTGTGGCTGCAACATCCTTGGCAGTCTTGTCACATTCGCTCTCCGAAATAGGGTCGACGAGTGTACCGGTACGCCAGCGTGCGGCGAAGGATTCGGGACGATGCACAGGGACAGGAAAAAGGAAGGGATTGAAAGGGAGGGAGAGACGAGAGGGGAGAGTTGGGGGCAATTGATGTTTGATAGGTGAGTAGCTGGATGTTGATACGAATGAATTGGTATAGAGAGAGAGAGAGATAGATAGATAGATAGAGAGAGAGAAAAGCAATATAACAAACGGGATATATTGCGAGTGAGATGAAGGAAAGCGAGACAGACACTCGTCGTCGTACCGTCCCGCCTACAGGTGAGTGTTGAGTGAGTGAGTGAGTGAGTGAGTGAGTGAGTGAGTTCGTGCAGGTCATTCATTCTCTTGGATGGATCTGGCTGGTCGCCGAGGAGGGAGAGGAAGTTCCGCGCATAAAGCGGCATCGACTGGCGCATTCTTGTTGTTCCGTGCGGACACAGAAACAGCCTTGGTAGAATTCGGGGAAAACCCGTCTAGATCCCTTTGGGTTTAGCTCGCTCGCCAGGTCCAACCGAAAGTCTGTTCTTCCTCTTGGTGAGAGAAAGGGAGAGAGACTTTTGACCCTGCCCTGCACAGCTTTTTTCTCTCCTCCTCTTCGAACATGAGGGAGATGGCATGGCATGACATGGTATGACTACATGACATGGCTGGCAACCTGCAGCAGCGAGTCGAGTCGAGTCGAGCCTTCGTCCAACATGAAGTACAGACTAACTATTATCGACAGATTGAGGCGAGGCTCACCCCCTATTTTGAACTCCGGAGTCGTTTGGTGTTACGGCTCACTGCTCCCAGTTTCAAGGGGATTACCCAGATTCGGTGGCTCTGGAGTCTGCACAACTCGACCACTCCAATCCAAGCCAGTCGCCACGCCAAAACATCTTCAGCTTCCATATCTGGTCGACGCAAGTGGCGTGAGATGCGGTAAGCCATGTTTCGTTTTTGTCCTGCGCGCTTCCAATCGTCTTGTCTGCCAGCTTTGCTCCTGCTCCTCCTGCTTTGCATTCAATAATTACGATAGCCACCACGGCGCGCATACTTGCAGCGCAGAGAACATTGCTTTGAGCTTTTTCGGAAAGTCCGTCGTGTGCGTGCCTATTTTTCTTGATATGGCGGTGACACAACGACTATACGACATGGCCGAGCACTAGCTAGCTTCCGAATATGCGTTACACAATACGCACACTGTTAACTATTGTTGGATCATCGGTCAAGTACCGCCAAGTGAGGTACTTCAACAAAGGCCTCTTCTGCCAAGTGAGCCAAGTACCGTCCCCGGCAAAACACCACGTCGTCTGAGCCAGAACCAAAGTGTCTAGTATTGAGGCCAAGGTTCGCCAACAACGGAGATGCGATATCTTTGGCCGGCCAGCCGCTTGGGGGACTTGTTGTCTGCAGCCACTATTGAACCAAGGAAGCGATTATCTGGAGCACCAAGAAATCTTCAATAATCTCCCCCAAACGATTCTTGTCACAAGCAAGACCGTGCCGTGCACGGGATACAAAGAAATGAAAGGCAAGCCACAAGCGGCAGAGTCATGGTGTCGGCAGCAACTACCGCGCGAGTGGACTCGCTTCGTCCTCCTACCAGTGCTGCCATCGGCTCACTTGTGACCATTGCGGTTCTCGTCGGGTATAGAAATCCACGATATGTGTGAGACACTTTTCTCTTATGGTTATCCTGGGGTGTTGGATTTCCCCAGGTTTTTTATATATGAAGCAGGAAATGTGTGTGGAGACGTGTCAAGGTTGAGGTCATCCACCGCTGTTCCTCATCGTTGTCTTGCGCCTTGTGTCAGATGTGACACCCAACTTCTCTGCTGGAAACTTTTCATTAGGTCATGCCCAGCTCTATGGTCTCTCACTTTTTGTTGATCGCTGAGCAATAACCCGACCAACTTCAAGTTGAATCATGCTCGAGATGCTTCTCTTTCAGATGACCTCGACTATTCCCCTTTCAGAAGTTTTGATGCCGAGCATGATCGAGTATTGCCGCCTTTCTCCAATTCCTTGTAGTCCTCCAGTTCCTTGTACTCCTTCAATACCTTGTAGTCAATCCTGTCGTAGGATATATGTCACTGACACGTGACTCAACATATTGCATGCTTGAACTCCTTTCAGCTACCCAGCTTAGTGCACTGTTGCCCATCCGAGTATATAAAATGACAAGAGAGGCTGAGGCTCCATGAAACAAGGCAAGCTGGAAAGTAAAGCAAGCCTAGACAGATATATATTTCAAGCCAACGAAAGAGAAAAGCAGAGATGATTTTAAGAGCATGTGAACATCTCGTATCGTGTAAAGCCATGCTTAATACCGTTCCCCCACATCTATCTCCTATTATCTAGCCAGAAGCCACTCAACGTGTTGCCATTCCTAACTCCGAATAAACAAACTTTGCTCACTCCAGTCACCTAACTAAAGAACCCTTTCTCCTTCAAGTACCTCACACACTTCCCCAACGCCCCCTTCAAACTCTCTCCATCGACTCCTTCTGGCTTCACATCCAACCCCAAGTTCCCCTCCTCGCTCAAATATTCCATCAAAGGCCACAACAAATGACTCTCCCCCTTCCTCTCCACATCCTCTCTAACCAACCCAAGCCATTCCCTCGCCCCAATACCTCTCATCCTCCTCCCCTCCTCCAAATTCTCATTCACCGTCTCCCAAAAATCCCGCATCAAAATCCCCCCTCTCACCTCCTGCGTCTGTCCCTCCGCTCCAGAACTCGACAGCAAGGCTTGAACAACAAACCCCGCAACACGATCCGCACTCGACACAACCAACCACCCATTCTCTTCCGGCACAGGATAGACACCCATCCCCACAACAGTACCAACATACCTCCACAGAAAATCGCCCTGGTTCGGAACACCCTCTTCCTCCGTCCCCACAATAAGTCCCGGCTTCACGACCTTCACATCGACGTCCTCATTCCCCCCTCTCTTCGCAAACCCACGAACCAACATCTCGGACCAAGAATTTACTCTGGCTATACCCATCCAAGGCTCCCAATCTCCTCGCAATCTCCTCGTCTTTCTCATCAGCGGGGAACGAGCGGCCTCCTGAGACGTAGAGGAATTTCTCCTTCGGGCAATCCGGGGGGTTGAGAACGCTTTCAGCAGTTCGACCGTCGAGCCTACGTTTGCGGGCTTCAGGGTGTGGAAATCCGAGTTCCAGTGCACGATGGCGCCGTTGTGGATTATGGTATCGATATCATCTTGCAGGACTTTCCACTGTTCGGGACTCAAGCCAAGGTGCGGGAGAGAGAGGTCTCCGAGCCAGATGGTGAGTGTGGTGGGTAGTGGGGCGAGGTTCCAGTTAAGGGCTTTGGCGGAGTTGATGAGTTTCTGTTCTGCGGAAGAGAGGGACGGGGCGCGGATTAGGATGTAGATTTTTGAGACGGAGGGGTGGGTGAGGAGTTGGCGGAGGATTTGAGAGCCTAGAAAGCCGGTTGCGCCTGTGAGGAAAACTGTCCCTAGTGCGTTTGAGGGAGGCTGGGGGAGAGAAGCCAGTTCTTTATCTAGGAGAGAGAATTCGGAGAGGAGATCTACGGCGAAAGATGGCTCTGGAGATGGGGATGTCTCTTTGGAGGACCGAGTAGAGTAGATGTGCGCCGAGATATCGGTAATGGTCGTCCGGTGGTTCATGAGTACTTTCATGGGGACGGGGACGTTGAAAGTGCGTTTGAGGAAGGTGGAGAGACTCATCATTTTTATGGAGTCGATTCCGATGCTGGTGAGGTTGACGTTTTTCCCGATGATTTCTGTGGTGTTTTGGGTGCAGAGTTCTGCTACGCGAGTACTGATCGAGAGAGCGATTTCGTCGTCGAAGGGGATGAGTTGTGTTCTAGTGGGGGTAAGCGTGTTTTCTGATCTGTGGTCTTGGGGAAGGTTGGAGAGCCATTTGTTGAGTTTTGATCGGTCGAGCTTTGCGGATGTGGAGAGTGGTAATGCTTTGATGGCCAGCCAGCACGTTGGGAGCATATAACTAGGTAGGGCGTCTCGCAGACGATCTGAAACGTCTGACCAGCTGAAGTTTGCAGTATCCAGTACGGAAGCTGGCACAACCTGGATGTCGATCCCCTCGAGTGCAGCTGTACTGATCTCAAGCTCGACTAAAGCAGTGATAGTATCCTTGTATGGTCCGGCTGCAGGTAAGAAGACTGCGGCATGCTTGACATTTGGCTGGTCGAGAATATGATGTTCAATTTCTCCCAACTCGATTCTTTGTCCTCTGAGCTTGACTTGTGTATCTTTCCTCCCAATATAAATGATTGTCCCGTCAGCGTTATAACGGACCAGATCACCTGTCTTATAGAGCCGACCTGGACGCCGTGGGAGGCGGGTATCCAAAGCCCAGGTTGGGTCGTGGATGAAAACCGCGTTTGTCTTTGCTTCATCATTCAAATACCCTCTAGCTTGAGCAGGTCCTTCAATGAGAAGTTCCCCAATCGCACCGATTGGCATAAGCAAATTCGCGTCATCAGGATCAACAATCCAACTCACTGCACCAACAGCGCGGCCAATGTTTGCTGGATCAGTAGACTTTGATATGCTCCAGTTGACGAGACTTGTGACGCAACATTCGGTTGTACCATATGCGTTGATGAGATGCACACGATCAGCCCAGATCTTGACAACCTTGGAAGTCAGAGGCTCTCCACCAAGGGTTATTCGCTTCAGACTTGGAACCGTATCTGGTGATAGGGAGCTGATGTATGAGGAAGTCAGATCGGCAGTGTTGACGTTCATACGTACAATTGCGGAAGCGATATCAGAAGCTCTTTCCTCCTCTGAAGGAATGCACAAGCAACCACCTGTCATTAAAGTGGTTAAGATGTCCTCGATACTGGTATCGAAGCTGTAAGAGGCAAATTGAAGAAAGCGTGAGCTCTCGGAGAAATGTAGAGCTTTGTCGTGCTCTCTTGATCCAGAGCAATATGCTCCATGTTCGATCACAGTCCCTTTGGGATTTCCAGTTGTGCCACTTGTGAAGACAACGTACAATGCATTGTTCAGCCCAACGTCAGAGACCACTGGATCTAGGTTTGATGAGAGGTCGAATAGCGAATTATCGACTGCAATAGTTTGAAGTTGTGGAAGAGTGGTGAGGCATCGATTCTTGTGTTCTTCAGAACATAAAATGATGCTAGCATTGATTTGTTCCACGATCCCGGCATGTCTGCCAGTAGGATGAAGTGGATCTTGTGGGACGAAAGCCGCACCGGCTTTGATGATAGCGAGTATCGCCACCACTGCCCATTTCGACTTGTCGAAGAGCAGAGGCACTTTGCATTCGCTACGTACTCCTCGTTCCACTAGTTCTCGAGCAAGGTTTGATGAGAGACTGTCTAATTGGCCACGCGTCAGATTCCCATCCCAAGAGCAGATTGCTGGTGCATGAGGATCCTTCGAGATGACTTCACCGATCAAGTGATGGACACGCGACTGAGAGGGCTCAGGCAAGACTGCGTTCCATCTACATATCTCTCCTAGATCTTCTGAACTGACGGTGTTGATTTCACGTATTGTCTTCTCGGCTTCCTCGAGGCAGAGTTTTTGGAGGACGTGGTCGAAGTGGGAGAGAATCCTGTCCATCTGGTTCACTTCAATGACGTTTGGATCAAAAATTGCCTTAGCAATAAGTCCATCGTTTGTCAAAGTGCATTCCATGGTTAAAGAATAGGTATCGAAGACCTGTGAGCTGTCCGAATTTCTTACTCGTGGGCCTAGAATCGACTTGTCGATGTTAGAATACTCTTCTGGTTGTATGACCAGCAAAATCTGAAAATCACAGGCTTGTCTGAGGGTGCCATGCATCTTTCGTATCTGTGTCAACCCAGTCTGTTCGAAAGGCATCATCTCGATCATTTGAGCTTCTACTTTGCGAAGCTGTTCGATTTCTGTGATTTGAGGATCCTGGACGAGACGAACAGGTACTGTGGTAACCGTCGGACCAACAACTGAAGCAAGATTCTCGAAGACACCATCACGTCCAGACAGCGTGACTCCAAATAGAATATCGTTCGATTGAGAATAGGTGCTGACGGTGATAGCCCATGCTGCTCTGACAAGTGTAGATACTCGAAATTCTGAACGCTTTCTGCGAGCGAAGTCAATATTGCGTGTGTTCGATTGACTAGGAACAGGCGAATATCCCATGAGAACGACAGGGAACTTTGCAGACTCTCCAGTGCTGAGATTGGCAAGCCAGAACGCTTCCGAGGCTTTGAATCAAGATTTTGCAAGTGGCCAACGAATTGAGTAAAAGAGGTCCTGGGCTCCAGTATCATAATTTCTTGACTCCCATTACAAGTTTGAGATTTCAGTCTTCGATACTGGTTGTTGAGGTCTTTGAGGACGAGGGTGACTGACCACCCATCATACATGCATGATGAGTCGTCCACACGAAGTGATACTTATTTGTCACATTGGGTCCAACAATGGCATATCGATGTAGCGGAGATCCCAAGCCGATGGTCTCTGCTCTGTCTTTAGATAAGTAGTTTTCCAAGCCTCCATGATCTGACCAGTTGAACGCGTTCTTCATTACTAATTGCACCAAGCCACTTGACGTCGATTGAAAAATCTTCGTCCGAAGAATGGAATGTGAAGCAACGACGTTGTCCCAAGCAGTGCGGAACATCTCAAGATTACCGCTCAGATCATCAGTGAGTTCGAAGACGTGCTGGGCGAAATAGGATCCAGGATAGGAGATGGACAATGCCATGATACCCTCCTGAAATGGTGACGTTGGGACAACGTCCTCAACATCATTCACGAGGATACCTTGCTCGGAGAGGCTTTGGACAATAGACGAAGCATTTGCTTGACCACCGACCGAGGAGAACGCGGGAAAATCGTGAATAGGAGAATTCGCATTTGCATCAATCAGCGTAGAGGTCTTTGCCAATTCGAAAAGTGTCGGGTATCGGTACAAGTCCTTGACAGTCAAATTGACCCCGTCTCCGCGCGCTAGACTTACGAGCTTCATGGCTAGTATGGAGTCGCCTCCCAATCGGGTAAAATTGTCGAATTTTCCTATCTTGCTTGGATCGATCTTCAATGTTTGTGCCCATAATTGTTGTATGCGGATTTCTAAATCGCTGGATGTTGTCACGTATTCCTCACGTTCACCGGAAAACATGGCACGTTGCTCTACCGTCAAGTCTGAGGCCATGGTTTCTAGAAGACGTCTGTCTATCTTTCCAGACGTGGTAAGAGGCAAGCTGGCCACTGGTACAAGAATTTGTGGTACCATGTACGCTGGGAGACGTGCAAGCATTGTCTCGAGTGTTCTGGCAAATACTGAAGGCGTAAAGCGTAAGTTGGTGAGAGGAGCGGAGTCTCCTCCTTTAAAGAGTACAGACCGGAAGATCCTTGGGACGAACGAAAGCTGCGAGGAAAGAAGGACCGCTATCATCGGCCGGTGCTGCAACCACAGCGGTCAGATCCATAACATTGCGAAAGACTTGTCGCAGGTGGTATTCCACTTCACCAAGCTCGATTCTATATCCTCGAAGCTTCACTTGTCCGTCACGTCGTCCAATGATCTCAAGAGCAGGATGGCCAACTTGTTGCCCACATAAATCTCCACTCTTGTACCATCGTTGTCCGTCGATTTCCGGGTGAAGATAGGCTATCAAGTCTGGTGTGCTCACAAAAGCCTCCTCAGTCTTCCGTGATTGGTTAAGATACCCTCGTGCAATGTGTGGCCCACTGATATAGAGCTCACCCACAGCACCTGGCTTGGCAATCTGTAACGTATCGTCGACGATCATGTAGCTACCGACGAAACATTTTCCGATCACACCTGGATTCGTGTCTGGGTCCTTGACTCCAGTTCCGAAACAAGCGACACAACCTTCGGTCGGCCCGTACAGTTGGAAGAGGCGAACACTGCTACTCCATAGTTGAATCTCCGCTTGAATCAGCTTCTCTCCTCCAATAGCCAGTGTTTTGAGGGTCGGAACAGTTGTGCGATCTATGAGTCGGGCCAAAGATGCGTCCAGAGCGCAAAATTGGCTCGCATGCGGTTGATGGCAGACGTAACATTGTTCATCTTTTCATCCTCAGAAGGTATGCAGACAGTCCCTCCAGCACCCAATGTCACAAAAATCTCGACTATACAAGCATCGAAGGTATATGACGAGTTTTGGAAGGCGCGGGTTCCGCGGTTCATGTCCATAAGATGTCCTAGTTGCTTCATGCTGGTAGCCAATGAAGCGTGTTCTATCACACAACCCTTCGGCTTTCCGCTCGTTCCAGATGTAAAAATAACTGACAAAGTTAGCTAATCCATGACACTAAAAGAACTTGTAGTCTCTCCAATGGGAGAAGACGTACTATAGGCTGCATTCTTTGGCTTTACATTGTTGCACACGGGTCCATTGACCGAAGGCAAGTGTTTCGTGTGCAATACCGATGAGAGACTCTGTGAGCTTTTCAGAACACAGAAGAACCCTTCCTTCACTCTGCTCGACCAAACTCTGGATTCTGAATCGAGGATATGATGGATCTAAAGGAACAAACGCACCGCCAGCTTTCAAGATTGTTAACATAGCGACAACAGCCCACAGCGACTTTTCAAAAACCATTGGCACGTTGATCTCTGGTCTAATTCCCAACTGTCGTAGACGATGTGCTAGACGATCGGACAGAAGATGCAGTTGGCGATATGTAAGAGTGCCATCCCAAGCAATGACTGCAAGGTCGAATGCCTGATCTTAGGATTCGTCATGAATAATAGAATGGACACATGATTGGATTGCCTCAACCTTTGTGTCCAAGATTGCCAGAGAGCCGATATCGTTCATCCTGGCTGGCTGAATGTCCTTAAGCTGGCAAGCAGTATTTGCTGCAAATGTGTCAACCACATATTCGAATGCTTTCAGAATTGCTTGCATCTCGCGTCTAGGCACCACGTTGGAGTCAAAACTCGCTCTGGCAGTAAATCCGGTCATAGTGATTTCGCACTCCATCGTCAACGCATACGCAATCTGGCGTGTCAAATAGTCTGATGCGTTGTCTGTAGTATCGAATAGACTATTTGGGTGCCTCTCTACTAGAGGTTGGACAACGAGCATACTCCGAAAGTCACATGCTCTCGCGAAGTCATCGCCGAGCCGGCGAATGTTTTGAAGTCCATAGTGCTGGTGTGCTTTCATGGCCGTGCGGATCTTGAAAATTTGTTCGAATAGACCAATCACTGAGCTCCGAGGATCTATGGAGACACGCAGAGGAACGGTTGTGAACGTGGGGCCGTTGATTCTTTCAAGACCGGGTAAGTCCAGGTTACGGCCCGCAAGGACTAGGCCAAACATCGCTTCTGATGCACTAGTCTGGAGTGCTACTAGAATGGAATATGCTGCTTGGATGATAGTAGAGGGGGTTGCTATTGATCTCAGCGATGTTGGGATGTTGATCTGCAGTTGCTCGCAACTATCTGCACATGGGAGATATGTAGGTGTTGGCAGAGCTGGGAATGGATGCACAACAGTCTCTGCTAGGTAATCGGACCAGAATCGTCGATGGTCGTCTTCACTCCCTATTTGGTGTATAGCCGCGATGAAATGTTTGAATTCGACCAGCGGATCTAAGGTCTTCGTGTTGTAAAATTGATCGACTTGCTGTAACAGTAGTCGCCAGGCCCAGTCATCGATAATCGCATGATGGAATGTCCAAACGAAAGTCTTTTCGCCCGAGTCCACATCGGTGATGATTCCAAATCGTAATAAATTCGACCCAAATCCTGCTGGTATCTCACAGTCTTTCTTGAGGTGTACCTGGAGATTGCTCTCCTCCAACCAGTCTATAGGGATCGATTCCAGTACGACTTGAATTGTCCCCCATTTTGCCTGGATAAATCGTGTTCGTAATGTCGAATTTGAGTCCACGACTGCTTGCCAAGCCGCTTTGAATCTCGATATATCAATGTGCTGAGGGAGTTTGTAGATTGCTTGGAGCATGAACAGGCTTTCTTGTCTCAAAGATAGGGCAAAGAGTCCTTCTTGAAGAGGTGTACCTAATTCTCGGGATATCGAAGTTAGCATTTTCAGATATCATGCAGGAGGGAAAACCTGTTCAGGGTGGAGACTCATCTAGGTGTCTTAAGGAGACACATGAGAAGATCAGAGCAATGTATACAGAAAAGCTCAGTGAATAGCAGGGCTTAAATGGATATGCATCTTCAATGACAATACCACAGGGAAGGTGTCGGTGTAACTCGTCTAGCTTGTTGCTTTGATCTTCGTGACCTAGCAATGAGAAAGATGGAATGGATACTGAGGGTTCATCGCTTGTGGAATGTCTGGTTTGGATTTGACGGGGTTCGGAGCAAGATTGCATAGGTTTTGGACATATCGACGAAGATATTCCTGGCTGCGAGAGCTTGACGCTGAACTCTGCGTCCGAGATTCGTGAAGGCATCCTAGCAAAAATTGGCTATGGTAGACAGTTCGCTTGTCAAATGATGCAAAGAAAAAGCCCATAACGAATAAATATGTAATAAAATGGTACTGAATCATAGCTGCTGAGCGAAAACTTGCCGTTGTTGATTCACGGTTGAAATCTGGTACTGTATTGCTATTTACTTATCGTACGTTGAAGACATCCAGAGACATCATATTACGCCAGGTGGATGCCTGAAAACGATACAGTCTACGTTTCCTGCCATAATTATCGTGCAAAACTCGCCCAGTGATACGGAAAACATGCAATAAGATAAATCAACGCAAGCTGAATCAAGACCGCAGACACATGCGAAAAGCTGAAGGCTAGTACTTGTGGATCTGGAACAAGCTCAAAGAAGGCATAACAGGGTACTGTAGCAAGAAAAGAACATTGCACGCGTAGCTGCATGGCGGAATGAACTCCCAAGAAAAAAGCGACTCAAGACGAATTACATGTATGAGAAATCACGCCTCGTCCTGCGGTCCGGTTGAGGCCCACGGCTGAGGACGCCTGACTGTCCGAATCCTGAAGCATATGCCTTTCATCTCATATACAGATGCCAGGTGCAGGAGAGCGAGGTCGGTACAACGATGGAGTCTAGGTAGATTTTAGGTAATCAACCGGCCCACGTGATACTGAGCTAATCCCTGTATGGTCTGGTGCCTTTCTTCAAAGCTGGAGTACTGCTGCTTCATTGATCTTAGAAGTAGTGAGACATTGCTAAACAGGCATATTCGAATCGTCAGCTCAGGTCTACAGGACCTGAGATTTTGATGCCAGAAAGGCATGGCAGCAGCTACTTCTCACTTTTTCTTTGCCTTTGGTATGCTAAGTGAGACCCGAGAGAATGAGTATAGTGCCCTGGGCAGTGGAATAGTCTTTTCGGATGTCTCAGTCTTACGTCCTTTGTTGTAATCTTTTAAGACATGGGTCGACTCTCACCACGCGGGATCCTGTAACGCCGCGAGCAGCTTGGAACGAGATTGCTTGCTAGCTTTCTGTCTGAACTCCATTGGCTCTCTCAATCGCACGTCAAAATCCTATTGTACAGTCCGTCTTTCGCCATGTTGGTAACGTCTATAATGCCCAGACTTCCTGGAACTGAATCATAGCTATATTGCTTCTTGCGCTCGTCAGCAGATGGTTTGGGTTTCATAATGATGCTGTACGTTTGAGATGTGATACACTATAGCGTATTAGATTCGATTCCTCTTCCTCCTCTCTTCTATTTTCTCTGCATACACACTCCCCACATACCATATAGCCAGAGTGCTGAAGCCTACATCGAGTTCCGACAATGGAAGATTGGTGGAACAAATTCATCAAAGAGCCTCTACAACCACACGTCCGAGTATGTTTCTTTGTTTTGGTTTCGCTAGGAAATTTGGAGGGAATACGTTGGCAAGTCTACCGAAAGCTGTTGCTAACATATGAAAGCCGGGCTTTGACACTCAGATGGCAGAGATCTTGACCATCTAGCTATTAGCGCGAATCGCGCATTCGGCGCAAGATGTTGACAAAAAATCCTGACCAATAAAGTTTTCAAGACAATGAAAATATCTTTTCGCATGACGATAAACAACAGTAAGTCCTAACTCTTGCTTAAAAACTGCTTGCACGGATGCTCATCTGTGAATCCTCTGGTACATGAATCAAACAACCAACTCCGCACCTCTCCTCTCATTCACCCTTTCGCTTTTCTCATCTCACTTCCAACCCATCCCAAAATGAGCGTACTTTGATTCACTCTAAGACCTCAGGGCTATATATACAGCCATCGCGCAAATCAATCTCTCCAAATAATAACAATCACAGGATCCCTCGCGGAGCTGCTATGCTTGTTATGTTCTCTTAACTGGGATCCCCATTTCTTGCGAGCTGATGGGTTTGATGGCTGGCTGTAGATATTGCTTGTATTAGAACTGGGATTGATAAACTAAGGAATAGTTGACAGTAGTTACCTCTGCTACCATCAATGAATCGTTTGTTGTCAACAACAAAGTAGACTAAGAATTTCACCAGAGGCTAAGTGGCAGTGTGTGTTATTGAAATGAGAGGACTTCCCCTGGAGTTACGGTCTTAGCAAATCATGACAAGAGAAGTAATCCGCAAGAGAAGACGTGAGACAGGGTCAAGAAGGTGCAATGCATGGTTTCCAGACGTTATGCTATCAATACAAAGGCCCCAAAGGGTCAGCTATTTTCCGCACTCCAAAAACCCAACCCCGTTTACAACATCCAAAAGTCTAGATCTCTAGAGATGGAGTCTGGCCCTTGACTCTGCCAATGACCTGGCTTGGTGCGTACTTGGGAATCACCTGAGATAATTAGTATGCATTTGTGATTGGTAGAAGAGACAAACTTACTTCGTCATCATGCAACATCTCGAACTCCTCGGTTGCGTCTCGTCCCATAAAGTTCATGATTGCTTGTGGTCCACCTGGGTGCTCCTCGAGCCAGTCATCAAGCTTTAGTACAACACCCTTGACAACAACCCAGAGGTCCTCCTTGGTGTTGTGCTTGGCAACCTCTTCCATTGTGAATTCCCTCTCGGGAATCGAGAACTTGGCAGGCTTGCCTGTCTTGCTGACCTTTCCTGGATCCGACGAATCGGCACCTTGCTTCAAGACTGGACCAGCCGAGGTCTGTGATTGCTGTGCTTGCTTGCTAGAACCTTGACTTGATCCTTGGCTATCCCACTCAACAGAGATCTTGCCTGGCTGTGAAGGGTCGATGTGGAGAGAAATTTGACCAAGACGTGATGAAGCTCCACTAGCTGAGCCTTGAAGAGCCTTTTGGAAGAGGTAGTTGCTGGCAGAGTCACCGGCAACACGTCCGTAGACAACGCAGCCGAGAAGTGATGAACCACCAAGACGGTTGGCACCGTGAACACCCCCAGCAAGCTCACCGCAGGCGAAGAGACCATCAAATGGCTTTCCTTCTGAGTTTAGGATCTGTGCCTTGTCGTTGATCTCAATACCACCCATAGTGAAATGGAGCACGGGCTCCATAACAGCAACGTGGAAATCGTCGTCGATGTCAACAGGACCATTGTGGAAGAACTTCTTGCCATATGGATCCTTTTTCTTGCCATCTGCAATTTCATTGTACGCCTTGAAAGTGCTCTGGAGATGTTCTGGTGTGCAGCCAATCTCCTTAGCAAGCTCCTTTCCGGTCATCTTCTTCATCAACCCACGACCAGAGTAATGGCGTGTATGGAAGTCGAGAACGTTTGAGGCTTTCGAGTTGAGGAGAAGTCGGATAGGGAATTTTCCCTTGTCCTTTTGCTTCCACATCTCACCAGAAACATAATCTCTGTGACCAAGTTCGTCGCAGAATCGATCACCATCTCCGTTCAAGAGGAGACCACCTTCACCTCGAAGAGCCTCAGCAGCCAAGAACTTCCACTTTGATCCAGGATCCTTGGGGTCAACCAGACCAGTAGGATGCACTTGAACCTTGTCCATATCAATGCCATTACCACCAATGGCCATAACCATCTTTTGTCCATCACCAGTAGCATGTGTACCGTTGGTTGAGGAGAGGTTGAATGTGTCTGGGCGATGCTTCTTGAGGAGGGAGGTTTCTGTGAAATCGGCAGCATAACCACCAGTGGCGAGAATAACTGGGCCATCAAGGTCTGACTCTTCACCACCAAATTCGTATTTAACACCAGTAACGAGGTTGCCCTCCTTGTTTAAGCCTGTCACACGAGCCTTCTTGATGATTTGTACTCTTTCTGGCTCGTTCTCGGCAAGTTCCTCGAGTCTTTGCATCAAAGCATATGTAATGGCCATGCCAGGGAACTTAGCATCGTGTCCTCTGTGTGTTCTTGGCTGGGAGTGACCTCTGCACACAAAATATGATTAGCATGTGATTATGCATTGGGAGAGTCATGCGTACCCTAGCCGTGAGACGAGAGTCAAATCTAAGTTGAAAACATCTTGAAGCCATTCAACGGCCGCCGCAGATTTGTATGTTAGGACCTTAATGAGATCTGGTCTGGCCTTATCTCTGGCAGATTTGAGAGTATCATCGTAGAATTGCTTTACACTGTCTCCGATTTTCGCATCGACTTGTGTCCGAGTGAGGGCTCCGTTAATACCGGAAGTTGCCTTGGTAGAATTACCACCAAAGAAACCTATGCTTGTCAGAGATGGCAGACTCTATAAGCCAGGACTTTGCATACCTTGCTTGTCTAGAACGACAACATTGCCTCCTGCCAGGTAAATGGTGTGCGCAGCACTCAAGCCGGACACTGTTGATGGTCAGCAAGTCAATTGAGTGGAATAATGCATAATCTAAGTACTTACAACCACCGCCGACAACAATAACTCTAGGGGCCATCTTTATTGATTCTAGGAGGAAATAGATGAGGGAAAGAAAGGGAGATTTTGGAGTGTTTAGAAAAGAGCAGAGGTGGAGAAGTGTCGTGGTTATGTGACTTCCCACGAGCGCCACTAGGGTAGAGTCTGGGGTTGGAGAATGCCGAGGTTCCCAAGGAAGCTTAGTCTCACGGCTATTCGGCGAATGGTAGGAGTTGTGAAATCAGCGGCTTCTGCTTAGTTTACCGCTTCAATGTCTGGATTTTGTTCGGTATCTAATCTTCTTTAATGTCGCAGCAAGAGGTCCAATTGTATCTTGATTGTTCAATGTATCTACGGTTATTGAGTTTCTATTTCGAAGAAGTATCAGCGATGTCGGCTTAACAATGCTGCGAAACGACAGCTGAGTCGCATTTATGCCTCGTGATGACGGAGAAAATTACTGGAATAGCGGGCTTCCAAGCATGTGAAGATCCTGCGCAGCCGCCACGGAAAGAAGACCGGATCCCCACAAGTCCTTCTCCAGACTTTTCTCCAGGGCATCAGATGACCATATGACCATCTCAGCTCACCTCAGGGGGAAAGTCACCGACTCTCGACATGTGAAAGAAGAGTGCGCGAACGTGATCATTGAAGCTTTTCAGATTCATGTTGTTCTGTTCATGCATTTTTGATGTTCCTCCAAACCTACAGCATCATCGTGTTCGGTGCCTCGCTCGAATGGATGGCGAGACATCACGCTGAGGAGATCCACTCGGGATGGATCTAGTCAAGCCTCATCAAAAGTTCGAATCTTCTACTTGAAAGTCTATTTCCCGGACACAATAGAGTGCTTCAAAAGTATGAAATTAAAGATTATTGTGAAGCGGAGTCCTTGTGTACCTGCCTTGAATATTGTACAAAATTACCCAATGTCTTCCAATCAATTTCCCTTCAAGATTTCATTACCCTTCTTCCTTAAAGCATCGCATTCCAGCGTCCTCGTCCCTTTGCTGTTCGCTGTAGCTTCTGAGATCATAGCAGCAGCCAGCTCGTCGACCTTTATCGACATGGTGATTCCGACCAAGATACTTGGAATGATGCTATCCTTTGCAAGTACGCCTCCTGGTCGTGCAACGGAGACCTCAAAGCCCGGCTCTTTCTCTTGAATCGCAAGAAGACCGTTCTCTACTTGTCCCTAGCCGATTTGATCAAGAACATATCAAGTCATAAGAAGCGACTTGAAGGTACCTTGATAGATCTTGCATTATGCATAAACCACAACTTCTTGTCTGTGTCTCGTTCGGCCATCTTGCCACTTAAGTACACAAAACGAAAGCTCTTGCCTTGACTCTTCAGTGATGGAACAAGAGATTTGGAAAATGTTTCAGCTGCTGCATGTGTGTATCCAATCTCAATCTTTTTGCAGTCCTCGAGATTTGGATTTTTGTGAGCAGGGGATCCAAGGGCCCTTGTCTATGATTAGCATGGGGAAAAGGCTATAGATTCCTCCAGCGCAACACACCAGATACAGCATTCGGCTCCTTCAAGTTGAGATCAGACCTCAGGCGGGTACGAAAGGAAGTCTTTAATGATTACGACCTTGACTTTGGGATTGTTTGCCACCGCTTCTGGAAGGGGCTTTCGAGTGATACAGACGAGAGAGGTGATAGAAGGATGTGTAAGAGCTTGGTTGAGGATTTCACCCCCAATGAACCCCGTGGAACCAGACAGGATAGCTTTCATATTTCTGGGTTTGCAGCTGATGTTGGTTTTGAGATATGGTCGGGCGAAGTACAGATATAAATACTATATTATCGAGAGAAGGGGTGGAGACTTTATTCACAGATATTCAAGGGAGAATTAAAGCAGTTCCGGGGACTTGAAGTCGCTATATATGATATATGAGTTGTTCTCCTGCCTCTCAATCCTGATTCGGTCTCTCCGGTTGTCGATGTGTACGAGCTGTATCTTCTGATTGGGCAGCTGAAGTATGGACAAGGAATGTTGTGTACTGGTAAAGCTGAATACTACCTTCCATGTCAAAGTTCCAAAAGCAATACGTACATATGAGACAATTCTTGGATCCAATAACCTCCGTCTAACTTCCGGCCCCGAAAACTTAGGAAGGCCTTGATGAGGCGTGTCACGTGTGTTCCAAATCATCCCCAAAATCCAAGGCATCGTCATCTCCTCAGAGTCAAACCCACATTGACAACGAATCCGCCAAAATGCGATATACACCACTCGTCTATTCCCTACTGACTGCGACACTTGCAGTCTCTGCTCTCCCCGAAAAACAACGACCTTTACAGAATAATCTCGGTCCCGCGATGCCTCCCCCTCCGTCCGACTCGCCCTCCACCTCAGACCCCTCGGGCGGCGATACGGTTATCCTTTCAGATGTGCTGGGAAATGATCGCAGTATCAATATCTTTGCAGGCTTCACCCGCGATTTCGCTACGATCAGTCAGAGATTCGAAGATAGTGCGTTGAATACGACGATATTAGCGCCTGTTAATAGCGCGATTATGGGATTACCTCGTAAACCGTGGGAAGATCCAAAGGATTATGATGAGTTAGGAGCGAATGCGTATGAAGGTGGAGATGGAGAGGAGAGAGCTCAGAGGAATCTGAGGAGGTTCGTGGAGCAACATTGTGTTGCTGCTAGTCCCTGGAAGGAGGGGGAGAAGTTAAAGACGCTTGCTGGAGATGAGATTTGGTGGGAGAGTAAGGATGGGGTTAAGATGGTTAGTACTGTTCTTTCTTGCTGTGTGGAGAGGATACTAATAAATTTGTAGATTCAACCTGGCAAGATTGAGGTCAGCAGCGTTGCGAGCAGAGTTCATAATGGGGAAGTTTGGATACTGAAGGGTGTACGAAACTATGCTTGAGCTGGGATACCCTACATCTTTATTTTGCGAATTAGGCGTACATATGGAAGGGGCTTGGACTAGTTTTATAATGGATTATGATAGATTATGTCGATGTGTATTGAGAGAGTTTTGATGAGAGCTACTGTGCCGTGGTATGTAGATAACGTCTATATATACAACACAATAGCTATATATGTGGAAACGAATTTTTGAGCATTTAGTGTCAAGTATAGGCACAGAAAAGCGTTTTTGCAAGCGGCGGTTCAGCTCCTCGACCATATTGAAACCGAGCCTCAAATATCTAAAGCTCGTACTCGGATGTGAGGTGGTTTACATTGAAGATGAGCAGAGGAAAGTGCATCGATATTCGCACACGAGTCAAGTTTCAACTGTAGGAAATATTGAAAGTTCTTATCATGTTGGAACAGTAAGTTTTCGTCTCAACCTAGAAGTTGCCTCTTCTCTCAGCCTTGCTGTTCGGGGAAATAGTGATCGGAGTGAAATTCAAACATTTGTTCAAAGGCACCAGATGCATTGGGATAAGAATTCTAAACGATTCTGAAATATTTGCAACTCTCCAGAGTCGATATTCTTCATGTAGTTGTTGATGAACACTGGTCGACGAGGCTGCAGCGCCGAGCTCAGCCTGATCCGATTTTATTGGACGGGTAGTCTAAGTTCTAGCCGATGTTCATCATCTTCCAGAGCTTTCAATCTCCCTCCTTTCACACACTTCACCTAAGTTCAGTCCCGACTTTGAATCTGCACGATATGATCCAAAGCCTGTTATTTACTGAACCAAATCTTTGGAATTTCTGATCCGCGACTAAAAGCCTGCTGGTCAGTTCTCGTGTAGATGCGCCCACGCCCGCTATCTCCCTGAAGCAGAAGACAGCTACTAATTTGCATCTTGGGAAGTAGGCATTGTCGTATTGAAACCCATAAACATTATTCTCAAGCTTCGATAATCGATCTCGACCCATCCTCCTTCTTTAACCATGAACAACCCTCCTCATGGCCCAGTGCCGGGCTACGACCGAGACCGAGATCGAGAGCGAGAGATCGAGGAACAGCATAGGCAACGCGCAGCATTACAGCAGCAAGAAGAGCTGGCACAACGAGAGCGCGATCATAATGAGAGACAGGAAAGAGAAAGACAACATCGAGAACAATACCAACCCGCTCCTCCTCATCAGAGTAGCACAGGCTCGATACCCATCCACCAACCCGTAGCATCGCGTCTACCAGGTGCTATACACAGTCCTGGCGGTCTTCTTGCAAACCATGGCGGTGCACCTCCTCCTGCTCCTTTAGGTGCACCGAGTGGCCCGGGAAATGCATTTGGTGGTCCTTTGCATAGTGAAGCCAATCGACCCCTCCAGCACCAACCTCCGAATCCCCCCAGCCAGCTCCAACAACAGCAAGGCTTTGGTCCGAGCATACTACATCATAATCCAGTTGGGGGCCCTGGACCGAATCCTGTTGCATTTGGTGGACCCCTCCAGCAGCAACAACAACAGCAACAGGCTCAACAACAGGCTCAACAGCAAGCTCAGCAACAGGCCCAGCAGCAACAGGAAGCGGTGTCGAGATTGCAGCAACTTCCATTTGGTGTCCCTCCAGGTCATCAGATGCCTGGGGCACCAGCTTTAGGACAAGGCGGTCAGCAACCTATATTGAATGTAAGTGCTAGACTCTTGTGATTCATTACCACTCGTCAAGTGTCCTTCAAATAATTCACACTTCCTAATCAACACTCGAATCTGCACCCACAACTTCTCCCATCCTTCCTAGCACAGAATTACACAAAGATATCTGGCTATACAAAATACAGCTTGTTGCACCCTGAGCTAGCTTAGGATCACTTGGTTCCTTCTATCCTGGATCAGCTTCAGAAAAAAAGGATAGAAAGATGTCAAATGCATGCAGCTGCCCTTAAAGCCCCCAACCTTAATACCACTTGATATCTTTGCCATGGCTAACTCGTATTTTCTTGCAGGACGCACTCAGTTACCTCGACCAGGTCAAAGTCCAGTTCGCCGACCAACCAGACGTGTATAACAGATTTCTCGATATCATGAAAGACTTCAAAAGTCAAGCGTTAGTCGAAGATGCCTTCTCGGCGTGACCAAGATTGCTAACAATTATATTGCAGAATCGATACCCCAGGAGTCATCAATCGAGTCTCCGAACTTTTTGCTGGTCACCCAAACCTCATTCAGGGATTCAATACTTTCTTACCGCCTGGTTATCGGATTGAGTGTGGTGCTGGAAATGACCCAAATACAATTAGAGTGACAACTCCCATGGGAACAACAGTGCAATCAATAACTGGTGCTGGCCGGGCACTACCCGAATCAGTATTGGTACAAGGCGGTGTAAGTGGAGTCTACTACGGTGGACAACGCCCTGGAAACTGGCAACAACAGCAGCCGCAACACAGTATCGAAAGCCCAGAAGCAGTCTTCAGCCCCCAGAATCAGAGCCAGCCAACTCCTTATAATCAGACGCCAAATCAACATACTGCATACGAGGCGCAACAAGCAGCGGCCGCAGCCCATCAACAACAACAAAGAGGAGTTTCTCAATTGACGAGTGCTGTCGCAACTTTGGGACACCCTCCGAGAAATACACAAACGCCAACTCCTGGGGGTCAGCCAGGTATGAATGGTGGAGCGCAGCCTGGTTTAGAGAAAAGAGGACCAGTCGAGTTCAACCATGCGATCAGCTATGTGAACAAAATCAAGGTATGTTGTTATTTATTTCACCCATAAAGAAGCAATTGCGCTTCAAAGATTGTTGCGGTTTTGAAGTTCGCCATATGGAACGATCTGCGCCGTCGCGAAGTCCCTAAATTCGGCTAAAACAAGAGAGCCTGAGGCGCAAAAGTCAATATACCAACACAATAGTAACGGCTAGTCCACAATGCTACCACTAACACAATGGTAACGGCTAGTTCACAATGTCACCACTAACACAATGACAATGAAAAAAATTGTTAAGATATCAACTGACACTTCTTCAGAACCGCTTTCAAGACAGACCCGAAATTTACAAACAATTTCTTGAAATTCTTCAGACCTACCAACGAGAATCAAAACCCATTCAAGACGTCTACGCGCAAGTTACTACTTTGTTCAACACTGCACCTGATCTTCTCGAAGACTTCAAACAATTCCTCCCTGAATCAGCTGCTCAAGCCAAAGCAGCCGCAGCCGCGAAGGCAGCAGAAGAAGCACAACAAAGTCAATTGCCCCCAAGCCAGGGTGCGCGAGGAGAATCGAAGATGCCGCCAGTTGGTAACTTCCAAGTCCCTCAGAGCAACAATACCAGCAAGGAGACCAAGAAACGTCCTCGCAATAGTGGCACAGCTCCTGCTCCACAACCCAATGTTGTCGGCGAGGGTTCTCGATCAGTACCTCAAGGTGCTCATGCCAACAAGGTAAGTTGCTTAACTCATCGCCATAAAGATATCACTAACATGATATTCAGAGAGCCAAGCTGAATCACAGTAAAATCGGTGCTCTTGATACTCAAGCCGTCTCCCCAACGTTGACACCTATCATGCCAGAGCCTCTTCCACCGACTTCGAACTCTGGTGCGTCGCAGGAAGAACTCGCCTTCTTCGACCGGGTCAAGAAGTATATCAGTAACAAGTCAGCCATGAACGAGTTTTTAAAGCTCTGCAACATGTTTTCTCAAGATCTCGTTGATAAAAACATGCTCGTTCACAAGGTCAGCCTATTCATAGGTGGTAATGCTGATCTTGCCAACTGGTTCAAGACTTTTGTTCAGTATGATGGCAAGGATGAAACCATTGACAATCAGCCCATGGCTCCATCCGGCCGTGTCGCACTTAGCAATTGCAGAGGTTTGGGCCCCAGCTATCGATTGCTGCCAAAGAGAGTATGTCCAATTCCACACCCCGAATACCTCCATGCACAGTACTACCTGCTTCCGGACGTGGCTAACAGTATTTCACAGGAACGTCTCAAGCCCTGCTCTGGCCGTGACGAGATGTGCAGGCTAGTACTCAACGATGATTGGGCCTCTCACCCTACTTGGGCTTCAGAGGACTCTGGATTCGTCGCTCACCGCAAGAACGTGTATGAGGAATCTCTCTCGCGTGTTGAGGAAGAACGCCATGACTACGACTTCAATATTGAAGCCAATTCCAAGGTCATTCAGGTTCTCGAGCCCATTGCACAGTCCATCCTGGGCATGACTGAAGATCAACGACAAACCTTTATCATGCCAACTGGCTTCCAAGGTTCCTCTCAATCCCTGTATAGACGTGTTTTCAAGAAAGTCTATGGGGACCGTGGTCTGGAGGTCGTTGAGGACATGTTTAGAGACCCTTGCGCTGTCCTGCCCATCGTGCTTGCTCGTTTGAAGCAGAAAGATGAGGAATGGCGCTTCACGCAGGTATGACAACTCTACATTGATGATCTTGAGCAGATGCTAATAATTTGTAGCGTGAGTGGGAGAAGGTTTGGCAAGCCCAGACTCAAAATATGTACTTGAAGAGCCTTGATCACCAAGGTCTCAACGTCAAGACAGCCGACAAGAAGAATCTCTCTGCCAAGCACCTTGTTGATGTCATCAAGACCAGGACTGAGGAGCAACGCCGTCAACGACCCACTCTCAATGGCAAGCAGAAGAAGATCGCCTTCCAATTCACCTACGAAATCTCCGATTCAGATGTTATCCTTAACGTCCTTCGGTTGATGATAGTCTATGTGAAGGGTGCTGTTCATCACAATGCCTCCGAACGTCGTCGCGTCAGAGACTTTTTCGACAAGTTCGTAGGCATCTTTTTCGGCATCTCTCATGAGCAAATCATGGAGGCTACTAACGATGTTGATCGTGACACTCCTGATGATGACTCAGAAGAGCTTCCTCCTACCGAATTGCCAAACGGTCGCAGCAAACGCTCCAACGGCAAGAAGACTGATCTTCGCCGTGGAGTCCTTGACCGCAGCCGCAACGGAACTAAGAGCAGACAAGACGATAGTGCGACTGGAAGCAAGGAGTCAACTCCGGAATCTGCTGCAGACGACGATGATGCTGCTGATGCCGCTGAAGATCAGTCTGTCAATCAAGTCTCTGATGAGCGTTGGTTGAAGCAAACGTCAGTTGCCAAGCCTGATACTGAACTCAATGCCGACCAACCAGTCCTTCGTACTAGCTATAAGCTTTGGGCCAATCAAAACATCTTTGTTTTCTTCAGCATCTTCCAAACCCTGTATCGAAGATTGAAGGAGATCAAGGACAGTGAGGCAGAGGCCATTGACCAAGCTAACCGTGCTGCTCTCGACAAGCCTGCTAAGTTACTTGACTACATCAGCGCGAGAGACGAAGCCAGACTCAGCGAGGATGAGACCTTCTACTCGCGTGCCTTGCAGCTGATCGAGGACTATGTCAAGGGTGACATTGATGAGAATACATATCAGAGTTGGCTTCGACGTCATTTCTTGATGAAGGGTTGGCAAGCTTTTACCGTCTTGGATCTTCTCAAGACTCTCGCCAAGCTTGGCTCCATCTGCTCCAGCCCAGATGTCAAGGAGAAGACGTCGGACCTCATACGTCAATTCTACGCTAATAGACAATCGGAGGAGACCACCTACAACAACGAAATCAACATGCGAAAGCAAGCTGACAAATGGATCAAGGACAGCGAACTGTTTTTGATTGAATGGGTAAGTACGCTCACAATTTCAGAACTCATATACTAATCACCCTCTACAGAATTCTCTCAAGAAGACAGCCGGTGTTAGATGGTTCCAGCGCGAGGATACCACTTGGGATCTTGATGACATGACTGCCATTGATCAATGGAAGTACTACGTCTCCTCCTACTTCCGCATCGAGCCCACCGAAGGTGTCCCCCGTGAGAGAATGCACAAGGCGGTGTTAATGCGTAACGTCTCCACAAGCGATGCCGATTTCGAAGATGGCGCCGCTCGTGAAGTAAAAGCCGGCAGTAAAGAGGACCTCATCATGCGCATCGCCGTTCACGGCTTCGAGATCAAATTCGGCCCCCCTCCTAATTCTGAGTACTTTATCTTCACCGATAAGCCCATTGGTGACGATCCTGCAACTGGCGAGAACTTTGCTAGGGAGCGACTTCGACCATTTGAGAATATTCGAACGGAGAGATTCAAGGAGAAGTTTGAGATGAATAATGCTTGGATGAAGGGCAAGAGTCGAGATGAGGTTGCACTAAAGAACGATCAGTTCAAGAAGTGGATGGAGGAGGGCGTCGTTGCATCATCCTCTACTGCTGCTGCTGCTCCTCCAACGGCGATGGATGTTGACGAAGATGCGGAGATTTTGTGAAGACGGCGTGGATCTGGGAATGGGGTGTCTATGGGGTTAAGCAGTGACTGGCATGTCACCTTGCTCGAGCTCTTTTCTTTCATTATGGCTTTCCTGCCGTTCATTTTCTCATATGGGCGGTCATGAACTCTGATTTGCTGGTCTTTGCTTCTCAATGGCCATAGATTGCGTGCGGTGTTACATATTATGTATGGATTTTGCTTTTTGCACTACTCTGGAAGCCCCGTCGCTTGTGCTATGGGGTGGATTGTAAGCTAGAAAAATAGCATGGATTCTTATGACTGATACTTTCATGCTCTGTGACAAGTTTTAATGGTTTAAAAGGTTCGAAAAGAACATGCTTTGCACTATTCAAGGCTCACTAACGCCAATCCATGCAACAGACTACCAATCCTATCCTATCCTATGATACATTCCCGCCCGGGAAACCCATCCTATCCATAATACGCCAACCATAAATACACACAGATAACCACCCACGCCACCCGCCAAATACTCGTCCAGGCTTCTCTCCATATCAGCTTCACTCCTTTTAACGGCACGGCCTCCTTTCTCCCTGCTCCATTCCCATTCCCAACGAAATCAAAAATCGGCGGCTTCTTCGTCGCAGCATCGTCGTCCCATCTGGGGTTGTAACCTGCGGTGTTGATAAGAGGTGGGGTAGCGAACCGGACTTGAGAGGCGGGTAAGCCGTATCCTTTTGCAGGGCTCACGGATCTTGTGCGCGCGGCGGAGGAGCGGGGAGCGAGGTTTAGGTTTTGGATGTTGTTTGATGATGTTGAGGATGTTGAAGAGTTTGAGGAGCGAGTCTCTCTTCGTTCTGGTTCTTCGCGTTTGAGGTCCGCTTTAGTGGTTGGGAGGAGGGGGTAGTCGTTGGTGTTTGATGAAGAGGAGGAGGAGGGAGGGGAGGAAAAGGGAACGAGACTCAGGAGTGGGACGAGGATGGCGCGGATGGTGAGAGTGAGCAGGGTTAGGACTATGAGGGTTAGGTAGCGGAGGAATATGCTGATTTGGTCGGGGAGTAGACAAAGATGTGATTCCATGGTCGTTACGGCTGTAGATTGAAGAGATTGTCCCGAGGTATCGATGGGGTTCCACATGCTGAGGAGTAAGAAGCCTGGTTTTCGAACTCCCTGTGCCCAGCTCATACTTTTTACTGTTATTTCGCGGGCGGAGTTCTTATTTGCTGGATGGACAATTTCGCAGTAATCATGGTCGTCGCCCGAGAATACGGATTTGACGTTCCCAATAGCAGAGACGAGATTAACCGAGTCGTCCTCACTGAGTACATTTTGGTATTGATATCCTCTGGAGATCGAGATCGCATTTCGGTGATCTGGAAATACCGGGGTAGTCTGGCCCTTAGGAGGTGTCTCCGGAGGCCAGTGCTCTCTCATTGGTCCGCAAGGAGTCCCTGGTTGGCGGTATAATGGCACATGTGTGAGGAGAACTGTTGGAAGCTCTGGGCCCGAAGGTCCAGGATCGAGAGTAGGAAGGTGTGAGAAATCGACTTGGTCCAAATCTTCAGCCTTATGTACATGTTGCAGTACTTTCTCCTGTCCAGCTTGGATGCTCAATTCTCTCACAACAGCTTTCCTTTTCAGGCTCCGAACATTTGCGAGGAAGTCTTCGACCGGCTGGGTGAGCTCTTTCGTCCCATGTGCATCTCCTCCAGCACTTAACGAGACCGCATCCACAGAGACGAATGTATGGTTTCCAATCACATCCACTCTATTTCCCTCGCCAAAATACGTTTCGAATCGATTCCTTATGGGTATTTTAACTTGCTGCCCAAACCCCAAATCGTGATTTCCAGGTAACGTCGAAATGATCTTCCTCCCTCTCTGCCAAGGCCCTGGACTCGTACCCTTCATCCAGAAATCAAAGAATATCCTCCCGAACCGGTCATATTCATGCAACCAATAATCCTCCCCATACCGCTTTCCCCAAGTCTCGACAAATGCTTGTTCGCCCGAGGGCCGTAGCCCATTCGCCCACGACGGATCCTGCGTATTCCCATGCGCCGTTTTCCACTCCCTCCCCCCATCAAACAGGTCCCCCAAGAAGAAAATCGTATCCGGATTCAGCGATTCTTGGAGCGAAATAAACGACCTCTTCATATAATTATCTGTATGCATGATGGTAAACTTGTCCAACGGCCACGGCCGCCCCGGGTAGCTATGCGCATCAATAAGCTGGGGATCCGCCAGAAATACCAGATGATGCGGCGTCGCATCTTTGGGCTATATATTTCCAATCGTCAGCCTCGTCCCTCAGACAATAGGTAAATTGTATACGAACCCAACTCTCCCAATTCTCCCACTTACACTCCTGTACCGAACTCCTAAACACCCATCTCTCGCCCCAAAGCAGGAGAACTACCCAAATTGCAATAAACGCATGCGGCAGACTCAGCAACCTCCTCGGGTGGAGGGAGAGACAGCTTCTCTCCCAGCGGCGTAAGGACCTCGGGATTCGCGAAGCAGTGGTGCTTTGGGTCGGGGACTCGAAGACTCGGTGCATTTGAGCTGGGAGGCCGCTGGGGAGCGCGGATATGAGGCGGGAGAGGAGAGAGGGCGGTTCGACGAAGTGGTCTCGTGTTGAGGTGCTATAATATGTCGGTGCCATTTTGATGATCGGTGCTGCTTGCCATTCTCGGATGCGCCGAAGTGTGTACGAAGTATGTACTCCGGTGATTGTGAGGGCGAAGAGAGGTGAGAGATGAGAGAAGAAAAGAGAGAGAAAGGAGAGCTGATGAGTGAGGAGCTGGGAAGTGAAATTTGAGCAGAGAAGCGGGTTAGGGTTCTTGGGGCCGAGATGGGTCGAGGGGATGGGATGGATGGGGCCCAGAGATTTGGTCTCGCTCGTAAAATTACTTGGTTCATGGGGAAGCGAGAGCCTAAGCCGATAAGGCCCGGATAAGAAATAGGGGCTGACAGAACCCAGGGCTTCACTTATTACGTTTCATTTACGAGGTGAAATTAAATCCATAAGCCCCAATAATGCAAACTCGTTTCATTCTTGTACGGTGAGTAGCCAATTAATGAGTCCATTGTTTCATACACTCCACGATTCGTCAAAAAGTGATAAAAGTCTATATGTGTCCCCTAGGTAGGTATCTCGAGATATTACGAAGAAGATAAAACATCCAAGAAATGAGAATGGTAAAAGCCTGCCAGTGATGTGTATACTCGTGAGTGCTATCTCTTCTAACCCAATTCTTAGAAAACCCAGGTAAATGACTTCTTGACTTCGAATGAGCATTTTCCCCTACGAAATGGTAAGTATTGGGTTACAAAAGGCCCTGGAGAGAGAAAATACCTGATATCCGCAGAAGAAGCTCCAATAAGAACTTGGAACACGCCCTCCTCTGCAATCCACTGAAGGAGATCAGTGTCGTAATATCCAACCGAGTATTTGTCGAGCTTCAGTGTAGCATTCTTGACCTCGCCCGGCTTCAAGAACACTTTGTCGAAAGCTTGGAGTTCCTTCTCAGGCCGTTGCAAACGAGATTTCTCGTCGTGAATGTAGGCCTGGACGATTTCCGCACCTTCGACTGAGCCAGTGTTCTTTACTGGAACAGTGATTGTGATCTTGCCGTCTTCGATGAGAGTTGGGCTGCTGATTGTAGGCTTGCCATATTTGAAGGTGGTGTATGAGAGTCCGTGGCCGAAGGGGAAGAGAGGTGCAATGGCTCTCTTCTCGTAATGGCGGTACCCAATGTGCAACCCTTCTCCATAAAGTACCTTGAGATTCTCACCAGGCCAATTGGTATATGTTGGGTTGTCTTCAAGTCTCTTAGGGAATGTGGTCTGGTAAAATTAGCACCTCGCGTTCCTTGGAAGATAGGTTCTACTCACTGGAAGTTTTCCGCTTGGAGTTTTGAACCCGAATAGTACATCGGCCAAGGCATTTCCAGCTTCTTGACCTTGATACCATGCTTGCACAATTGCAGGAACACGATCTGCCCATGGCATTGTGACGGGCGAGCCAGATTGGTTGACGACAATTGTTCTCGGATTGGCCTTTAAGACGGCTTCGATCAGGCGATCTTGGCTGCCATCTGCTGGGAGATCCATCGTCATTCGGTCATATCCTTCAGATTCCCATTCTCCATCCAGACCTACAATGACGACTGCGACATCAGAAGCCTTGGCGGCATCGACTGCTTCCTTCAGGTAGTCCTTCTTGTCTTCTTCCTTGTAACCAATTCGAACTCCGCCATTTCCATGGGTTCGTTTCTCAGCCTTTTGTCTCCATGCTGGTCGCAGCTCGTTGGTCAATTCCGCTACGACTTTGATTGGCTTTCCAGCTTCAAGCTGCATGGTGAAAAGTTGCTGTTGAGAATCGTCAAACATGGCCTCTCCTTTCTCGGTCCAGTTCCAGATGTCAACCATTAATTTACCATCAACGTAAAGCCGTCCTGCTCCCACACTTGAGAAACTCATTGTATGAAGTCCGGTTGTCTTGGGTGTGAGAATCGTCTTAGCTCTGCAGGACCAGATATTGCCGACCTCTAGCGGTACCGAATCCCAGAGAAAGAGGTCAGTGTTCGTTCTTTGCTGAATGACTCGTGGCTTTCCCTCGAACTTGTCACCAATATGGAACTCGAGGCTGACCCCTGGCTCTCCTGAAGCTGTCTTGCAGTAGTCTGCTGCTAAAGGTAGCCATTTGTATGTTTGGCAGCCGACGGCGTACTTGACCTCCTTCTTGGCGACTGCTTTGATGCTGTCGAGAGGGAGCGTGTTATAGTATGGATTCAAACTCGCACTACCTCCACCACCAGCAATAGCCCGATTAGCATTAGGACCGATGACGGCGATCTTGTGCGAGGGCTTGATAGGCAGGATATTGCCTTCGTTTTTCAGCAGAGTCAGTCCTTCGGCGCCCGCATCTCGAATCAATTGGCGAGTCTCTTCCCGGTCATCCTCCTGCTCTGCGACTTCGGCTGACATGTCACTGCCTTTCGTTCGCTCGACTAAATACAGGACATTGGCTGCGGCCTTCTCAACTGCTTCTCTACTCAAATCCCCGTTCTCAACTGCAGCAAGGGTTTTCGCACCACGCCATAATGTAGATACCTGGGCCCCACAGCTTTCAGTCAACATACTTCTTCATGAGTACTGACGAGAAGAGAATTATAGGAGTGTCGGTATATTAAACAAGTGGGAGATAAGGCGCAAACGGATGTATCAAGAAGAAAGGGGCTTGAATATACTAACAGGCATTTCGATGTCGCATCCCGTCTCAATGGACTCGACGTAAGAGTTCGTTCCACCCCAATCAGACATTACCAACCTAGAACAGTTAGAAAGAACGACTTGGAGAATAATTCGTAACATACCCATCATAGCCCCATTCGCCTCGCAGAATGTTTTTCAACGTGTGCGCATTCATGTCTGCATGGACGCCATTGATTAAGTTATACGATGACATTACCGCCCAAGGATTGGCTTCTCGAATTGCGATCTCAAAAGGACGGAGATAAAGCTCTCGAAGAGGACGTTCTTGGACAAGAGAATCAATCTTGAATCTTTCCGTTTCTTGCTCATTCGCCACAAAGTCTGTATAGATCAGCACGTGATGGAACAACGTTCAACCTCAGTTGGACTGACGCTTGATTGTTGCTGCGACTCCTTGCCCTTGTAAGCCATTAATGTACGACGCAGCTAGCTTCCCCGTCAAATACGGATCTTCGGAGAAAGATTCAAAGTTTCGTCCACCAAGTGGTCCACGGTGTAAACACACAGTCGGTGCAAGTAGTACTTGAGCTGATCTCGCTTTAACTTCTTCGGCGAGATGCTGACCGACTTGGAAGAGAAGATCTGTGTTCCATGATGCGGCCAGCGAAATACCACAGGGGAAAAGAGCTGCCTATTATCGTATCAGTATACGTGTTTTATCTCGACGGATATTGGAGCCGACCTTGGTGCCTGTTGATCAGTTAGTATAAAGATCTGTCGCGAGATGAACGTTGAAGCCAACCTGCTTTGAAGATCGCACCACGAGCGCCATTAGGACCATCACTGGTTTTAAATGCTATAAAAGGCCTCTATGTTAGCACACTGCTTTTGACCATGTTTAGGAACATATGCGTGCAGCAATAGCAAACATGCCTGCCTGCATGCGGAGAGACCTCGAGTCTCAAGGCCCCAAAGGATAGCATAGTACAGGGGGCATTGCTTTGAGATGACGTACCTGGTATACCCTTCTCGGGGATAGCTTTTGATCTCCAAAAATCCGCTGCAGTCAGAAGCGAGACCTGTAATTTATTAATATCAAATTGCATGCCACTCTTAATGATAGAAGCTCTCCTACTTGTTCCTCGAGTGATAGTGAAGCAGCTAAAGCTCGTGCATTGGCTCTCTTGTCATCCGCAAGTGTAACGATCTTGGTTGCCGGACTGTCCGGCGGTGATAACTCTGAGTTTGGTGTTTCGTTTGTACCAGAGTCCTCGGCAAACTTGTCGAAGATAGGCTCGTGAATCTGGCTACCAGGAGACTCTGCTGGGGACTCCGACATAGTGATGGATGTTGTCCGTTTCTCAATTCGAACAACGTTGTTTGTGTCGAATATCAGATCAAATTCTCCGAGGCGACTAATTGTCGATGAAACGCCTCACGACACCAAGAAAACTCTCTGCTTTTGCGGACACCTTGGCTGGCTTTTGGAGCGAACGTTGAAGAATGAAAAGACTTAGAAGTTTTTAATGTCACAACAAGTTGGAAATACGCATTCTATATACAATAGATGCTAGATAGGACTAGAGGAGAAGCAATGGAGATCAGCTGGCTCCAGGTGATATATCTCAGACCGATATTTAAGCGGATAAGTGTGCCATATTCCGCGAGTAAAGAACAAGAGAAAGGTAAGATGAGACGAGAATGGGTACATGGCATTTTCTAGGCGCGGCGGCTGAATTGAGCAATACTATGGACTGTGAGAGATGGGGTGCTAATGAATTCAGATGGGAGACGGGCGAGCCACGACACGCGCACCCCTGGTTCATGTCGTCCACTGCTGCATGGGGCAAGCCGAGCAGACCGACCAGTGCAGTATGACCGACCGTTGACCAGCGTGTGGGGACAGCTTTACTCCCGCTGACCAGCGACGGGCCTTGAATGCCAACGCAGGCAGTGTAGGGTTGTGTGCTAGAGCATGGAACACACGACAGGCCCTCAGCACGAAGGCGAGAACGGTATGGGCGGACCGACGCTGCGAGCGTCTCGTCCTGAAGCCAGACTTCCTTGTAGACTTATCAGGGATTCGGAAAGACCTCGGTGGGGCAATCAACTGGAAGCAGGCCGGTTGTCGTTTGCGAGGGAAAAGCTTAAGCTGCTGTAAAGATGGACGTCGTCTGAAGTTCATCGAGACTTCATATCGAAGGCGTCAATAGCCTCGAGGTTGGTAAATTGGGAGGCGAAACGCATAAGAGGCCTGATCCTGGAGAATAGAAGGCTCTGCAGGTGAAAATCCGTGCCGTAGTTGTCCTTTGAAGGGCTTCCATTGCGGGCATGTTTGCGATGCGGCAGCGAGTCAATCGCGTTTGTTCCGAACGGCCCTCCGGCCCGAGTCGCCAGAAGAGAAGCTGGTTCTAGGGCACCGCAAGACGTTCTAGCTTTGGACGATCACAGGTAAGCAATCAAGAAACCACAGTGGAGACTTGGTACTCGCATTGTGAGAGTTTGGATACCTCGGGAGATGTACCGTGCTGTGATTATCGCAGAGCATATGCGAAGGGGTTTGTGCTTGCGTGCCTTTGCATTCTGCATTTTGCATGATCGTGCAGTTGCATCGAGTTGATGTGATTGATGACTTGAGAGGCAGAACACCAGAGCTAGTCACTAGATCAAGCTATAAACACACCGGTGCGGGTTTATTTAGCCGCACCCCCTTCACTCTCAAATAGGTAAGCGACATGAATATTGCGCAACGGAAAACGGAGTTCCTGGACGTACTTGTAGATCTTCAATAACTGCTCATTTTGTTTCTACCGACTATACCGACATAATAATTTGCATACGTTGCCCTCAAATGGCTGTCTCCCCGATTCTCAAAGCTTGCGTAGCTTTCTCTTGCACTCTGGTGATAGTCTGGTAATACTAAAGAGACCCTGGTGTGCCTTTATACTACCAAAACCTCAAAATCCCAACGCTCTGGAGCAACCTTGAGAAACTCCTCTGAATCTCATCCAATATGCAAACTCGATCTCATCTAATCTAATCTTTGAAAACATTCAGCCAATCCAAATTAATACCAAAGTTGGTTCTGGGTGACACAACGCCCGGCTTGCTCGCTCGCCTCCAAAGTTGTGTTACGCTACTTCAGCCAGATTTCTTCCCGCATCCCTTCCAACACTTCCACTATGCACTTCGTCTTGATATTTACCACCAACCCCTGCCCACGATACCACAGACGATCTGCACAGCTGCAACGACATGGCTGAAAGCTCCGAAACCCATGCCAACGTTCTGGCCGAGGAGCCAGATGAGCCCCAATCAGACCCACTACCTCGTCGTTCGTCCGTCGAAACAGACGCGCGTGAGGCAACTGAGTTGGCGCGATTGAGACGCCGCTACTCGACCCGGTCCTCACGCCCTGCCCCGGAGAAGAAGCCATCCACCCTTCTAGAACATGGCATATATGCTATCAGGAGCTTTTGGAGGCATCAGGTCAGCATAGTTGTGGACCATGATACCTGTAGGGACCATTTGGGTATGCTGCTCTTCAACTTTCTCTCCCGTTCATATCTATCAGATAGAGTCCGTACTCTACAGCCGCCTTTTCATTGGGCTACCGGAAGACGATGTCCGACCAGGCCACATGCAGAAAGTCATCTGTACTTGGCAGACCGCGTTTCATGAAGAAGGGCTCCAGGTTTTCAATTGTGTTGGAGTGGCCGATGTCGTCTATTTTTCATCTATCAGGGGGAAGACAGGGCTGGCATCACGCCCCGGGTCACGTTCCTTGTTCCCATCGTATTTTAGACGACCTGCAGGAATTGAAGGTTACTAACAAAAGTATTCAGCACTGGAAAGAACCTTTCTCGGCTACCTCAGAACCTCGCTGGCGCTGTCGATGATAGGGATCACCGTTGCGCAACTCTTGCAAGTACTTCCACATTAATTGACGCCAGGATGTATACTAACGGATATTAAAGTCGCTTGCAGCACTCGCCGACCCCGAATTTGGCCTTTGGCTTTTACGTCCTTGGTAAACCATTGTCTGGTATCTGTCAAGGAGCAGCAATCTATACCCTGATCATTGGTGCCTTTCGAACATGGAGATCCCAAAATGCTATTGTGAGGGGTAAGGCTATCTCGGGAGGCTTCGAGATTGTCGGGTTAGCGGCCGGCATCCTGCTGGTAAGCTTTGATGGAATCTATTTTCGGTAACAGGATACCGATCCGACTGACACATGTAGATTCTACTTATGTTCCTAGTCCTGCTGATTGCAGTTGACGTCTCTAAAGAAGATGCCACCTGATGTATGGCCCCACCTGATGATAGGCAAGACGAGCCGAATGAACCCTGATAAGAGAATTTGTATTTGCCAGAAACTACCGGCTCATCGGCGATGATTGGAGGCTTTTCTCGACACGAAGGATCCCTTCAATCAATCAGCCATGCGAAGGCTACCGGTTAAGGCATTCGACGCCGGGACACTGCATGTCTCGCATGCCACGCCAACTATACTCCGGAAGCCACCATCGGGGTATTCAATGGCGTACCGGAAACTTTCCAGAGAGGAGCGACGAAGTTGCAGGACGACTGGAATGATTAGTTTGGATGGCGAATCTTGGAATCATGGGTCGGGGAGATCTGGTGCATAACCGGACTGTAAAGGGGCTGCTCTCTGATTGTGTGCCTTGCAGCCATGTAAAGTCGAGCCACATGTCACGACATATGTATATATTATGCCGAACAGCTCTTTTTTTGCAGATCTATTTTCTCTCCCGTCTTGTACGAGGCTGCCAAGGTGGTCGCATAGTAACAGGTAGAGTTTCTTTGATGAAGTTCAGCATGAGATAGTCCTTGACTCCCAGGTAGAGATTAATATGTGTATCAGAACCCTTTCGTCCGATGTTTACTCATGAGAAGATCCACAAACTCACCTAGAAGACAGAGAAGTGACAAAGGTACCTGGGTACTAGGGATGCAGAAAAGGCACAAACTGCACATCACGTGTCAGAAATAGGAGTCCACGTGACCTGTCTATCCCTTATCATGTGAATGCTTTGAAACCTCAGGCGCTTGCAATGAACCGCTAAGAACGGTAAGTCGGCTCTCCTTCAAGCATGTGCAGAAACATCGCAAATCAAAGACTAAGCCAAACCATGACATTCTCATCTCTTCTTGCGCCTCCTGTCTTAGATTCATTTGTCACTTAGGAATTTGCGGCAGACGCACTTAATAAGAGTGTATTGCCCCTATCCTCAGACCCTCGATTCGACATCACCTGTCATCTCAAATATCAACAAGGATTGTCGCAGCAAAGACGTCTCTTGCAAACTAATTGCAAGAGCCGCATCGGTACCGGAGTCGAGAGTGGGGTCTTGCCTCCCGAGACCATAACACAAACTTATCGGACGTCTATTGTACAACCTCGACACGTCCGCCAGTCCTCAAGATGGCGTGGTCAAAGTCTACTCGCATTTCGGTAATGCTGGCTATCGATGGCGCCTTCTTCGTCCTAGAGTTGGGGGTGGGTCTGGTGGTTGGATCTTTGGCATTGATGGCAGATGCTTTCCATATGGTGAGCAACAGCTCTCAGCACAATCTCAGGATTGCATTATCTGCCGGTGAATTGGCAGAGCTTTGAAATCTGGGGTCTGCAGTGGCATATAATCGGGACTAACCAAGGCCTAGTTGAATGATATCATTTCTCTTATTGTTGGACTATGGGCTGTGAAGGCTGCGCAACAGTCGTCAACAGATAAGTACTCGTTCGGGGTAAGCAATTCTGCGTTCTGGCTTCGAAATTCCCTTTGCTAATTCTATATTCAGTGGCTTCGTGCTGAAATCCTTGGCGCCTTCTTCAACGCTGTCTTTCTCATCGCTCTATGTCTGTCGATTGTTCTCGAAGCTATTACTCGATTAATTGACCCTCCTGAGATCAGCAACCCGAAGCTTATTCTTATTGTTGGTTCTTTGGGCTTGGCTTCCAACCTTGCTGGCTTCTTCGTACTTGGAGGACATGGACACTCTCATGGACCAGAGGAGCACGATCATGACCATGGAGACGAGGTTAGGGCTGCAGAAGAAGGCCACAGCCACAGCCATGAAGGACACACACATGACGAGGAAGATTATGGCAACGCTGGTGAAGTCTTTCCAGAGGCAGTTGTAAGCAAAGCCAAGGCGAAGGCTAGCCAGCATCTTCGATTTTCTGCAGATGATGAGGATGCCGAAACAGCTCGGGACAGCAACGCCTCTGTTGGCAGATCTCCTGTCAAGACATCTTCTCCCTCTAAAGGTCATCGCCGAAGAGCTAGCAGCGGGCGGGCCAGTCGCTATAGCAAAATCGACGATTTCAGCATTCACCCCGCCAGCTTTAGACAAGACATCATTGCCGCAAGTAGACCTCAGCTGGATGGCCTCGACAGCACAAGCTCTTCTTCAGATGAAGAAGCTGTCGAACATGGAGATGCAACAGAAAATTCGCCTTTGCTCAGTCGTTCCAACGGTCACTCTCACGGATCCCTTGATAACCACAAACATGGCCACGATGACGATCACTCTCGCACTCCTAAGCCAAGACATGATTCATGGCATGCGAGTCACAACCACAACAAACCAAAGAAAGCTAAGAAAGGTGGACACGGCCACAATCACGCTGATATGGGCATGAACGCCATGATCCTCCATGTCATTGGTGACGCTCTTGGAAATGTCGGTGTCATTGTCTCCGCGTTGGTTATCTGGCTTACGACATGGTCTGGACGTTTCTATGCCGATCCTGCCGTCTCTCTTTTCATCACCCTCATCATTCTAAAGTCTACCATTCCCTTGACATCGGCTACCGCCAAAATCCTTTTGCAAGCTACACCGGACCACATCGAAGTCAATGACATCAAGGAGGATATTCAAGACATTCCTGGAGTTGTCAGCTGCCACCATGTTCACATCTGGCAATTGAGCGATACCCAAATTGTGGCATCTATGCACATTCAAGTCGAATTCCCAATCAGCGAAGCTGGAGGCGAAAAGTACATGGAACTAGCCAAGGCTGTTCGAAGATGTCTTCATGCATATGGAATTCACAGTGCTACCATTCAACCTGAGTTCTGTCTTGACAAGGACCACGACCACAATCTCGAAAGACCAGGCACGGTTGGACTCGACGGCATAGTCGGTCAAGCACGATGTGGTCTCGATTCGGACGATACATGCCTCCTAGAGTGTGTAGACGACTGCAAAGGAAAAGGTTGCTGCAGTCCGAAGACTGTAGAACCACAACACGATCACTCAGATCACGATGGACACACTCATTAGATTTCTTTTATTAGTTACACGGGCTTTGATTGGGGACACAGCATTTTCATAAGCCATTAGCAAAAATAGCTATTTTTATTGGGTCTTGGCGTCGCTCTATTTCTTTCCTGTCCATATTTTGGGGAGCGTGGTCGCTGTCAATTCGTTGGGATGGCTAAAAGCAGACGCTGTGCTGCGGCCTGGGCGAATGTATATTACAGGCTTTGTAAGTTTATAGACAGCGGAGCCTACATAATGAACGTTTTGGTATTGTAGATGTATACTTGAGCATGTGACTCCTTACTTGAAATCCCGCCTCCCTATACTTTCGGACCATACAGCGCAGTTCGACAAAGCGCAAGTGCCGCTATGCAAGACCAACAGACCTGTCATCCAAAATATTGATATCAGCGCCAGAACGGAGGGCAATCACTACCACAAAGAGACAATGATCCTTGGTTATTGACAATTTTCTCCATCAAAAGTGGCGTGCGTAGTTGACATTTCTTTTCCTTCTCAATTACTGTATGAAGAAAGCCAAAGCGAAGAAGGCTGGCTGTGCTCAACATGGCTGGCTGTCTAGTGTGCGGCTGGAGCCGCGGTGAGACTGTTGTCTTGGACAGACCCGAGATTGAAGTGAGACATGATCCCGATCCCGTTCCCGTTTCCACTGTTGGCGAGCTGACTTTGTTTTGCTGTGGGTGATTAGTAAGAACACATTTTGGATATTCAACTCAGAGGAGAACTGGAGATTTGATGAAAAATGGGGAATCTTCGTGAGTGTGTTTTTCGCTCGGGATGCTTCCTAGATTTATTCTCTGACTGCGGACTTCAACTAGATGTCCCCAAGACCAAGGCTGTGTCGTATTGGGACCCGTTTCAGCTCGTAATTTGAGACTGATTGAGAGAAGAGACTGAACAATGGTCTTGTTTTTATCGAAGTGCTAAGTAGATCTCGAGGGTCGGTCCTGGAGAGGGTTCCTTTTGCATAATAGCAAAGAGAGCAAGTGCTTGGATGTCGATTCGCATTTGAAAAATTAAAAATGTTCAAAACTGTCTAATATCTCGGACAGTGGGTGGCAGGCCAAGTTCAACGGGTTTATATTCAAAAGGAATAAAGAGAGAAATCCTCCCTGTTATCCCCGCAACGTTCGGCTTCAAGCTCAAGCGAGGTTCTCCTGAGTTCTCTCCATCCATGAATGTACACGAGCCTCAATTGACACTTTCCCATGAAAGGAAACCACGGAGTCGTGCCTCCGTAATCAAGAAAGGGAAAGTAACGTTTCGTGTGGGGTCGATCACCCTCCACCAAGAAACCCGGTATGTCGGGTCCAATCATGCGGGGATTTTGAGGTGGGGGAGATCAACTCCCCGCAAATTCTCCTTCGGGTCGGAGAGAAGAGATGGAGAAGTTTCGACTGCCATGCGATATGGTTGCGGATCAGCTGTGGCCGAAGACCATGAAGGGTTAAGTGTCTTTGAAGCTGAGGTTGGGTTTACGTTGTCGGGATTTTGGTGGTATGTTTGGAGATATATAAAGGTTGGGTGAGGATCGGCAGTCTGACTGTTCTACGCGGAGAACCCTGTTGTGAGGCCCTTTCTACCTCGTATTCCCTCTGAGCTTCTCAGAACTTGAGAGTCTTTTACAAACAGATTCGGAGTTCCAGCCATGGAGAAGGATTTGAATTCAAGTCATATCGAAAGCAGTGGCACTGCTGCAGTTGTACTTCCTCCCCAGATCGTATCCGATGCCGACCTCTTGAAAGCTGGTGCGGATTCAGTCAAAGAAGACAATGTTGCGAACGTCAACCTGGTACGTCTGTCTCTTACCTAGCCTTGAACATCTTGCAACTAAAACTCCCAGGCCGCTGCTCTTGGTCCAAATAAGCCAGCAACATGGGGACCAGGGCATCGCAAGTTGTACGCCATGTGCATTCTCATCTACCTATGTTCCACTATGAATGGATACGACGGATCACTCATGGGAAGTATCAATGCTATTGGATCATTCCAGCAGTACTATGGGCTTTCTGAGAATGGCGCTGCTTCGACTGGCATTGTATTTGCAATCTTCCAGGTTGGGCAGATGGCTGGAGCTCTCTTCATATGGCTTGCGGACTGGAGGGGACGGAGACTTTCCATCTTCATTGGGACCTTAGGTGTCTGCGTCGGTAAGTGGAACTTCTTGAACTAGGAACTAGGTTTGACTGAATACTTTTCATAGGTACCATCGTCACCTCAACTGCAAAAGACCTAAGTACATTCATTGGTGGGAGATTTTTACTCTCGTTCTTCTCAACGTTAGCAACTACAGCTGCCCCATTGTATCTGATCGAGATCGCACCTCCCATGTACCGTGGCACCGTTGCAGGGCTTTACAATACTCTATAGTAAGTCCCTGATTTCGCGCACATGTCTGAGAGTTTTGGGATATTAGGCTTGAAGGCATGCTGACTTGAAATAGCTATATGGGTAGTATACTGGCTACATTTACAGTGTACGGAGCAAACCTTCATCTATCTGGTAACATCATATGGCGTCTCCCTCTCTGGCTACAAATGGTATGCCCGGGCTTTGTAGCCTTGTTTGTATGGTTTCTGCCAGAGTCTCCTCGCTGGCTTATTGGTACGTTTCAGTCACTGTAGCATGTTGGCTTCGGCTCACCATATGTCACAGGCCAAGAACGTTTCGAAGAAGCACGAGCGATCATCGTCAAGTATCACGCCAACGGTGATGATGTCCACCCAATCGTTGAGCTCGAAATGTCTGAAATGACAGATAGTATGCGGGATGGAGGACTCATGACATGGAAGTCTACGTTCGATATCCGCAACCTCTTCAATAGCAGATCCCGCCGGTATAGACTCGCACTCTGCATCGCCTTCTCTTGGTTTGGGCAATTTTCTGGAAACAACATCGCTTCATACTATCTTCCTCTGCTTGTCGAGAATGTTGGGATTACAAATACAAACACTCAATTGTTACTCAATGCCATCTACGCTGTCGCCGGCTGGGTCTTCGCCGGCTCTGGTGCTCGATTTCATGATGTCTGGGGCAGACGCAAGATGCTTATGGGTTCGACTTTTGGGATGGCCGTTTGTCTCGCCATCGTGGCAGGCACCGCAGCTGGCTATGTCCACGACCCTTCGAACAAAGCAATGTCCATCGCTTCCATAACCTTCATTTACATATTTGGCTGCGTGTTCGCGTTCGCTTTCACTTCTATGCAACCCATATATCCTGGCGAGGTTCTCGACAACATCCAGCGTGCGAAGGGTATGGGTGTCTTCCAACTCACTGGCGGAGCTGCTGGCTTTCTGAATACATTCGTCGCACCTATTGCTTTGAAGAATATCGGCTACTGGTTTTACGTTTTCTTCGTGTTTTGGGACTTGTTTGAATTTGCCGTTATCTACTTCTTCTTTGTTGAAACGAAGGAGCGAACACTGGAAGAACTGGATGAGGTATTCGAGGCTCCGAATCCGAGAAAAGCAAGTGTGGCCAAGACGAGGATTCGAAGAGCGAGAATTCATGACGAGGATGGCAATGAGAAGGACGTTATCATGAGATGAGAAATTTGTTACAAGAAAGAATTCAAACGCCAGTTATGCCCTCATAATAAGAGCATCGGAGGGAATGGAGACAAAATGTGAACAGCATTCATCACGTGTTGCAAAGGGGAAGTCTCGGTTCAAAAAGGGGTTTCCATTCCATTCCGCTCCACCCCGCCCATTCTCCTCCCCCTGCGCCCCACAAAAGCAAAAACGCACAACAACGTACGAGTATTTCTTACCCCTCCAAATCCCTCCATCGACCCTCATAAATATACTATCCTCTCATCCCCTCTAGTCTGAAGTCATCCGCAACCATGCCTCCCAAAAAAGCAGCCGAAGAGGTGAAAAACAATGTCGCGGCTTTCGGGCGTGTGAGGAAGAACCTCAAGATGGGATCTGTGGGCTTGCCGAATGTGGGAAAGAGTTCTCTGTTCAATTTGTTGACCGAGAAGACGAACCCGGCGGAGAACTATCCTTTCTGTACTATTGATCCTGATGAGGCGAGGTGTGCGGTGCCGGATGAGAGATATGTAAGTTCGTGCTGTTTTCATCAAGTTGAAGGTTTAGTGCACGTGAGGAATATAGTTTCTAGATTTTCGATCTTTGAACGAAGGGGACTTGCTTCTTTGTTTGGCTTTCTGGACTTATCTTGTATTTCAAGCATCAAATGTGGATGTGGTCTTTCCTTAATATACTCTTTGTGCCTCTAGACATCTATCTCAATCACCACTAAGCATGACCTAGGACTTCCTCTGCGATCTCTGGAAACCACCCTCCATGTACCCAGCTTACCTGCAAGTTACCGACATCGCAGGCCTCATCCGAGGAGCGCACAAAGGCGAAGGATTGGGCAACGCATTCTTATCACACATCCAAGCTGTGGATGGAATGTATCACATTGTTCGAGCCTTCGCCAATGACGAGGTTCTGCATGTGGATGATAGCATTGACCCTGTCAGGGACTTGAGCAAGTCTTCTTGCTCTTTACTCCCTTCGTTTCTTTGTTGAGCCGAGCTGGGGAGAAGGATTGAATTAGGGTTAATGGTTGTGGGTGTGTAGACACGATTCAGAGCGAGCTTTGCAAGAAGGATTTAGGTAAGTGGAATGACTTCAATGCGAAAATTATGGAAGGATTGATGAGTTGTAGACATTTTGGCGAAGACGGTCATTGCTGAAGAAGCCGTTGTGAGGAAAGCGGGTGGAAAGTTTAAGATGAACCCGCTGTTTCCTAGTACTGTGGCCAAGATCAGTGCTGCATGATGACTCCGAGCCTTCTTGTTAGACGATGAATCAGTATCTAACTTGACAAAGATGCTCGAGAAAGACCAACCAGTCCGGGACGGAACATGGACTAGCGGAGAAATCGAACTTATCAACGAGAAGGTAACCTCCCTTTTCCTTCCATTTCAGATCCATTCGAAAGTCTGACCTCTAATCCCACATTAGATGCAACTCATAACCACCAAGCCAACAATCTACCTGGTAAACCTCACAATGAAAGACTACCTCCGTCAAAAAAGCAAATACCTCCCACCCATCGCTAAATGGGTCACGGAGCATGGAGGACTTCCCAGAGATATCGTCCCCTTCTCTATCGAATTTGAGGAGAAGGTTCACAAGATGAGGGACGAGCCTGCGAAACTCGAGGAGTTTTTTAAGGAGAGTAAGGTGAAGAGTCTGTTAGTTAACAATAGCCACTAGTTGACAACAACCACTAGTTGATAACACCCATTAGTCGATAACATTACTTTACTATCACCTCAGAATATTTGCCAACCTATTTACCAACATGAAAAGTCCTCTCCTCTTCACAACACCTGCACCTGGCACCTCCCACTGCGGATCTTCTTTTGGCGTTCGAATATTGTTAAAGAATCCGGAGAAACTTCGGGCGGTCGGGGTTTATATAGATTTTGAAGAGAGCTGTTGTTGGTGGACGGGTTTTCGGGGTTGACATAGAAATATAATTCACTAATAACTATTGCACGGAAATTTAACCTTTGGACGCCGTTTTTTGGTTTAAAAGAACTCACTAAGCTTTATTCTGCGGCGGAAGCTTTTTTACTAGAATCATAGTGAATAGTTCCGAGATTTACAAAGAGATCAGCGAATAGATTTTTTTGGGAAAATGAGAAGAAAAGTCGCTTTGAAAAGATTGTGACGGAAGGGTTCACGAAGTTGGGATTGCAGTATTACTTTACTGGTATTTCCCTCTTTCAATACTTGAATGATGCTTTTGCTGATAAGTCATTAGCTGGTGAGAAGGAGATTAGATGTTGGACCATTCAAAAAGGCTGTCTGGCACCGCAGGCTGCTGGGGTGATTCACAACGATTTTGAGAAAGGTTTCATCAAGGCGGAAGTTGTTGCTTATGCTGATTTCAAGTCTTTATGTGAAGGAGGGAAGAGTATGGCGCCGTTCAAGGCAGTTGGGAAGTATCGACAGGAGGGAAAGACTTATGTGAGTCTTCATTCGGGTTCTCTGAAGACGTAGATGAGAGCTGATACGAGACAGGTTGTTCAAGATGGGGATATTATCCATTTTCAGTTCAGTAAGTTGATGGTAGTCGGCTCCATCGTAGAAAGTAAGCTGATTTGGTGACAGATGTCGCCCCAAAGAAATAGAAAGTCGGTCTCGTTGCAGGCAATAGGAAATTCCCAGAAATGGTTTCATATTACCTTGAGCAGCTGGAAGTCAAATATCCATTTTGAAGATTTGGTTAATGCAATGCATGAACATGACTTCAAACAAAGAGACATAAATCTTTTGAGTCTAGCTTGTACTCATCATGTGTGATATCAGATAGAGCTATCTTTGTTTACAAGTCTGCTCGCCTACGTAGGTAGCAATCTTTCCTCCGCACAGCCGTATGGTATGTCGCACAGACAAGGCGGCTGCTTGAGTTCCCATCAGTTCATATTGCCGACGTAATTGAAAGCTTTTGGTTCTTGTTCTTGAACGAGCCGCGTGATTTTCAAAACAACAAATCCCGATCTCATTGACTCTTCGATCTCACAACGCGCAACGCTTCTGAATTCCTCTCGAGTTCGGAAATCCTGTCTCGACAACAGATCTTCAAGACTCGTCTCCCAGAGATAACTATTCGAAAATGCCTGATTCCGCCGGTCTCGAAAAGCCCTCTCCAGAGCTGGGCGGATGGCTCGGCCCCGACCCTGAACCTGCGCCTGAGGCTGGCTGGCGACGCGGACCTGCCCTCCAAGTCGCAACTGCTCTCATCGCCCTCGTCTGCTGCCAGCTCCTCATGGGCCAATGCCTCCTCACTCCCGCTAATCACCTCACTGGTCTCCCTATCGATGGAGCGGCCGAAAAGAACATCGGACTCGCTCTCGTGTGCGGATTCGCCCAACTCATCGCCGTATTCTCCTACCTCTCTCCGTCTGCGTGGACTGACCATGATCATGGCTCCGACTTCTATAAGCCGATACTGTGGTCTTGTGCTATCATAGCCGTCCTTGCTTTCTGTTCCTACGCGTTGCTTAGCCTCCCGCTTTCCTTTGGTTACGCCCCGGATTTCGCAGCTTACTGGATCTTCACTACATGGCCTCTGATTCTCCATTTGTTTTTCTCTAGGGTTGCCTTTGTATTGGTGGCATTTTGGCATTCGCCTTACATCGAGACTGTTGACGAGGCTATTGCTAGAGGTCAAGATGGCCGAGAAAAACGTGTCTCTAGAGCCGGTCCAAGTTTCGCCGAGTACCCTGATCTGAGCAGAACTGCAGCAATCAGCCGAAAGAACCTTCGTTTCGCCAAGAGCCTCATCACCATGAAGCTGTTCATCCTCTACACGACACAGGGCATGCTTCACCACGTATGGCTTCCCCATTTTCTGGATCAGGAGACGAACAAATTCTCTTGCTTCTTCGTCGTCATGAGCACGGTCTGTTTCCTGCTGCAGATCGAGGTTATGATCTCCATCCACGGCACTTTGCTGGTCTTCAAAATCTTTAGCAAAGGAAGCCTCCTCTTCCACTTAGCTTACGTTACCTTCTCGATGGCCATCTTCTGTCAACATCTGATGGTCCCTACATGGTGGAGCTGTTGGGTTGTTTCCAGCTATGTTGCTATTCTCATGGTGACGATTCTTGGGTTGAGATTCGTCGTATCAGATGATTGGGTTACAGAATGCAGGGATGCAAGAGTGCTTTGGGACTTGCTGAAGGCGCTTCGGGAGACTCGAGGTCGTGATTTGGAAGGTGGAGGTGAATATGTGGTTCCCGGAGACGATGCTGCAGAACGATGGGTCAAGTTTGGGCCAGCGTGGATGATTATGGGGCAGAGAACTTGAGCTGGAGAGTTTCTTGATACGGTGTAGAAGAATAAGGGATGGAAAGGCATCTGGTCTTCTCTAAGAAATACAGTGCTTTTCTGTAGTAATGAAAGGGCTTTCGCAATACAATGGCTCATTCATGAAAACGCGTCTCATCAGATTGAGATCTTTGCTGGGTTAAGTGTGATAATGAGGTGATGCTTGCTAAATTTGGCGCCACATGGTCTACATATTGAATTGGTCCTGCTGATATGTTGTAAAAGGATGTGACATAGGCACTCTTGTGAAAAGAGCTCGCCTGAATTAAACTATCAGCGACTCATCAACACTATTTCAGGCAGATGTATATGAAATGCTTCGTGTAATTTTGCGACTTAAAGGATCTGACAAGCAGTTTCGCTTTTTTTGCACTGTGGGTGCATAGCATTTTGTACTACAATTGCATACCAATTAACTTCTTAAACACTGGAAAAAGTGGTTATAAGAAGAAACCCAACGTGCTAGGAGTAATACTACAACGTCTGTAAAGATAAAGAGACCATAGAAATTAAGTGGCATTGGGCAAAGTCATCAGAATAGGCTCCAACAATAGGGATACATGATTTATCAGAACTCGGTCGGACAATGAACTGGACAAATGTCTTGATTTATTAGAACATTGACAAAACTCAGAAAGCCCGAGACCTTCACGGACATTGATCAAAGCAGTAGCAACTTGCCACTCTTCTGTGAATTCAAGGCTTCTTCAGCTTACACTGCGCCCTCGCGTATTGACGCCCAGATATCAAACCTCAAACACACGGTAACACAAAAACCTGGAAGTAACAACCCTATCACCACCACTCCTTCCTTTCTGGCCGTGCCTGCTTGTTTCGCAGGAGCTGAGAACAGGGAAAAAAAGGGGAACACGCAGTCTTTCCTAATTGGTGAATCGCCCGATCGACAGGGATCTTGACTCCGAAACCAACCCACCCCACCATCTTTCGTCATCTGCATGATTTACCCCTCGCCGTGTCCAGCTGAAAGCTTTACGAGTATTCAAATACCAACTTTATCTACGACTTGAAAACTCTTAAGGGTAAGAATTTCGATTTACAGGTATGTGGATGTGTATTTCTGTTGGTGGTTTGATAAGGCAGGCTATCGTAGTCAAGGAGATGAGGGGTCAAGGAGGGGTAAACTCAAAAGACAACAAGCTGACAAGAATCATCACCAGAACATCACACTTCGAAAGCTCACCAATAATCGATAAATCAATCAATCATGAGCGGAAGAGAATACTACGACGACCAACAAGGTCAAGGCGGATACGGAGGTGGTCGTCAACAGCAGCAGGGCGGCTATGGTGGACAAGGACAAGACGACTATGGCTCTAACCAAGGTGGCGGATACGGTGGCCAGCAACAAGGAGGTTATGGAGGTCAACAACAGCAAGGAGGATACGGAGGAGGTAACCAAGGTGGAGAATACGGCCAACAAGGAGGCAGCGGCGGATATGGCGACCAAAGACACCACGCTTCAGGCGGAAACCAAGAGCACTTCGGGGGCGGAAATATGGCACAGGGTGGTGGATATGGAGGAGGAGGCGGATATGGGGGTGGAGACGATGATTTGCAAGGTGCTGCTCAACATGCTGCTCAGCATGCGGGCGGATCGGGAGACTCGAATATGTTCTCGAGTGTTCTGGGCATGTTGAGCCAGAATAAGCAGAGTATTGGACAGGGTGGGATTAATGAGCAAGGTATGTCTTCTTCTTGGAAGTAAAGAGGATTATTAAGTACTGATGGGAAAATTCCTAGATGCCGTTCAAGCTCATCAAAACTTCTTTGGTGGTGGAGGTGGTTCGTCTCAGCCAGCCAGCTCGGGCAGTATGGGCTCAGCAGCCGCCATGCAAGCCCTGAAGATGTTCTCCGGTGGTGGATCCGGCCAGAGCCAGGGCGGCAACTCTCAGAATGCATTTGTTGGCATGGCTATGGGACAAGCTGCCAAACTGTTCGATAGCCAGGCTAGTCAGGGTAATGTTGCTTCTGGTGCGAGCAAGGAGTCTGCTATTCAACAGGCTGGTGAGATGGCCTTGAAGATGTACATGCAGAGCCAGGGCGGTGGAAGCAGCGGATTGATGGGACTTGCTTCTAAGTTCCTTTAAATGGTTGGTTTGGGATTGGGATTGGTGGGGGTGCATGGCTTTTATGATATTTGAACAAAAAGTGGCTTCGTTGAGCTGAAGAAATACGATGATATTTTGCATGCATGCTTTACACTGAGTAGCTGTGATTACCATTAGCTGGATTGAATGCCTGTTCAATTTCCAAATCATGTTCTGACTTGACTGCTTAGCACAAGGACAGACTTTTAAAAATCCAGATGACTGTATCTTGACTGCTGTTTGGCACAAGGACAGACTTTCAGAAATCTAAATTATAGTATCTTGACTTGGCTCTCTGGCACAAGGACAAACTTTCAAGATTCCACATTATAGTATCTTGACTCGGCTGTTTGGCACGAGGACAGACTTTCAAAGATCCAAATTATAGTATCTTGACCTGGTTAATTGAAACAAGGACCGACTTTCAAAGATCCAGACTATGTGACCTCAAAACCTGACAACTCACTTCAAGAAGAAATTGCCTGGAGAGGGTATGAGGTTTCTCATTAATATTACATTAAGTGAAGAGTCGTCTAGCCATCTAAACCAAACGCCACGCTATGCTTCTAACACTACAATATCCAACACTTCATCTCACAACACACTTCCCCCCCCTCTCACTCACCTCCCCGAAACCGTCTTCCTAATAGCCAACCTCTCCATCTCCGCCAACCGCGGCTCAACACCCCTCCCCTGCACCACGTCACCAACCTCCGGATCCGCAACCGTCTTCTCCCTACTCCCATCATACCCCTGCAACGTCCTATGCTCCTGCGTCAAACTATACCCCTTCGTCCACACACTAGCCAGCAGTCCCAGCGCACTCAATGCCGTCAACACAATCCAGATACTGCGCAACGAATCCGCGTACGCCTGCACCAACTGCGTCTTCACTTCCCCTTCCGCCATGCCGCGAATAACGCCCACCAGCGCCGTGGCATCCTTGCTATACTGGCCCGCTAGTGGGGCGAGCAGCGGATACCGTGCTAATTTCATCTTAATCTGGTTCTGGAAGACGACACCGCCGATAGCGACGCCGAGCGCTTGGCCGAAGACGCGGATGAAGGAGAAGAAAGCGGCGGCGTGGCCGGCGTCCTCGGGGCGGCCGGCGGCTTGGATGGTGAGCGCCATGGAGGGGAAGAGCATACCAGTGCCGATGGAGACGGGGACGTTGAGGAAGACCCATTGCGGGATGGAGGAGCTGGGGGACAGGAGGATGAGTAGGCCGGAGCCGAGGGTTGTGAGGGTCCAGCCGGTCCAGACGGCCCAGCGGTAGCGGCCGGTTTGGGCGCAGAGGATGCCGACTATGACGGACATTGCTGGAATGGGATTGTTAGGTTGTGTTTTGGTATTGAGGGGAGAGAGGGGGGAGAGGAGGGACTTACGGGCTACAAAACTTGTTTCCGGGAGAATAGCGACGCCGGAGACGATGGGTGTGTATCCTTTGACTGCTTCGTAGTATAAAGGAAGGAAGTAGAGGAGACACCAGAGCACGATGCCGTGGAGGATGGTTTCGAGGTATGTGAACATCATGGTTAGGTTGTAGAAGATGGTGAAGCGGATTATGGGTTCGGTGTGAGGTCCTGGGAGAAGCTGGCCGTTGGAATCGTAGGCGTGGTGAGAGAGGTAGCGTTCGTAGAAGCCGAAGCCGATTATACCTGCTACTCCGATGAGGAGGGGGACGAGGGTATGCCAGGAGGACCAGGAATACATGACACCACCTGTTCATCGTTAGCTTTTGTTCATGGAGTGGAGGAGAGATGAGAGCTTACCCCATGTCATAGGAACCAAGAACGAGACTGTAGCAGCAGTGAAGATCACAGAGCCAATCCAGTCAAAGTTCTTGACCTTGTCCATAATTTTCCCAGGTGTCTTGTTGATTCTGAGGAAGAGGATGAGGGCGATAGATCCAAGACCAATGAAAGGAAGATTAATCCAGAAAATCCAAGTCCAAGACACATTCTGGGCAAACGCTCCTCCCATGAGAGGACCTGTAACTGAACCGATTGCCCACATACTACCCAAGTAGCCAAACCATGCTGAACATTGTTAGTGATATTTCACACAATTAAGCAAATGAACCATACCTCCTCGAACAGCCAACGGCACCAGATCCGTAACCAGAATTTCTCCCAACGTCAAGATCCCACCACCACCAATACCCTGAATCGACCTCCCAACAAGCATCATCGTCATATTCTTAGCAACTGCAGCAACGATCGATCCAACAGCAAAAAACACAGCGGAAGTAAGAAGCAACTAAACCCATCAAATCAGTTTTTGCACTCCTTCTCTTCGGACCTCGAGACTCACCTCTTTCCTCCCGAAAACATGACTAAGACCCGCAATAACAGGTTGGAACACAGCAGACGTAACAAGGAACGACGTCCCGGCCCAGAAAGCTTCAATAGCTGTTCCTTTTAACTTCTCTGTTATGATGGGTAAGGCGATTGACAGGGAGGTGGCATCTAGAGCTGCTGCGAGGGTGACGATGCATATTGAGAGGAAAGCGAGGATGAATCCTCGTGTGGGCTTGAATGCTGGTGGTATAGTTTCCAGAGGAGGGAGATCTGGGGTTGTGGCGTCGTTGGGTGAGTGAAGGGTGGTAGATGAGAGATTGCTTTGGTCGCCTGGTAGAGAGAATTTCTCTGCTACGAGCGTCTCGGTGGGAGACGTCTGGGTAGGGGACGCCATGAATGAATTCGTGGTCAAATAGGAATTGATTCGAGATGGGAATGAAATATGAAAGGACTCTCAAGCAGAATAAATACTTCAACAACTTGATGAACCGAATAACATAAAGAACATATCGTACAGAAGACACTCGTATACTTATACCAAAAAAGAATATCTTCAAACAAGACCAAGAACCCACCTCGTCACCAAAAACGGGAAATGGTGCTAACAACCATCTCTCCAAAGTTGCTCCGTATCCTCACGATACCGGAGGTTAGGAGCACCAAAGAGTCCATCTCGGTAGCTCTCGGTAGCTCTCGGTAGCTTCGCTTACTACTCATTCATCGTACCCAGATTCTCAGCAGCTCTCTCACAAGCCACGAGAGGAAAATGGTCTCTTCCCGGCGTCGAGTTACTCCTAGATCGCGGTGCAACATCTATCCGCCAGAATAAACACCTTACAAAGAAAGAGGTCTGGTTCGGTAAGAAGTTGCACCGCACCTAAGGTTACCGAATGCGAAAGTCTCGGAAAATTCATATCTCAGCCTCGTATACGTAATCACAAGGCTGCCACAGCATATTCAATTTCCTCCGCACCCCGTCTCCCGAGTCCTGACAGACACCAATGTCCCAAACCAACCACAGCGAACATGCCCATCCTCCAGCTCCCCATCCTCGGAGATCGCATCCGGGTCCCAGCCATTGAAGACCTCGCCATTCCCGCGGTCTCGGGCCTGATTCTGTTTCTGACATACTCGAGTCAGTATCTGTTCCATTATATCGAGCCGGGACCGTTGACGAAGGGGGAGGCGATCTGGTTTAATGTCCTGGTGGGGTGTGTTTGGTGGTGTTATGATTGCGCTTGTACTGTTGATCCGGGGGAGGAGGGGTGGGTTGGACGAGGGGTGAGAGAAGAGGAGGATGAGGATGAGGATGGAGAGGTGAAGTTGCGGAAGGGGATGAGGTGGTGTAAGAAGTGCGAGGCTGTGAAGCCTCCGCGGGCGCATCATTGTCGGAAATGCGGTCGGTAGGTCCCCTATTCTAGAACCTCTGTTCTGGGAATATGCATTGACAACAGCAGATGTATTCCCAAGATGGACCATCATTGTCCATGGACCACGAACTGCGTTTCTCATACCACGTTCCCGCATTTCATACGTTTCGTGTTCTACGCTGTGGTCAGTATGGCCGTCCTAGCATACCACCTCTTCATCCGCCTCTCGACTCTATGGACAAACCGCAATCTGCCCTCCTATCTAGGCCCACCTGTCTGGGCACTTGCGCACCTATTCATACTCGCCGCAATCAACTCCTTCACCCTCTTCGCATTATCGATCCTCCTTTCACGCGCCGTCTACAGTCTCATCATGAACACAACAATGATCGAGTCCTGGGAGATAGAGCGTCACGAAGCATTAGTTGAACGTAGCCGGAAGACAGGCGGATACGTATATGCGAATGGCGGGCAGAAAGTCAGGGTGGAGAGACAGGAATTTCCTTATGATATTGGGATTTGGAAGAATTTATGCCAGGCGTTGGGGACGTCGAATATTTTGCTTTGGTTGTTGCCGTTTGGTGGGGGACCGGGTGTGGAGAGTGGTCTTGAGTGGGAAGAAAATGGGTTTGAGGAGGAGGGGAAGACGTGGCCGCCTCCGGATCCGGATAAGATGCCTAGAGCAACGCGAAAAGAAGAGCCAACGGAAGAGAGGGAGTATGGCACGCTTGAAGAAGAAAAGGAGGCTTTTCGGAGGAGACAACAGGATGATTATAAACGATGGGTGAAGAAGGAGTTTTTGGATGAAAAAGAAGCTGAAGGGGATAGTGGGAGTGAAGGTTATGAATATGAGGAAGGTATTGATGGAGAACCGGGGTGGACCAATTCAGATGGTGATAGGTTGAGGGATTATGGTGTTGATGAGGAGGCTGAGATAATAGCTGACGATGATGATATACCCCTAGGAGAACTCTTGAGAAGGCGGAAAGCTCGAGTTGTTGAGGACGAGTAATGGATTAGATTATAGAGTTCGAAGAACATGTTCGCCGGAGCAATGTCCCATTGAGACCTGGTCCTTCTCAGCAAAAGTACCTGTCAACTTTACACCAAACATGAATCCCATAGCCGAGTTCCAGTGTCTGGAATAACGAACAAGGAGACTGGTCTCACGGCCAAAGACTTCCTGTGCCATGCAATATTGTCCAGAAATGTGTAGAAAGGCAACGTTATTTCATTCTCAAAGGTCCCATCTCATCTAAGAAGAGAACTGAAGACTCGTAATACTAATACAAAAGCGATTCAATAACCCTTTTGATCATCAAACCGCCAAACCATATGTCCGATTTCAACGCCGGGGAATATGTACAACCAAACCAAGAATGCACAACGAAAAGTACCACCACCAGTCAATCTAGACGAGATAGACAGTCATGCCCACCAGAGCAACCATGACCCAATATCCACTCATCTCGATCGAGCTCCTCACAGCGCCAGAGAACGCATCTTCAGTCCCTCCCGCAGCCGTCGTTCCGTTTGGGAGAGTGCCGTTCAACACAATAGTGCTCGTTCCGTTGACGTCCGAGACTGTGACTAGGCTCTGGTTCAGATTGGCATATGTACCGTCCCCGATAATGGAATCCAGGAACGTGGTATTCCCGTTGTCGTCACATCCACATTCTGCGTACACGGCACAGAGACAAAGGACCGGCTTCGTCTGGTTGGCGCCCTCGTCGCTGGTTTGTCGGATCAGGACCTCGAAGCCGGTGTCTCGTCTTGTTGTGGTAGTGGTATTGGTACCGTTCGTCGCAGTGCGGTTGTGGAACGTGTATGGATGCGTGTACGGGTAGTTGTATGCTCCAAAGAGCCAGAGTCCGGGGTAGAAAGAGAGGAGTCCTACGCCGAGGAATACGGGCGCGATGCCGAGAGGTGAGCGTATGCCGGATGTATAGGGAGTTGTGGCTCCGCCGCCGTAGTATCGTCCTCCACCGTACGCTGGGGTTACGCCTGAGCCGGTCTTGGTTGCGCCTCCGGAGTTGGAGGACGAGGATCCTTTTCCTGACGAGGAACTAGAGTGGGAGTTAGATTTGGGTTTACTTCCTTTACTTCCGCTTCGACCACTGCTCAGCATGATGATGGTGGGAATGATAACCGGTCTCTTCCAAAGGCGCGATGCACTTCCTCCAACTCCTGCGTCTGTGCCCGCCACAGCAGTACTCGGATCATTCTTCGTGCCCGCTGCACCGGAAGAACTTCCACGCTGTTGCGACGATGACGAAGTACTACTTCCCACTCCCCCTCCACTCCGACTCGAACCACCCCCTCCCCTCGAAGATGAGGACGAAGAAGAAACATACCCAGAAGACGACGACGACCCAGAACTACCACCGCCCTTCCCCGAACTCGAACCTCCTCCTCCCTTCCCTCCCCCTCCTCCTCCACCTTTCCGCTTCCATAAATCATTTGGATCCACCTCGGCATCGCGCTCGACTTGTTCGCGCGTGGTCCGAAGCTGGATATCTGGAAATGGCTGTGGATGCGACAACACACTCGCAAACCACGAGAACAACAGTACGGAGACTGCTAACGTATCGATAGAAAACCTCATCTCTTCAGTTCCTGATCACGAAGAAGGAAGTAGAAAAATGTGGTGTTGTTGCAGATTAGATACTGACGGTCAGAAATGTTTCAAACTTGCCCCTACCAAGACTTAAGCTTATATAAAAATTGGAACGCCCCCGATGATTCACCCATGTCATGGCTTTGTTGTTTGTTCGCCTTACGGAGCGCCTACCGTGCGCCAAGCAATTTGGATTCACCGTCTCTGGTGCAAATCACGCTGGTGACCACGGCGCAGCGCCAGATAATCATTTCTCTGCCATCGAAATGTAACTCGCTTGTGGTTATTTGCACCAATCACGACGGATGGCGGTGTGATTATTAAGCTATATGGGGGTTAGTGAGACTCCGCCTCAGTCCTAAACTCAGCCTGCGGCAGGGGTTTTGGCAACGTCATGATGTTGTTTGTTATCAGATTCTGGAATTTTATTTTATTCGCATGGGGGATTTCAAATGTTGGAGAGGCTGTGATTGGAAGAAATGTTTGGTGGCGAGGTCCAAGAGTGAGGGATTTGAGTATTGGGTGAGTTACGGTCGTAAGGCTGATCGAGGATTTGGATGAGGATTTGAGTTGTGAAGTGTCTCGGTCCGTCGGTTCCAGCCTTGAATTTGTGGAGATTTGATGTGGGCTGATTCCACGGCTGGAGATAATGACTGAGCTAGGTGGAAATGTTGGTGATGGAAGGCGTACCAGAAGGTTGAAAGTATGGTCATGATGATGGATTATACCTCATTGTGGAGCTGGACCCTGGAGAATCAGAGTAGAATGTTCTAAAGCATCTCGAAATTAGGTATGTACTTCGGGAGAGTTCTAAAGCATCCCGAAACAATCTATCCTGCCTCATTGTGGGGACTTCCTCCAGAAGAAGTGGGGATAGAATATTCTAAAGCATCTTCAGTTTCGGGGTCTATTCTTATTGTGTGGATTTGTCTTTCGAGATTAGGTCTAGAATAATTCTTATTTCCAAACACTTAATTCCAATCAAGCTCATAGTTTGAGATAGTGTCAAAAATCTTTTTCTTATGACAAGTATTCCACCTGACTAAAAGTCACAACATGTTCTAGAACATTGAGAATAAAAAGGGTGCAGGCTCTTTGTAGGACAATATTGGTAGGAAAATAAATCTCAATAAGCTCTATACTTTAATCTGCTGCATGTCACTCATGAGTGTGCGAAATTCAGCATATCAAAGTCGTCTAAGCATTTCAATTATTTTAATAGTGTATGTGTTGTTTGAGCAAGTCCAGACTTTTTACGAGCTAGTAAGTCGTCTAAGGATTTTTAAAATCTTATAGCAAGAGATTCGTCTGAGCATGGCCGTACACTGGAAAACACATGAGTCGTATGTTTGTGTCCATTCTCTTGACAGCAAGTCATTCATCTGAATCTTTCCATGTTTATAATAAAATCGTCCGAGCATGTCTTTAGCCCTTGAGAGCAAGCAATCTCTTGACAACAAAAACAGGAAACACGGAAATTACAAAAGTAAGACACAAACTACGACCAGGGAAGATAGCAGATCAGCCGAGAGCCGCAGCTTGTCGCCTAGCGATCACAGAATCCTCATGTCCATCTCTGTTTGGTATGTCCAGTTGTTGAGGATCTTCACAGGGCGGAAAGTAACGTTTATATACCTCAAATCAGTCACGTGCTATTGATCAGAACTTTGCACGGTCCGTGAATGAAGGACAAACAATATGGGGAGGAGATTGTGTAGGATAATCACAGCTTCTTTGTCCAGAAAATTCGCATTTTTGGTATCATCTAATCATAACCATGAACATCACACATCACACGCCTATGCCAGCTCCTTTTCTAGGACAGCTGGAGCAGTGATGGTTTTTCCCTTCAGCTTCTCCAGTCCTTCTCCACCCTGTAATACAGTTAGTAAACACATCTCGAGCATTGAAAGAGAGCAAAACATACATAGCTGATCAAAGGAGAGATCTCCACACCGGCCTTCTCTCCCTCACTAACCACAGTTCCACCAGCAGCCTTGACCCATTTCTCGCCCTGGTTCATGATATCTCTCTTACTCGTATCTGGATCATCCTCACCTGTACCTTTAGCATTCTTCAGAGGCGAGAATTCGTCCTCACGCTTGACTTCCATGCAAGCAAATTGCTTCAGCTCCAACATCGGGAAGCAATCGAACACAAATTGCTCGAGCTTGATTCCATTTGGCTTCTCGGGCTTAACAGTAGTTCCCTTGTCGGTATCGACATAAGGAATCTTCTTGCGAGCAACGTGGTGAGGAAGCTTGTGAGCCCAATCTGGGATCGATTCCAGGAATCGGAAAGAATAGTAGTGGTTGACGATGTTAGCAGCTCTGAACTTAAGAACATCATGCTGCTTAGGATCCTTGGCCTCAGCGGTCTCCTTGTCAATCTCAGAGTACTCAACGACATCTGGCTTGTTGTTCTTGAGTAGAATGAGACCGACTGACTCGGTAGCATTGCGTTTTCGCACGACCTTGGTGGCGATGTCGACGTCCTTGGATGCTGCGAAGCCAATGAAGACGGGGTCTGCTACCTTGACTAGGCAGTTGTCCACACAGTAGGCGTGGATGTGTTCAATGCCACGTTTTCGCATGTCTGCCATGACGTTGGATGTGACCAAAGCTTGGTAGATGCCTCCATTTCCATCAGGAGCCACAGCGACCTTGCCTTTGCTCTCTAGCAGAATCTTGCCCTCATTCGAGATGCATGGCAAAACACCTTGCTCGAAGATCATGACATTCTCCTTCTGTAACCCAAAGTAATTGTTCTCCTGGAAGTATTGCTCTGTAGGTCCTCTCGTAGGCCCACTGGTCATAACATACCAAGGAACCACGACCTTCTTATCACCGCCAGCCTTCTTCTGAGCCAACAGCTCAACCTTTCGAATTCGCTCGGCCTGGATCTGGAAAAGGGATTTCGAGGAAGGGAGACCAATATCGAAACATCCTTTAGGAGCAGAGCTTCCTAATCGTGTACCTTGCCCACCAGCCATAAGCACCACACCAACTTTGTTCTCCGCAATCAAGTCGAGACCCGATTGATACCACTTCTCAATATCCTCTGCTTTCGAATCGAGAATAGACGCAGTCGCAGAATCTGGCAGTGGCTCGAGGCCCGCTTCCTTGCCCGCATCTTCTGTCTTGGGAGGGTTGAGAGCTCGGTCGGTGATCTTGTTGATGTGATCTGGATCGAAACCAGAAAGTTGTTCGTACAGAGCCGCCTTTTCTGGAACACTGAGTTCATCGTAGAATGCGAAAACTTGTTCCTGGCCTGCCTTTTCGTACTTTTCCTTCAGCTCCTGGAGCTCGTTGGCGCTGGGTTCTTTTGGCGGGGCAGCTTCAGTGCTTTCCCCGCCAAGATGCAGCTGTGACAAAACGCTCTTTACGGCTTCCATGCTGGGCAATTGAAATATTGGTGTAGGTTGGAGAGAATATTATGAGTAGATTGGAGAATTAATTGGAGTTCTGGGAGCTGTTACACCTTTTATAATGCGTTGTTCTGAACAACCTGGTGAGCTTATTATAGTTTTCAGCCCCGCCAAAATAAGCAAGTATGTCAATAGGTAAGCTTTTGCTCGCTAGACAACGAAGCCACCTCCTTTTTTCGTTTCCTAAAGCGACGTCGTGCTGACCTCGAATTACGAACGTTACCACATGTTTCCTTGACATTCGTCGGGAGGCGGTCTTCTGCGAAAGATTTTGCAGAGGAGTCATTCAGGCTGTTGTTGCTGAGCGGCTTTTTGCAAAGGCAATGTCCACGTCGCAGTCGTTCATTGCTATACTATACCCTGCATTCGCCAGCTAACCCCACAGTCTCTCTTTAGGCCCTCCTCGACCGAGACGCAAGACTACCATTCTCAATATGGATGATATAAAGGACGAGGAGCTCGAGGAAGAGCATAGCTTATTGGCAGACGCAGAGCCAGCTCCCCCGAGCTTCAAAGGCAGATTAAACATAGCCTCCTTCGCCTTCTCCCCAAACCTCAAAACCAAACCCGAATCTCCCTCCCCATCCCGTCGAAGTCCCCGCCTCTCACTCCCAGAATCAAAACCACCCTCTCCTCTCAAACGAAAGTCCACCCCAAACCTCACACCCTCTCCCTCACCTAGAAAGAAATCCCGCTCCCCATCCGGCTACGCCCCGCCAGAAACATACGCCCACCTCCCCGAGCTCCAAGATGTCTTGGCCTCCAACCTAATCTGCATATTCATCGGGCTGAACCCTGGGATCGCTACCGCGGTTCATGGGCACGCTTATGCGCACCCGTCGAATTTATTCTGGAAGCTGCTTCACAGCAGCGGGTGTACGACCCGGCGGTGCTCGCCGGTTGAAGATAGGGATCTACCGTCCCTTTTCAGCTTGGGGAACACGAATATCGTGGCTCGGCCGACGAGGAATGGGTCGGAGCTGAGTAAAGCGGAGATGGATGCTAGTGTGCAGACGCTGGAGGCGAAGATAGCGAGGTATAGGCCAGAGGCGGTGTGTATTGTGGGGAAGAGTATTTGGGAGAGTATATGGAGGGTGAAACATGGGAGAAAGATGAGGAAGGAGGAGTTCAGGTATGGGTGGCAGGATGAGGGGGAGAATATGGGGGTAGGAGGTGAGGAGAAGTGGGAGGGGGCAAGGGTCTTTGTGGCGTGTAGTACGAGTGGGCTTGCTGCTACTTTGTTGCCGGTTGAGAAGGAGAGGATATGGAGGGAGTTGGGGGTTTGGGTTGAGGAGAGGAGAGGTGAAAGGGCTGCTGCTCAAGTTGAGCAGAGTTCATGAGCAGGTATAGTTTTCTTGTTAATTGACGGACCTAGATGTATACATCAATCAGACAATTAAGAACATAATTCTGCGTCCCTGTTGTGAACTTCCGAAGACAGTCGAAACTGTTTGCACACTTTAGTGTAGTAACCATTCTAGCTACAATCTCGTGCTTTCATATCTGGAACAATCCTGTGAAGACATCCAGTGCGTCTAATTTGCTAAGATGCTGCGGAGGTAGTCCCGGAAATTCTTCACACTCAATTGATGGAAAGGGTTTTATGCTTCATGATTGCTAGTGACGTACAGTAAACTACCTCATCTTACCGCCCGCTAATCCAACATTTCGAACCTTTTATACGCCTGACATGCTTAACACTCTTGGTATAACTCAAACAAACCGCCCCGTTTCTCGAAATCCCATATCTTACAACACAACTCTCAGATACCAGAAGTTGAAATCGCTTCCGTGACAAATCCCCTTAAAAACGTCCCCTCAAAAACCTTCCCTTGCAAACAAATTGTAAGACTTGTCTCGACTTCTGTGCTGTCCGACTTCGTCTACTTATGTAGTGTGAGCAATGTAACTAAGAGAACAATGAAAACAGCCTCAACGAAGCTCACAGCCAAAGCGATCTTCTTGTAGAAACTGCTGAACTTTGGCAGACTTCCCTTCGTATACCAATCGACGCAGAAGTCGAGCAAGCCTGACGCAAATAATAACAGGACCGGCGGGAACACGGCACAAATAACGAGACACATGATGTTCCAGTCACGGACAACTCGTGCAGGCATCTCCTCATCGACGAAGGTATTGAGAATCGGTGCTTCGCTGAGGTGTCTTTGTGAAGGTCCCTCGCTGACAGTAGAGACCATCCGGTTCTGATGAGGGCCACGTGGTGCCATATCGTCGAGCTCAATTAACTGCGACGGGGTATACAAGTCTCGTCCTCTGTTGTACTTTGGAGCTGCTGAGGGTCCCCGGTAGTCGAATCCGCCCACGGGTACGTCTCCAACACGAGGCCGGATTGTTCTTCTGTTTTGGCTTTCGTGATGCAAAACAGGTTCCGGACCATAAATCCCATCCAGCTGCTCGTAATCCGGCACAACTCGTCCATTAACTATGTTGTAACCAGGGACCGATTCGCCAGCCGCAAAAGCAGCCATTAAGCCATAAGAAGTAGGGCGTTCTGGACGAACAGTGCCTGTAGATTCAGCAATGCGACGGGGAGTGGTAGAATTGGCAGAGACAGGACGTCGCCTCCAATCGCGGGTATGGGACAAGCGATTGTTGCGGTCTGAATCATTACGCTTGACGCGGCTATCCGGTCTTCGAGAAGTCGTTCCACTATCATCACTTGTCAGTGTAGATGTCGTCAGTGGGAACTGGGTTTGACGGCCTCCTCTGGTCGGGGATAAAACTTCCGGAGGCGAAGAGCCGAACGGGTGCTCATGGCGACGACGAAGGGGGGCAGGGGTTTGGTACACTGCATTCGGAGGCTTGAATCTCAATGAGTTTGAAGGAAACCCGTTGACTCTGTACTGGTCAGGAGTTGGGAGTAGGATCGGTCGGTTCCCGTTCGTAAGGTCTCTGCGGCGGTAGTTGGACGTTCCACCCATCGGAGCAGGATGCTGAGTGATGCGTTCTGCTGATCCGTACCTATCTTCAGACATAATTGAGGCCGATGCAGCAGAAGTATCGGTAATTGTACTCTCAATTCGCCGAACTCTGTGATTAATGCCAACTGAGTCGTTCTCCCAGATACTGCCATCTTCCGTAACCCAGTCATCCTCATTTTGAGACTGACGGGGAGCTGGAGCTACTGGCGGTACTGAGCTGAATGGAACCCCTGGTCGACGTGGTGAACGTGGTGGAATCTCGGGTCGAACAATGGGTATCCGAATATTGTGCGAAGGCGAGATCCACTGTGGAGGAATAGCAGGAGCATGATAGAATGCATCAGGAGCAGGTGGTGGAGGATGATTTGTCTGTGGATAGGGCGCATCTATAGTGCTCTCAGAGTCGTCGGAGAGCTCAGACACACCATCAGTATTGGAACCGTCAACTGGCTCTCGAGGAACGAAATTCCCATGTGCATCTGTGCCAGGATTGTATCGAGCCTCGTAGCCTCTGTAAGCAGAATCGTCAAGGCTAGTCTGGCTAATTCCACTGACTCGTCGGAGTTCCTGACTGATCTCACGCTCGAGAGGCAGCCTGTCGCTTTCGACTTCGGTTGGCGTTGGTGATACAGCCCGAGGTGGAGCTTCTGTTGTAGCTCGATTGTTCTGGCTCCGGAGGCTCTCTGCTCGACCAAGTCGGCTATCGGGAGTTACGCTATACCGGTTTCGCCAGTTGACATCAGTCAGACTTGGAACGGTTGATTGTGCAACAGAAAGAGCATTGTCACTGTGGACATGCTCGACATTAAAGGTAGGCAATGCAGACTGAGGATCATTGCTGTTTTCAGTGAGATTTCCAGTTCCAGATGCATCTAACAGAGCTTGAGAGTCTCCATACGAAGACTGCTCACTTTGTCTAGCGTCATGCTCAATGTCGGAAGGAAGAGATAGGTAGTTGGGTGGTCGAAGAGATTCGGGGTCGACCATAGGAGCACCATTGCCATACGTAAAGCCAACCGTGCTATTTCTTGCTGCAGGTGATGTTCCCGTACCTTCATATTGTCTGTAGATTTCACCAATGGTACTACCTTCTGGTTGAGACATGTAGGTCGAACTACTTGCAACATTATGACCACCTTGTCTTCCGGGATGAGTGATTGTAGGAGAAGATGAGAACTGCATGCGTGGACCATCATATCTCTCAGGACGAGTGATCGCAGGAGTTGACGAGAATTGCATGCTTGGACCACCATGTCTCCCAGGATGAGTGATTGCAGGGGACGATGAGAATTGCATGCTTTGGCCGTCATATCTCTCAGCATAAGTGATTGCTGGAGGTGACGAGAATTGCATATTTGGACGTCCATGGTTTCGGGGATAAGTAATTGCGGGAGATGATGAGAATTGCATACTTAAACCTCCATGTCTCCTAGGGTGGGTGATCGCGGGGGATGAAGAGAATTGCATCTCCGGCAAGAACGAATCATCGAGTGCTAAATGGTTCGTACCATGCTCTTGTCGACTGTTGTTGCCCAAGCCGTTAGATGATGTTGACGGGTATGCAGACCGGTACTCATTCAGTGTATCCTGGTCTGAAGCATGACCTGTTGTTGCTGATCTCACTGGAGCGAAGACATTGCGGACATAAGATGTGACAGAATCTAACATAGAAAGGCGGCGTTGTAGAGAAGTTTGTCCTTCAATGTCACCATTCTCTACTTGATGACGCTCGCGGGTGTTTGGCATATCGACACGTGGCCCGAGATCGATCTCTTCGAATGTCGGTTCTGGTACAGGAAGAGGTAACGGCTGACCGATGTCGGAGTGGGCAATTGAAGATTCTCCAGAGGATTCTCCAGAGGCACCTTGTTGCACTGCTAGCTCAGGACGATTAACAACGGTCTCTGCTCTAGTTCTACCATTACAAGAGGTAATAGATGTGTGAGCCGACCTCAAGTCTTTGAAGACAGCTTTGGGAGGAGGTTGTACTGCAGTCTCATTGCTAGGAGTATCAATTGATGCAGCGAGACTTGCAGATTGGGTAGATTGGGCAGCTTGGGCAGCTTGAGCAGCAGCTTCGGCGCGGGCTATTTGCATTCGACGACGAAACGGATTGGTGATCTGTCTCTCGAGCTGAGGTGGATCCTCTGGATCGTTGCCTTCTGGCTGTTGCTCTCCTCTCTCTGGAGCGAGATCGTTGAGGCTGACTTCGGTTTCATTCTTAGAGGAGACCTCTCCGGGAGTTGGAGGTTGGTCCATGTCTAAGATCAGACGCGTTTGATTTACACAGATTGAGAGGAGGTGCTAGAAGAAGACCTTGTGTCTATGTTAGTTATTTGTTGGCAGTGTAAGGGGGTGGGTGGTCAGTGATGGACTTACATGCAACTGGGTGACCAAAGACGAACAGCGACCGTTGAGACAACGGATAGAATAGTAGGAGCCGAAACGCGTAATAGAACTCTAGAAAGCTGCCTAGATCAGTAAATAATTCTAGAGCCAAGGGAATTGTGTGTTCTGACCTGTTGACGTTGAATACCGTGACCGGCAACACTACCAAAGTCGCGTTGTGACGGGATATGGACGGACTCGAATTCAGAGGAAGGTAGAAAAGCGCGAATAAAGACTTCAGAAGGAGATATCTGACTCTCAGAGGTGTTCAGAGAAGGTTTGCCGAATGTCTTGACCGCGTTTTGCTTTGTAGGGAAAAGAGGGTGGAGGAAAGGTGTTTGTGTTTGTGTTGGAGGTTAAAGGTCGAAGGAAGAACGCGGTCGGAGATCGGAGATCAGATGTAAAGACTCCTGGCCTATTGGAAAATCGGTGAATTCGAATTGAAGGACGACTTGGGTGCAGGCACATCAGATGACAATTGGCTTGCTGTGATTTCCACCCGGCTTGTAGTGACATGAGAAAAGGAGGCACTCGGACCACCTTCAAGGAAAACAACCGTCTCTCCAACCCACAGCATCAGAATTCTACAACAACTTGAGGAACATCCCAACGACGCGTAACAATAGCGAATTAATTTGCTGTTTGTTCCAGCACTCTCAATCTCCTTATTTTGTCCCTATGTTTCGGGAAGTGAAGGGTGTCCGCATTGCTTCTGAGCCAGCAGCCATGTCCGGCTGTGGACTGACTGCAAAGGGCTGAACAGCCCTTGACAAGCATATGAGAGAGCTCTTTGACGATTTGAAAGACCTAATCCTTTCAGGGACGGAGCATCAGAAGATGATTCTAATCTAGTACCTGTGCACTCGGGAGTCGCAAGGGGTCGCACCTTCCCACTGAAGGGTGGGCCTCCATTGGGTGAGTGATGAAGATCCGATATATGAAAGCACTAGATAACAGAGCAATGCAGGAAGCAAGACAAGAATGGAAGCTGACGAAGACCACGATTTCCCCGACAGGCAGAACATAGAGAGCTACATCTCTCTTTGCCGGTGCAGGCTACATTCTTCATTGTGTCTGGGAAATGTCTACTCAAAGTAGCATCAGACCTCTGGAACTATCTCAGAGTTGGTCGATAGACTGGCAGCTACTACACCATCGATTGCGTTTCGAATAAGGGATTGAGGTCCGAGATACACATGCGTTTCTCGACAATGAGGCACCATTCTTCCTCAGACTCTGATCATATCGACTGCCGTAGCTACAGGCCATCTGGAAGAGTCTTAGAGCTCTCTAAGAGGCTAGAACCTGGCACAGTCTCCATCGTGTTCGGATTGATGCGAGAAGTACACGTTGAATCTTTCGGGTGGGAAAGCTTTCGGGTTTTCTTGTGCATCGCTCGACTCCACTCTACTGCGGCTTCGAGTTCTTTAGAACGAATGAAGGTCCTTCAAAAGGGTGATAGCTGGTGAAAAGTCGAACTCGTTTGTCAAACGTGGATGAGGTTTTGCTGGAGCGTTTTGGAATGTCGACCAGCTATTTGCGCTTGGATGTGAGGCACCTGCCTCACGCTGCTTGTCCGAAGTAGACCTAACGCAATCGCATGGGAAGAGCGATGACACGTCTTCGGATGAAAGAAGAGTGTGCTTTTGAGTTTCGAGAGAAAGAAGTGCGGACGTTGAATTTCGAGAAGCCTCAGAGAGAATTGAATCTCAGCTGGGACAACACCCGAGTCGCTGGTCTCTCATGTTGCGCATAACGGTCTCATTTGCGAAGAGCGATGACACAAACGAGACCAAGCAGACAGATATTGAGTTTCGAGAAGCATCGGAGAGTATTTGATATGAGCTTGAAGAAGCACACGGGTCGACGCAGAGTGAGGCGTGTCCTAGGCGTGTTGCATGAAGGACTTGCCCAAAGCAAGTTTCTCACACTTCCGCACAAAAGGTGGCACGAACTTAGACAGCTACGAAGATTATGCAAGTAGCTATCTAAGCGTTTCTAGACAAGCTTTTCAGAAGTTCGGAGACCAGATGTAGTCTGATATAGGGGCCGAAAATAGCTCCCGGCAAGATTTAAAGCGCACGAGCATTCTAGCGGCCCGTTCATGCACCCCTCCCCGAGCCTCCCGCCTATCTCACTTCACTTATCCATTCCAGAAGATCCATCCATCATTGCAAAAGTCATGGCGAAACTCGATACTTTACCATCTGAGATAGTATTGCAGATTTCTCGCTGTACGTGCTCGCCCTTACATCCTATGCATCTGCTGACAATTATATCTAGTCCTCGATCCTCTTGACCTAGTTTCATTGCAGCACGTCAACAAGCGGCTTCAGGACCTCGGAAGAGACGATACATTATGGCGGGAACAATGCTTCAACGATTCCTCATTTCTTACGAACCTGCGACGCCGTAGAGAGCTCATTGCCTCTGAAGATGTCGAAGAACCTCGATTCCGCGACCTAGCACGAGCTCTAGCTTCTGGCAATGGACTGGGAGATTCAAGACTCGCCCAGCCTCGGGAAGAGGCAAGGGAGCTCAAGGCCAGATCAAATGAGAGGATTCGCATCATGGCAAATTGGGATCCAAGTTATCCTGATGAGGAAGTACATTGGTATGACGAGTACATTGCGAGGAATGCTCCTATCTCTACATCTTGGTTGCAACAACCCCGCAATCGAGAAAGCTCCGAACACGAATACTTAGAAGTTCGAGGCATGGGCATATACACACCGGTTGGAGAATCAGATGCAACTTTAGTTGTAGCTCCTTTGGACGATGGAAGCATTTGTCTTTGGGACTTGAGTGGTACAGAAGGTCATAAGAAGGGAAGTATTGTTGCTCGCAGCAAGTCGGGGTTGCTATCAGTCGACCCAGCACCTCAAAATGTTACCAACAAGCGCTCCAAAATGATCAACACTGGAGTGACTGAGTGTGTCAGCGTGGATAGCGCGGGGAAACGAGCATATTTTGCTGTTCAGAGTGGTATGTGTTTCCTTCGTTCTCACTCTTCACCTCTTTTCTAGCAGACCTCTTTTCTAGCAGAATGTCCTAGGATGCTCCGGCCCCTGGTGTAAGTTTTTTGAAGGCAGTAGCACTTCACTAGGACGGCCGTGAACGTTCCCACCAGGAATCAACCCTCCGTCTGTCCAGCATGAACATCTTTTCATATCACACTCGTTGGGGTGGACCTCGTGGCTGATAAATCCCAAGGTCTTGTCGAGGTTGACCTGGAGACTCTCTCGACGATCAATCATGAGAGATTTCCATTCTCTATCACTGCACTCTCTGAGGCGAAGCATCCTGTTCCGCTCACTGTCGGAACCAACCTCTCACTCTACCTTCATGATTCTCGGGCAAGAAGGTCTAGTGGAGGAACTGATGAATCGAGCGGTATCGATTCTTACGATACCACATTTGACTCTCTTGGAAATTCGGGCTCATCAGACTTTCGAAGTCTCCTCAACCCAGTCCTCAGTCCTCAATATGCCCATCTCCACCATCCAGGTCCACTGAGTATTCTGCATCTGCCAAGTTCTGGAGATGAATGGGATGGCAACGGGGAGATCTATGTTGCTGGACGTTTTCCTAGTATCCTCAATTATGATCGCAGATACTTCCCTAAACTGCGCGGTACAATTCATTCTGGAGCACGGTTATGTAGCATGGCGTCCTTACCATATCCGTTCGCATCAATGGAGAAGGATCTTGCCAGACGAGGCGAACTGACGATAGAGCAAGTGTGGGAAGCCAAGACTCGGCCGGGGAAAACATTAATTGCTTGTGGTGAATACAATAGCAAAGGATCCTTGGAGATGTACGGACTTTCGCCCAACCCCATACTCTCCACAATATCGTCCGACTCTTCCGCTGGTAGCCTGCAGAATTCAGTCATGAAGAATCGCCAGACATCGTCAAGCTCAAAGTTGTTATCTGTCTCGAACCATGGAACACGGATTGTTGTTTCCGATGGCGGCGGTAACCTAAAGTGGCTTGAAAGAGACGGGTTCACGGAAGCTAGAAGATGGAACATAGCTCATGGATCAGTTGAAGCCCCACGCGGGATATTCGGAACCCTCGGTGATTCCTATATGGATTCCGGGTCAGGAGATATCGTGATCAAGCTGGCAAACACACATAGAGGGCGCACAGAAAAGCCTGTCAACGAAGATGACCTTGTCCTTTGGACAGGCGAAAAGATAGGGCTGTTGAGTTTCTCCAGCAAGCCGGGTTTCACAGCCGAAAGCTTTGAGAAGACCGGGGATAAGACACCAGAAGAGATTCACAGGGAACGGGAGGAGAAGACCTACGCAGAGACCATGGGTAGAGCTTTGGAAGCCAATGCGAATGAGGTTCGGTGGATGCGCGGGCTGGGACTTGGGTTATCCTGAAAGGCGATATAACGTTACAATGTCTTTACTTTTCGCGAAGATTTCGCAGAGCCATATTTTCGTAGAGGGATGAGAAAGGGCAGCCTTATTCCGCGTTATTTGTTCCATATTTACAAGCCAGTTCCTTCATTTGAAACATTTGACGAGGTCAGACGATCCACTGCCTGGACCCGAAAGGTAACCAACAGCGTGGTGTGTGTAGTGCAAGAACCAGCTTCCTGGATACGGGTGCATGCTCTCGAGCGTTGTCCGACCCCGTGTCACGACATCTGTCGAACATAGCTGTTGTGTCCTGATTGATTTTGGGATCCTGGGAATTTCGTGTGCTTGCCGATCATAGGTCAGGGCTGTCAGCGTTTCAGCGTTTCAATGATTGGGATCGAAAGTCCAAAGGGCGAGTGGCGGATCAATGTATTTGTACCAGGAACCCTTTCCCACGGCAATGAGGATCTGACTTGGCAAAGGGCGGAGATCCCATTCTGACAGAACTGACAAGTGGCAGCATAGTCTCTCCATTCGTCACTCGATGCGATACAGGTCATGCCGACTTATGCCGGAGGGACATTGGTCTTGTGAACGTTCAATGGAGAGGGAACGTCCTAAGCTTTTGAGGCAGGTACAGTGGTGATCTCGGGTTCTTATATGGTGTCTTATTACACTTGCTAAGCGGCATAAATAAATCTCACTGAACCTTATATGTGGGATAGATAGTTGACAGGCGGAGGATTATTCGATATACTTTCTCGTGTAGGGATGCTTCGAGATCCTAGGCTCTTCTAGAGGGCAATACTCGTAAGTGATTGACAGTACGCCGCCTTGGTCCACGCATTCGTCCCTGGGATGCAGACGGTAACCGCTGAGAGGTGAGAGGTGAGAGGAGGTGAGGGTCGCAGTGGAGCATTATAACGGTTTGGAGCACTGACAACAGCCTCAATGTCAGCGGCCGCTCCCAGGTTGACCTGGACAAGCGGTGGCAAAAGAACAGTGGATGAGCGTGTTGAGTTGGATTTGGGTTCGGGATTGTCGTTGCAGGAGCATCGTCTGAAGGTTGTTGAATACCAATCAGATTGGCGAGGCGACTTCGAGTTCCAGGTCGGTGGTCGTTAGGGGCTCGTTTAGGGGGTTTAGTGTGTCGCCTTACAAAAAGTGCCAGCAGGAAGAACCAGGAAGGGAGGGCAAATGCAACTTTCACCGCTCATGTGGCACGGTGCAGAACCTGAACCTGAACTGAACTCGCTCTCACCACGACCACGACCACGACCACGACCACGACCCACAACCCACGACCTCCACGACGACGACGAAGCACCACCTGCAGTCTCCATGGTACGGCGCTGCTCCGAATAGTGTTCACTGCATGGATGGCTCCTGCATTGCATTGCATTGCAACTCACTCGGTCTGCATTGATTGATACACGGACACTGACGGCGCTCCACTATCAACGACTACGACACCAATATCTCCCAGTCAGTCCTCCTCGTACGGCAGCAGCTACAGTATTGAAGGTCGCATTCACCGACACCACTAGCCTTCCTTCCTCCGCCCTCTCCAACATGGGAAACATGGCCATGGAAGGGAACATGCACTCTGAGAACCAGCTGTAACCCCAGCTCCCCAGCCCCGGCCTCGCATGTTTCAATCCTCCTCCGCCGTGACTGACGCACAAGTCGTGCATGTTTCTTACTCTTCTGGGCCCGTCGGGAGCCATGGGACCTTGAGTCTCCGTGCCTATGGACCTGGTGGATCTAACCTACTATCTCGACCGGGGCAAAGCAAGAGAGAGAGAGAGCAAGAGAGAGAGAAAGAGAGCAGCAAAGCGTCGACCGGTGCCTGGCTTTTGCCCCTCGCACTCGTTCTCGCACGACTTCCAAGCTACCTCCGAGTTACATACTGGACTTACTCATACATCCTCCGTACTAGGGCTATGAGCATGTCCAGCGAGCACGGATTGTCCCTCCCGTGTGGGAAAGTTTGTAGGCGAGCGCCTCCAGCCCAAGACCCGATAGCTAGAGTCAGCCTTGACCACTTGCCATTGGACCCGACGTACATTGAGCCCAAAAGAAAGTTGAGCTTTTCCATATCTACTCTCCCATCTGTCAACTCAATCTCCGCAAGTCACTTTTATGGTTTTTCAATTCGTAGCCCTGCAGCTCGTCCGCCTTACACTCGGTATTGGCTTGCAGCAATCCTAGTAGTTTGCACCCAGACTGGAGCAGAGGCGTTTGCAGTCCAAACGTCTTTCCTTCAAGCAATTATTACTCTCTATATCTGTGCTCGTTACCATTATTGTTTGGCTGCTTTGCGCACGTTACTATTTTTTTTCTTTCTCATTTCCGACTCTTTGGGCTCATCAATTCCATGGCTGCATCTGTCGGAGGGTACACGAGCACGAGCACGAGCACCGAAAATAAATCCTCCGCCACGAATTCCTCGAGACGGCGGCACCATGGCAGCAACAGCAACAAACCCGAAGCAAGATCTCGACGATTACAGAGCGAGTATGCACATCCTCATGTTCACTACAGCACCCGCTCCTCCCCACCACGACAATCTCATTCCCAACCTCAAAATCAATGGCCCTCGCCCATCTCGATGACGAGTCCCTCACCAAGCATATCAGCACCCTCTCTCAGCGCACCACCATTCGATAGCACGGGAATGGCAGGAATCACAATGGAGCGAACCCCATCAGGCAACTCCATCATGTCCGACGCACCACTTCACTACTCCAGTCATCACGACTCCAATACGTTAACCTACGCCGACTCGGAAGCAGCGCGTAGGGTAGAATTCCATTTCCAGAACAAACGTCTCTCCTCCTCCTCCCACCGCAAGCACGAACGCATCCTCAAGAAACTCATCCGGAGGGATGCCCCCCTCGATACGGGCTCCCTCGATGACGATGCCTTAGCTGGTATCCTCACCACGGCCGATACCCTCTTCTTCGACGGCGTCCTGTCCGGACGAGTCCAGTGGGAATGGTCATCCGGCGAACGCTACCGCAACGAACTCATCGGCACCACGGCCTTGCGTCGCTGTCTCGACCGCGATGGTTTCGAGACCTTGATCGTGCTCTCGGAACCCATTCTCCGGTCCCCTGCCTTTGATCGGAGACTGTTACTCTCAGCTTTCTTGCATGAGTTGATCCATTGCTATCTCTTTATTCTATGTGGGTTCGAAGCGCGCATGCAGGGCGGCCATACGTTGGGTTTTCATCGCATTGCGGGCATCATCGATAAGTGGGTCGGGGAGGGGTATCTTTCCTTGTGTAATATGAAGGCGAATCTGGATTTCTTTCGGAGGAGGGAGGAGAGGGTTGGGTGGGGGTCGAAGGGGGAACTGCAGCATGAGCATGAGGGGTGTAATCAGAGTCCGAGGCAGGATGGGTTGGAGGGGGTGGTGTTTGGGAGGAAGGGATATTTTTAGATGATGGGTATGAAGTAATGAAAAGGGAGAGATATGATTGCTGCATGATAGAATAGCGTTTTTTTCTGGGATGGGATGGTAGATGGCGTTGGTGTTGGTGCTGGGTTGATAACTTGTACATGTATATACCTATTTATCATGCCTATAAGGCGGAGTTGGGAGGATATCCCGGCTTGAATTACATACTATATCTTCACAACATCTCCCTTAGTCTCTTCTTCACATCCACTTCTTCTCCAATAACTCACTCCTTTTCAACAACCCACTTCGGCTTCCATAACTCAGTTCCATCCAACGACTTCTCACAATGCAAGACCTCTCAAACCCATCAAACCAAGCAACACAAACCCCACCGCCCCACCGCCCCACCACCAAACATCACCGTCGCCCTCCCATCCACTTCTCCCCTCGCCCAGCCGTAAATAGACACCACGACATCCACTACTACTCATTACCACCCTTCTTTCTCCCTTATCCTCTCTCCCTTATCCTTTCTCCTTTCTCCTACCCTTCTCCCTTTCCCACAACCCCTCACGAAAAATATTTAAAAAAAATAAAGGGGGAGAAGAAAGAGGAAGCTAACAAACACCAACACCAACACCAACCCCAGCAGCCCGTATCATCTCTGCCGTTTGGCGCCGCCATGAATAATAAAAGCGTCCCCGAGAGCGAGGTCGCGCGCGGGCTGCTAGCTAGCTAGCATGCGGACCCTTTTTTTCGTTTCCTTTGTTAGGTTTCTTTCTAACGTGCTGATATCCTGGGAAGAGAGAGGGAAGAAGGGAAAGGAAAAGAGGGAACAAACAGCAAGTTTCGAGCCATCGGGGATAGGGTAGAAGAATGTTGCGCAGGTGAAAGATGGGAGGAGGAAGGCGGAGAGACCGATTGTTGTGCGGGTTGTTGAGAGGAGGGTGAGGGGGAGGGGGAGGGGGAGGGATGTCATTTTTTGAGACTTAACAAAGTTTTTTGGGGGGGGGGAATAGTAGGATGAATGGGAAGATTTGAAAATTGAGATATGAGGAAGGTGTAGAGAGAGGAGAAGATGCTAGGCAGAGGGAGAGTTGAGTTCTTATTGAGAGAAACGGGTCTTGTAGAATGTGCACCCAAGGCGAAATGATACAAGCCGACTTGGCGAGCGCGGGGACTGAGTCTGGCCGTCTTATACTTCCTATTCCCATCTTCAACTGAGAAAAAATTGAGATATACCGAATTGGTGGAAAATGATACTCATCGGTGTTAACAGCCATCCCCGGATTTATGGCGGGGTAAAAATCACCCCGCCCAAAACAGACTCCAAACTTGTGACATTATGTATTGAATGGTAACTACAAACATACAGAACATCTCCTATCCAACGCCATCGCTATGCTAAGCACTAGGAACGTAAACACCATCTTTACACAACACAACCACGTTCTTAAAGAACCGTCTCCATTCCAACGGATCGCCTTTGACCTTTACAAATCTGACCTCGAGCAGTTCCGCTTCGCCTGCAATATAGGTGTCGATTACGATATCGCCGTTCATGCTACATTGTCTGCCATCCAGGGTCTTGACTTTAATCCAGCCAGCGTGTTCTCGTCCCTGGATCTGCGAGACTGGGGGAATGGGGACGTTGAGTTGGTGGAGCGCGTCGCTGAGCATTTGTAAGAGGAGGGGCGAGGAGAGGTGAGAGAAGAATCTTGTGAGGGAGTAGTTGGGCACGATGTCGCGGAAGCGGCGTGCGTGCTGGGTGAGGCTGAGCGGGACGGAGGGTGCGGGTGTGAATTGGCTCATGCTGGGCTCGTCGGCGAGGGATTCGAAGGGGTGTCCTGCGGAGCCGTTGGTCATGGTGCAGATTCCGCCGTCGCTGGTGCGGGTTGGTTGACTGGCGCTGAAGGCTGTTGTGGCGTTGACTCGGGGTGGTCGTTCCCAGTCGAACATTACATCGTTGATTGGGGTTTCGGGCTGGGTGAAGGAGAATCGAGTTGTGTGGTCGTCATCTAGATCCATGGCATCTGAACCTCGCTGTACTCTTTGAGAAGATGTAGGTTGTTGACTGAAGTCAATCCTCAGACCTTCCAGCATTTGTGTTGCAAGACTCAGTGGATCCGTCATCTTGCCATCAGCAGTGAGGAGAGGATTTCTTCGAGTATACCATGGATGCTGTTTGATATGGTTGAAAGAGAAGCGTTTCCTCGGATCCACGTTCATCATACCTCGAAGCAATGATAGGACTGAACTGGGAAGCTTTTGCCATAAATCATCTGTACTTCGACCCTTCTTTCCCAAGTATTCCTCGAATTCCCAGCTCTGAGCAGTTGGCTCATCCCAAGGTGTGTTGCCAACAAGTAGAACGAAGAGAACAACTCCACAAGACCATATATCGCATAGGTTAGCAGCATAACCTGACCCTTTTGGTGCATGCCTTGACTGAGTGCTCTTCGAACAAGATATGACCTCCGGGGCTATATAAGGAGGGCTTCCACACATCGTCGTACTGAGTTTCGTTTGACCTTGATATTCGAATAGTGTTGCAAGTCCGAAGTCTGCAATCTTCAAATTGCCACTGTCCGAGAGCAATATGTTTTCCGGCTTGATATCTCGATGCCCTACTCCCTTCGAATGCATATAGCTGACTCCACTGATCAATTGTGTGAAGTAGAAGTGCGCAATATCCTCACTAACTCCCACATCCGCTTCAATTTTGTCGAATAAGTCGCCACCCTCTGCGTACTCCATTGCAATCCATTTCCATATTGCATCTTCTCCAGTAGCGAACCATTCTATAATATTTGGATGTTGACCGATATGGGAATGTAAGGACACCTCCATAGCAATTTGCTTTGCTGATATACGGCCATGCTTGACCGCATAGGCCTTATGTATAAACTTGACCGCAAAGATCGGAGTCGTATCGTGAGGAGGAATGGCTTTCTTTATTCTGTAATACGATTTAGCAATTGGAGCAAATTCGTGAGCATACTTGACTTACGATGCATAGGCCCCTCTACCTATAGTCTTGGAGATAATCCGAAAGGGAAGATCCGAAGGTAATGGATCGAGTTGAGACTGGAATGGTTCCATTGAGTCAGTATACTGGAGTTATCCAAGAAAGTTGCCACAACATGAGGGCAGGATATGATTTATCATGAAGAAACTTACCATATCCAAAACGACTGCAAGAACAGTACGGAAAGCCAATATCCAATGGATGACTATATTGTTGCGGGCAGTTTCGAAGTCACAAAAGTATCGCGGTCGAACGCGTCGATGATTGGCTAGACGCGATAAGGCTTTCTCATCTGGCCATCCCGTTGGCGATGCAACCGGTCCGCACATCAGTAAACAAAGCCCGAACTCTGACCCTCCAAATTACCTACAAAAACTCGAGATAGCTTCCTGCTTTGTCTCAAACACAATCGCTTTCAGAACATTCTTCGCCCCTTCACGAATTACGGCCTTTTCATTGTCCCTCTCGCAATAAGTTAACTTCGTGTTTTGGCCTCTGACACTTCCCACCATGAACAACTACGATATGGAAGATACACAAAACTCTGCGCCTGGCGCCCTACCAGCTGTGCAAGCTTCTAAACTTGCTCCTCGACGAGGCCCAGATGCTCAGAGTACCACCAAGAGGTTGGTCCCCTTGATTGCGATGCTTGAAGTGGTCGCGTGCCCTAACATGATGATAGATTGCAGACAGAGTTAATGCAGCTCATGACCTCCTCCGCTCCTGGCATCTCTGCTTTCCCATCCGCTGCCGATAACCTCCTTGCCTGGGCTGCTACGATTGAGGGACCGGACGATACACCATACCAAGGCCTTACCTTCAAGCTTTCCTTTGCCTTTCCTCTGAACTACCCGTACGCGCCACCAACTGTCCTCTTCAAGACCCCAATCTACCATCCCAATGTCGATTTCTCCGGCAGAATCTGTTTGGATATCTTGAAGGATAAGTGGACCGCTGCATACAACATCCAAACCGTCTTGCTCAGCTTGCAAAGCTTGCTTGGTGAGCCTAACAAGTAAGTCTTCCATCCCAGCGCTTAGCAATTTGTTCTAATCAATTGCAGCGCTTCTCCTCTTAACGGCGAGGCTGCGGAATTGTGGGATAAGGATCCAGAGGAATTCAAGCGCAAGGTTTTGGGCCGACACCGAGATGTGGATGATGAATGAAGGGTGATTGTGATGGCGATGTCAAGTTGCTGAGTTCGTTGGCGTTTATGATGATCATGGAGAATGTGCATACCAAAGGAGTCATTGTTTGTTTCGAGTTGGAGGGTTTCTTCACGCAGCATTGTCGTTGGCACAGAGAAAGGAGTACATGACATTGGAAAGTGTATGATTAGTGAATAGGAGAGCTTGTCGAACGCTTGGATTATGAATTCAATTGTCGTTGAGACATTTCCAACCCTCGTTTTTTGCCTCGTTCAAATAAGGGGTATATAGTTTGCCGTCAAGATTCTGTATCTTGCTCTGTGAGATGTACCTTGTGCAAGGAAATTTTTCTCACAGGCAATACAGTGATAATATTGGTTCTCTCCATATTAGTCTTGGAAGGCAATTAAGATATTTTGAAAGAGTTTCCGCAGCCCCAAAGAACTTAACTTAAAGATAGGTGTAAGAGAGGCAGACAATGGCTTTGAATGAGAACGACTTGGAAGAAGAAGTCCTCATTTGAAGGGAAGATCATACTTAAGCTTCCACAAGACTTTCGGTGTCCTTGTATTCGTTCTTCGTTCAATCTCAGCATCTGGACTTCTCAGGGCTTATAAGGGTTCTTGTTTTCCCGTCATAGAAACTGTCTGCTGTAAGCAGTCAACGTCCTGGTCGTCCCAAGGATTTCACTAGCTCGGTTCTTTCACACCTCCCAGTATCAACACAACATGGCCTCAGTCCAGGCTTCCTACTTCATCAACATATCCATCACATCCACATTTCAGACAGTCCAGGAGAGATTTGTTTGCTTTCGTATGCAGGTGAATCTTTTCATTCATGAGCTAACCAGCAGAATGCAGCAACTCCTCCCAAACCATGCCATGAAAAAGAGCACCTATTCCTCAACAAGAGCAGTTTGCAGTCCCTTGGCATCCTTAACGTTAACGGCCTGGACATAGCTGTAGAGCTTCTCCTTTGCACCCTCTTCGTCATTTCGCTTTCTTGAGATTCGGACGCGCAGTCTGTACGGAACACCCTTGACACCAGCCTCCCAGACCTTCTTGTTCAATTGGGGATCGAGACGAACATCGGTTGTGCCCTGTGTTATCACCATTAGCTACCTTCTCCCTTCAACCTGTAGATCTTTCGGTGTTCGTTCGTGCGTACCATTGACTTGGTCGCGAAAGACTTGATCTCCTTGATCGCTCTTGGTGCCCGCTTCTTGAAGGTAACTCCGTGGAGCTGCGATTTCATTAGCAATGCATCCAGATACTCCCTATCTCCAATCGACATACTCTCTTGTGGAGATGGATAGTATACTCTCGCGCAACGACATCAGCGATGGCGGATCGTTGGGCCTTAGCCGCGGGCTTCTTGGTCTTTGACGACATTTCTAATTCGGTGTCAGATCATAAACTAGCAAATTGATCAAAGGATTAATGGAGATAGGATTACATACTGTGTGGTGTGTCGAAACTTGTCGTAAAAGTTCGTTGTCGTGATCTCGAAATTAAGTTAATTTTCACAAATTGTGTGGGTGCCGGTCAGCTGATGGGGCTCATGCTGGACCGCAGTCTAACCGAATTGAGCCTAGCTGCTACATACCGCACACAAAAGCTCGCCGCTTTAATTTGAGTTCACAGAATTTTCCATCGCCGCTTTAAGAGCTCCAACTTACGGCCTTAGGCGCAAACAAGCAAGATGGACGACGCCCATGACCTCGATCTGGTAGCGACAGAACGCGAGTACTCCAACAATTTCGACCCAGGTTTCTACGAGTTTGCTTTTGGAGCTCCTCGACTTGTACCACGGTTCTCAATCAGATCGAGCGTACGCTCCACCTCTGCCGCCACAATTGAGTCAACTCGACTCGATTCGTCTTCAGAAGCAATCCCTCCCATCAACACCAACCCAATCCCCCCCGAAGTCAGGATGGCAAGCCCTTACAGCCCCGAGCCAGCACCCGATCTTACTCGGAATCGTCTCCCTACTCTCTTCGAGGTCCTCGCGCGACGAACTCTGGCTCCTGTTGACCTGTACTTCTTCTACATCTACATGCGAGACCAGAAAAGAGCTGTTGACTATCTCGACTTCTGGTGAGCACAATATCCTTCTCTTCACTTTTGATCGCGGCTAATCAGAAGCAGGCTCGATGTTGCCCAACACATGTCCATGTGCCGCTTGTACGTTCGCGACCTTCGTCGATCTCTCATGGTCGGAACCCCCGATGGCGATAAGACTGCCTCCAAGCGGTCTTCTGCTCTGTTGGAGAACATTGGCAACCTTGATCACAGAGACCCCGCAGGTCCTTCTATGCTCAAGACCGAAAAGAACAAGAATCAAGATGCACAAATGTCCGCTTTCCTCCGCGAAGAGAATGGCAATGGATTAGGTCACTCTCCATCTGGAAGCACTGGATCCAACATGCGTCAAACTTCTTCCAATGATCGCCCTCGACCAAGCTTCATGAGCAGCCCTCAAGTCCTTACCTCCGATTCCAACTCGCCAGAGCATGAAGTCAAGCGTGCTGACATCCGTTCATCAGCTCTGAACATTATGACTACCTATATCCTGCAAGATGCCCTCCGACAAATCATTATTCCACAGCCACTTGTTGAAGAGATGATTTATGCGATTGAACAACAAGGCCGTGATGACCCCGAGGTCTTTGACGCAGCCAAGGACTATGTCTTCCAAGCTATGGAGCGTGATGCCTTCCCAGATTTCCTTCGTGCTAAAGCTTTGGGCAACCTCACTCCACCTTCCCTCCTCTATCGCCTCATTCTTGGTCTTCTTGGTGAGTTTGCTGGCGTCTGGGCCGGATCTGTTCTCTGTATGACGGGCGCTTCACGTGCTACGCGGGCCTGGGTATGTCTCCTTGATTAAGCTTTCTTTTCAAAATTACTCACATGAATCTCTAGTTGATCATTCCTTTCACTATTGGCATGTACGGTCTCGTCTGCTGGGAGTTCGTCATGGATCCTCTCCTCGCCTTCCTTGGCTACAGCGAATATGAACCCAACAAGGTCGCAAAGGCTCATGAGCCGTACGTCCGAAAGCTGCTTGCTCGGCGTTCGTTGTCCGCTCTGGTCTGGTGGATCGTTTTTGCTGCTGGCTTTTCCTGCCTCTTCATCTTCGTCCCCAGCCACTACCTTGGAGAGCCCTACGACTAGATGCTATGCTGTGGTTACTCGTCTCTAATATGTAATGGTTGTGGAGTTTGGGAGGATTTGATCATGCAATGCTCAGATGGGAGGACTTCTCTTGTTCATTGGCGTTTCGACAAATATTCTGAGGCATTGCAACGGCTAAATGGCGTTACGGCGATTATGATTCGGGGGTACATAACGACTGTGTTTTTAGTTTCTTTTCCGATTCTAATGCTGATACCAAAGCTCGATGTTGAGCGACATAATGACGACCTGTGGTAATAGTCTCCTTTCGAAGAATCAATGCAAATGCCCTTCAGGGGTCTCATAATAATTCTTGTGTCTGAAATGTTTTTGACATGCTGAGGAGGTGTAATGCTGATCTCCTGAATGCTTCGTATAATTACTCGTGACCTCATCAAATCATGACTGCCTGCTATCTATTTGCCAGATCCCAAGAGTCCAAAGCCTCTCTTTTTAGCAGATCTCGAGCCCCGCCTCTCACCATCCTCATCATCGTCATCAACCTCCATGGAATCGCCATCCTCACCATCCATGCCCCTCTTCGACGCAGCCCCCGCACCCAACTTTCCCTGCATCTTAGATAGGAAACTACCACTCTTCTCCTCACCATCCTTCTCCTTTCCCTTGTATTCACCCTTCGCATCGACCAGCTTCTCAACATGTGCAGCCCATTCCTCTTCCTCCTTATGGCGTCGCTTAGCTTCAGCCTTGATACTCGCGATCTGACGCTCCAGATCTGCAAGTGTAGAGACACAGCGAGATGACCATTCGTTGAGAGTAACAAGCATCTGAGGGATAGAGTTCGGTTGCAGGTCTCGAAGTGGCGCAACGGAGGATATGGCGACGAGTTCGTGGTATGGATCAAGTGTTGCGTTCAACAGACCCGCATAGATAGCTGAAATAACCAAATCTTCCAGCTCGCGCGTGGTTTCCAAGCCGAGGTGGCCGAGGAGAGATTTGTAGGTTAGGTCGGCTTGGTTCTTTGCCAGTGTCAAAAGAGACAGTTGGCGCAGCTTGAGGGTTTGTGCTTCGTTGAGAGAGGGGAGGGAGGGCGTGCTGCGATACTCCGTGTAAGTGCCATAGCTGAAGATCTTGAGGAGCGTGAGATGGGAGGAGTGGTCTTCAGATTCAGCGAGAGCTTGGATTTGTGGTGCTTGGAGTAGTTCTGCGAATATGAAGGTGTTTGGGGCGGATGTTGCTCGTGTGATGAGGTCGGCGGCGGCGCGGGGCGAAGATGCTGATTTTGTGAGCGCAAGGAATGGCTAGGACTTGATCAGTATTGAAGTACGTATACTATTGCAACAGACTGACCTCCAGGGCGTTCAAGGCCTTCATTTGCTCCATCTTGAGATGTTTGTGAAGTTGTGACGCTGGGACCTGATTTGCTGCCTGTTTGAAGTGGACTTCCTCAGAAAGCTTGACACTACTGGAGGGAGGTTTTGCCGATATTTCTGACGGCAAGAAGTGCCGAACAAATCTTACAGGGAAGCGGCACTTGGATCTTTTCCGGCAGGGTTAATGAAGAGAAACTGTGGAGGTTGAAACACTGTCAAACGATCGCCTTCAGCATCAACAACCTGAAGCTTCGCTCCGTATCAGATTGGTATCAAAGCTAAGCGACGGGAGCTAGTGCCATTCTAGATGGTGGCTTAAAGTGCCAGCATCAATTCTCTGGTGTCTCACGTTTTATCACAGAGGAAAATCATATCAGATTCTCATTCTTGCAGGCTTCTGAAGCCAAGCGATCTTGGATCACACATTTCCAGAATAATATCATTCCATCTGCTGATTGCAAGGTTGGGGACAAAGCCGTGTTGCCTCTGCATCCTGACCTTTCAGGAACCGGCGCTTGATTCGTCTCCCGCAGTCTGAAAGGGGACCGAAACTCCCAAACAATCCAGGAGATTTTTGGGCGACTATTGAACGCACTGACTGGGTCCTTGCAAAAGGTCGGGGTATACTCCTGCGACTGCGATGTGATAAGATACTTTGAGACACAGGCCCGCTCTGGTACTTGCCGAATCACAACTTTCGCAGCCTCTGGTCGCATCTGAACCTTTGTAATAATTGCCTCGAGTCCTTTCTTTTTGGATCCGCCACAACTCCCTCCTCCTTCTCTATTTCTCTCTCTCGTGTCCATATCCTATTACCTACCTCCTCGTACATATTACCTACTACTCCGTAAACTTATTATCTATCATCGTCTTATGGATCACGACACGAAGCCCGATTACGATTTGTAGTATCTTCGGTGACCGAGAGAATTGTGGCTGATTCCCGTGTCTCTCCGATGACAAAGACATCCTAAAGCAACATTGACGACTGACCGACTGCAGCAGAAGCTGGTCTTCTGTCCTCCTCAGACCATTTGTACATAAGTGAGTATTGGTCATTGATCGCCAGACGGACTTCCGCTGGGGGTCGTGCAGTTTTGCCAAATTCGTTTATGCTGACTGCCGGCACAGTAAGAGAGAAGGATTACATCTCAGCCCACTTTATCCATAGCCTTCACTCACTTCTCCACCTGCGCCGTTGTTGCTTCCAGCAAGAATATACTCGATGGGTCCCTCCACCAACCTGAGGGTTGCGACCCAGAATAGAGCGTCGAGGCCTTCGTTGAGCACACCGACTGCACATATGGCGACGACTACACTGAAAGTTGGCGGGATGACCTGTGGCGCATGCACGTCAGCAGTGGAAGCTGGCTTCAAAGGTGTCGATGGAGTAGGAAATGTATCCGTGAGCTTGGTTATGGAGAGAGCGGTGGTGGTTCACGATCCTCAAAAGATTACGGCAGAAAAGATCCAAGAAATCATCGATGATCGCGGCTTCGATGCGGAAGTTCTAGCTACCGACCTTCCCTCGCCAATGTTCAACAGGGACGGATATCTCTACGACGAAGATGTAGATGGAGAACAAGATGATTTACCTTCGACGACAACAACGACCTTGGCGGTAGAGGGAATGACATGTGGCGCATGTACATCAGCGATAGAAGGCGGCTTCGAGGATGTGGCAGGCGTCAAACATTTCAGCATATCACTATTATCAGAACGAGCGGTGATTGAACATGATGCTTCTATCTTGACGGCAGAGCAAATTGCAGAAATTATCGAGGATAGAGGTTTCGGGGCAACGATTGTAGAAAGCAGTCTCTCCGCGCCTGCTCCCAAGGCAAGACGAGGAAGCTCTGGACGACGAGAGAAGGTTGCAACGACCACCGTGGCGATAGAAGGCATGACTTGCGGGGCATGCACTTCGGCAATTGAAGGAGGCTTCAAAGACTTGGAAGGCCTCGTGCAGTTCAATATCAGTCTTCTTGCCGAGCGAGCTGTGATCATCCACGACCCTTCCAAGCTTCCCGCAGAAAAGATTGCCGAGACCATTGAAGACAGAGGTTTCGATGCCAAGATTCTTTCGACGACACTTGGCAGTGCATCAGACCCATCAAGTGCTGCTCAAGCACAATTCAAGATTTTTGGAGTACATGATGCGAAAGCTGCTACGGATCTCGAAGCAAAGTTACAGTCGATGCCAGGAGTCAACTCGGCAACTATCAGTCTTGCAACAAATCGACTGAACATCTCGCATCAACCGAACGTTGCTGGCTTGCGTGCTCTGGTTGAACTAATTGAGGCACAAGGCTACAATGCTTTGGTTGCTGACAATGATGACAATAATGCTCAACTTGAGTCGCTATCTAAGACCAAAGAGATCACAGAGTGGCGGAGAGCTTTCCAGACCTCGTTAGCCTTCGGTATTCCGGTCGTCTTAGTCGGCATGATTATACCAATGCTATTTCCCTTTATGGATATCGGAAGCTTCAAAATCATTCCAGGTCTATATCTTGGCGACATCATCTGTTTAGTGCTCACAATACCCGTCCAGTTTGGCGTCGGCAAGCGTTTCTATATTTCAGCATACAAATCCATGAAGCACGGTTCACCTACTATGGATGTATTGGTCGTACTTGGGACCTCCGCAGCCTTTTTCTTCAGCGTAGCAGCCATGATTGTGTCTATTCTAATGCCTCCTCACACCCGACCGAGTACCATCTTCGACACCAGCAGCATGCTCATTACCTTCATCACACTTGGACGCTTCTTGGAGAACCGTGCGAAGGGACAAACGTCCAAGGCTTTGTCACGGCTCATGTCACTCGCGCCATCCATGGCTACCATCTATGCGGATCCAATTGCCGCAGAAAAGGCAGCTGAGGGTTGGGAATTGGCCATTGGGTCAGCCAAAGAACCCAAAACAGACTCTGCCCAAGAAGGTAACGCAGCAGAAGAGAAGGTCATTCCTACCGAGCTCATTCAGGTCGGAGATATTGTCATCCTTCGACCTGGTGACAAAATCCCGGCTGATGGAACAGTAACGCGCGGCGAGACTTACGTTGATGAGAGTATGGTCACCGGAGAAGCAATGCCGGTTCAGAAACGAAAAGGCAGTCTCCTCATCGGCGGCACAGTCAATGGCACTGGCAGAGTTGACTTCCGTGTTACAAGAGCTGGCAGAGATACTCAACTCAGTCAGATTGTCAAGCTTGTTCAGGACGCACAAACCACTCGCGCACCAATTCAACGACTTGCTGATAAAATCGCTGGCTACTTCGTGCCAACCATTCTCTTCCTTGGATTTATCACCTTCGCTACCTGGATGATCCTGAGCCATGTTCTCACCAATCCTCCTCAGATCTTCATGGACGAAGCCAGTGGCGGCAAATTTATGGTCTGCGTCAAGCTATGCATATCTGTCATCGTCTTTGCCTGCCCCTGTGCTCTGGGTCTCGCTACTCCAACAGCTGTGATGGTCGGCACTGGAGTGGGCGCTGAAAATGGTATCTTGGTCAAGGGTGGCGCTGCTTTAGAGACAGCTACCAAGATTACTCAAGTTGTACTTGACAAAACCGGAACCCTCACTCTTGGCAAGATGAGTGTTGCTAGCTCCAAGCTCGTCTCGACATGGGAAAACAATGAATGGCGACGAAAACTCTGGTGGACAATTCTCGGACTTGCTGAGATGGGAAGTGAGCATCCTATTGGGAAAGCCATTTTAGCATCTGCGAAAGAAGAACTTGGTCTTGGTGTCGAAGGAACCATCGATGGTAGCGTTGGTGATTTCAAAGCTGTGGTCGGCAAAGGTATTGATGCTCTGGTTGAGCCTGCTACCAGCGCCGAGCGAGCTCGTTATCGTATCCTGATTGGAAGTGTTCGCTTCCTGAAAGACAACGGAATCACTGTGCCACAAGAAGCGATTGATGCTTCTGAAGAAGCTAATGCCAAGGCTGCTGGATCATCAAAAACAGCATCAGCTGGAACTACCAACATCTTCATCGCTATTGATGGCTCTTTCGCTGGACATCTTTGCTTGGCAGATACAGTCAAGGATAGCGCACGTGCAGCCATCGCTGCTCTCCACCGAATGGGTGTCAAGACTGCGATTGTTACTGGCGATCAACGATCAACTGCTATTGCTGTTGCACGTATCGTTGGTATCCCACCAGAGAATGTTCATGCCGGTGTAACACCCGACCAGAAGCAGGAAATTATCCGACGCCTTCAAGAGCAAGGAGAATGTGTTGCAATGGTTGGCGATGGCATCAATGACTCGCCAGCCCTAGCTACCGCAGATGTCGGTATTGCCATGTCTTCTGGAACAGATGTAGCCATGGAGGCCGCGGACGTGGTGCTCATGCGCCCGAATGATCTCATGGATATCCCTGCCTCGATTCAACTTGCCCGATCTATCTTCAATCGCATCAAACTTAATTTGGGTTGGGCATGCGCCTACAACATCATTGGACTACCATTCGCGATGGGTGTTTTTCTCCCGTTTGGATTGCTTCTACATCCCATGGCTGCAGGTGCTGCCATGGCCGCCAGTAGTGTCAGTGTTGTTGGAAGCAGTTTGTTACTCAAGTTTTGGAAACGACCAAGGTGGATGGAAGATGCATTGATAGAAGAAAAAGGACAGCTGAGAAAGAGAGGCAAGGGATGGGGAATGGGAGGTTTGATTGGAAAGGCCTCAGATCTCGCAAGAGCAGTGACAGGCAGGAAGAGGACAGAGGAGGAAGGTTACGTGCCACTGAGCAACCTCGAGCCAGTGTAGACGAATGTTTTTTGCAGCGCTTTAGCGATAGCATGTTTACTTTGTTGGATATGAACAGTTACCAGAATTGATTGAACAAAAATATCTCAATCTTTCTCCATATCCCCATATGTTCGTGAGGCGGCATTTTCGAAACATGCCCCTCGTGCTTACACGGCTGTGCACCTCTGCATCGACCCTGAGGCTCCACTTCATCTTCTCCCTATGAAATTACAGTTGTGATGCTTGTTTGATCACTTCAGATTATTCATTCACATGCCTTCTAAATCTTTCTTTTCTTCTCAAGCCGAAAAATTTAACACAAGCATATCTCACATCTCCATCCGACCACCGCATGCAAGTCATTCCATCCCGTCCTTATGTCTTTACCACTCAACAACCCCTTCCAGAACACGCCTCCTGACTCGCAAGACGCTCAGACCAAGGGTCCATCGGCGCCCTGCCGAATCTGCATCGTGGGTCGGCAATGCGCGATCGGGTCGAGCTGTATTTGGATGGGTGCCGGGCTCCACTGCTTAGTGCGGTATCCTTTTTCGGGAGCCCGCCCCGCGGGTTCGATGAGATATGATCCGGGATCTGGTTGTAATGTTCGTTTTCGGATGGAAGAAGGCGAATGGGAGATGATGTTTAGGCACACGCTGTTAGAGTTCGATAGAGGGGTGGGTGAGGTTATGAGAAACAAGGGCCGAGGAGGACGGTGATGGTGCGTGAAAGGGGTTTTACCGTTGTGCTTCCGTAGAGAGGGACTGTGAGGTTATGGTTGAGGTGGATGCCACTCCACCTTTGAATATTCTCGTGAGAGAGATTTGGGAAGTACAAAGCTCGAGGCGTCGTCCTCATTTCGTTCTTTTCGTTCTGTAGGATTTATTCCCGTGTCACTCTTTTGTCCCTTGCTTTAATACTTTAATTCGAGCCGCGAAAATGAAGTCCGTTCTCAGCCTTACGAGCCTCTTAGCTCTGGCCGCTGCTGTTGTGGCTGCTGACGATGATGATGCTTGCGAGAACGAGGTAGAAATTCGACAAGATACAACGCTCAAGACCAGCACCAGCACGTTCGCTGCGAACGTTACCAATGTCTTTGCACCAGTCACTGCTCCACATGTTGACACACAAGACATTGCAAATATCGTTCCTCAGAGCAATGTATCGCTTTACTATGCATCGAACATCACAACTAGCGCCGGCTTGGTCGTCAACCACACCATGGCATTGCCAGCCGTCTTGCTTGAGGAGATTGCCTCCATCTCCAGTGTGGACTGCACACCTTCTTCAGTGGCTGTAACTTTCAACGACTCTTCGTTCTTTGCTGCAGCCGAAAGTGTATGGACTTCCAATGGCACTTTCGTCATGATTACCAACCATTTGGGAGATTGTGATCCTGAGCTTGAACGAAGCTTCTTTGTTGTCGATAGCTTAAGTTTCGATAATACAACTCTCGTTGCTACAGCTAGCTCTCTGAAGTCCAATGTTTCTAGCACTGCTGGTAAGTTCAATATGCCATGGTATATAGATTGAGTACTAACTCCTAAAAGCTAAGACACAAATCAGTTTCGGTGCTGTTCCCGGCGTTGCTCTAGCAAAGCGTGACCTTACCATCGACCCAAGCTTCACTATCTCCCCTTCGCTGGCCTTGACACCGGACACTGTCCTGTATTCGTACTCTCCATATGTCACAGTCACTGCGGACACTGCTTCCTTCACATCCAATGTGACTCTCTCGGGCTACCTGGAATACAACTGGTTCTTGTTCAAGATGGAAAAATTGTACATCGATATCGATGCCGGTTTCACAGCCGACCTAGCCATCAGCGCTGAAGTTACTTCCGCATACTCAACTACCTTCACCTACGCCCCGACTGCTCTCTTCTACGGCCTCACCGTCCCAGGCGTTCTTGAGCTTGGCCCACAACTTCAATTCTCCGTCGACGCCGAAATTTCCGCTTCTGAGGCCGTCACAATCACCAGCGAAGTCACACTTGCTCTCGCGGATGGAAATGTCCACGTCGATCTCCTCGATGAGTCCAACGCCGGAACTTCGGGCTGGACCCCAACTTACACCGCATCAGCGAACATCTCTGGCGAGGTAGACGCCGCGCTCAATCCAACCGCAGCTCTCACTGTCGAGATCGCCATCAACTTCTTTGGCGGACTTCTTGATCTCTCCACTGGCTTGACTGCCAAGCCTGGCTTCAACAACTCTTTCATCTTGACAGCTGCTAAGGGAGTTGATCTTAGCGGGGTCCAGAATTTGACCACGTCTGGTACTTGTGCTGAGGGTTTGGAACTTGCTAGTAACTTTCCTTTCAGTGTTGAGGCTTTTGTTACTGAGTTTTATAGCACGGAGTTGTACTCTGTTGATCTGCCTATCTTGGCGGACTGCTTTAGCTGGGAGTAAAGAAGATGTGTAGGAAAGTTGATATTTCAATATGTAGGATGAGATGATACCACAAGATAAACTATCAGATTTTCTTACTTGTTGCTCATGTTTGATTTGGGTTTGACCTGATGCGAGACATCTTGACTCTTATATCCGAAGCTTGCGGAGTGAATCAAAACGAAATATAAGACATTAGAGGGGCAATGGCTGTTATAACATCGCTGGTTTGACTCCTTCGAAGTGAAAATATAGACGAAGTACTGTACATCAATGACCTTCCGCTCAATCATGGCTTGATCTGCAATGGCCAAGTATCTCGGCATCGGAGATAGCGAGAACAGATTCACGAAGAAGCAAACTTTAAACGCAGACAGAACAAGAGAATCATTTACTCTAAAAATCAGACACAAATGAATGAAAGTAGATAAATGTTCTTCGGTTATTTAAGAAATGAGTTTAGTGATGTGACGTGAGTGTTGTTGTCCTTATCAAAAGCGATAAGGAGCCCAAAAATGCCCAAGTACAAATTTTTAGCTTCTTCGGGTTAATGACGTTGGCCTTGCATACAAACCACTTTCTATCATCCCATGTTTCTGTGAGTCGCGCATTGCTTCACCACAGCGAGTGCTGCTGTCGGGTTCGAGTGATCGAGCGTTTGAGGTGTCTAGCACATTGTCTAGCACATTGAGGCTTCTAGTCTTAAACCGTGTCTACGTCCATAATGGCGACATCGGCCGCTGGCAAGAGAGGACCATCCGTCCTGGTGAGTACCAGCAGTTACCTCTTACACTTCATTCCATGTTCCATAACATGTCAATTGAGGTTCTAACATCATCTGCAGGTCACTGACTCCCGCGAACGGCCAGCTGTGAATCGTGGTGTACCCCAACGCCCTGGCACGGCTGGGCCAGGTGCAGTGCGAAACCGCATGCCAACGCGCTTCATATCAGTCGACAATGTCCTCCAATATGCCTCCGAAATACCCTCAGGTCAGGCGCGTGGTCCTCCAGGACGAAGACCTACACCGACGAACCCTCAAAGACGACCCACCACGCCTGCTGCGAACATCGGGGCGCGGATAGCACAGCAGAATGTGCCAGGACGAAGTACAAAGGTCAGCGAGAAGCTGGTGCTCATTCCCGAGACAGCCAATGAGAAGGATGATTCGGATGATGAGGCTATGGAGTTGGCAGCGGAGGTGCGGCCCCTGGATGGAGAGGAGGGGCCGTTGAAAGATTCTGAGATGGACATCTTGAAGAAGAGAGGTGGGGTACGGGGGAAGAGCTATGCGGAACGATTGCCCAAGGCCAAACGAGCGGAGAAGTTGGCCAGAGTTACGGCTTATTGTACGGCTCAGGGCTATAAGCTGAAATCTACCGCGGCGTTCGTGAAAGAGAGGCATGGTGCTAAGACGAAACTCTACGATGACTGTCTCTACACTGTCTACCATCTTCCATTGCTACCCGGTAGTGAAGGGTTCAGGATAAGAAGCAGTCCAGTATTGAAGAGTCCTGGTGGGAAAGCTGTTCTGGATGAGGAGATTGAGAGAAGTGAAAGGAGAGACTACCACGAAGGATATTTTGAGGATACTGATACTTATGGAGTCCGAGACGGGGAAGAGAGTCCTCGAAACGAAAGCGACGACGAGAGGAAAAGAAGAGAAGACCAGGGACGAAGGACTAGAGAGGATATTCGACTGCTAGCTCAAGGTCAAAGACCAGACAGTCCGAATCGTAATGCACCAGACGCAACCACTTTCGCTGAGATGTTCGTATTCTCCTATGGTGTTGTTGTCTTCTGGAACTTCACGGAACGACAAGAGAAGGATATTCTGGCAGATCTCACATTCTCGGAACACGAGACCGGCATTTCACTAGTGTCGAGGCCAGTGGAAGAAGATGAATATGAGACGGAAGAGCTGCATTTCGAGTACAGTCCTTTCGTCGACCGGCCTAGAATCTTCAACGACATGATTACTTTACGAAGTGGAGATCATATGATCAAGCTAGCCATGAGCCATGCAATCTCACAAAGTACCAAGCTGAGCTTTTTCGAGGAGAAAATGTCTCAAACAATGTTAGATGCTCAGCATGTTCCCAAACATTTAGCTCTCACTGGTCAGCTGGGCATGTCTCGGAAGGAGATTGTGAAGATCTTGGGACGGCTCTTTAAGAGTCGTGTGGATGTCAATCTTTGTGAGTTCTTAACGTTTTCGACTTGTTTCTCTGCTAACGTTCCTCAGCATCAAACATCCTCGACAATCCCAAGTTCTTCTGGGACTCAGAACCAAACTTATCTCCTCTATACGAAGCTATCCGCGAGTATCTAGAGATCTCACCCCGCATCAAAGTCCTCAACGAACGCTGCAGAGTCTTTTTGGAACTCGCAGAAATTCTAGGAGATAGCATCGCCGAGAACAAAATGAGCACCATCACATGGATCATCATCATTCTCATCATAGTCAGTATTGGTGTCACCGTCACGGAGGTCGGATTGCGGTTCGGTATGCTTGAGAAAGGCAAGAATGAGAGAGACAAACTTGGTAGCAGTGGAGGTTTGGCCAATAGGACATGGACGAGGGATGATTTCACGGCGCCGCAGTTACAAGCTATTTGTGGTGCGGAATATGCGGGGAAGACTTTCAAGGAATTGTAGAGGTTTATTTGTCTAGCATAGCATAGGTGTTTGGTGTTGGAAGAGACTGTGGTGTATATGATGCATTGCTTTGACTCTGTGCTACATAACTGGCTGGTGTGACCGAATGCTTTTGATCAATTTTCTTTTCCAAGCAGAACTCAAGTGAATTCTTCTTCAACTGAAACAATTATTATAATTCACGGTTAGACCTGATTTTTGTTGCCGGAGAAAGTGACTTAAACTCAATCCTTACGTCCCAATATTCCATTCGATCTCAGAGATTCATATGAATATTCGAGGAAGCCAACTTCGGAGACAAAGTACCAAGTGAGAGTGACCTGACCTCAAGCTTCCAAGCGGAGACTTTCGCCACCCAGAGGACTTTGCCCCTTGAGGTTGTCAGAATTGAGGAATCACACCCTGGAATCGAGAAATTGGTATTAGGGCAGATAATTATGAGTATCCCCAAGTTGAGGATTCTCGCAAGTGTAGACTTAGTCACTTTCAGGTGAAGATACAAGCTTGAGGTGCCTAAGTTGGCAAGTAAATTTTGTGCTTGCTGTCTGAAGTGAAGAACGCTTGTTCATCACTAGCATCTCAGGAAGAGGCAACAGCTCGGGTTGACTTTGATTGGAAATTGTTGAAGAGAAATGGCAGGTCAAGCGACTTTGGTGTATGATTGGGATTTGATGTTCTCAAAAAGGGATTTCGGATCTGCCTATTAGCACTGGCCGTTTCCTTCTCTGCAACTCGCATGTAGTTGTATCTCCGTGAAAGAAGAATAATCTTTGCACAAAATACCTCATTGCTGTCCAAATTATCTTGATACTTCTCAAGCCCCGTCTCTGTGCGGTATAGAGCGCTACATTAACTCGTTATCTTGATGCAGTGTTCAGGATACCACAAAATTGGGAGAATTCCATCTCTAGAATCAGCAGGAACCAGTGTTTTTGATAGTAGTCTCAGCGTTTTGAATCAGACATTGAGCCGCTTCAATCAAGGTACTAGGTATTTCACCTCAGGGGTGTTGGTGAAGTACCTGAGAAAATCCTCTCATAAAAATCAACGATGCTACTAAGCTCTCTATGTTCGCGCTTACTCTCCCATACGGACGGCCTAGATGAGTTTTCACTATACTCAAAATTCAGGTATATGCTTTTAAAGTACATTATACCTTCCCAAATTTTCAAGAGAAAAACCGATTCCGACGTGGTGGATCTCCTCTAAGGCTATTCACCACGTCTCATTTCGACCTAACATCCTTGACTGGCATGCTATAGAGTCATTATGAATAACATAAGGCAAGACAGCCTCTCCAATCTTTCATGGAGTCGACATTCGGTACGTCAATAGTGATTAATGGTCAAAACTCCGCAATACAGGCGAAAGGCTAGCTCGTAAAGTCTGTATCTTTTTTACACAAGCCGTTATCAGGAGTATATAATTATCTAAGACTGGAGCTTGATTCTAGCATTAGTCTTAACGCTATCGAGCATGTTCTTTGTAAGCCTTTCCCAAATGAAAAGCCATTGTCAGATTGTGTCTGTTCTTTTGAGTTGTAGAATGAGATATTTGCCTCATCCAAACTAAACACCATTCGAGAAGGCGAGATGATCACAAGTGGAAGAGATTCAATTGAAGGTCAACATCCAATGGTAAAAGTCTCCAAGATAATATTCAATGTATCTCTTGTTTTCTCCCTATTAAGCTTGTAGTCTGCAACGTCGGCTAGCTGTTTAGCTTAATTACGGAAATGATTCAACTTGTGCACTAGGTGAACAGAGACAATGTTAGCGTCATGCTATGCTATGAGCAATAGCCTCCCAATTCCTCCTCTTTTTAAAGACTCGTTCTCGACTTATTTCCAATACAGACTCGTCACCACCACAGCGTTTCTTCATAACCATACACACTTCCACCTACGCAGATCAACTGGTAAGTCTTGGCCTCCTCAAACTTTTATTGTCAGTCATCTTACTCCCGCAAAGAAGAATCCCGCTATTGCGACCATAACTTTGCCTTTGCGATCGTCAACACAATCAGACTTGGTAAGTCAACATCCAACAACCACATACATTTCCAGTATCCCCAGCCCCATAATAATACTATAGAGCCAACCGAGGACTCTCGAATTCTCAGTCTCCTTCCTTCAAATTCAGAGTTATCTCAATCTGGTAAGTTGTCAATTCATATTTAACGCGCAAAATTCATCTAACTTGTGCAATGTAGTCATCAACCGCCGTCACGATGGGAAAGATGAGTACCAACCACCATTGTCCAGTCAAGAATGGCTGTACCCACGCCCTCACCCAAAACTATCGAAACCCATACTGCCCCAAGCACATGACCTATTGCAAGAACCCGAAGTGCCATAGCGAGTACCCGTATGTCATGAGCAACCAGCGCTGCAAGCCTTGCACAGGTCGCGAGGAGGCAGAGAGGCAAAAGAAAGAAGATGAGAAGAAGGCATTAGAAGCCAAGAAGGAGGCTGAGAAGGAGGCGAAGGCTAAATCCGGCAAGAAAGATGATAAGAACAAGTACAAGAAGAACTAGATCCTATTGCTTCACAGCGTAGGGACTGTTCTGGACTTAGCGTTCTTGCAATGGTCTTCACTTGATGGCACGAGCATATTTGCATTTTGGAGTCATTTGGCATATGTTTTTGGCTTGGTGTCTTTTCTAGCATACAGGGATCGGCATGGGGCATATGTGAACTGGTTGGACTCGCAAGTTTTGGATTTTGGGGGACAGAAAACACATGGGAGGAGTAACAGCATGATGATAGCGTGATCTTGATCAGGATGAGCGATTTGCATAGCTTTTCATTGTTGATAGAGCAAAGCAAGTCCTCTCCCTAATTCTCAATTTATCTCTGAGTAGATAATCGCAAATGAATCTACCGGATGTGCTTCCTTCCTTTCTCGAGCCCTGTACCTTACTCACCATAAGTCTCATAGAATCAGTGTCGAATTCCTCGTCCCCATTGAGTTATTGAACTCCCATTCAGATCTGTGACTGATCGGTTCTTCTAGCCCAGTCAAATGTTTGTTTCGAACTTTATCTCTACTTGTGATTCGGCTGCGATTATCCAAGTAAAAGCTCGGTATGACATCTCGCTTCACAGAGTTGAGTCAGTAACCTTTGACCTCGCTTAGGTTAGATGACATCTATTACTAATTTCCTAGTAATGGACAATTGATGAATTTCCTCACATTTGAGGGTACTCTCATTGGAGGATTTTCTCACTGAGGATCTTGAAGCCGGCGACTTTCCGAAATCGAGTCAAAATGAGATTACAGTTCTTCCTGTCTATGGCAACTTTGTTTCGACCCTAATAGACTAGATACGGAACTGAGAATCTGAAATCGAAGATAATTAGTCTGATAGAAGATACACTTGTTTTTTTTGAATGAGACCTACATGTACGGTTGTGCAAATGCAGAAGTTATCCGCTTTTGAGTGTTCTCTGGAGAGGAGTACCTTCGTCCTCGACCCGAGTTATCCCAATTCCAAATCCGTTGAAGATACTATGTCTTAATTAATACCATGTATGTCTCCGAATCTTCAACACTTAGGATTATAGATAGTTGTGATTTTCGACTGCAAAAAAGTTCGCAGATAGCAGAATTTTTGCCATTCCTATACTTATGATTGTCACTTCCTATTAGAATGATTTCCTATTGGAAATATAGATTGTAATTATTTGCCTTGTAATCTGAAAACCATCTTTATATGGGGTTTCATCAAGTCAAGTGTTGCGTCGACCAAGTACACACCTCGCTTAAGCCCCTTTTCTGGCTCACTTTCATCCCAACCACGTGACCGAATCATCCTTGTCATCTTGACTTTGGCTTGTACAAGTGGTGAATGGATAGCATGAACTGGCTCAAGACACATGTATTGCGATGTTAATCACGAACGTGCGCACATTTTGACTGGATTGACGGATGCTGCGGTGCATAAAAACTCCCAGATCCAGCTCTCCATCTTTCCTTTACATCATCTTGCTTCAACCACTTTCGATAACAGCCTTTCCAAACTTTCGCGACTCGAATCCGTAACATCAAGGTAAATACTTTGTCTACTACCATCATCTACTCATAGCTTTGTACGTCTTGGGTCATCGACCATCACAGTTCCCCAATACTAACTTGATCAGCCGGTCGCGAACATCACGATCTGCCCGCTTGTCACTTCGTAAGTTATCTACCGATACCCCTTCCACGTTGGGACCTTCAGAGTAACAGTGTTGATAATCTACAGACAGACATTCAACGAAAATCCCTCACCTATCATAATGGTTCTTAGTACAAACCATTACTGTCCAAGGGCCAGGGAAGGCGGTTGTGTCAGAGCCAGGACTCCCAGAGACAGGAACCCTTACTGCAAGACACACCAAAGCTTCTGCACCGACGAGAAGTGTGGCGAGTTTCCATTCATCATGGGCACCCAGCATTGTAGGTCATGTGCACGGCGACGTGAGAAAGAGCAACAGGAGCAAGAGATCGAGAAGAAACAGAGCGAAGCCAAAAAGAAGGCAGAGAAGGAGGCTAAGGCGAAGTCGGGCAAAAAGGTAGTCATCTACAAGAGGAACTAATCAGTCTTCCTCATCATCTCGGAGATGTCTGGACATCGTCGTACGAACATGTCTAGCGGGATCATAAGTCATCCGCGATGGCGCGGGATTTGGGATGGTGAACCACATTGTATGTTAGGGAGTGGAGGACATGGCAACCACGAGTTCTACGATGATGCATGAATCTATTTTTCACTAGGGAGTTATTGGAAGTGTACGGAAGGAGCTACATGAAGGGTTTTGGAGTGTTTCATGAGGCTCTAGCACAATTGTCTCGTTTGAGGAAGAAATTTGAATGGTATTTATGTTAGACAAGGCAATGCAAATCTATTTTCTAATAGTCATGGTGGTGCAAACTATGTGTCTCCGTATGCCAAAGAATTTCAAGCACCGTGGTTTTAGACATAGTATACACTTCCATTCAAGCACCATCCACAGCTTCCCTCATTCTACAGCTTCACCGACCTCCTCCATATTCTCCACATTGTTTCTTGATGCTTGGCTCTCTTTTTTTGAATCATCACCCTCCACTTCTAGATGCGGCTTCTCTCCAATATCCTGCATCTTCACATCATTGTCATCCGGTTCATCCACACTCTCCTCATCTTCTCCACTCTCTTCGTCACTCTCATTGTTTGATATGTTCTCCACCTCGAATTTGGTGATGCTGGAGTAATGTATCTCCCACTCTTTGATAAAATTATCATATCGATCGAAAGATCCATACTCTCCAAACCCAAAGAGTGCAAATCTGGCAAGTCGACGGAGCCATGGTCCACGATAATAAGCATCTTCCATGTAGGACGGATCATGTTTTGCCATGATCTGATCAAAGTGTGCTTTGATCAAAAGCTCTTCTTGGGTCAACTCTCGAGCGGGAGCCACGTCCATATTCCCAGTCCAGCCATCTGAACGCTCGTCCTCATTACACCAGAGCCACAGAGGGGGTGATCTTGCAAGAACTAAAGGCAGAGATAGAATCAAGTCCCAGTCTAATATACCAGTGATCTCCCAAAGTGGCGGTTCACCGGAAGTCATAGTGTTTATTTGTTGCCGAGTTTCTTGTTGCTCGACATTGTGCTTCGTGGTTTCTATCCGATCCTTATTGTCTTCGCAATTGGAATTAATCTCTAAAGTATGCTTGTATGCTGTCCCTGAACTATCTTCGACTGTGATGCTCACTTTATGTTTGCACTCCTGACTTGCAGGATTCTCCAAAGAAAAATTGATTGTATGGTTGCTTCCGATCCGAGATGTGCTGTCGACAGTGATAGTTGCTTTGTGATGACAACCTGGGTTCGAGCTGCTTGACTTAGGGGATCCGGTGTCCACAGGCATATCCACTTGACCGATGGAGGGCAGTCTCCGCGCTGCAGAAATTTCTGCTGATTCAGAGGATTTGGCTCGCATCATGATATTCCGTGGGGCGAAGTCCCAATGCCATATCGAGCACTCGGTGTCAGTCATGCGCATGAAACCAACTTTCTCCATCTGAGAAGCAATCTCCTGCAACTTTAACCACATATCACTCATCCAGGAGTGTTGTTCTCGGTGTGCTGCGCGATGTTGCATGATAGTGTGGAAGAGCTCTAGAAGCCCCATCTTCTCTGTTGGAGGCATTTCGGATCCCGATTGATTTCGATTATACCGAAAGCCATCGACTTTCATATTTTGCGTGGCAGAGAGTTTGGCGTGAGACAGAGACGGGAAGGATGCATCAGCTGATAATCTTCCGGCGGAATCGAACTTGATCGATTCCATCTTCTTGATCACCTCGGCAACAGCTTCTGTGATCTGAAGTTTCTCGACAAGAGAGAGTTTGTAGAGAGTCGTATCCATGACGATACCAGGAAGACATTCTTGTAAGACATACGAGGACGATAGTGCATTGTTTTGGCTCGAGTCAAACGCTGAAATACCAGCGACTGGCAAGTGGGTTGAAAGATATTGAAGAAGAGAAACTTGATCCTTGACTTCTGCAGCTTCATCAAATTCGCCACCTGTCCGAGAGATGCGAAGTACGAATCCAGACGGCTGACGCTCTTTGAATGTAAGGCCAACAATTCTGTTGTAGCTGCCACCTTTCATTCGCTCAACAGTCGAGGGTTCTCCCCACCCAAGGTCACGGCACAGCTGGATGATCTTGTCTTGGTAGGCTTCGAAAGGCTTCTTCTTGCTGTAACCTTCCGAGTCACAGGAGGAGACGGTAGATGTTCCAGATTTTGCGACCAACTTGCCACTCCTGGCTTTCTCTGATGAAGATTCACCGTTGTTGTCCACTTCGAGCTGAACTGAATTTGCTGGAGAGTTTGCGCTCTTCGCAGAGTGAACGGGACTTATGATAGAAGATTGCATGTTCGTATGAGAAATTTGTGATCGAGTTGGAGATGTTGCGTTCTTGGGAGCCTGAGGAGGGGTGCCTGCGGGAGGCTGTGGGGAGATGAATTTTGTTGGAGATGTCACAACCTTAACAGGGTCCTCGAGACTTGGTGTCTCCTCAACACTAACATGAGGCTTGCTAGTCGCGTTCTCCGACATGACGGAAAGTTCTGGAGATGAGGGAGTTTGCGCTTCTAAGGTATTGTCGGGTGTGGAGGCGTTTGCGACTGGTTGCTGACTGAGTTTGGTATCGATATCAGAGGAAGGCGCATGTGGAGATGGAATATGCGCAAACATATTAATGCTGAAATATGGTTGTATTCCGATAAGATGTTGACGATATTTGAATCCGCAACGATTGAGAGGATGCGCCCGTGATCAGGGTGAAAAGAGTGTGGTTATTGAGAAGCTGACTCCGAAAAGTGCAACTTTAACTGGCGATGTTGTTTTGAGGTGGAAAAAGGCTGCTTATATGCGTTCGAAATTCTTTGGCAGTCCACTAGGCGTCCTTTTTCGTTTAGCGTTTGCGACTTCCTAAAAAGGTGAATTGATGTTGTCGAGGCAGGTCAGGTGCTTTCGCTTCGACAAGCTCCGTTTGACCCAAGTTTTCTTTTTCCTTGCATCATCTTTCTTCATTCCACACGGAACTGATCTTACATTCCAACCGAGTGATGATCAGGATGTGATATTAATAGCCTGATGAATACAGAACTACCATGCGCTTCGCGGCAATGAAGATGGCGTGGTACCTACTCTTAGAGACAATATGTACAACTAATGCGTGACAAGAGTAGGCGCTCTTACATGTCTTGAGATAACAAGAATGTAATTATGTGCCTAGAAAGCCTCATCGGTGGCGATTCTATCAAGTTTGGATGACGACGCCGATCAGCACCCGCATTCTCAAGTGGAACGAGGCATCCATACCTTGAAGTATAAGTATTGAATGGTACCTCGCAAACAGATTTCAGCTCAACATCTCTATCTCACTCTTTCTCTCTCTTCTTCCAAACTCTTATCCTGATCAAAGCCATGTCTGTCGCTAAGATGAACTTCGCAATGCTGATATTGGCTTCGCTGGCTACAGCATCTCAGATCGGGTGCGCTGAGAATGAGTATGATATTCTATCCTGGTTAAACTTTCACTAATGCATCTAGTTGTTCTCGAGCTTTCAATGGGCAACAATACACCGCTTCTGCCAAATCATACTGTTCTAAATTTACGACAGCCACAATGGCCAGTGCAAACAATATTCCTTGGGCCTCGAATTCTTGCTCTATGGCGTCCCAAATCTCTTCCATCTGCTCTTGTGCCTACCCGGCAGGCCCTGCTACTCCAACGCCGTCCACGAAGTCTCCCGCTCTTCCAACCTCATCAAGCATTGTACGAAGCAGCACACGTCATGTCACTTCGACCACCACAATCCCCCCCTCACCGCCTGCTTTCAAGACATCGACTACTACATACGCATCACGAGAATTTGGCCCTGATTGCTTGGCTAATAACTGTCTACGAGCTCTCGATCGATACAATGCCAATGCTTTCTGTTCAGTGTTCACGCTTGGAAACATTGGGATAACAGGCATCCCGAGTTATGCCACCCCATGTAGTTCTATAGGAAACACTATGGCTCAAGTCAGCTCGGCATGTACTTGTTTGAACTATTATGGCAACTCCATGGGATTTCTCCCTCCGAGCACTCCAACTGGAAGTGCAGGGACAATCAGTGCAGCCGTATCGTCGAGTTTGACTCTTTCCATCTCGACATCTATGTCTTCAAGTGTCAGCCTCTTCAGCACAGTACCTCCAAAGGCTACCTCCGACCATCTGACCACAACACAAACAAAGCCTCTAGCTACATCAGTTCCTTCGAATGCATACTGTTATGCAAACAATTGCTTGCGAGCTTTGAAGTACGAGGGAGGGTTAGGAGCAACGGCATTTTGCTCAAGCTTCACAACTGCTGCCGTGACAAACACACACCTCCTCCCAACCTATGCCACCCAGTGTTCTACAAATCCGATCGCCCAGATGAGTTCTGCTTGCACCTGTATAGGTAGCAAAGCGTATGCTACTTCTTAGACGGATGACGGAAGTTGATGTTCAGGTCTTGGTGTTTTCGATGTCGTGTGCTTCATTTCTGTTCCGTGACGATTTTGTAGCAATTGGGGTATGAAAAGTCAGCGATTTGCACTTAAATCCATAGATCGTCAATGAAAAACTTTTTGCATTTCACATTAGAGGATGGTTAGCTACAATTATTTTCGGAGAAAAAGAAAAAGTCATTATTAGGTATTGTTAGTTCTGAGATTGGGCGTGGGAATCTGACATGGGCAATGAAAGGCAAATAACGCTTCGGCAGGTAATTGTGACATGTTTCTGATTACGTCCACAGATAGATAAATACAATGCAAGACGAATTTGCTATCGTGTCAACCTCAATCTCCAAGTATTCTGGTATTTCCCACAACGTCCTCGTGGTCCCTCTTCGTCCACTGAAAAACACATCGAGCCTGAATCCTTATCCGGTCGTTACCGTCTTTCCTTTTCGTTGGAGGGCCTTGTACTTAGAGAACTCTTTCCTCTCTCTCAGGACATCGATGGCTTTGAATTTCAACTCATCCACAATTTCTTTGTCCATACGCTGGGCTATGAGGGTTTGACTGTACATACGCCCCTTGAACTCAAGGGTACGGCGCAATGAGCGGTAAAGTTCGCCACCCGCGTTCCTATCAATCTTCCTGTCTACACCTGCGCCCTTAGGAGAGTATCTGAGTAGCTCCAAATCTTCTTCGTACTTCAGAGTGTGAGATGTGATTGGCTGATGATGCTGTTTTGGAGGGTTTTGCCAGACCAAGCCGATCTTGGGGAAGTAGTCACTGAAGACGAGGCTGATGGTCTGCAGTTTCTTGAATTTCACGAGCTTTGACGATACCATATCCACGGGCTTGAGAACGTCGAAGGCGATGTGTTGAAGGTCTGGAGAGATTTCCTGGAGTTGGGTCAAAAAGTGACGAAAGTTCCAGCCAGCTCGTTCTAGAGCACAACTAGCATAGGATAGGTAGAGGATATCGGTAGTGAAGTCGATGTATGTTCGGAAAATACAGTTATCGGCTTGTGGCTCATCATCTTCATATAACATGCTGGTATTAAACTCCAGACATGTATAATGCCTCAGCATATTCGTGCGAGACTCGGAGCAGGCGTGCAGGGCGGGCGGAATGGCACAATCAGTTGCGAAACTCCAAGTAGTTTCATTCCAGAGTACTTCAATGACGTGCTCATCGGGCAATGCATGATCCCAGATTTTCAACCTGAGCTCAATGGGCAACTTCGGGAAGCATTTGAATCTTCGGAGCGACTTGCTGGATTCGGTCCAGTCTTTAGGATTTGGGTTGATGATCATTGCTGCTGCTTGAGACGCATCTTGCGATATATCAGCCTGTAGATCACTTTATGCTGGTGATCTATTGCGCTTACCTGGTGCCGCAGCGGGCGTGCTGAGTTCTTCAGGGCAGTGATCTTCCATGAGGAGGTCCAAGGAGGAAGACTTGACGTTATGTCCCAAGGCCATGAGAGTTTATGTTTTTGAGATCTGATTGACTGTGGAAGGAACTCGAAAGCGATAAAGATCGAGGTAGAAGTCGCGAGGCAAAGGTGATAACCGAAAAAACCCAGCCTTGTATTTTGTTTGATGAAGTACGCTAACGCTCAATCTAAAAGCTAAAGAACGCTTCATGTAAGCTAATCTGTTTTGAGGAGGATACTTTGAACTTTAAGAGACAAAATATATTTCCCTAGCCGTCTCCTCATACAAGTATTGATACCGTGTACCCCATATTGGCTCGATAAAGAGCAACGCCTATACAGATTCTTCGGGAATTTGCACGAATGAATTGTTGAAGAAAGTACATATTAAGTCGAAACACTGCCAAGATTTACGATGTTTAAGATGGTTTCGGAAGATTATGATTCCACTAATCTACGCTTGATGAGCAAGCAGGCAAGATAGAAAACGAGTATCCCTTTGCTCTCTAACCCTGCCGAGAATGTTCGTGAAATGGCTTTAGCTGCTCTGGAGTTCGAGTTCTCGTTTACAATCAGCGAAGACCCCAATTATCCTTCACACCCCTCGAGATCTCTTCAAATCCTTTCCCTCCTTCCATCCTATTGATGTCGACGGCGCTGATAACCACTCCTGGAATTCCTCCAGTCGCAGGTTTGACTTGACGAAGGTCGTTTTTAAAAAAAAGCCTTTCTTGACTTGAAAATCATTCCATCTGTTGCCATCGACCGATGATTTCTTGTACCCATTCCATCTGACGAACTTTGTATCGTCGGGTATGTTGGAACACCCAATGATAGGTTTGCGTTGGATCTTCTTGTATTCCTTAGTTGCATGCCGGGAGTAGACACAAACATCGGAATAGACTAATTTGATGTCCTTCAGTAGTGGAAAGCTGGTCAGAATCTCTGCAACCACACTGCTGTTGATGCTCGTAGCTTCGAATGCTACACGCAACAATTTGTGGCCGTTTGATGCGCTTGACAAGCTCTTCAGAAAGCTTTTGATGTGGCGGCTTCCATATCGTGACGTTATGAGCCCTGTTGGGCAGAAGTAGAGGATATCTTGCGAGTAATCGATCCAGGTGTATGAGAATTTCGGGTCCGACAGGCCAGGACGACCATCCTGAAGAACAAGTTGATCGTAGTGTTTCTTGGCTTCTCTACGAGACTCGGAACTAGCGTGGAGCAGAGCTGGTGCGACGCAAGTGGTGTGGAAGTGCAGGATAGGTGCATTGAAGAGAACCTCAACGATCCGAGATTCGGCATCAACCAGAGCGTGCTTAAAGATCTCCAATCTAAGCTCTATGGGAAGCTTGGCAAAGTCATGAAGAGTGGTTGGAGCAATAGTCTTTGGTGTCCAACCAGTAGGATCAGCGCTCAAGGTGGAAAGTGGAACTGAAGGTGCGATGCTGAAGTTGCTGTTGATGTTCGGTGAAGATGACGGACGCACTCTCAGCGTCACAATTGCTCCCCATCATGTGCATCATGACAAGCGATTGGAAAATGTAGCCACTTTGATGTTAAGTTTGAATGGATGTATTCGAGGCAGATTGATGAGGTTGGATTGCGAAGTGTCTGTCGAAGCTCGTGGATTTCGGTAGTCTGAGAGGGCTTACGAGGAATCTTGTCGTTGTGGAGATGGTCGAGATGGAGAAAGATCTATCGAGGCTGCTCTCTGTAGAGTATCTAGGTAGCCGAATTGCCGTTGGCCATCCGCGACTTTTGATCTCTGTTGCGATTGCTGGAATAATTAACGTCCTCTCTAGCGGGATTTGGTCTGGCATAGAAGGGGGACCAATGTCATGATCAAGATACCGGTAGGAGAGAACGATCCACAAATCGAGAACATCAAGCTGTAGAACATCGATAACAGAGGAGATAGAAGTACTTATAGCCCTAGAAGAGCCCATGTCCTGTACTTCAGCTTCTGCAGTCGCCCGAGGTCATGTGATCTGCAAACAGACTTCTTCCTCAGATGTAATTCTAACTACCAAATTGTTGACAGTGGAAAGAGTAGTTTCATTAAAATCTTATCTAGAAATAATTATGTACCGAAACATTATAGGACTGATAATCGGTACGTGAGGACTCGGACCTGATTCTACTCTTTGTGCCATGATTTATGTGCCTTCAAGCGGATCACTAAAGGGAAGAAAGCTACTCAACTTCAACCTCTGCCTTGTCAAAAGCACGCTAAGAACCCTGACCAATGAAAAGCTTCGACCTCTTAAGCACCATATAGTTTTAAATAAGCAGAATTTTGGCATCATCCTCTGAGACAGCGGCCTCCAGGATAATAGATGCTTGCGACAGTGATCGTGCCTCTCTATATTCTCGTGTGAATGCCTGAAATACGAATGTCTCAAGATAATCCCCTTTAAATCCCACACTTGGCTGTGGTGCTGGACACCCTCCTTCGGGAGGTTGAAATTTTTGCTTCTGATATCGATTTTAAAATTTTTTGGCTTTTTCTCTTTGCGAACGAGGAGAGGTCCTTTTTAAGCGAGGTCCGCTTATGACTCCGCTCTTTTTTTGAAGTTGACTCAAGATTACGCACCATAGATATTGGACAGAGCATACTTCTATAATGCCACTCTAACAACGTTGAAAAAATCAGTATCGAACTTTCCAATCTACAAAGATCATTAAAGGTTGATATGTGCTGATAGCACCGAGTGATGGTAGGTAACAGTGAAGATCAAGAAAATAAACAGATTTAGTATTCAGAGAACAATAACCCATCAAGTTTAAATTATTCTTTAATGACCAATCACTGATATGTTTGTGTATCATTCGTCGAATTCACAATCTGCTGCTGGCATCACATCCTCACCGAGAAAACTTCAATTTTAGATTTGTATTGCATTGTGTGCCTAGCAACCCATTGACTCTGCCGTGTTTAGTCCTCCCTCCTGGCAAGAATTGCTCTGTCATTAATGCTGAAATCAAAAATCCACGCTCGCTTCAACGTTCAATCGCCCACCTATAGACAAAATTCTTAATCTCATGTCAGTATCGCTGGCTTTAGTATTTTCGAGAATATCTGTAGACTAGCAAGGGAGAATAGAGCTGACGGTATGACTCTGATTTGACTCAGTCAACTAGTGATTATTTTTCCTCTAGCTCTGCCCTCACTATGTTTATTGGGCGGATGATCAACGAGTTTGCTCTTTCCTCATCCTAATCACGGTTGATTCGATTCTTGAACCTATTCAGATGTCCCCTCACAACGTGAGAAGCCCTGTCTGGCCTCAGCTGATAGCCGATTGCTTTGCTGTGCGGATATCTCTGTGTAGATAACTTCATGGGATTTTGAAATGAAATACATATATCTCCGTACACCACGTTGATCTCCTTGAGGTAATCGTAATCGGTCAGTCCGTCGGAAATGCTGAGGGTGTCCAAGGTGAAGGCTTCAAAAGCTATACGTTGTAATCCCACTTTTCTCTTAGTCCAATCTTCTCTGTAATGATGCATCAACGTCTTGAGGAAGGCGGAGCTGACGTCGTTATATGAGTCTCTACCCCGGTGCCCAGTGAGACAGAAGTACAGGATATCGCGCGAAAGGTCGACCCAAGTAGTAAAAGCAAGCTTCTCGGCTTGGTTCAGACCCTCCGAGCCAAGGTGGGAAGAGGATTTTCCATATGGAACCACGATTCGGTCGTACTTTAAAGTTGTTCGGGATTCCCGGCAAGCCTGGAGAACGGTAGGGACAGGGCAGTTCGTGAAGAAACGATGATGCTTCTCGCTCCATAATATCTCAACAACTCGTTCGTCGACCTCATCCATAGCATGTTCCCACTACTGGAAATTAGCACCAGGTTCTATTGGTAGTAGAAAATGAGGAAGGTGTTGCTCGGGAATGCAGTCAAGCCCATTCGGCAACAATGGGGATGAAGAGGAACAACGATTCCGGTACGTACAATCTTGAGTCTCAACTCTGGTGCTAGATCCATGAATATCGTGAATTCCGTGAGGGAATTTCTGTCCTCCGTCCAACCCGTGGGATTCGACAGTAGACTATCAATTTCTGTTGGAGATGATTCGACTTCCTCGCTCAAGCCTTTAGCGAGAACATTAGTCTTCGGTACGACAGCCATGGTGGCTCCGATTTGGCTGATAGTTGGAGTTGCGTCAGACGTTGCCGGATCCAACGATGGTGAACCACTTGATCCCGTTAAAGGAGAAGGATCGCGGCTTGGCATGGTGGATATGTCGACGCGCTTTTCGACAATAACAAGTCTTGACTTCTATTCCTGATGACTTGTTGAACGGATCGAATCGTTGAAGGTGGCCAGTCAAAGGCGATGTGATAATGCTGCGAATCGCAACAGCTCGATTTGCGCAAGTGAAATCGTTTTGTAGCAAGACGGATACGCTGAGCAGTATTTGTAGATGACGAATAGCATGCGAGAAAACTATTCCTGGAGATCAAATTTTGTACGTTGATGTTTTGAAGAGATTGTGTTCCGAGTTCGTGGATTGGGAAATGCAAATATTGCGGTTTGAGGACCCACGGCTCAATCAGGCCTAGGGTTTCGCTTAAGACCAGATGAAAAGGGGAGTTGTTCTTTTTCCGCATTAATGCCTCAGGCTGCCATATCCTGTTGCCTAGTTTGTGGCTGCTTTGCTTGCTAATCTGCCGGAGCGAGTGCGGCGAGCTCATACTTAAAGCTCAGTACTTACTCTTCTCAGCAAAGTATATTTCGAACTACAAAATCAACTACGATATAGAGACATCACAACAACCATGGCCGCCCCTATTGACAAATCAGAACCGTACTTCCCTGTCGCCGGCTGCGCCCGTGATGGCTGGTCCAAAGAAGACTCTGCAACAGCAACCTGTTATTGCGGCGCCGTGCAGCTTGCATTTCCCACCAAAGCTCCGGGTCTATATAGCGGGGCGTTCACCTGCCATTGTACCGACTGCCGCAAGATCACGGCGTTGATGTTCACCTCAACTTTTACCATCCTTGACACCCATCTCACCCATATTCGTGGCAGGGAGAACTTGACAGCTTTCGCTCAATCGCAGACAACCAACTCAAGCAGGACTATGACCAATTATTTCTGTAAGACTTGTGGTACACTCATGTATCGTGTTGGAACGAAGGGAGCGAGCATCCTACGTCTTGGCACTGTCGATGACTTCCATCTGCACGAGGCGAAGCTTAAGCCGAACCGTGAGATATGGACTAAAGACCGTGTAGGTTGGGTGAGTCCTATTGAGGGGCTCAGCAGTTTGAGAAGTCGCGTAGTGGGGCGTCTGTAGCTGAGCAAACCAACAAGGAGACCTAGAGGTAGGAAAAATTGTAACCTATGAAGTCGAGTCAAGGACAAGAAATTTTATGACAACGACTTTGCCATAATGAATCTTTTTTCTTTAAGTTTAGCACTCGTCTCTTTTGCCTAGGTGAGTGACAAAAAGCGGAAAGTCTTTAGTTTTGAGTCTTTTCATTGCTCGTAAGCTTCTATGAATTTATTCTGAGACTTGAACCCGGAAAAATTTCAGGGCTTGTACGAAATAATGCGACCACAAGGCGCATCCTTATCCTCTCCTGCTCTGACAATATCGATGGGACGAACAATCAACTTCTTCACGTCCTTTTTCTTCATGCCTTCTGTCTCAAGCTGCATTTTCAGCTTCTCCATCCTTCTCTGGAATCTATCTGGCCAACAAAAGTCCATAACCTCAACCTTGAAGTTCCACTTGCGCCCCCACCTCTTGTAGGAGAAGAACCTCGTATCTCTTTTCACAAATCCCATTGCCAAGCTATGGGGAACCGTTTTAACGTTCATTGGGAAATCCTCATGAACACAGATATCCTCAACAACCAAATTGACGCTCTTCAGACTTGGCATACGCCCTAACCTCCTCGCCAGGATTTCCGGGCGAAAGCTCTTGTGCTCAAATGCAATGTGCTACACTTTCATCACAAGCGGAGACAAAATTCGCTCCGAGGACCATAAATTTTTTTCAATCAAGGCATTCCCATGACTCTGCGAAATATGCTCATTCGGGTTGAAGTAAACGACGTCAACATCGTAGTTGATGTAAGCGCGAGTGACACCGTTGTCAGGACCGTAGGCGTCGCATCTGATGATATCATATTTCTCCAGAGCACGCCCTCGAGACTCCGAGCAGATGGCTGTGGCTATCGGCAGGTTGCAGATTATGGACCATCCGAGGTACTCCCAGAATATTTCTATGATTCGTGGTTGAGCGATGATGAGATCCCAGATTTTGAGTCTTAATTCGGGAGGTAGGAGGCAGAATGATGTGAAGTCTCGAGAAGATTTTGGTGGCACAAGCATTGATGTAGGGTCGCACTTAGTTTGAGGACACTGAGTATTCGCAGTTGTCGTGATTCGTGGAAGTGATGGTGTGGCGTTCGAGGTCATCTCCTCGCTAAATTCTGGCAGGATATGCGGCATCTTGGATGTTGACGAGGCCAGGGTACATGCAAGTGACTTGATACCAAGTATAATAGAACATGTAACGATATTTCAGGGATGATCAAGACATTTTCCATCTTCTTTCAAATCCGTGAGGTTGTGTGAAGTCCGTTTGTCTATCTAGTCGAGAAGAAGCTTAGTTACGACCCAAAACATGGTACCGAGAAAGACATGACGCCACCTCACCGAACCTCTTACACCATTAATGTTTATAGAAAGACCAAGTCATATTGAAATATATTTCAGGCGCGAATTGATTGGAAATTGATATCTACGTTACTCAAGAGCTGTGTTGAGAGTACATCCCTAGATGCGTTTTCATTTTCACATGATGATGAACTTCACACACGTTTACCTAGGTATGGGATGGAAAGCAACGACTTTGGATTCAATGACGAAATATGAAGAAGACCCCCTAGCATTACAATTGTCCGAAACGTCACCGATGATTTCCCTAGCCCTGTCTGCAAAGCTGCTTGATCGATGCACGCGATATCGCGCTAACCGAAATCTGCTCCACTACTAACGACTCGCACCCTGACCTCAACTTCTTCCACAGAGAATAAATGCACGCAGATCTCGCGCATTGGCTATGCCTAGATGTTTCCCACGGCTTCTCAATCTCCCTTTCTCATGATATTAATCATGCAGAAATTCAACCTAGCCATCCACTCTCTGTCCAAACCCAGCGGTTCACTTCGTCGCTTCAACTCAGCCATCTGATCCTCAAAGTCTTTGTAGGTTTGCTGCGTGAGAATACCCATTGTTCGTCTCTCCAACACAGACCATCGCTTCGTTCGAATATTTCCTTCCCGACAGACATTCTTGAAACCGATCGCTGGGAGATATGGAGCTGGATTCACAAGGTGGGGGTCTCCGTTAGCAAATGACTGACAGACGTCCGAGTTCACTGCTGCGCAAAGACGTAGGTTTGGAAACATCGACAGAGCCTGAAAGATCATATTGAATGAGAATCGTTGTGGCCTAATAGCGATCTGTTGGATTTTGGCCGCTGTCTCAGCATTGATGCTTAACAAGAAGTCTCTGATCTTCATCCTGCATTGCCACTCCTCGAAATATCGCTCGAGACACACATAAATCATATCATGTCCGAAGTCGATATACGATCCTAAAGGCTTCTGTACAAGCTCAGCTCCTCCTTCATTGGCTTGTGCTGCGAGGTTGGGATTGCGAGTGGCGGAAGCAGATGCCATGGTGGTCGTATCCGAGGTCGAGGTCACCTGGCCAGGTACTGGCGCAGGGCCGAACAAAGCATTCCACACATTGAAACCGCCTCCAGTAACGTCTTCAGTACTCTGTGTGGTGTTGTTGTCGACGATGAAAAGAGAATACGTCTTCAGACCTTCCTCCCTGAATTCTTTGTTTACATGAAGAATTGCAGGAACCTTGCAGTTGGTATAGTATTCATGTCTCTTTTGGTCCCACAAGATTTCGATAACTCTCAGGTCAGGCAAGACAAACTTCATCATCTTAAGTCGGAGCTCAATGGGAAGTTGGGGAAACTTGTGGAAGGTAGGTGCTTGTTTAGGCTCGAGAGAGGAAATAGCGGAACAACCGAAAGTCTCCTTGGTCTTAGTAGGTTGAGTATCGCTGACTTCGGTCCAGTTAGGCTTAATTGGGAGTGAGTAATGGTTGGATTGCGAGGACTGTGGATTGACCACATCGGATGATACATTGTCGCCAAGATCGCTCCTTCCACGCGCAGGCTGGCTCTCAGAGTTCTTTGTTTGTTGGTCCATCATTGCCAGTTAGGAATGCTATCTCCAACAACAGCGGACTTATAGTGATATGGGCGACCGATGGATCTTGTTCTCGATGGTTCGATTGCGACACTTGAAATCGAAGTTTGGTCCGATCTATGAGATGGAATTTCTAAAAGCATGGAGACTGTTGACTTCCGATCAAGCTGCAAACGGAAAAAGCAAAGCGGGCGCTAGCGGCCTCTAAGTCTTTATAGAAAGTGCGGAATGGCGCGATATTTTTCGTCGTACTTTCCTTTCTAGATAGCACAACGAAGGACACCGGATTCTGCCACCGCTTCCCAACTATCAACAAATTTGTGATCTTGACAGAGAAAGTCACAAAGCCCCTCACCGGCGTTCATATGCTTGATGTAAGTTTAAGTTTGCTTATGAAAAAGTTCGCTTTACGAAACCACTCGAGGCAATTTTTGACATTTTGATGAGAGTACATCTTTATTGCAGAACCTTGGCAAGGAATGAGTATTCAGAGTAAAGCCAATGACTAGATGATATCGAAGAAGCTCTGATTTCATATTCTTACAAGAAGCAGCTCTTCTTTTCAATGATCATGTGGATATTGACAGTTATTCAAAACTAACTAAAGTTATGCTTCAACTGTATGAACTATGCACACTCTAAAGAATTTGGAGGAGACGAAAAGAGAGATATTGGAGGCGCAAGGGAAATGAATGAGATCTTAAGCAATCTCATCAATACTTTAGCTCAATTCCTTGTTCAATGCTGCGTTTGTGGATACTATATTGAAATGTAGCTAAGTTTGGTGTAGGATAACCTCCATCGAAAATTTCTAGCCTAGGATCTGAAATAAAGCCTCGATAGTCCGATATAACACTATACTCGCGAATTGTCACGAATATGATGAGAAAGCCTCAAAGAAGTAATTAAAAGAATTGTTTTAAGTGTTGATTAGTTCAAGGTCTCTGTAAATGTCAAAGAAGATGTGATAGCGGGGTCACGGCTCGCTAAAATCAGGGGTTTCGCTTCTCCCATCTCATACAAAACATCGCAGCCACAGAAATATTCACGAACACTTGATTGCATGCTTTCGCTGAAGAATATTGTGATCATGCGCTTGTGCACTCATATGCTGTTCGACGGGCTCTTTCAAGGACCTGTACTCCGTCTCTATGCCGGCACCCTATTCCACATCTACTCTAATTGTCGCACCCTCCATTCCTCTGCGAATTCTCCTGCGTCCGACGATTATCTTCCAGCACTCCTCCGGAATATCGACAAGCTTTTCTCACAATCTAAAAAATACGTATCATCATAATTATAAGGGTCATAACTCTATTGAACTATCTCTCTGTCGAAATGGATGCGCCTCGGTATTTCTAGATGGTGTCAGCACTCCGTAGCAACAGATGGGACGGGTAACACTCACAGTACAAAATCATCCAAACTAATGACATCAGGTTCACTGAACAACAGAAAGAAATATTTCAACGTTTCAGCCAACCAAAAACTCTCCATGGAGTCTTCTTGTGGTGGCACTGGATTCGTGACATCCTGGAGCCGTGAATTTGCAATAGCCGTCCTAGTATGCTTTACAATAACCTTAAACATCTTCCAGCCCCTTTCTTGCCAGATTGGATCTCCAGTAATGCGATACATAACAAACACAGACTCAATAGCCTCAGGATGTAACTGGTAGCTAGAATCAACCACTCTGGTGAATCCATGTTGGTGGCCAAGTTCAACGGCATTCTCATCAGTCCATTCACAAGGACTTTGGCACGCCTCAACGGAGAATATCTCAGGCATGATCCCACTTGCTGTGTTTTGATAGGACCACACACAGCCGTTGGTCAATCGAATTGCCATTGCGAGTTCTTCTGGAGAGTTATTGATCCGAGCTCCTAGCCCTACCATGCCGCCTGCATAGCAGCCAAGGTGCTGAACGTCTGGATTTAGAGAGGGAGGACCTTCAGATCTTGCTTCAAGGGAACCCGTAAATAGAATGTCTTGATTACCAGGGGTCTTGGGCTGAAAAAAGTGGTATTTAGCAGCAGGCCCCAGAGCTGCGCGATACATTCGCAAATACTGATCTGTATTTCCGCCCAAAAGAATGTGCTCCTATTACATATTAGCACGCGAAGGATGACCCCAAGCTTTTGATCAAGGGACAATACCTTTGGTAGATACTCGTATAATGAATCTGAGAATGCCCCCAGAGTGAAAGAAGCACTAGGAAAAGAAGGGCCTTTTGTATCGATTGTGGAAGGCCAAAGACCAGGTATTCTGGTGTGGTTCTGTGCAGCATCAAGATGATTCGTGATCTTGGATATACTGTCAAAGTATTTCCGCTTCCCTGTCAACTGTGCTAGGCGAGTGAACTCGAGCGAGAGTGAGCCTAAAAGATCAGTACTTCTGTTCTTTTGGATTTTCATAACCCGCATTCTCACCTATCTGCGCAATGATAACATTGTTTTCACCCTGCAATATGTCGTCCTGTTTTCCCCACCAAAAATAAGGCACAGGTATACCAGTCGAGGTATTAAACGCACGTAGCAGAAACTCTCCCAACTGATCCGCCTTCTGGAGAATTATCGGGTACTTCGGCCCACTAACGTCATATGCTCCCAGTAAACCACCGAGGAATCTGATGGTCGTCTCAAAAACTGGTACCCGCTCAGCCTTTGGTGTAGAGAAGTCAATCGAATCCAGCGCCTTCAACGCATTGTCGAATTCTTCTTGAAGCCCCATGATATACAGTGTATCCAGTCCATCTACCAACGTTGCGGCCCAGCCAGCAAATGGGTCCTTTTGTCCGCCTGATAATGGCATAACTTCGTCGTGTAGCCAGGCATGTTGTTTGTAACCCTCCCACGCATGAAGAAATGCTTCGCGGACTTGCTGTTGGCGCTCTTCGCGGATTTTCTTGGCTGGGTTGCCTTCTTTCTTGAATGCAGACTGTATCCGAAATGGACTGTGGTGATTGTGTAGATCGTGTTCGTGATGAGGGCGGATTCGTATTGAGGGGAGGGTGGGGAGTAAGATCCACGTTAAAAGTACGACAATGGCGAATGCGATGTAACGATACTGACGAGTGGATAGTGGCAGAATACCGGCCTGTCGAGGAAGAAGTGAGAATCGGTGGACCGTTATGCGAGAAGGCCAATGGGGAAATTTGAATAACATGGAAGCGGGCTTGTTGATCATTGTCTTTCTACCCCATAAGGAGATATACGCAGAGAAAAGAGGATGAGATGCTCTTTGATGCCAAAAAATGTCAAAATGATGTGTATTTGCTAAATGTTCGACGTCGAAGTACTCTGGAAGTTGTCTGAGTGGGACACGGGCGCAATGTTGGATTTGCTTGCCAACATCGCAATCATTGGTCGATCGTCCGGTTCTTAATGCATTCGGGATTTTTGTTTCGACATCCCAGGGGCGGCGCGTAGACAGCGTCTTTAAGGTTACCACTCCACCGGTACCCAATGGACGGAGTTGGTTCCCTTTTGGGGGTTGGCAGCTTTAAATCCTAGCACATTTTCAGGCGTCCATTTCGTGACATACAGCTGCGATTTCAATAATGAAGAGATTGAGACACTAAGCTATTAATTCCTTGATGGTGAAGTTTTCGAGAAACCGGAGTCAAATTCAAAGTAATAATCATAAATATGCGGATACTGATGTGTTGGGGGCCAGAATCCAACCGCTGTCATGGCGCTGTGCCGCCGTTTAGGGCTGACAGGGTACTTTCGAAAGCCGTGATAGGGCATTTTGTTCTGGGGTCCACTTATAGACCTTCTCATCTTGGCCGAAATCAAATGTTATGTCCAACAGTCCAACAGTCTAACAGTTTTGAATTTGGAAGCGTCGAACCTGTACCCTCAGTCTGAACCTGGAGGAGGTACCTAAGTCTCATCAAGAAGCTGTCACCGTCTATCTTTCACTTTTCCATATTCCCCGAACTGTCTTTTTCTTCACACCCCCAAACCCACAGATGCACGAAGTTGTCATGTTTGGCCAAGGACTTGTCATACCTTCGCTTCTGTTCTTAATCCAGCTTACTACGCTGAGTCTTGCCGCGCAGACTTGTTACTTTCCAAACGGTGCTGTAGCAATACACGATGTACCATGCAACGATACCTCTGTGTCCATCTGTTGTCAAACGGTTTCTACGTGTTTGAATGATGGACTATGCTTCAACCCTCTGGGAAGCGCTGTTGGTGGGTTTATACGTGGATCTTGTACAGATAAATCGTTCACATCTTCGCTCTGTCCATTATTCTGCAATACAGGTGAGTCTGTTCACAAATCTATCTGTCACTAATCACTAGAGCTAAAACTTATAGATGATAACGTTGCGGGTATAATCAACACAATCTCTGATGCCGGAGTACTGAGCTGTGGTAACTCTCATTTCTGTTGCGAAAGCGCCAGCCTTTCAGAGTGCAACTGCCAAACCGGGAACGGAACGTTCACACTTGCTGGGAATATACTTCCCTTCACAAGTATTCCTTCGAGCATTCCACAATCTTCTATCTCCACGTCGCCCCTTTTGTCTTCGAGCTCATCAGCAACTTCGATTTCCACAACCACTTCGAGCTCTTCGACAAATTTGAACTATGGAAGCCCCTCAGCTTCCGCTCCTGCCACAACCTCGCAAGTACCCAACCTAAGTTCGTCGGCCAACCCAACTACCATATCACCGCTTGCTGGCACAAATTCGTCTGCTAGTCCCTCAGCCACATCAATACAGGTGTCCAGCAGTAGCCAAGAGGTTATAATAGGACTCGAGGTTGGTATACCTGTTGGCGCTGCTGTATTTGGGGCCATAAGAGCCTTTGGGGCCTGGCTGTCCCGACGCCACCGAAGAACCTCCAAGGATTCCAGTACTATGTTACCCTCCACATCTGACGATCTGCCATACAGTAGACAGATGCTTGACAGCACGCAAATCAGCGGGATGTCAACAAAACCTGGCTCCAAGCCGGAGTGGACACCAAACTACACACAAGTCAAGGAATTGCCAACAGTACCAGATCCAAATGGTTCAAATCAGCGCGCGACGGAACCACCGGGAACACCACGGTATGAATTGTATTGATGATTTGAGTCTGAGAAGGAGTCTACATGGGATGAGGAACGGAGATGAAATGTGGGGTTACTGATTATGACTTCTCTAAAGATAACCGAAATGCTGACGTCTGAAGGGACAGGCGCTATGATGATGATCTGGGTTCGGAGTCTTTGGGATGGAAAAGGTGGAGTTTTCCATAATGTAATGTGTATGATGATATTATGGGCATCGGTGTCTTGACCTGCCAGTTGTCTAACAGAATCTTACACAGCTCCTGCTCTTTTCTCTCATTGAACTTCTGGGGCTGTATATCGATAGTGTTGATGTTTATAGCCATGCTCGATGTCGCTATCAAACGCCGATGCTTCAAAATCTCAACCTCAATATGCCTGTTTACTTGTTTTAAGGACTTTTGCATTAATGTCAAGAAATTTGTGAGTTTAGACCTTTTGCTGTTTGAGGAAGGATATAGGCCCAAAGGGTTGAATGTTGAGTTTTGAGAGTTGAAGTAGATAACTTTGCGGATGCATCGGCACATGGTATCCTCAATTGGCATCCGGATTCCAAGCTTGAATATTTTATCTCGATATTGTTCTTGGGAACCTAATGCAAGTCACAGCGTTTAATACTGGCTTTTGAACACCTGCTGTCTAGATAAGCTGAATAGCTGGCCCGCAACCTTAACTTTAGGTCCGCATCGCAACAATCACTAATTAAAACAAGTCCAGAGCTATATCACTTGAAAGCCCAGCTGCTCAATTAACTTTCAATGCCAAGCTTAAATTTGAAATTAATCGGCTGCATAGTTATTCAAGTCGTAGTGAGAGGTTTTGAGGAGTCGGGCCATACGCAGCGGGGTATTTAGCGAGCCATTTAGACGGTACCTGCAGTGTACAGGGCATGCGGCTCTGCAGGGGCTCTGCGGGTGGCGTACACCCTAAAAGTTTAACGACCTTTACCAACTTCCAATCCGAGCGGCCCTCCGCTCGAATCGCGCCATTGACATATATGACGACTTTAATTTATTCATCGAGCTCATTAGCTACTCAGATATGCTTCAAATGAAGGTTACCTAAAGTCTTTTGAACTGATAGTGACTTTGATACGGGTCTTTAAAGTGGGTGGACTTCTCTCCTGAATTGCTCGCTAAAGACAGAGTGGAGTATTGAGCATATAGCATCAAGACTTCTCACTCAAGATTAGATAATGTATTAAGAAACCATTCAATCGAAAAGAGAACTGAAGAGACATAGTCGGTAGATAGCCTTTTAAATGGTGCGGCCACAATGGCATCTGAAATAACAGCACTGCATAAGCCTGAAGCGAGGGCTTACATGTGGGTTGCACCAGGTGATATACACGAGACTTGTCGGGCTCTCTTTCTCGGTATTGTGACCGATGAAAATGGACATTTTATGACCATATTTAAGGTTTATGTTCAAATGCATAAACAGAAATGTATTACGTAAATGGGACTGTTCAATCAATCGGACCGAAATTCGCTACTGGCATGATCCTAATAAGCCTGTTCAAGCTATGACATGGCAGCAATCCCTCCCCTCCCAATATTGATACGAGCGGACACATTTTGCATCTATTTCAATCAATACGAAAAAGAATACGCCGAAACCTTTACGTTTGGAACTGTCTTCTCTATCCTGGAGGCTTCTGTTTGGAAGTATTGCGACTGTGACAGCATCGACTTTGGTCAAATACGAGTTGGGATGCCCGCATCGATACGAGCTTATGTGCTACTCGTTTATCCGGGCTGTGCGACTCGTGACGATGGGATGACGATTAATGACGATCATATATCACATGATGCTACACACAGAACTATATAAGAAGATGGACAAACAAAAGTTATTGAAACAATTGGCACGTTCACATCTCCCACAGCAAATCAATTCAAAAGTCCATCACAGCAATCTTTACAGACGTTTCAATTACAACATGCATTCCACAATCACCTTTCCTGCCCTGGCTCTTGCTCTCTCAAGCAATGTCTTCGCTGCACCTCTCCTCCAAGTCCGCCAAAATACCCTCACCACTGCTGATACTGTCCAATTCGTTGCAAAAACTATAGGCTCAAATCCTAATGCAACCACCTTCCCAGATATCAACAACTGGCTCTTTCAGCCTGTACACTCCGGTGCTGGCACGAACCTAGCGACTCTAGTCGACCCAAGTACAGCCTCCTTCAACCTATCAGCACCCGGTTATTTCCAGAACGGGACAGACGCCCCTCATTCTACCGGTGGATACATGGTCGCTGGTTTCATCGATAGCACGGCACCATACTCTCTTGTTCTTGACGTAGCACATGAGGCCAATTCCTCCAACCCTGGAGCAGAACTTGGCTATGTGGAAATGAATATCGGTCTCGGAACCGATGGCCTGAATGTGCCTGACGGTCAACTCATCACAAGCGAATACGTCACTGATACATTTTACGCATGTCCAAACGTTCCCGTAGAGGGCGGGTCTGTTATTGCGATCGAGGTCATCGACAGATATGCAACACCACCGGAGGGTTGTTGGAGCATTGAGCTCTATGCTCAATGTGCGGGCCCTATTACGGACTCAGATAGAGTTGCTTTCCCCGCGTTTGTACAAAGCAGCTGTTATGCGAATGCTACTTCAGCTGTTGTGCAGTGATCGGTGGTCGAAAAGTCGGATCGGATCTCATTAGTAAAGGAAAAAAGACAAGTCAATGTAATTGATAATTTGAATACTTTATAGCTATGAAAGTGAATGAACAGACAAGTGCGGATTGAAAGTTAGCTTTTCACCTCCCAAGCAGATAGGAATATTCAATAAATTAAAACGAAGAGCAAGGAGAAAGGGAAATGGATACACGTAGCCCTTTCTCTTGCGCAATCAAAAGTGGCGAGGTCAATTCCCAAGTAAATGAAAGATATGAGGAGTTTAAGATTCCTAGGTGTACCTCACAGAACCACAGCTACTATTATCTTTCATTCATCTTTATACATTTCAAAGGTCAAAGCTAATTCGAAAGGGACATTCTATTGCTTGCAATCTTTGTGTGATCGAGGTAGAAATTTCTTGGTGAGAGCCACATATAAATGTAGGCTTGGAACTCGATTTACTTCCGCAATTCAATTCGAAGATTGCTGTTATCTGTTCCGATGGCTGCAGCTGTTTTCTTTGGGCCTGTCCCGCCACCTTCTCGGCTCCCAGATCCTCCGTGGTTTACTCGCCAATGTCGTCCCCATCACGATGCTACAGACACCACTCTTCTAAGATGCCTCCTCATGAATCATCTGCAAGAGAATCCTCAGTCGACGATCGCCCATAACATTTTCAATGTTCAGTCTCGAGATGAGCACTTGATCTACGAGCACAGAATTTATGCAGGCGCTACCCCAATCCAAGAAGCTATATTGCTTTCGAATCGGCTCGAGTCTCTACACCACATAGGCATCCGCAATCATGTGAACAAGAACAGCAATGTCGAGGGCCAGAAGGCAAGATTTTTCACCGTGTCAACTGCTTTGCATGCTGTTATAATACGCAAGGGCAGTGCATCACTTTGGCTAGTGATGATCCCTATAGCGGTGAACGGTTTGCCGTTGAGTTAAAGATGCACTGGACACCATCGAAACATAGAAGATCTATTAGAGAATGGGACTGGATGGATTTCAATGGGATGGTGAGATTGCTGAAATGGATAAGCGTTCGAACCTTTGACGAAAAGGGGCTCTGTAGAAGCGATGCTGAGGCCAGGATCTGGCATGCGAGGCTTGGTCCTATTTGGAGGGAGTATGAATCTGGTATGGACGTGAACGATATTTGATAGCTTTCGATCAGAAGGTTGAACATGAATTCCAAGCTATTCTGAACATCAGGTACATGATGAAATTACCTACAGTGCCTACCTGATAAGTTGTGATAGCCCCGCACTCCATCCGTATCTTAAACATCAACGTAGTAAAAGCCTAAGAATATATTGTCTAATAAGCTGCTTTAGAAATATTAAGTGCACAGTATATTACTTGAAGTGAAAGCTACTTCCTGAATTTCAGCTACCTCCTTAAGTGCTGTTCGAAACAGAGGTTTTCACGCTCTATGAATCTTCTCCTATTATTTCTAGCTCAGGCATGTTCAAGCATGTTCCAAAGCCAGTGAGGGTATATCATAACGACGTAGCCTCAAACCCCTAGCGTCATTTCTCTCGTTTAACGCACTTCAGACCAAACCCCCACAGCCTTGTATAGATTTAAATAAGCAAAAGTCTTCCAATTAAGTTCGGAAAACCCAAGGTTATCTAATATACTGTTAGCTCAGTTGACAGATTTCCAGATGAACTTATAGCTTCTTTAAAACTAGCACTGGCTGCTAGTTTGGAAGAGCCGTCGATTCGTCGACGGCTCTGAGTTTTGATTTTTTGATCCACTGAATATTTTTTTCTACCCAACAAAAGCCCTCGCTCGCTAAACAAAGTGCGAGGTCGTAGTCATGGTTGGGGAAGAATCCTCGAAACTCGCTCGATTCCAGGACACCCCTTGAAGTTTAGCGAGCCTCACCACAGCTCCCTGATCATTTCCCCAACACGCATACAAGGCAAGACAACTGATTTGTAATTCTTTTCTGTCCATGGATGGAAGTCTCTATAATTTGTTGAACATGGTTTAGATCGGAAGGTTCAAGAAGCCAAATTACAGTAGTGCGAAATTTCGAAGGTTCTTGCATGTATGTACCTGCAAAACTCCCCTCCCTTTCCTCTCAATCTGGAATGAATTTATTTCATTTCTGCATTTATTGATGCTTTGTAAGCACGGAAAATGAAGTGAAAGCAAAAAGCTTGATTTGATCATCAGTGTCAAGAAAGACACATCGACAAACAAGCGGCCTTGCTTTGGTCGCATGCTGCATGAGCAGAGACTGAGCTACCTAGAACCTCAAGACTTTTAGCAATTCATTGATCAATCAATCATCATAGTATCATTATTCTAACAAACCTGCCTTTGAGTGCCATTGAAAGATGCATAGGCTTTGTTACCTTCATACCTTCAACCATACACTTGAGACTGTATTTAAAAACTGCAAAGTTCCATCCTAGTCAGTGCTATCTCTTGCTATCTCTTTCCCGAGATCCTCATCATGCCATCAGGGACCATCAGTCCACTTAGGCCAAGCTCACCAACAAGTATCAATGAGCAACGTACTCTGCGCTCTGGAGCGCCAGTGGTCGACCGAGTTGCATGCCTGCTCTTGAATTTCTTGCAGGACGATCCTGAGCCGACAGAGCCCGCGCTAGCCAGGGGTGTGTTCCAAGCCGATCAGAGACCGGAGACGGTACTTCTGCATCACTTGATTCCTTCAAGTTCACGTCTCATGGCTCGCTATCTGCTATCTTCGATCCCACGCTTGCACGATATCGAGATCTCCATTACCGTATCAAAGTTTGTCTCGGCGATAACTCCGAATTTGACAACCTACAGGATGTGTGCTCGAGCCCGATGTCGAGATGCGCTGTGCAGAGGACTAGCAATTCAGGATGGTGCAGGCGATGTCCAAGGTCGACTCCACGAGAGACGAGTAGGCGGCTACTCCAGTGAGCTTGTGGGTGTCCAAGTAACCATAGAGCCGTCACTTGAAACGTCTGGGTATACAAAAGACATGGATGACTTGAGCTGGTCAAAGATCCTACGTTTATTGAGGAGGACTGGGAAGAGGAACTTCAATAGTCATGGCGAGGGAAGAACTGATGCCGAAGCATACGAGTGGGACGAAATCTTGGAAAGACTTGAGCCGTTGATTGAGCGTTTCGATCTTGTGATTGTACTTGATGAAGACACCTAAATTTGGTGTTCCCAAGTAGATGTATTGGAGTTACATTCCCTTTGAGGATTACTGTAGCTGAAAACGGCACAATTGCCTACCATAGTCCATACATTTCAATTGCTTGCTATTACCAAAGTCATTTGGCACCGCTGCACATCCGTCTCCCAGTATTCTGCTATTGCTTTCTGTTTCCCAAGAAACATCTGCAATTGCAAACCTGACCTGAACGCGAGCTACGCATGTGACGCGGATATAGTGAAGGTCTCTTGTCACTAGACGGAGATATATCGAATTAAGAGAAGTCATCAATATGCAGTATTGCAAATAAGGTGAAGTGATGGGCTTGTCATTTGGCCAAAATCAGTGCCACTCAATCACCTCGATCAGGTGACATCAGGAATTTGAAGTAAACTGGCCTTTCTTTGGCACTTGAGCAACTTCGAAAAGACCAGGAGGTACACGCAGAATGGCGACAACAACACAACAAAATGATCCGTACGAGCTGAATTTTCCTCGCTATTTCTTGTTTCGTCTGTTGAATGGGAACCTAATGTGAAGCTAGGTGTTGGCTAGATGAAATGCCATCAGTGCAATCTGAAAGTCAATGCACTACATAAGACTGAAACGATTCAGCTTGCTTCTTGAATTCTTTCAAGTCTCTAGATGTTTTTATCTGTTTCATACGAAATTTTGCAGCGAGAGATGTTTGAGATTTGGGGTGACGATCTGAAGTCAAAAGCTGCCCCACTTTTCCAATGTAGGCTGACCAAGCCGAAAGCTCTCTAGTCTCGGCGCCTCAGGCTGCCAGGCAATTTTTTTTGACTCTAATCGATGTCTTTGCAAAAACACAACCTACTTCGAAGTTGTGAACCTATTCAGCATGTAAAGCTTCAGCAACAGATCATTGCATGCCTGCATCACATCGCTAGGCTACTGGACTTCAGATTCAAGTCCATTTCTCCTCGCCAACAATCTGTTTCAGCCTCACCTTCCACTCCGAGTGCACTGCAACATGTTACCCTACGGTCGAGATATATATCAACGATTTTACGAGCTGTGTACCACGATCAAATCTTGTTCGATGCTGGTGTGAATAAGGTGCGATACGGAAAATTCAAAATCACTATACATCCCTAGGGTTCTCCGACGATTGTCTGAAGTCAGCATAAGCCTTCCGACCCAAGGTATCGGATTTTCCGGTCGGCACTTGAATCTACGGATGCAAGAAAATCTACGAGGATGAGTGCCTTGTGGCTTCCAGCACTTTTGTTTCGTGCTATCTTGGTTGTGGTGGATTTTCTCCTGCATTCAGCTATTCTTTGACTTTTGTGCTAGCTTCCTTTTCAGGACAATACCTCGGAGCATCTGTCAAACATCCTAGGATGGCACTGGTCACAATTCCTCTTCGGCCACTTTCGTTCACCACGAAGACTGCCGTTGAAGCAGAAAATTTCTCAAGCATGGACTTCATGGTAAGGATCATAATAAGGTGACATCTGTTGAACAAGATGTGGGAAAGAGCAACTTCCTCCTTGAGAGATTTGTATCATCTCAAATTTTTCGCAGACTGCCGATCAGGACGTAGGCTGTGACCACAAAGTAAGCAGTGGAGGAAAGAATAATTGAACATGGATATTGACGTTATAATAGGCACCACCAAAAGCTCCAGGGCTTCGTTCGCTCTTACAAAAATCCCATGTCATGGGAAACCGTTGCGGCCGGGACCTTCCGCAACAGGCTAAATACCTCACTCTACACGCATGCACCTAAATGGCCACCTTCCTCTTCTTGAGCCATGTCATCATACTACATTGGTCACTGAGAGGAAATCCACAGTCGAAATTTCGTGGAGGCGAGACCAAAACTTTGTGTGACATGCCATTCTTGATGCCGGTGCTGCAGGTCTGAACCGGCACTCACTGCCTAAGTTCTGGCTTCATTCTCTACCTTCGGGAAATCCCCAGGAGCTGGCTCGATTGATTGACAATATGTGTAGTTATAAATGGCCTGGGAGCCGCAGAAAGGTATTCTCTTCGACTGAAAAGAATCGCCAGGCCCCAACTCCACGTTTTACTTCAAGTTTGTCGTTTGTCATTGAGCAAGACTAAGGAGAATTTCGTGGATCGGACGGAGCAGCCACAACCTGATGCTAAGTGGCTCATCTCAGCAGGGTGCACGATCGCTGTTCAAAGGACCACCTTGTTGCATCCTTTGATATCGGGCAAGGTAGTCCTTCGAACTTGATAAGCTTGGCGCATCCTTGAATATTGGTACCTGCTGGGCGTACGCTAGACTCTTGGCAGACTGCACAACCGTTTGTAAATCTGCGTCTCATCCCCCGATTCGAGCTTCTTATCTCTAGTTTTTGGGGGGGGTCGAGAGGGGATGAGTTGATCTATCCACATTCGAGCTGCCTCTTAAGACTTCTATTACAATTCAGAGGCTACTTTCATGTCTCAGTCTTGCTAAGCTATCATGTAACGTATCAGACGTCTAGCAGACGCAGAACTGGTGTTGATGTCCGTTGACGTGTGACAGCTGAAGGGCGCGTGGCGTAGCTTGAACTGACGACAGCATCATACCTTGGTTAGCCTTACAGCTTAGACTTCAGACGAGTTCTTTCGTAAGAGGCAACGATCCCAAACCCAAATGTTCCACTCATGCTTTCCTCTCGACGTGCATCCTCTTTCCTCTTTTGACTTTTGCTTGAAATAACCTCACAAGTTCGTGTTGTAGCATCAGAGAAAGATGCTGTTGCATTGCACATGTTCAGCTTCTGATGGAAGGCGCAGATGTCTTTCATCTAAAAACTCTTATATATACATGTCTGTTGGCCTCACCGACTCTCACAAATTCCTTCAGCAGCTTCTTAAGCAGTCCTTTCAATTCAAACTCCATTTGCACATTGCATCACTGCACAATACCTGTCCACAATGGCAGTCGTCCTTAGCATGTCGCTTCTTGCTTTGAGTACCATCAAGTTTGCTGCTGCCTGGTATCAACCTGCCGTAGGAACTTCCTGGCAATGCGTCCTCGACCCAGATGTCGGATCTCTTAATTTGCCTGTGGAGATCTATGATATTGACCTGTTCACCAATGCCGAGTCGGTCATCAACCAATTGCATAGCAGCGGGAAGCAAGTCATCTGCTACTTTTCTGCCGGAACCCTCGAGCCCGATCGCCCCGACACGGACGAGATTAAAGCGGATCCAGCAGATATTGGAGCAAGTTTGGCGGATGAAGGTTGGCCTGATGAGTCGTGGCTCAATATCCGTAGTGACCGGATTGTGGATATCATGAAGAGACGGATTGATACTGCTGTCAGCAAGGGATGCGATGGAGTTGATCCTGACAATGGTATGCATGTTTCATGCTCTTCAACTTCTCATATACCCATTGTCCTTATGTTGTTGTTCATTTATACTAACTCTAAGAATAGTCGACGGCTACGACAATGGTGGCGGTGGCTTCACGCCACCTCTAAGCTCTTCCGATTCAGTCACTTACCTACGAAACCTCACGAACTACGCACACTCAGTTTCCACATCTAAACATCACTCCTCCCGGCGTTCTCAACGCCTCAGGGAACGCTCGACAGGTATCGGTATTGGACTCAAGAATGCGGGAGCCATAGTCCAAGATGTTGTCGGTTTCCTCGACTGGGTGGTGAATGAACAATGCGTTGAGTATGATGAGTGCTCCACTTTCCAACCATTTATTCAGAACGGCAAGCCAGTCTTTCATATCGAGTACAAAGATCAGAGCGAGAATGTCACGAAGGATTGCTTTGGTCCGGATACTAACGGATTTTCGACCATCATCAAGCCGGATGAGGATGATTTGCCTGCTGCTGTTACCTTCTGCCCAAGTTCTTAGGCAGCCGAGGAGGCTAGGAGTTGGGATGGTTCGAGTGATAATTGTGTCTGCCGGTTTAAATATGCTTGTTGAGCAGAGGATTTACTAGCTAGCGTGTTAGCAGGTTGGTGCAGAGGGAATTGTGTGGTAGCTTTCATATTGGTTTTCTCCTCTTGTCCTTTCCTCCTGGACTGTTACATTCGCTGTACAGAATCTACATTTGCATTTTTAATGAGAAAGCTTCACACGATGAAGCACAGAAACACGTTCACGATTGTTCGGACCCGAATTTGAACATTAGCTAGGCCCCACTTCCCGAGTCAAGCTAAACTTTAAAATCTCTCCGATTGAACCAATGGGAGACTAGCGCCCGCTGGTTAGCGCGAAATGGACTGGAAGCTGCTCAGGAAATTGTATCCTCTTCGAATTGCCTTAGATGTCAACTTCCACATTCGTTTCTTCTAACACTCAATCTATTCCTTCAAAGCAATTCAACACTATCTTTCTCGACGTACCTCTCGAACGGCAAATCTTCCACAAACACCAGTCAAGTCAAAGTAAACAGGATGCATGCGCATGGCTTAGGAGCTGTTCTGGCGGCATTTCTGATTTACAGATGCGCATCAGCCAGTCCCGTTACACCCAGAGGTAGTAAGTGCCCAGCCTTCTGAATGCTTTATCGCGTAGAACTTTCTAATTGTTCTTTTCAGTAACTGATCCCGCCTTGAAGCCTTGGGTGTCAGTCGGTGCGGACGGCACCCTTGTTGCGACTATCACTCCTGCCCTTACATCGATCAATGGTGCCGCCACGACGATCAATGCAGCACCTGCATCTCTGACAGAGACAACAACCACAAGCCAAAGTGATTCGAAGCCTACAGATGCTTCGAATTCAGGTGGCGGAGCTTATTACCCTTGTACCAGTCTCGTAGAAGGCTACATCTGTTCGCCGGCGAATGAATCTACTGTATATGTCGGGACAACATATTATGGTGTGTTGGAGGTGCTTGGCAGAAACGTGTTATCAAAGTGCTAATTCGAAACAGTGACCTGGAATTCTGATTTTATTGGTCACCAAGATAAGAAGAATGCTTCCGTATACGTGATGGCAGACTATGTCAATACTACAGGTGGTCCAATTGCTTTTCAATCTCCACCCACGTCCGTCAGTACTGGCTTTTATGCTTTGACGATACAGAAAGAATGGCTCCAAGACCGGTCGTCCAACAATATTACTCTGCACATCAACCTACTTGATCCAGAACCCGACGGCCAGCGTGTCCAAGGTAGATTAATCCTTCCGCTCGACAAAATTCCAGAGCTGAGAAGTGCAGGTCCAACTCTGGTGGTGACGAATGCGCCAGGTCAATACTATCGACAACCGTCTACCGAATCACCAACAGGACAATCGCTCTATATTGCTCTTCCTATCGCTTTCGGTTTCGTCCTCCTCTGTGTCTGCGGCGGATACTTTCTTAACAAGAAACACCGTCAGATCGGGATTGGAAATGTGATGGGTCGTCGAAGTGGTTACGGTGTTGGCAAGTCTCGAGGCCAACGTTTGGGACTTGGCAAGCGAGAAAAGGGTGGCGTTCAATTACGGGACCAAGTGCCAGGTTCTGATGGTCGATACCACGACGCATCTATAGGAGAAGAGCAACGCGGCCGACAAGGGGGGAGCGTTCACACAAGAGCAGATTCGGATCTGGGAAGCTTGGTGGGATCACCTACTCCGCCGAGAACGAATTATTTCAGGGACGAGATGAGGCGACAGGAGCGACAGGGATACTGATTCGCTGTTCCCTTGAATTTGAGGCGCTGGCTAGTCTCTGTATATTTTGGGCAGGATCCCAAGGGTTAGACGGGGAAAAGAAGTGCACATCACTTGGTCTCGTTTTACGTACCCCAAAGCTTGCTCACTCTCTAAAGGCACTGTATTTAGAAATCCAGGCTTAGCAACATACTTCATTATCAAATGTACAACCTTGAGAAGGCTTTCCAGAACATCTGCGGAGAATCATTCGACGTGACAGCAAGAACTCAATAGTTGAAAGTATGAAGAATCAGACACGATACAGCAAAATCCGAATTCAAGGTCGGAGTAAATTCGAGGCATTCAAACTGTCCGATTTGCCACATCTCCTTGGTTTAATGTTCGACTTGAGTTGGTCGATTCACAGGAAGAACCTTAGACCGGCAAATTTTACCGAAGATCAAGTAATGGGAACTGTAGCTGAACACAGGATATACAAGCATCTTTACCTCAACTAAGTATTTTCCCATCTCACCTCTCACATAACATCAGGATATGCACTCAAAGCAGGTACTCCGCCTGTATGAACAAATAACACATTCTCACTCCCACTCAACTCTCCCTTCTTCGCCTTCCCAATCATTCCAGTGACCGCTTTCCCAGTATAAACTGGATCTACCAATATTCCTTCCAAACTCGCTAGCATCTTGACCGCTTCTTTCGTTTTTTTATCTACGAAGCCGTAAGAACCGCCGTTATAATTGTCGTCCAGTATCACATCTTTTTCCGTGATAGAAGTAGAAGGATTTGGAAGCCCGATCAATACACCAGTATGCCTCGCAATATTCAGGATTTGGCTCCTCGTAAAGTCAACAGGTCGCGCCGTGATCTCAATCCCTATTATCTTCCTCTCTTTCTGCTCTCCATCTTGAGCCCAGGAAGAGAGTAACTTGAATCCTGCAATCATCCCAGCAATGGTACTCCCGCTCCCAACAGGCAAAATAATAGTGTCAAAAAACACACCCATTTCATTCTCTTGGGCAGCGACTTCGAATGCGAAACGTGCGTAGCCGAGACCACCTAGTGGGTGGAGGGAAGCTCCAGCAGGGATCCAGTAGGGAGTTTCGCCCGCAGAGGTTAGGGAGGCGAGGGTGGCGGAGACGTCAGAGTCGTAGGGAGAGTGAGTGGCTGAGAGGAGATGCGTTATTTGGATATTGCCTAGGGTGTGGTATTCGGGAGAGACGGGGGAGACACGGTCTTCGGGTAGGAGGTGGGCTTTGAAGCCGTATTTGGCGGCTACGGCTGCTACTTGGCGCATGTGGTTTGATTGGAGACCGCCGGTGGTGACGAGAGTTGTTGCTCCATCTTATAGAGAGGTTAGTATATAACTTTTGACAGTTTTCAGGGCAGAGGAGCTCATCTGAGGAGAGTTAAGCAACTCCTGTGGATGATCTCGAAGATTTCCGGCTGCGTCTGATGGATAGGTATATAGAAAGGCAGAATTTGACATACTCTTTAGGGCGTCGGAGAGGACATATTCAAGTTTTCGGACTAAGGCAAGTTAGTATCTTAGCCTACAGGAATGAAGTATTGGAAACCCATCCGCACATCGCGCGAATCGCGCCAGTTGCGCTGAATGCGCTGAATGCGCTGATCATACATGTTTTCACAAAGTAAACACAACATTAAGGCAAAAATGAAGAGTATCAAACTTGGAAACGGAAGGAAAGTGCTAGGTACTTTTATTGCCTCCAAATGCAAGACCAGAGTTGCTATCTTCTCGTTTTATCCAGTATTTGGTTTGGGAGGGCGCTGAAGTAAAAGCTGAGGTAACGCGGTGGAGGGGTTCGATTGGAGAAGGGTGGGCATAAAGTAGAGGCTCTCTCGGAATGTCAGAGAATGGGGAGGGAAGCGTGAACATCTTGAGTTGTGATGTGGTGATGGGTCTGAGTGAGGATTCTTGAACAGTGGGGTATAGGAGGGGCAAGGCACGTGAATTGTATGGAAAGATGAAACTTATCCAGCAAGCCTAAGGGCATAAGAACCCAGAAGTTGTGACTAAGAGGACAATAAATCCTATTCTCCAAAACCCATGAGAATCTTGGATAGAATACTGACTTTCTTGTCGAGTTGATATGCATGTGATTGTGCTGCTGAGTCAGCACTACTGTTTCGAATATCACGGTTCGGAATGTGCTACAAGCCATCCTGTCATTCAAATTGCTTCTTCGCCCGTCTTTCTACCCGCGCCCGTCTTGCTACCCTGGCTGGTCTTTCTAGCCTCGCGCTCAGAGTTGGGCGACAATACGGGTACATTTAGTACATTTAAATGAGAGGGCCACAATTTAAATAAAAACATCCTACCATAAAACCTCACGAGTACAATACAAAAACTCGTGAATAATTAAATCATTCAAATAATAGCATACTAAATAGTATATCTTCACTTATACTCTATTTGTAGCTTATTTATGCGCTAATTTTAATAAGTACTAGCTTTTAGCTGGCTTTGGCTAACTTTTGTTTTGGAAATTAATTATTCTAAACAAAAAGTTTGATTAACTCTTGGTACAAGCTATGTATCACATACATAAATATTTAAATACTATTCGAATAACCATCTATTCTAGTCTATACGTGAACACATCATTTACACGAGTATTTATTCATTAAATCTACACGAGTCGAATATTTATTCGGACCTATCATGGTTCTCATTCGAATCATTTCTGCCTAAGTCTACTCGCCATTCTCAACCTTATTGGATCGAGCACGAACCACATCGACCATGGAGAACTTGACGCTCCTGATATCCTCCACGCTCCAGTTGTTCTTCAGAAATGCTTTCCTGAATTCAAATTCCGCGTCTTGCAGGGCTATCTTCAATGACTTTCCCTCTTTGCGGGCTACTGCACCTTGCATCCTGTCCCATCTCTTCACAGAGTCAATGTACTCAATAGGAGGCAACTGTACCCCGTAAAAGATGTAATCAAGGAGAAAGTCGTAAGCCATCCTCGTGTCGTACTCCTTCGCTCGTAGAACAGTATAAATCAAGCACTTCTTCACATCTGGCAAGAAAGTCTTGATGAGTTCGACCGTTTGGACAGTTGAGTCTCTCGAAAGGGTCCTCTCCTTAAGTGCGACTGCTGGTCGATAGGGAGCAGGTGTGAGATGCTGGAGCAGAAGCTCTTGCGTGCCATCGGCGATATCATGTGACATGCATCGATCATTTGCTACCAAAGAGATGCTCTTCAACGATTGGTGTTGACTCAGGAAATGATGCCAGACATAGTAGCTTTGTTTGTAATCGATTGCAACGTGCTGAATCGGTACATCTTTGGCTTTGAGTTCTGTCATAAAGGTAGTGGAGAGCTGGTCGAGTTTGAGGTTTGGCATTTCGATGTCACTGAAGGAGAGGTAGATGGTATCGAGGCTGAAGTTCACACTGCAGGACGTTAGTACTAGAGCTTCTCTTGAAGAAGCTGCTCTGACGAGCCAAAACAGCGAGTTCAATGGCTAACGGGACGAATGGGATAAAAAATCAGTTGCTTACTATGCTCCGAATGGAGTGACTACACCCGTGTATGGACCTTCCTTGTTGATCTTTGGGTCGTACCTGTCCGGGAGGCCGTCGGGTGACTCACTACCTGATTTACAGTTCTGCAAGACCATGGCTGAGAACACCCTTTGCGCTACACTGCGAGACTGGCTACAGATGTGTAGGACTGTGGGTACTTCGGCGTTGGTATAGAAGCCTTTCTCCTCGTTCCACAACACTTCAATGATTCGAGGATCATCGATGGTCATCAACTCGAATATCATTTGGGTCAGTTCAGGAGCCAGTTTCGCAAAGCCCTTAAGGCTGTCGGCCACTTCCTGAGCGTTGAGGGACGTATGGGGGTGGGCGTCGTTCGCGGGTGTAGGAACTGCTGCAGCATCGCGCTGCACACAGTCCGGCTTCGAGACTTCAGCCATGGTTGTATCTTTGTTCACAGGTTGGAGGTTGTAAGGGACAGGAATGTGGTCCATTCCGAAGATCGAAGTCTGTTGTCTTAAGGTTGTGGATGGGAGGATGGTGAGAGTTGATAGAACCTCCCCCAAATAATTTTCTGAAAGTGGGCTTAGCGCCTCCCTCCAACCCACTACACCCTCAGAACCCTTATTGTCTGAATATACCATTGACATTGATGCTCCAATCGCTTTACGGGCTCTAAAATCTCCTGCTACTCAACAATATCTTACAAGTCTGCGCCTGTTACTGTTGTCTCCTCCGGCCTACTGCACTGTTTTTTTAATTTAATGTGAAAGCTATTTGTTTAGCATGTTAGATAGGCAACTTTAGAGTCATAGCTTCATTGCTCCTCGAGTACTACTTCGATTCTAAGAGAGAGTGTCTAATTGCACCTTACGCGTCAAAAGCACAGTGGCCATCACTTAAGCATCCTGGCTGAATTACTTGGATTACCAAGCCCATTCGACTCCCAACAAAGAGCAAGACATGAAACCTCAAGTATATACTTAGATTAAGCAAAACAAAGCGCCTAACAACGAAGTTGCTTTCTCGCAAGAAAGTTGATCTTTTCACGTGATACGCTCATAATTACTCCTTCTTTCAGTCTCCTCTAAGATATCAGTCTTTATCTATACCTTTAATCAATAAATGACACTGGTTGCATCTCTTTCTCCATTGTTTGTTTAGAGAATTCGTTTGAGGTGATTTCGGGAACTCGGCCGCGTCCGCTTGTTAGATAGGGGGGCGATAAGCTATTGTTTACAACGGAACAAGCGGCCGCTTGTTTATGTGCCGTTGTGCAAAACTTATCAGGTAGACTTCAATCTTTGTTCTCCATATTCGAATTGAGTGTTTGCTGGTATATCATTCCATTGTCCTTTTGCGCTGCAGTTCGTATCTTTCAGACGCATTTACAAAATCTTGATCTTATGTACTCCGTACATCGAGATCTTCTAGTTCTGGAGGAAGGAATAGAATCTACGTAAATTCTTGGCTAGTTTCTGATCAATTCTCATTCATCCGTTCAACGTTTATACTGACCAGAAATCAATCAGATTCCTCCAATTTAACTCCCAATGGCGATACTCAACAACCATCACCATGGTGAGACACATGATGAGCAGGCGGGATAGACACATCTCGAGTTCGTGAGGAAGGAGGAGGCGAAGAATCAAGTAGGAAAGAGTGATCTACAAGTCAAGTCAAGTCAAGTCATGCTGCCTAAGTAATTCATAGAACCGTTTGTTATGTTTAACACTTTACAAAGGGAGGATAAGGGCGATTCCCAGAAGTTGCTCCAGGAACACCGAATGATACAACCCTCTGAGTCCCAATCAAAACCTTCCAAAGAGCCCCTCAAGATGCCTGCTTCGGGAGATAAGAATAGACAGTCCACCGAAAGTCGTCCCCTGATAAACACTGCCTATTCCTACTGTTTATCCATATCTCAGAAGTACGCCCATGTGCTGCTCCTTAAACACGATTCAGGAACAGAATATGGGTTACCATAATGTCCAGACTTATTTTCGGGTACACCCGGGTACACCTAGAGCTTGAGTCGGGTTTACCTGTACCCGTTAAAAATTCAACGAGTAAATACCTAGGAACTTTAAGAGCTTTCGGGTAAAAGTGTCTCTTTCTGAAAGCCAATAGAAATTCACAAATTTTAAGTAAGGAATAGGGAGCATTTTCACTAAGACACAATATTTGTATAAGTAGTATAAGGGTGGTATAAAAGCAACACAAAACTTAGTGCAAAAAACTCGGGTACACCCAAAAATGTACCCTTACCTGTATATTCTTCTTATGAGTGTACCCGTCAGCTTTGTGACTGGGTAAACCCGGATTTGGGCGTACCCGGCTATAGCTCTGATGATGTTTAGGTCATAACGAAAAAACTGATGGAATCTGCATATATCTAAAGTAGCATCTTGAATGCCCTTTTTCTTTTTTCTCTGGTGTATAAATATCCCTTAATCACATGCTATCAGATGCTTTCGATAAGTAGGAAGTGCGAGAAAACATTAAATTAGAAATGAAAGTGAAGTCAAAGCAAAACCAATCATATTGCGACAAGACCTTTTGTTGCAAGTCGCAAGTAAGCTAGTAATTGATACTAAAACTGATCTGAAAAGTTTAGCTTGCTTGTAAGGCTTGAATCCAGCCTTACAAGCAATTAAGCCAATCACACTGCGACAAGACCTTTTGTTGCACATCGCAAGTAAGCTAGTCATTAATTCTTTAACCTCTCAAACCTTGACTATTTATTTTGAGCTATTGACCCTCAAATCCAACCTCGCCTGTTTACCTTCAAATTAAGCTACAAGCCAATCGTGTTCTAGGGAAAAGATTTGTTGCATGTCGCAAGTAAGCTAGTCGTTCCTTCCTAAAGCTTGGGTACTATGAGAAGGTGACTTTCAAGTCAATTAAGCATGCAAGCACTTGGTTCTGAATTAAGGCTCAAGGGATGAGCATGGCTAATAATCATCTTGCTTTAATTTTATTACATCTCGCAATGTACATCAGCTATACATTGGCCAGAACAATCAAGCCAAGGAAAGTTAATTTCACCAGGGAGCTCAGCTTCGATCCCAGTTCTCACCACGCTCACGTCAAACATCAAAACACACATGATCAGACAAAGAATCATTAAACACTAAACACTAAACGCTATAGATATATGAACATATCTCATCCCTGTATACTCATATCCTCATCTCTTTATACTCATTACCCCCCTTCCCCCATCCATCCATCTATCTATCTAAACACCCGGCAAGCTTCCCTCAAAAGGCGGCAAATCGGGCCAATTGCCTAACCCGGCCGGATCCCCTCCAATCCGCACAAATTGCCCCACGGCAGGTGTCGGCCCGTCGAGGATGAACATCATGAACCAGCCTGGTGGTGATGTATGCGCGTCCGGGGGCGCGGTTACCACACAGGTGTTGCCAGCGCAGGTGAATGCAGGGAAGATGGTGCGTTGACCCATTGCGTTGCCGTGGGTTGAGACGACTGAGCCGAGCAGGGTGACAGCTGTGGCGGTTCCGGAGGTCACAGTGAAGGTTATTTCTTCGCCGTAGGCCCAGTCCGTGGATGAGAGGTCGAATGTGGGACGGGGCAAGCCGGAGAGGAGGTACGGGGGTGTGAAGACTTCGACGCGGTATTCCTCTGGGAAGGCACCTGCTGGGGAGTCGTAGTCTCCGGTAGGGTCCGAGCCTGAGACGAGGACTCGGCCGTCTAGGAGGACGGTGGCTTCGGAGTGGTAGAGGCGGGCGACGGAGGTATTAGCCATGATGCTCATGCGTTGATTTACGGGCTTGGTGGGATCGTAGAGGACGGCGTTGTAGTTTGGTGAGCCGGCTAGTCCGAAGCCGGCGTAGCCGTGTTGGGCGCCGTTGAGGATGATGTAGGTTCCGTCGGGGAGACCGGCCATGCAGGGCATGACGCGGCGAGAGGGCATGCGTTCGATGGTCCAGGTTGGTTCTGCGGCTTCGGGTTGGGTGGAGACGCAGTTATCGATGGGGTAGCCGCCTCCGGATGTGGAGCCTCCGCAGATGAGGACGCCGACTGGGTCGGTGTAGGGTGCGTGTTGGGGTAGGATGACCATTGAGCCTTCGAGTTGGTAGGTACGGCCTCCTGTTGGGTCGTTGACTGCGGCTGGCATATTGGGCAGGGTTTTGATAGTCTCGAAGGTAACTTCATTGAGGATACGGGCTTCATTGTAGTAAGCGATAAAGATGCCCGTTTTCATGACGACGATGAAGGGGTAGAGGTTGAACGGAGCAGTCCTGTCCAAGAAGTCAAGATAGACGGTGGTGTTGGAGTAACCATTCGCGGTACCGGCCTGAGGTACACCAGTCGCAGGCAGAATCTCAAGAGTGGGTTGTTCGGCGGCATTCTGACCAATTTCTCCTCCTACAATGAGAATAGAGCCGTTTGCCATGATCATTGCGGATGGATACCAACGAGGGACTTGAAGTTGGAGAACACCAGGGTCTTCGATCCATTCGTTGGTGCCTTTAACACCAGCACTTCCGTCTGGCCAGTAGAGGCGAACACCGAAGTTAGACTCACCAGCCCAACCTCCTACTGTGAGTTGACGTCCTGCCTTATCTGGGAGAGTGAGACCAGCAGAGCAGAAGACATCAGTTTGGAGACCAGTCATAGTTCGCCAGGCAGCAGAGAAGTCGTCGATCTGCGAGAGATCGAGTTCATAAGCTCCTGCAGAAATGTTAGTACACTACTTTCAGAACCGCAGAATGTTCCGGGATAAGCAAAATGACTTACCTGTACCGTTGGGCTCTCCAGTACCGAATTTTTCAACAAAGGTCACCTTGCCGTTGACCGTCTGCGATACAATAAGAGGAACAACCACGCCGCCGATAAGCAACGAGTATTCTCCAGCGTTAGTACCAGTTGGCATACCCCATTCATAGAGACCCGGAGTGGCATTGTAGGAGTAATACGTTAACCTGTTTCCTGCACCACAAAGGTACTGTTCAGTACCAGCGCAAGGAGTATTACACTGTGAAGCATCATAGAATTGAGGAACGGAACTTCGTGTGTAATATTGAGTGTCATCAGGATCGGTGCTTGTTGAAGGCGCGGAAGCAACGTAGATATTCTCAACATCACCACAGAAGCATTGAGATCCGTACTCGAGACCAGCCGCATTGTATCCGAACTCCTGACAACGAGCGAGACACAAGTCGGGATTGTTTAGAGTCGAATTGTCCCAAGCCATGTAAGGGAAGGTTGACAGAATCTCATTGGGATCTTCGTTGGAGGCAATGTTATCTTGGAGACAACCATTGTAAACCCATCCAGTTGGTAGGCCAGTCTGTTGGGCAGCTGGAGCTTGATATGCTTCAGGTTGTCCAATCGAGTAGATGGACATTCTGTTACCAGCTCCGCAATCTTCTAAAGTGTCGCCTGGACAAGCCATGTTACAATCTGATTGGTCTGTCGATAAGACGCCTCCATTGTAAATTGCGTCGCCACAGAAGCATTGAACACCGTATTCCGCGCCTGCTATGGTATAGCCAGCCGCTGCACAAGCTGAGACACAGACTTGAAGAGTGTTTTCTTGATTATCAGCAAGCTGATTTTGCAAGATGCGACCGTCTGTACCATCAATATAGCAGCCATAGTATGCCCAGCCAGTTGGAAATCCAGTGGCAGCAGGATTGGTTGAGACGGAGACAGATGAGCTCCCTGTACTTGTAGCAGACTTGGAAATCACACTGCTGGTGGTGGACGTGATTGTACCATTGAGGACATAAACGGAGAGACGGTTCCCTGCGCCGCAAGTCTCATTGGCATCACCAGCACACGGGAAAGAGCAATCAGTAGCTGGTGCTACAACAGAACCGGTATTGAAGGAATTTCCGCAATAGCCTGCCCGAATTAGTATTAATTAGTAAGGTAAAATGTATGAAAACTCACATTCTCGTCCATATTCTGTGCCCCAGTATGTGTAGCCTGAGCAACTAGCTTCACACATCTCTAGGGTCATTTCATCGGATGCGGATGCGGCACCAGAAAGTGCTCGGATGTTGGTAGCTTCAGTTTGGCAGCCATAGTACACGTAAGGTCCCAATGAAGGTCCGGTCGAGGTGGCGGCTGGAGCTTGGGTGGTTGAGGAGCTTACGATGGCAACCACAGCGGAGCTGGAGCTCTTAAGTGAGCTTGAGGAGCTAGATAGACTCGAGGACGTGGAGACCGCGACCGATGAGGAAGCTGGCTTGGAAGTGCTTGATACTACCAATGAGGAGGATTTGGAGCTTGAGACAGCTGCTGAGGATGACTTGGAAGTGCTAGAGGCTACGGCCGACGACGAAGAAGACAGTACCGACGACGAGGAAGACAGCAGTGAGCTGCTTGTCGTAACGACAACAGAACTGGAGGTTGACTGGACTGAAACTGTCGTAGAAGTGACAGCCGTAGTGTTCCATGCAGGAAGCGTGACTGTCTTATTGAAGTCGTAGACATCCAATTTACTTGCGCCTCCACAGAATTCGGAGAGGTTGCCGTTGCAAAGCATTGAACATCCTGTCAATCCGTCTGGCGCAAGCACGCCTCCATTTGAGATGGAATCGCCGCAGTCTGTTATTGTTAGTCACGTTTCGGGTATTCAATTTGGACGACTCACAGCACTCTCCAGAATATTCGACACCAGCCAGAGGATAACCCATGAGTTGGCATTCTGACAAGCAATTGTCTACTGTGGTATTGGACGAGCCACCGACGACAGTGGCCCCAACAGTAAGCGCTCTGCCAGTTGTTCCTTCACTGTAGACAGTCAGCTACGCAACACGAAAAAAAGCATAGCACAACATACGCGTAGCACCCACTGAAAGTCCAGAGACCAGAACCGGGGTTGGTCTGAGGTCCTGTGGTACCACTCCAATACAAATTCAGTCTGTTTGGACCACCACATGCTTCAGTCGCATTTCCACTGCATGCCATGGAGCAATCGCTCGCAGCAGCAGGCCCAGACCCAGAAGCGAGTGAGTTGCCACAATCTGCAACATGTTAGAAAGACCAATACTCGTCGCATGATATACCTACAGCATTGTGATGCGTATTCTGTGCCCGCGTAGATGTACCCAGCCTTCTCACAGTATGAGATACATGATTCATCTGTCATAGCAGTGTCGCTATCATAGCCACCGGCAGTGAGCGTTCGCCCCACATCTCTATTTCCGGTTAGCACTAATACCCTTGAGGCACAATCAATAGACTTACACGTAACAACCCTGAGAAGTCCATCCTCCAACTGTTGCTGGCACTATTAGTCCACGCTTCCCTACAGTTGCTGCGTTTGTGATGGTGGACTAAAAGCTGATCAATTTCACATCTCCAGGATCGTTGCAAGGAAGACTTACAGACGACAACCACAAGAATGCCGCAGTGGCAGCCTTATGGATGTGAACCATGGTTTCTGGAACTAGTCGACTAGCGAATTAAGATAAAAATTCATTAAGGATTTAAGAGGAGTAATGCATTAAGGCCGTGTATTTCTGAGCGAGTGAACAATGGAAAACGACAGTTGCGACAGCGCTGGCCGTGAACGAGAGGAGGCAGCAAATCCTATATAAACAGACGGCCAGGATATCGACTGAGCAAGAATATGGAGGCTCCATCTTTTGGCTCAGCACTAAGGTCGAGATAGACAGGGGCAACTGTATGCAGGCTGTCGGTTGTAAGCAGCGCTATCTTCGTATTCACAGATGGTGGCCCAGGTCCAAATCTCCACCCAACTCCGAGATCTGATGATGGAGGGGAGGAAAGACCTCTTTGGGAGCCGGGTCCAACCGCATAAGCCAATGCGACCCGCAAACGGCTGGTCGGCTGGAGATATTGGACGGGCTGTGAGATGAACGGGCCGCTGACAGCGCTTTGCTGGATCGATTATGGCAGTGGGGCCGTCCAAGCCCTATGATTATGGTTTGGAGCAGACTGTAGGTTAAGTACGATCGTGTACGATTACCCAATGAAGAAAAATTCCCTCACTCAACTGAGAAAATGTAGCGTCTGAATACTGTACCCGGGAGCGAAATATGGCACCTGCAGGGCCTCATGCAACACCAGCGCCACCAATTTATTTTCTTTGGGGGTGGTGTGAGTGTGGGGACGGCAGACGCTTGGATCCCAAGACTCCCCTGCGAGACCCTCAGAACAAACATAAGGCAAGCAAACAACCTTAGAAGCATGCATAAAGTCCCAGGAATAGCTGCATGCGAACGATCGAAGGAGGGGCAGCGAGAGGCTCGCGATGATGCTGACAGTTTTGATCAAGTTACTATTGACGGCGTACAGCAGCACTAACTCACTGCGGTGTCCTCGATTGTTCGACTCCCCCTAATACTCGTCACATGTGCAGAACATGCAGCATTGGAGCTCATGGCTGGTCCCTCGCCCAGCCCTCACCGCATATCGCAGGCTTCAAGCAGTCTTGCGGCCCGTTGGACTGCTCGTAATAGAAAAGCTTGGCAGGGGTCTTCCCATTGACGTTCGGCAGGGCTGCCAGCACGAGGCAGAGTACAGTCCTCTCCTGTTAGCATCAGGGGCATTCGCATTCTGCCCTGATGAAGGCCAACGAGCGGCGACGACGTTGCATCGACCAAAAAAAAAAAAAACATCGTGAGTCGACGCGCCAGGATCTGGTTCAATATCTCCCGAAGCCGACCAGAACTGTGAAATGAAGTGCGGATCGACGACTGGGTGGTGTCTCACTGAGACGGGTGCGCCTCACAGCGACTATTTGAAGTGTGACAACCCAATCTGGACAACATAGTACGATGGCTGCGCGCAGAGAAATTAATTGCTGACGACGAAGATGTCTTGGGCGGTATCAGAAAGGTTCTTCGCAATATTGACGGCATCGTCGTTGAGACATTTGGGGTGAACGGCGTCTAGTAGCGGAAAAGCTTGATTTGGCCACAAGAAGCTTGATTTCCGAGTTTGAAGCCAATCGAAGGACCGAAAGACCGTGGCTGATGCTAGGTAGAGATGCAAGTGCCCAGTGGCTGAATCAGTCACGTGTTTTGGCGGGTCTCTGAGGCTTGAAAAGGATTCGGCTGCCTAGCAGGCAGGAACGACGATCTTTGCACAACGATGACTCTTTCTTCTTCATCTCTATCATGTATTTATTCCCTTGAACCAGTTTCTGAATCTCGAAAGTACTTTCTTATCTTCTTTCCTCACCACGAAGACGTCCAAGATGGCTTTCTCCGCAGCTACCTCGGAAGATTTTGAGATGATTGATCACCGAGAAGTTAATCTAGACCCTGAGGATCTAGCCAAATTGCAAGGATGGCTTCAGCCCACCGACTACACGGCCGACTCCAGCGAGTTCCGCCGCCATCTTTCATCCCAAGCTCCCGGAACAGGCCTTTGGATCTGCAATACCGCACGGTATCAACAATGGCACCAATCAGATGGCCACAGTAGTCTCTGGGTGAAGGGTGTCCCAGGAGCAGGAAAGTCCGTCATAGCTGCATCGATGGTAGAGCATTTGAGCTCGACAGAAGATGTGCCCGTGCTGTACTTCTTCTTTCGTTACATTGTGGCGGCAAACCGGAAGCCACGGAACCTGATCCAAGATTTCCTCGCTCAGCTTCTACCCCGCTGTCCTAGACTACAAGGAACACTTCAGCCGCTTCTGGGGAGCGAACTGGATCATCTTTCTGATGAGCGGCTATGGGAGTTCCTACTGCTTGGGCTTGCCTCGATAGAGAAGACCTATTGTGTTGTAGACGCTATGGATGAGATGGAACTGGGGTCCAATGATACTTTCCTACAACGCTTGAATGGCTTGGCAACGTTTCGACCAGAATCAGTCAAGCTTTTTATGACAAGCAGACCAAAACAGTACCTCCAAAGTGCTCTGCACGATGCATCGATTGTCCACATCAGCCTAGAAGATGATCTTGTGGGCAAGGATATTGCCGTTTTCGTTGCTCATCGACTCAAAGATGTCCTGTCAGGTGACGAAAATGCTCAGCTTCGAGCAAGTCTGGAGTCTACGATATGCGAAAGATCTCGAGGGCTGTTTCTATATGCTCGACTTTTGGTAGATCAGATCATACCGAAGTTGCATGCAACAGGACAACTCGACGTTCAGAAGCTTGCAAAAAGTTTACCCATAGGTCTCGAGGATATGTACAATACTATGCTATACCAGAACACTGAAAGCGAGAAAATTACGACAGACATTCAAGTTTTTCTACTCGAGTTTGTCACTCATTCATCTCGAGCTCTTCGCTTGAACGAACTTGCAAACGTCCTGGCTTCAGAATTTCCTTCAGAGAGGCTACCAGGAACACCTAAGAATGTGGCAAGGACAGCTTGTGCACCACTCCTAGAAATTCTGGAAGATGAGACAGTACAAGTCATCCATCATTCCTTCACCGAATTTCTGCTGGACACTGAGAGGACGAAAGATGTCAGCAATGATAGTACTCCACAATTTCCTGTTCTCGATCCTCCCAAAGTTCACAAGAGGTTGGCAATGGTTTCATTGAAGTATCTACAGTCTGGAGTTCTTCGACACCCTGATGCAGAAGAGTTTGAAAAGGCATCAAAGTGTGATTGTGACGGCGATTTTGATTGCCGCTGTCGACGTGGGCAGAAGAAGATGGAAGATCCATACGATTACCAAGAAGCAAGATTGCGGTACCCTTTTCTTGAGTACGCTATCAAAAATTGGGCATATCACTGCCATCGATATGATGCCGATGATGAAGATTTTCTTCAAGCTGTGTCATCTTTCATGGACCCTAAGAGCTTAGATTTCAGGCAGTGGCTACGACTTGAGTGGACAAGACGCCAAGTCCCAGGAGCTGCTCAGACACCTGCTCCACTTCATGTTGCCGCCTTTGCCGGTATGTCGAAATATGCTGCTCGCTTGCTTCGAGATGGCCAGATTGTCGATCCACTTGATGCTGATCAGCTCACTCCTCTACATTGGGCCTGCAGACGTGGGCATGTTGAGATAGCGACTCTCCTTCTTCAGGGTGGAGCGGATGCCAATGCGCATAGTTGTCGCGGAGTAGTGCCTCTACACGAAGCGGCTAAAAGAAACCATTCAACAATTGTCAAACTTCTCTTAGACGCTGGGGTCGATCCAATCGCTACAAAAACAAAGGAGAATCACGGAGGGAGGCTACTTGGTGGGGAGAGATCTACAAAAGGCGAAACAGCCATTGAATATGCATGTCAACAAGGACATCTCGATACCATTACTGTCATGCTCCCATACCTCAAGCCTGCATCTTTCGAAGAAGTTCTTGGCCGAGCTTGCCGGTGTGGCGAATTTGAGATCGTCAAAGCTGTTCTGCTGAATACGGACGTTTCACCTAATACGAGATTCGAAGGTGGTACTCCACTCTATGTTGCAGCGACAGGTCACAACACAAGTATCGTTGAGATCCTGCTGAGTAAAGAAGCCGATCCCCTCGAGATGTGTGATTATCAACCGAATTACCGCATCAATGGTGCAGGTAGACGTTTGAGAGCTGGCCCGATGAAAGCGCCCATTCACGCTCTGGTTCATCAATGGAATGAATCAACACACGTTGCATGCCAACAAATCCTAAACATGTTATCAGGAGCAGGAGCAAATATTGATGCAAAGAATGGGGAAGGAAATACGCCACTTCTAAGTCTATTTGACGTTCGACATGCAGCGCCACTCATTGCAGTAAAGAGTTTACTCGAAGCCGGTGCCGATGTGTCTGCCGTTGACCGGAACGGAGATTCTGTCCTGTTTCGCGCTTTGCAGAACTGCAAGAACGTTGAAATTATCAAGCTCTTACTAGACCTTGGAGCCAGACCAGATGCCCGGGGCAGTAAAGGAGAAACAGCCTTGCATCAAATCCTTTCACACCCACATGGCAATATTGAGGACAGCATCAATGAGATCATCTTACTACTTCTGGAAAAAGGAGTTAGACCAGACCTTAAGAATGATTTTGGCAGAACAGCTTTGGAAAGCGCGATCTTGACCGCGACCTGTACTCTGAAGACTTTCAAGCTTCTGCTCAACAAGTGCGATAATACCGCCGCGCAGGGATGCATGTGGCTACTAGGGAGCAGGAAAACTATTGAAGAAACCAAACAATTCATTGAGCTGCTTCTCTCGCATGGAGCTTCGCTGGAAGGACGATCCAAGACTGGCAAGACACCCATCCTCGCCGATCTTCGGAATCAGAAAGCTGTCAAAGCGCTAAGGCAACTCGGGGCCGATATTTATGCCGTAGATAATCATGGTCGTGGAATCTTACATTGCTTCACAAGCATCATGGGAGGTCACACCTTACTAGACGTATTCCTGAAGTATGTAGGCTATGGGCTAGATCCTTTGGTGGTTGATAATGAGGGCAATTCCATCTTACATGTTGCGGTGGGCAATTTTGAGGGGACGGCGAGAAATATCGAGTTTATTAAGTATCTGCTAGAAGCGGGAATCTCGATGAATGCAAGGAACAAAGAGGGCGAGACGCCGTTGATGGTAAATGTTGAGTTGGCACACGTCCACTCCTCGAGCAATGAGAAGAGGGTTTCGTTGTTGGATATATTCAGAAGGTATGTTTCCCTTGACTCTTTCAAAACAATCTCTGCGACTTTGGATATTGATTAATGGAATCTTCACAGACACGAACAGAAAGAAAAGCTGGATCTCAACGCGCAAGACAACGACGGCCTAGCAGCGATCCACCTGGCAACTCTTCGCTCAGAATTCGAACTCTTTTCCCTCCTTTCTGCAGGCGCAGACCCGACTCTTGTAACAAAGGAAAAGCGCACCATTCTTCATCTCGCATGTCGAGCACGTCAAACCAATACTATTGCGTTGATCATAGATAAGGTATGTTTTTTCTTATTCGCTCGGTTCTTATTCGAATATTGGCAGTACCGACATCCTTGAGGATCTCTGAGCTTAGACATCGCGGAATCGATTGGTAATTCGCATCATTGGGCTATGATGATGTGCTAGCGGTAGTCTTGTCTTGGCATGCATTTTAGAGTTCATGATGGATGTCAGATTTCCGCATCGAGTTGAGCCGCTTACTACTCGTCCATTCTCCACTATTTCTTACAAATTCACTTCATCAACCTTCAAAGCAAACTGACAGTACCAACAGTGCAAAGAACTCATCAACACCCAAGACCAAGATGGCCTAACTCCTTTGCATGATGCATGTACATCTGGTCGTCCCGAATCAGTCTTTTGTCTCCTACAGGCAGGAGCTTCCGTTGATTTGACGGACGATGGAGGAAGAACACCTCTACATGCTTGCGCTACATTTCCCATCGAGCAGAATATCTGGTCTTTGCTAGAACATCGCAATCATTATGGTTCACCTTCCCTTGGCTCAACCCTCCAAGAGGACCGGTTTAGACCCAAGCCTGGAAGAGGATACGAAGACAAACCTTGGTACTCAACGACTTATATGTCACCTCGAAGTTCTGAGCATGATACATGTCGTGTTGGGCCCATTATTGAGATGTTGATCGAGGCTGGAGCGAATCCTTTCGCTTTGGACAGCAAGAACAGGTTCCCCCTGGATCTAGCAGTGGCGAATGATTGCAAGGAAATGATTGCTAAGCTGGCCTTTACACACGAAAATATTATAGAGCGCTGGGATATTGACGAAAAGGCAAGGAATAAATTGCCGACTCTCCTGGCTATCAAAACAGCTTCGGGTTTGTCGACACTCGATCACCTTGATGAAGTGACGCGAAAAGAAGTGTTGAGCGAACCTAGGACATGGATGGGAATGCTTGACTATCCTTCCCTGTGTTCATGGGTCAAGGAGCATAAAGAGGAACTCGCCAACGATACCGAAACGACGAGCAAAATCTTGCACGAAGCGGCATCTGAAGGCCTCACTGAGCTCATCGCCTCACTTGACTCTCTCGTCGCACTAAACGATGACCCCTCGACCGTCGAAATGCACCTCAAAAAAAACTCAGAAAGGACTCATCCTTCACGAACAGTTTACGATCCAGTGCTTCAAATAGCATCTTCACGCATCTCCAACAATCTCCCACTCATCCATCTCCTTGTCGATAAATGCAACATAGACATAAATGCCCGCAGCCTCGCTCCATCGACACCATATACCACCATCCCGAATATCCTCGCCCCAGGCTCAACAGCTCTCCACATCCTCGCCCGCACGAGATCCTTCTGGCAACTCCAGGCAATAAGATACCTAGTCTCTGCAGGCGCCAACATCAACGCCGTCGATGAGATCGGCCAGACTCCCCTGCATATAGCTAGCAAAGGTGACGAGAAAACAAACATGGGCTCCTCGCAAGCATTCTGGACCTCTTCTGCTACGTCAATACTCTTGGAATTAGGCGCTGATCCGAATGTGCTCGACTACCATGGATTATCATGTCTACACAAAGCTTCTTCATCACCAGAGATAATGAAAGCGCTACTAGAGCACGGTGCAGATTTGAATATGGGCAAACTCTCGCCGCTATTCTCCGCTATACAATCACAAGATTTGAAAGCTTTGGAGATCCTACTCGATGCTGGCGCGGACGCAAATTCCGTTGATGAGAAGAAGGGGTTTAGGGTTCATTATCGGATCAAAGGGCAGATTCGCTATGCACTTTTCTGTGCCTGCTTTCCAGGCTTGTTTAATCAGCAACCGATCGATTCTGCTCCTCTTGTCAAGCTTTTGCTGAAACGGGGCGCGGACCCGTATGTCGCCCTGTCGGAAACAGAGACGTTGATCCATTTCGTAGTCGAGCATGCGGAAGAGGAGATCGTGTTTTCCTTCTTCAACCCGGAAATTGTCCCCTTGATCAATTGGGAGGCGAAAGATCAGCTCGGGAGAACGGTCCTCCTTGCTGCTGCAAACTGGACTGAGTGTCTCCAAGGGTACAGACATAAACATTGGTTTGAGAAAGTTAAAGCCCCTGTGATCCGCCTTTTGGATCTAGATGTTGATTCCTTGGCCAAAGATAATGAGGGAAGCAACTGTCTCCATCATCTCTGTGCAAACGAGGATATGGAGGAAGATGCCATCTTGCAATTTCTAGCCCATCCCGCTTCTCTAACCCTAATATCTCAACCAGATAAAAAAGGGTACAAGCCCCTACACCTCGCGCTCTCCGTCCTGCGTCCTAAAATCGTGGAAAGGATCCTAGAGCTAGGTAAACAAGAAGATCTCCTCTCCGCAGACCCAACAGGCAAAACAGCACTCCATCACATCGCGGCCCAATGTCTAGAAGTCAAAGAACGCCAGCGAGTCAGTCATCTAACCGAAAACCACTCTCCGGATTACTACCCCGGTCTCTGCTCATTATGGCAGAAATTCCTCTCCCTAGGAGGAGATATAGACGCCCGCGACACACTCGGCAACACACCTCTCTTCACATTCCTTTCGTCCCCAGAGAAAGATGTACAGAGAAAAGAAGAAGAAGAAGCATGTCATGTCCAACATCTCGATACATTCTTCAAAGAAGCAGATATACGAACGAGGAATAAAGATGGTGAAACGGTACTGCATGTCGTGGCTAATAGGACGGGATCGGGAGAGGAGCACGATAAAGCCCTATTTGCGGTTTTTGTGAAGAGGGGACTGGATCCTTTGATGGAGGATGGGAGGGGAAGGACGGCTTTGGACGTTGCGGCTGCGAGGGGGAAGGGGGCCATTTTGGAGATGTTTGAGAGGGGTGGGAGGTCGTGAAGAAGGTTCGTCACGGCGTTCGCTCGACGTCGGAGTCGGGGCTCGTGGGGTGGGATTCGAGACGGGGATATCGTTATCAACGGACAAAGCATGGGAGGTTGCAAGGAGAGAAAGCTGGGGGGAAATTCGAGGATTCGAATTTGCGACTATTTGGAATTCCGTCTCAGTAGGAGTGGGAGTCGGAATCGGTGTTCGTGGGGTGGGATTCAAGGCCGAGAGATTGTTGTCACGGAGTTGGCTTGAGAGGAGGTGGAGAGAGGAATTGGGGAGGAGAGCTCGATGGCTCGAATTTAAAACTGCTGGAAATTCGGTTTTATCAGCATAAAACTCGGAACCGGTGTTCGTGAGGTGGGATTGAAGGCCGAAATGTTATTCTCACGGAGTTGAACAAATGGGTTGACGAATCAGGACCATTTCAAGTCGAGCTGATCACGCTCTTCTCAGAGACGACCTTGGACTCCGCTTTCATCTTCACTCCAAATCGATTCAGTCAGGAGAAGAAGCCATATCAGGAGACTTCCTGATCATCCTTGCCTCAGACTTTCGCGGCCTTAGACGATGATCTCGTGACTATCTGCAAGGACTCGGCGATAAGGTCCCGACGAGCTTGTCATGGCGGGAAGGCGTTCGAGAAGCGCTGGCTTCTCGAAGCTTTTGTGGAGAGGGCGGAGATCTATCAATGTCTCAGCGCCTCGATCATTGGTGCGTGTAGAAGATCTCATATCTTAACGCCTCCATTGAACGCCACTTTGACTGTTGTGACGACGTCTTCGCTACACCATTAGATATTTGGTCTACAGAGCAGTCTCGCAGCACAAGATATATGGATGTCTGCCCAAGAAACCACTTGTCCGAGGAGGTGGTTTAGGTCGGCTCATCACCCGGTCCAAACGGCTGAATAGGAAAGTGATGTTGCTTGGCAAATTGACAAGCTTCAAGAACAATTGGAGAGGTATTACTTTGAAGGCTGCGGCGCGAACCCGACTCCACAAACTCAAATGATAACGCATTTGCCTCAGCCGTGTTCGACGCCTCCCTTCTGTGGCGGCCGCCTTTTCAACACAGCGCTGTGCAACGGTCGGGAGAAGACAGCCGTCGGTGGAGAAAGAAGAAGTGGTGGCGGGACCGGCAATATCAATGATCCACCAGATCCTCAATTATCCCGTCCGTACAAAGAAGTCTTGGGCAATCAGAGAAGTTCAGTGACTTTTCTGAATGTCATTGCATGCCGAGGCAGTAAGTTGCTCTTTCTTGAATCAGCAGGTCACGGAGATTCATGTGCGACTACACGTCTGGCATTTTCCCGATGGCGTCCAATTATTCTGAGGGTGTGCGTCGTTGCATCTTGGCGAAGCTTCACTGCACCTTCCATGCATGGAACTTTTTATATTTGAGTTGGAAGGTGTGTTGGTCAATTGGCCGAGGCCAATTGATGTTCGTCTTCAATTCAATCGAGGGGCGTCTTCTCGTATATCCTTTTGTTCTTTCAGTCGGCCAAGCTGTTCTGGACTTTGGATCTTGCGTTGGTCTCATGCGGATCTGGCACCCCGCTTTTCTTATCTGGCGCCCGCAGTGGTGCGTCAATGCTTGCACAGAGCACAGCCGAGCTCCCACCCGCATCACCGCCAATCATCACTCAATATCAACCTCACCCCGGATATTTCAACTGGGATAAACCGATTATGAGCTTCACATCGATTGGACACTCCGTCAGAAGAGGCTCACATCCTTTCACTCCTCTCAATGCACTCTCAGCTTGCGACTCCTCCTGGTCGACTTTGTATTCCCAAACATAGACACTGGTCTCCTGGAACGATCACAATGCAACGCTGGTGAACAAGGAGGACGACGACGACAGAAGTCTGGATCCTGCCACACCTCTTATCTCTTTCCGCCAATTCAGATCTATCTCCCAACCATTCCACTCATCATGCGACCTTCTCTTCCTCGGCTATACACCAGCGAATACTTTTCTAACATAAAGTATATTTATCTTTATATTCGCCACGCGAGCTTCCTCTATCGTACCAATCTCATTGGTGTCTGGAATGGACTCAAGCTAAGATAGGGAGTTGGCAAGGTTATTAAATACCTTAAATGCACCTACCGAACCCTGACCATTATCCGTGCTCGACTCGATCGTAGCACAGATATTCGCGATGTCCATCCAAGTCGTCCGGATTGGGTATTGAATCGTCGCACGGAAAGTTCTTAGCGACTTCTAGTTCCCCATTCTCATGACCCGTCGCCCTGCGTCGATATTCCGGTGGAACGCAACAAGTGCTGCATCAGGAAGGTGAGTACAGATACCCAGTGCGACGCACCGCGGATCTGGGTCGATTCTCATTTTCTCTATCGGGCATCTTCCAACGTTTATCGGGTCTATCAGCGTCTATTCAAGCGTCCTCCCCCATGTGGAAGGTAGATGTATGACAAGGTCAATGTCTGCTATTGGCCTGGGTTTTCCCCAATCGGTAGCGAGTACAATGCATCTATCATCCGGATCCTTGTGTTTCCCATAAAGAGACGCGGCGGCCATAGCTCCTCGTCTCCTCCTTTTTATCCTTCATAACCTCGCCTTTGTGCTGTGTTAGGTTTTCCCCTCCTTTCGATCTGTACCCTTTCGTAGCTGTAACAATGGCTTTGGGCGGATTGTTCAAGAGACCTGCTGCTGCTCATACTCAGGCGGTGGATCCTGATTCGGGAAGCGATGGGTAAGAGTTACTTTCTTGCATTCGCACTGAGTACGAGCTGATTATGGCAGCGTCGCGACATCGACTGGTGTCGTGCAGAAGGAGCTCGAAGCCTTCAAGCACGAGCACGCGTGGGATCCCAATTTACCTCAAGAAAGTATCGATGCTGTCGACGAAGCTCTAAGAGTCGATGATCTCGAGAAGAAAGTCGCTGTCGAGACAGTGCTACTTGAAGAGAACTCGCCGTACCCTGAAGTTCGTGCTGCAGTCAGGAACTATGGTATGGATTCGTGATAAATCATACTTGGAACTTGGATCTAACGAGATTAAATAGATGAAGAATGTCCAGCGAATACTGTGCGTGCTTGGGTGATTGGGATGCTGTGGACTACGATTGGAAGTGCCATCAACATGCTCTTCTCTCTTCGTAACCCGTCTATCTCTCTCACGCCAGTTGTTACTCTGCTGCTTTCGTATCCTTTTGGTGTTGCTTGGCAATACAGTATGTTCATCGATGTCTGGCTTGATTTGGGATATCAATTGACGGAATTACAGCTATGCCAACTCGCAAATTCAAGACCTTTGGATATACATGGACATTGAATAACGGCCCGTTCAACATGAAGGAACATACTCTGATCGTCATCATGGCCAATGCTTCCTTCGGAGGAACCTTCGCATACTCGACCGACGTCCTACTCGCCCAGCAAGTATACTACGGACAGAACTTCGGATGGGGTTACCAACTCCTCCTCACCATCACCTGCCAAATGCTCGGTCTCGGTCTCGCAGGCCTCACCCGAAAATGGCTCGTCGAACCAGCTGCCATGATCTGGCCCTCTAACCTCATCACGACCACCATGTTCGAAACGATTCACACGCGCGCCACTCCCGACGCTCTCAAGCTCAGCGGCTGGAAAATCGGCCGCTACAAGTGGTTCCTGTACCTCATGCTCGCCATCTTCGTCTGGGAATGGTTCCCGCTCTGGATCGCGCCCTTCCTGGCCACGTTCGTCTTCGTCACTTGGGCCGCGCCTAACAATGTGGTGGTGAACCAGCTGTTTGGTGGCCAGACGGGACTCTCGCTCATCCCGCTTAGTTTCGATTGGAGTGTCATCACGGCGTTCATTCTGAGTCCGTTGGTGTACCCGTTCCATGCTATTGCGAACACCATGATTGGCGTGGTGATTTTCACTTTGATTACTTCGATCGGTATCCATTTCAGCGGCGCCTTTTACTCCGAATACCTGCCAATGTCTACGGGAGGCAGTTTCGATAATACGGGGGCAGCGTATAATGTTTCTATGATCTTGACGCCGGAGTACGAACTTGATCCTGTCAAGTACGCTGCGTATTCACCGCTTTTCTTGTCGACGACGTTCGCGCTGGCGTATGGATTGAGTTTCGCGGCTATTATTGCGGTGGTTCTTCATACGGGGCTGTATCATGGGCCGGATATCTGGGCGAAGGTTAAGAGTAGTCGGATGGATGGCGCGGATGTGCATTTGAAGATGATGGCTAAGTATAAGGAGGCTCCTTGGTGGTGGTATGTTTTCTTCTTCCCCTCTTTCCTTCTCTGTTGCTGATTGAAAACCAGGTATGCCATCAGTGCGGTAGTCATGTTCGCTCTAGGTCTCGTTACGTGCTTGGTATGGGACACTCACTTGACGTGGTGGGCGTTCATTGTTGCGCTCCTCATCTCGTGCTTCTTTTACCTGCCTATCGGAATCGTGCAAGCGACTACTAATGTGCAACTCGGTCTGAATGTCATTACCGAGTTTATTATCGGGTACATGCAACCTGGTCGACCGCTTGCGATGATGATGTTTAAGATGTATGGGTACATTACTTGTTATCAGGGATTATACTTTACACAGTACGTTCGATTTCTTTACTGCTGGAGCAGAGACTTGAGGGGCATTTTCCCCCTAAATGACATAAGCTAACCCACCGCACAGAGATATCAAACTAGCCCACTACATGAAAGTGCCCCAACGCGTCACCTTCTGGGCCCAATTCGTCGCCACCCTCTGGTCCTGCATCGTGCAAATTGCCGTCCTCAACTGGGCCCTCGGCTCCATCTCCGGCGTCTGCACCCCCGACCAAGCAAACAACTACACCTGCCCCAACGCCCACGTCTTCTTCACCGCCTCCATCATCTGGGGCGTCATCGGCCCCGCGCGTATCTTCGGCACCGGTGGCATCTATCACCCCATGATCTACTTCTTCATCCTGGGTTTCGGCTGCCCGATCCTGGTTTATTATCTCGCGCGCCGCTTTCCGAAGAGTCCATTGCGATATGTCAATACGGCCATCGTGTTCGGCGGCACGGGATACATCCCGCCTGCAACTCCGATGATTTACGCTACCTGGGCGTTTGTGGGGACTATCTTTAATAAGGTTATTAAAGGACGCCATCCGGGGTGGTGGGCGGAGTATAATTATATCACGAGCGCGGCGCTGGATAGTGGGACGATTATCTGTATCTTGTTGATCTTTTTTGCGTTGCAGTTGCCGAAGGTTAGTAGTCCGGCGTGGTGGGGTGGGTTCGGGGGAGGTTTCATGGATAATGGGGATTGGAATGCGGCGGTGCAGAAGGTGGTTGTTAATGGGACTTTTGGGCCGAAGACGTGGGCTTAGGGATGGGCTGGGAGGGATGTGGAAGAAGGGAGAGGAGGAGATGATAGGGTGGATATGATTGTGAATGGATTTTGTTGATTGATATTGGTTTACCTTCGAGCTTGTGCTCGTTGCTCACTTGATGTGGATTGAAGTTTCTTCACATTTGATCCTGTGATTGCTGTTGACTTAACTTAAGTCTATGACAATCATGAGTTGAAATCTCGCTCCAGAAGCTTTGAAAAGATATCCTCGGCACGAGCCACCGCTACCCCTTTCGAATAAGCGAGCGAGGTACCGACCTAGAATCTGGGTTGGAGCTCACACCGATGTTCAGGAATTGATAACCCCGGGCTCTCACTAAGTAAAAGATTGTTGGTGGAAGTTATAGGACGTCACGGGGTCGCGATAGTGAATTGGGAAAGGCTACTTCCTTTTTTGAACTACGTTAGGCGAAGGTCTCTTACTACCGATACTTACCCAAGCTCTCGGGGTCTCTAACCTTCATCTTCCTTGGACCTCCAACCTCAATAAACCCGTCAACCTCTCCCGCTCCCAACTTCGTCTCAGATATCTCTCAACCATATTCTCCACTTTCTCACTTTTGAGCTCGATCACGCCAGACTTCTCTAACCTTTATCTTCCTCCGATTCCTCAACCCCAAAACTTCTTCAATTTCCTCGACCTCAAAGATCCATCAACTTCTCACTACCCATACATCTCCCATATTATCAAGCTCTCCAGCTATCAGCTTCGCCTTAAGATATCTCTCAGCCACGTTCTACACTTTATCGCCAAATTTGATAACGCAAAGCTTTCTTGAACTTGAGTTCCATTTGTTAGCCAGAGAAGCTCAACTTCGACAAAGTTGCCCATCTCTGATCTCCCGGCATTCGACCTCAACCCGGAACTCTTGTTAACGACCTTCTGCACAAATTCAGACCCGCCTTCTCAGTCGAAGGTGCAACCTCAAACAAACGATACGCATCACTATTCCCAGTCTTCCTCTATCAAAGCCCAACCGCAAGAAATTTCAATCGTCTACCGCTTGTCCTAACACGGAAGCTCACCATGAGGCACGGAACTGCGATGAAGAGTGCGAAGGCCCCGAAGAAATCTGAGCAGACTGCGAAGAAGACTGCGAACAAGACTGCGAGCAAGACTGTGAAGAAGACTACAAAGAAGACTATTCGAATCTCGAAGCCTCTCAAAGAGTTCACGGTCTTCCCCAAATTGCCGATAGAGTTGAGGCTCGAAATTTTTGGCGAAGCTATGCCTGGACCACGCGTCATCGAAATCATGTGGGCCAATGATCACCTCTACACAGACTGTCCTATCCCAGCGCTGCTCCATACCTGTGCCGAATCGAGAAATCTTGCTCTGAAGACTTTCAAGAAGTTCAAGGCGGTCGATGACGTGAGCGAGGATTCTGATCACAAGAATGTGTCGCCATACATCTACATCGATTACGATCATGATTTACTATATCTATCCCGACGACGTTCCAATGGAACGCAACATTACCTCTACCATCCTGGACTTCATCCACTCTTCGGCATACTCGCCGCTAGCGGAGCTACGACCTTAAAGCATGTCGCATTGTTAGTTGACGAACTTTTCCCTATGAGCGTGAGACACTGGGGAAAGATTCTCCCTCGTCTTAGCAATCTGAAGACCATCTCGCTTGTTGCCGATGATGTTGCTATGCCGGATGAAGACAAACGCGCCCCACGACGTTTGGCAGTTGGCTTCGTGAAGCAGGATCCTGCTAGACCCATACAACCGTGGAGATATTGGCGATCGCGTACACCTGGACAATTGATACTGTTTCACGAGTCATTCACCGAGATGTTCCAAGTATATGGCAAGCAACTTAAGGATAAAATGGTTGTCAATGGTGCAACTGAGAAGCTTGTGGATGACTTGGAATTCGTTGGTATTGATATCATCAGATCTGGCATGAAGTCCCCACGTGTTCGCAATCATTAGACATAGGCGAGTGATCGATGAATTCTTCCCTGAGTAGAGAAAATGGTGCATAGATAGATTGAGGAGCATTATAGAATGATAAAGAAAATACTTCCTCCGATGACGACAAAGATCGAAAATACTAGGATTTCAGAAAAATAGATGCATTGAGAAATACCTAGATACAGACAAACAATGAGAAGCTATGATTTTACATATGCTCCCTATCATGCTTGTGAATAAATATCTGCTCTTGAATACAGTGTGTCGAAGTGACACACTGTTCGCAGCATATAGATCGTAAAAGCCTAAACTTGCTCTTGAATTCAAAGACACGTGACCTCGACTCCCCTTTGGCGCTAGGCATGGCGTTGAGAAGGTGCCACTAGCACTCCTTCCGAGGTCAAGGGCTACTAAAGGCTTATCAGACGCAAGAGCTTTCAATCTCATAAGACCATCCAACATACTCGGATCCAAAATGACAGCTAACATTGGCTAAGCTCATCAAATTTGGTAATACCTCGAGGAGATTCTCGCGCATATCGAATCAAGCCTCGAATAATCCTCGGACTCGCATTGGATTTCCTAGTTGAGCAGGTGCAACTCTGCCCAGCCTTACTTCTTCGAAGCAAACGTCTACGCGAAGTCGACGTTCACGTCGCGTTACGAGAAGCGCAACTTGGTGCGAGCCATCTTCCGATCTTCTGGAGCTATTATCCGAAACGCCTCTGCAATAGATTTCCTCAAACGAAAGGCCATTATGGCGCAGGAGAAGTGCGAAAAGTCACAGGCGGCGGACAATTCCGAAGCGGAGCGTTTGTCTGGTATTGAGACGGTCAACAAGTTAGAATTCAAGGATATGAAGGAGTCTACGATGTCGAAGGATTCGAAGAGTGTTGAGGCTGAGCATTCTTCTTCGAGCTCCCTTGTACAGAATATGGCCGGCGGATCGGTATCAACTGCAGTGCATAATCTTGCGCTTTCCGACAATTCTAAAGATACAAAGTCCCAACTAGTCAAGAGAGGCTGGCCAACAATTATCGCAAAAGAGAAAGACCTTGAGGCTGCTCGAGCATTAAGCCCTCTTAAGGAATTCACAATGTTCCCAAGGTTGCCTATCGAGCTTAGGCTGAACATCTGGGGTCTTGCTCTGCCAGGACCGCGAGTTATGGAGACTATCTGGGTGGGGGATAATCACGTCTACAAATTTCGCCCTGTACCTGCACTCCTCCATGTGTCGAGCGAGTCACGAGCTTTGGCTCAAGAGACATACAAGAAGCTCGACATAACATCGAGTCAGAGCGAAGATCATGACGAAGAGAAGAGCAGTCCGTATATATACATCGATTACGATCACGATTTGGTGTATCTGACCCTGCGAGGTTACAAATCTAACATGCCCAAGTACCTCTGTAGTACTAACATCATGCTCAAGGCGATCCGGCCTTTCAGAGGCTCATCAATACAGCATATTTCGATTCGCGCAGATGAGCTGGCGAACAAGGTGGGATTTTGGGCGATGATGATGCTTGATTTGATCAGCATCAAGACTATCTCCATCGTCGCAGACGATACTGCTGATGCAGGCCACTTAGGGACACTTCAACCTCATTCCATCGCTGGGTACGTGAAGCAGCACTCATCTAGAATCATGAAGCCGTGGCGGTGGTGCCGTCACCTTCAAAAGATTGATGAGATTCGGGAGCTACAACCTCCGGAACTGAGGAACCAATCCTTCGACTATTTCTTCGGCGTAACGGGCAAGGAGCTCAAATATAGACTCGCAGACTATCGCAAGACTATGACTGACGACGATTACGACAGTTGGATGAATTATAAGCAGCTCGTCGAAAAACTGGAGTTTATCGGTATTGATATTGTCAGATCCGGCATGACGCCTCCACCTGGTCGCGATTATTCGCAAATGATCTGAGGTGACGGAGCAGGGGAGGGGGAGGGGGGGTTGGAGTACGGACGAGACAGGGAGGGAAAAGGGAATGTATTAGAGACTTCACCTTCTTCTGACTAGGTGAGTCAATGAAGAACCTCGATTATCAATGGACCAGGTGTTAAGGTAGATACAGACCAAAAATGGAAAGCGATGATGATCTTGCCTATGTTCAGAACCGTGACGGAGACATCTCTCCCACAAGATAAAACTTCCAAGTGAAAGCCACATCTTTTTAAAGTAAATCAGCATTATCGTCCAACACATGGCTCATCTCCAACACGTACAGCGTTCAAGTGTCCCATCCCCTCCCCTCGCTTTATCTCGCTAAACACCCTCCATGCAAAAATATTAAAAAGCAAAAAATGAGCACAAAACCCTCAACCACCCAACAACTCAAATTTAACACAAGAAGTAGAAATCAAAAACAAAACGTTTAGGCTACCCGTAAGTAGCCTAAATGCCCAAGTGCGAAACTTGTCCGTCCGAACATGCACCCGGTCGGGGTCACCGGGATGGGGGAGCATGTTACAATCCAGCCGACGCGCCAAGTCGACAAGGCGCTTACTGGATTGATGAAGGAGTTTTGCTTATTTGACACTATATGGGGGGAAAGAGTTGGGGCTGAATGAGGTTAGCGCGTGATTTACAAGGCTGAGGTCAGCGGGGTCGGATGGGGTTGATGGCTACATAGGTAGGTAGGTAGGATGGATTCAGCTTTATGGCAGGAAGCACGTGGGCTAGCTAGTGGACTTGACGATTGTATGTAAAATTCTGAGCTTCCTGCCGACGAATTTGAGATTTTCATATGATCTTTGCTCACGCGCAAGTACTTCAGAACACAAGTACTCGGCTTCGATTGCACGTCCTTCCACCATAAAGTACGACCTTCGTGTTGTACTCCTCATTAATTGCAAGCCAATATCTTTGAATACAATTCAATTCAGCTTCCGAATTACAATTCGACATAGAATCATCTTCATTGCTCTTGCGCAACGATTTCGAGAGTACGTCTCCATTCGGAGCACCCACTCGATATCTGTCACGCAACATGACAGCACGTCTTTACGAGCAACGAGATTCGGCAGCCGCGATGGACCAGACCGTGGATACTGTGGTAAAGAGTGCAAATGACACTGCCAATCCCAAGATGTTGACTTCTGCGCTCGAGGGAGGAAATTCTCGTGCTGGAGCCCGTACACTCGAGTCGTTGACCCCGGCTCTTGAAGGTGATTCTATCATCAAGAATGCCTCTCAAATTCTGCACCCATCAACTCTCTGTCAAAGCCTCATTACAGCAAGTCATGAGCCAAAGTCGATTTCTACTGAAGCTGCTACGCCAAAGGTTTCATTGCCACTCACGGAGTTCCATCTCTTTTCGAAACTTCCCATCGAACTCAGGACCATGGTGGTGCGTATCGATCCCAGCACCTGTTATTGACAGACCCCGAGACTAATCTGTTGTAGTGGAAGGAAGTGTTCCCGGAGGAGGCTCGTATAGTTGAGATCTTGTGGACCGAGGATCGCGAGTTCAGCACCAGAATTCCTATTCCGATCGAGTTGCACCTATGCTCTGAGAGTCGTTCTCTTGCCTTGAAGAAGTACAAAGTCCTAGAAGTCGAAAACAACGTACCCGAGAGCACAGACAGTGAGACGAATACAAAGAGTGCAGCGAAGGCTGCCAAGCTTAGCCCCCAGGAGTCCAGCGAGAAGTCCCTTCGGCCTTTCCGTGCCTACTTCAACTGCGCCAAAGACGTGCTTTACTTCCCAAAGAATTGTGACACTATAAACAATTATGGGGAAATCTTTGGGTCCTTCTTGTGTAAGCTCAATCACGAAGCAATATCGACCTTACAACATCTTGCCCTTAACGACCCACAAGCCGCTTACACTTTGACGAAGTCGAATCTCCTTAAGTTATCCAAACTCCGAACAATTTATGTGATTGCTACGGATGTACTCCATTGCTGGGGGCTTTGTGAACTCAATCACTGCAACTCATTACCGCCTTACCAAGCACCAACCGGGTTCAAGAGAAGAAGTACCCAGAGGTCAGTAGTCTTAAGATCGTCTTCAGATCCAGGAGTTAGTCGCACAATAAGCCTCGACAACATATGGGCAAAGATGGTCAAGAAGGAAATACCAGGCTGGAAGACTCGTTTACTGGCTAGAGGTGCAGGCAAAGCAATGGTGGTGCAGCTGGATTTTCAACTTATTGATATTCTTCGAGCGGGATCATCTTCGAACGCATCCAGCAAGCGGGATAAACATCTTCAAGGATAACGAGTTCTTGCGATCTCAAAAATTCGGTGAGTCCTCCTTCGGAGCAAGTCTCCTTTTCCCGCTCGGTGAAGCTTCCTCCCAGCGACCATATCTGATAGTCGTCGACATTGAAGATTGTCGTTCAACAAATATTTGAAACGTGTTGACTGATTCAAAGCGCTCTAGAGCAGAGAACAACAAGGTCACACTCATGTGCTCTGATGGCTTCAGGTGATCAACGGAGGGACTTCCGTCTCCTGCGAAGCACCGATGATGGTCTATGGACAACAATGGCATGGCGACTAGGAGGGTGGCAGAGGCAAAAAAACTCCCTACATGATACTGAGATTGGAATTAATCTAAATAATACAAGAACGAGTCCTTTCCTTTTGCAGGCCGAGTTTGCTTTCGTGATTGAAAAGTGCTTGCCTCTGACGAAGACTTGACCTTTCTTTATGTATATAACGGTTGTGATCTTTATGTTGTGATTTGGTCTCTTGTCAGACTCTGGATTGTTTGTGGGATGCGTGTCACCTGAAGTTAAGGTTTATTAGTGAAGTGATTCCTTCGCTCCTGCCTCAATATCCTAAATGCGCAATTTCTTACCTTCCTCTATCATTCCACTCCCAAAGCGGCAGCTGCATCTTACTCTGGAAAGAGCGAGTTCTCCATAGTAATCCAAATACAATTATTAGGATCAAAAGTGAGTTGCTAGGAATCGTTCTAGCATGACCTCGAGTCTTCGGTCACGTGTCGCAGGAACGCTCCTTCCTTTTCCAGAAGTCAGATTTACTAGACCATGCTCAGTCCTTATATCAACATGCGCTCACTCATTTGAACTCCTTCTGATTCACTCCTATTCATACATGTCATAGTGCGGGACCAGCGGACTAGTGTGCAACGCCCCGCTTAAGAGGCACATTAACCCCCTCTGCTTCCGCTACTTCTTCCATCATTCGCATCCACAACACAACATTTTCAACACGGATAGTCGCCGGTATCAGTACTGAATACTCTTCGTCATTCGCTCTCCTTACCTTGTCTAAACTTCTTGCTTCTCGAGCGCAAAATTTGCGCTAGTTGGATGGTCGCCGTTGGGAGTTTATTAAAAAGGTTGCGCTCTCTTTCTGTTTGCGCTTCGCGACCGCAAATAGTATCATTCCTCGTATGTAATACAACCTTTGCATGATATAAACTTCTTCTAAATGAGCATCCCTCCTAACGACGACATTAGTAGACCACCTAAGTCATTGCGCCCTCATAGCTCTCCCAGTGCATTCGACAATCCGTCAAGTACACTCCTTCATCATAGTGTACCATTTGCGCACCATGATCACCATGGCCCATACTTATTCGTCGCTCGTTACATCTCGTGAGCCTGAGGATTCAACTCAAGCGGACGACTCTGTCGCAGTAAATGTTCGATACTTTCCCTCGACAGAGTTGGACACATCAATGGCTCTAATGTCTTTGGATGATCAGACTCAACCAACTCCGGTCGCTGGGCTGGAAGGCGACAACAACATCTCCCCTCCAACACAGGGACCCCTCGCTCAGTTTACCATCTTCGACGACTTGCCATCGGAGCTCAGACTACAGATCTGGCGAGAAGCTATGAGCCCCAGGGTTCTAGAGATCATGTGGAATCGTGACAAAGGCTACTTCTCGGATTGTCGAGACCAAATCCCGGCGCTTATGCACGTCTGTGTAGAGTCTCGCGCTTGTGCGCTCGAAAAGTACATTCCAATGATTGTGGAAAACGAATGCGAAGAGCCGAGTGTAGACGGCTCTGACAGCTCCGACGACGCACCAAATCGACCGAAGGAACCTCCAACACTACCACCTCTGAGCGTGTACATCGATCCTACGAAGGACACGCTCTACCTATCCATGGGGACTTGGGACCTGTCCGGACCTTACACTGGGATGCTCATCGATTTTCTCAGGATCGTGGATTCCACTGTGGCGTCGAAGCTGGAGCATCTCGAGACTGGGTTCGATCACACGATCTTCGTCGTCGCACCTAAAGTCTCAGATGATCTTAATTCCCCACCGCTTCTAACCCGATTTCCCAAGATGAAGACCCTTGGGATGGCGGTCTCAGATATTTGTATCGCTACGCCTATGTACGGAGCCGATCTCTATAGACATACGCAAACCCTCGCACCCCGTCGACCAGCTCTTGGCGTCAAGAACCTAGACCACTCGAGACCTTTCGACACTTACAGATGGTGTCCTTTGACTCGAAGAATCCGCACTACTTCTTTATCCCTGAGTTCCTGGTCTTCCATTCCTACGAAGCTTGCGAGATGGAAGGTACTGTTAATGCAGGGAGGAGCTGACGGAACCTTTTTGGATGACCTTGATATCCAGGTCACTGAGATCGTCAGAGGTGACATGATTAATGGATAAGTCATTATGGATGTGCGGCCATAGACGCGAAATACTTGGGAAGAACCAGGCGTTGGCAAAAGCATAGAAGGGCTGGTGGGCAGTGGTGGTCTCCTGGAGACTGTCACTGGAAAGAAACTTCGTTTTACTAGTGAGCGAAGCGATACACCAAACATAAATACCAGAGAATGACTTTGACTCCGCCTATACTTGAGCTAAGGAGGAATTTCAATGTGTACAGGTCTCAGTTCCACGTGAATCCACTCCCTTGAAAATTAAGCGAGCCCAATCACGTTGCCAGAACTTCCTTCCCACAACCCAGGAATTGAGACCGAGGATTGCAGCAGTTGGCCCCTCCAGGTGATATTTGCGATCGTGCACGTTGATCATTTCCTCCAATGTTTATTTATCATTCCCAATAGCAAATAGGAACCCAAAATCTATTACCATTACTAGTATCGCTGCTGCTATTACAAGCTGGATAATATCCTACAGAAAGAAAGACAGCTATTAAAGCCGTCAAAATTGTAAAGACAAGTCCTAAGGAGCGGATTTTGGTACAGACAGCAATTTAGACCAAAGGAGAAAAACCTATAGGATACAAGATCTAAGAAGTCCAACCCAGTATCCAACAATTTATATTTTTTCCGCCATACACTCTGGCTTTTAAGCCGGCATATCAACCGAAGGCAATTGAACGACCTGGTCACATGACTTCTTCTTGGTCCTGACCCGCATTCTGATATCGAGAAGGTGCTGCTTTAGAAAGCCTGGTAAAGGGCCTGCCAGTGGTTCAAGGTTTGAAGAGCTACTACTGCTCTCAACCTCGATTTTTGCTGGAGGTTCTGGTGGCAAGCTGCTATCCTGCCAAGTAGGCAGAGGCCAATTCTCACGGACACTGTCTTTATATGCGTGCTTAAGCCTCATCTCTCCCTCGAGCTTCTCTTGGAGGTCAGGTCCCTGTACGATATGTGATTCGCAATGGGACACGAAACAGGTTCTGTGTTTTCGCGCGCAGTCTTTTGAGCATGCATCCTCATTGCAGCAGCACCATCCTTTTGGTCTGTCTTTAGACTGGTGGTAGGGATCCCAAAAAGTTTGTCGAGGTGGGACTACAGCACAAAGTTGTCTCCATTCATTTCTTTTTTCCAAGAACCAGCATCTGTAGCAGAATTTGTCTGGAAGCTTTCCGTGACGGTCGGTGTAGTTATTCTCAAAACTGATGTTCCAGGGACAGGAGTGAGATTCTGGATTGTGTCGTGCTTTTTCTTTGGCCCAGGCGCGGCATAACGATAGGAGTTGGACCCTTCTGGCTACGACTTTTTCTCTGACGGTCTCTTCGACATCACAGACATACTTTTCATCGTATTTTCTGTAGCTGTATTTGTGTGGATCGGGAAGCTTCAACCTTTGGCCTAGCATTCGATTGAAATTGTTATCAGCCTTGGCCTTGTTTTGATTGCGAGGCTGTCGGAACAAGGCGAGGCGGCCTCTCCAAGTAAATTGCTTAGATTCGCCAGAGACCGTTTTCTGCAGTTGCGAGCGGTCGATGGAGTATACATCCTGGTATAATCGTATCTCCGTAACAAGTCTCTCCTCGAATATCTTGATCAACTTCGTACCGTCGGGTGCTATCAACATGTATGCTAGGCCGTATAGCATCAGAGAACATTTGGCAAAAGTGGCTGGATTAAGGTCCTCTCCCTTGCAAAATCTCCAGAGTGGCATTCTATGATCCACTGTCTGCATGGAAAAGAACGTTTTCCTGCAGTTATACAGGACCTGAGTTCGATAGAGGTCAATAGCTATGGAATAATGAGCGGTTTGTACAGGAGTGTATCCTTTTCCAGTGCCAGTCCATTTGTGGCGAGTCACCGGGGTGACCCTGCGATGCGTTATCCATATCCAGCGTCCCTGAACCAGATGCTGTATAATGAGCTGCATCACATTGTAAAGTTTCGCTCCTGCCCGCGGTGGACGGTCTTCTGCCTGCGGTGGAATGTCGTCTGGAGTAGCGCTTAGCCAGTGATACGATTTTAAGATCTCGTGCTTCTGGTCGATCCAGAAGACAGAGCTTGCCAACATCTTTGTGGCGGTAGTTGCCATGATTCTGATCTTTCCTTCCTCAACAAAGATCTCGTCTTGATCAATTAGGCATTCCGCAAACTGGATGTTTGCCGCAGGTTCTGATGAATCAGTGTGATCACTGATTTCGATAGCCTTTAGGATAGGCTTCTTGCCGCTAGGTCGAATGAGACGAGTGAAATTGGCCGTCTTCGCCACACTATCTCTCATCCGCTCGATGGGAAAGGATATTCTCTTCTCTTTGGCGGTTAACTTTTCAATCTGGATGCTGACAAGTCTGCTAAACTCCATGATGCCGTTTGAACGAATTAGAACATGCTCTTGGGGAACATTGATCTCTGGAAATCTCATTTGGCCGCTGCGCTTTCTCTTCTCGGAACAGCTGAAATCCTCGAGTCGGGGTCTTTGAGGCCAGATCTCGGCGTTGCTTCTGTATATTGAGCTGACATGAGGGCTTGGGGGGAATGGCTGGGCGACGCTTATGTCAATGTCTTCGACATCTTGGACTCTCCATGCTCCTGACCCTTCAGATCGGCCGTGGTCAGCCATAGCAGGATCCAAAGGTATCTCGGAGATCGTTATGTATTATTAGGCGACTCGTAATCGTATTTATCGTAAGTTGGGTATCGTGAATCGAGTAAAGAAGTTTAGAATAGGCGTTTTGCGACAAGGTGGGTATTCGAAGCAGAGCAGAGCTGTCGCTGTGAAGAGGAAAGGAAAACAACAAATGTTTCGGCTGAAAGATCTCTCAGAGACAATAAGAGTTCGGAAATTTCGAAATGAAGCTCGATTAGGGTGGGATAAGTTTCAAGACTGCGTAAACACCAGTCAGCAAACATTAGCTCAATGGGAATCACGGCACTGCTTACTGGATGACTCTGGGGATTAAAGTATTTTACAAGGCGGCTCTTATAGCTGTGAGCCTTGAGGAGGGTTAAACCCCAAAGGCTCCTTTTTTCCCGTTGTTTGACAATGAAGGAAGGATGGTGTCGAGCGAGAATATGTGAAAGTAGATGACCTCAGAGCCCGTTAGTTGGGCAGTTCCGCCCTGACATGAACTAGACCGTGATCATGACCAAAGCACCCAAAGTAAGGTAGACCCACAGCTGTCAAGGCTGGGACCGGAGCTAGCTAGTCTGCATGTGGGTGGCTAAGCCTTGTGGATATCTGGCCGGATTCTGTTAGTTTCGGCACCCGAATTTAGGAACATCTTCACTTGCCGAATTTTTGCATTCACCAACTCAATACGAGCAGTCGAGTTGTGGTAGTGATGGTTATACATTAAAAATTAGCCTGGGTGATTAAATTATGGTGTATGAAATGCTTTTGGACCTGGGATGTAGAAGCATCGCCGAACGAACGCTGTGCTCATTCTGAAGTGAACAAAAGTGAAAATACAAAAAAAAGCATCACTAGCCTGACTATCTTGTTACATGTAGTTAGTTTTGATCTAACAAGATGAGACTCGTAGAAACGTGGCTCATTACAACGGGAAAACCCCATGCTGGGATAAAATATATACTGTGGGTGAAGGACAGAATATCGGGAAAAAAAGAAAGAAAAAAAGGAGAAAAGCTGGAGGATTAATATCCGAACATGAATCTCTCTACGTCGGCTACTTGAAGTCCGACCCGTTTTCGGAGACCTCGAGGTCCTTTCCTGCGGCGGTCGATGACGAAAAAGCCTTTGGTAAAAGAGCATATCCAGAATCTTGGGAAGTTCCTCCGTTCGTAGAATTTCCGGTTAGTAATAAAGTGGGTAGCCGATTTAAGCAGTCGTCTGCTCCTAGTTGGGATTGCGGCAAAGGATTGTTGGCTCCAGCGAGAGCCTCAGGAGTAACAAGATGCATCACAGGTCGATCGCCCTCCAGACTCAACCTTCCTGTGGTCGTCGTGGCAATTGGAGTGTCTCCATTTCGGAGAGCAACGTAGGAAGGGATAGGGTTCTCGACATGCTCAATATGGCGTGCTGTAATATCCGACTCCGATGATGAGAAAGAATATGCCCTTCTTGGAGTGTGAATGGTTGGAAGAGGACTGGCAAATGGTGTGCTAGACTGCTCTGGAATGGAAGTCTCGATTTGGACTGAAGATGATCTATGTCGAAGACGAAGCGTCAATCTTTCTCTGACGCGCATAGCTCGAAGGTTGATTCGCTCCATATCTGGGTGACAGGAAGGTGCGTCCCGGTTGGAAGAAATTCCGATTTGTTCACCCGCGCTCTCGTCCTGTTGTGAGGAAAAAACCGAATCATGACGGCCATTGAAAGTAGGCAGGATGCGCTCACCAAGACCACAGGAAAAGTAGTCTGGCATGTCGTTTTGAGGAGGAGAAGGGCTTGGAATTAGGCTTCTCTGCGATATTGACAAGTTGAAGTAGGCGTGGTCAAACAGGTGTTGGTTGCGGCGTCTGAAACGAGGTCGATTTGGTCGTGGGAGTGCAGATATATTGACAATCTCAACAGGCAGCTCCCTTATAGAGTCAAAATATAGAAAAGGCATGCTGGCTGTGGTGTGCTTGAAGTGAGCCGCGGTTGGAAAGTCAAGATCGTGCTCGGTGACTTCTGCCACTTTTTCGCACCAATTTATCAGCACACGAAAGATATGTAGTACAATTGCATGAGGTACCTTTAGTGTTTATCTTTTCGGCGTTCCTATTATACCAGGGCACCAAGTCCAGGGTCGTAAGGAACTATCCTTAATAAAAAAAGTATCGAGTGAATCACAGTCAACGAGCGTGCTGAAACGAGTGAAGCAGGGATGAGAAAGACGTGGATGCGGGGGAACTGCAAAATATGCCACAACGCTGGGTATCATGTATCCACCAAAAAGAAATCCAGCACTAAACGCCAAACTCCTAGCCCATCTGCCATCAACTTCCCTTACCCACACTAAAATGGACTAAGTTTCCTCGATTGACACCATCATCCATCAATCATACTGCCTTCCAGTCGCCCACGCTCCAAAGTCTGTCTGATGTGCGCATCCTCCAATTTGCGTGCATTCTGTCGACTCTCTTCTAGTCGCTCGACGCCTTTCTGGATATTCTCGATATGGACTGATAAGGGAATGTCGAGTCTATCACGTAATAGTTCAGGTGACCCAACTCTTTCTCGTAAGTCTTCCAGTCCTGCACCCATAGCTTGAAGTCGAATAATCGTTCCAGAAACATGTGCGTAAGCAGTCTTCCTATAAACACCAACCTGGTGAAGCAGGTTCAATTGCTTGTCCATCTTGTTTAGCTTGCCGCGATTACCACCAACCATGGTCCACAATTCAGCTAGAATCTCCTCTTTGATTGCTTTCGTGTGCATATCGTCCCGTGTAGCAATACCATGAATAATATCTAGACGGTCCTCGAGATTTGTAAGTACCATCAGAAGTGCTTGGGCTTCGGTAATCAATTTATTGATTTCCTCTTCTACAATTCGGGTGTGCTGAATGTACTGATCCAACAGTATGCTTTCAGTAAACTTGACAGGTTGAAATGGTGCGAGCACTTTGTCGTTAATGAACGCATTGATCGTTCCCCTTGTGGCGTCACGTTCTTGAATGCCGTCCAGAACTCTGGTAGTCCAGCGAGTTGTCGAAATGACACTATCAACTGCCCGACCCACATGACTGTTGAACTTTTGGAGGTCGTACGAAGCAATGCGGGCGGTCTCAATGAAGCCATCAAACTCGAGAACAAGCTCGTTCCTAGTCGCAATCAGCTTGTTAACTAGAAACACCAAAAAAGGACCTACTACCAAGCTGGTGACTTACCTAGAATGTAAATGACTATATCTAACTAGCTGACGTAAATCTCGAATGGATGCCTCGCCACGCTTCATATCCAGAGGAAGAGATACTCCACCGGCGCTTTCTTCAAGAACTTCTTCGAACTTGGCTTGCACGTTCATCAAGTCGTCGAATTGAGCTGTGGGCGGGTCGCCATTTCTGGTGTCGACTCGATGAATGGGGCAGAAAGGCAGGTTTAAGAAACTTGCGCCAGGAATTCGACACACCGGCGATAAAGACGCATATACTGATGTCGTAATGAGATTGCGCGCAATAACAAGTAGGCCAAACAGAAGCCATACTGCGAGAAAGTATGACAGAGGTCGTTTCAGTACTTTGAAAGCGCCAGCAACGATATCTAATAGCCATGATATCATGACGCCGAAATGTTGTGCAGCAACTTCCAAAACGTCTTGAGCGTCGCTGGATTTCTTGTGGGGTTTCGGAAGAGGTACAGGAGTTGGTGAGTCGCTAGGGATAGCCTTTGTCCTCGATCGTTTTTCTGGACTGCCGTTGCTCATGCGCACATTCCGTCTGCGTCCTTCTCGATCGGCGGATCTAGGGCCCCGTAGGCGTGTGCTTCTGCTGGTCGTATCTGCCCATGAACCATCAATAGATTCGACGTCCAGCGAAGGCATTACCAACTCTGGCTCGGGAGACCGATTTGCCCCTCTTGTTGATCTGCGGGGTGGCGTTGTTGTTTGTGGCACATAGTCCTCGTCTTTGGGAGAATTGCTGAGACTATCGTCATCTCCTTCTACAACCCAAGACTCCCCGAGCTGTAGCTTCTGCTTGCCTGAAGTCATCGCGAATATAGGTATATTCGGTGTCGAGAATTGGGAGAATAGAAGACGCGACTTGCGCGGGGCAAACAGCCGCTCTGTGAAAACAAATATATAGTTTATGTTATAGGAGACGATATTCAAGACGAAGGTAGATACAGGAGGAAGGGAGAAAAAGAAGATGTGCCATCAAGGCAACATATAGGTAGTCGGAAGAGAGTAGGGAATAAATAATATCTTGCCTTGATGATCTTTGAATGACGGAGGTCGTGGCAGACTTGCAGGGATTCGCGACAGGGATGCATCGGCCCGTGACGAACGCAGGAAGCTCTCAATCTTTTTCTCGATCAGCTGCAACTCAACGTGATGCGAGCCGTACGAATATTACAACGTTCGAGAGCATCACATGCTGTCCACCGAGTCCTTCGAATACAAAGAGTCATACAAAATGGCTACTGCACGGCCTGCGATGCTCCAGTACCGGTCGCTGCTCCAGCTCCTGCACCTTCACCAGAGATCACGGAGATAGTGGCTCAGGCTGCGGCAAATAAAGCCAAGAACTCGAAGGATATCTTGCCTCCAGTAGGTCCAGCAGATCACAGACAGTTAGCTATCGAACAAGAACTATTCACCACATCTCCATATAGCCCAGGATCGCCGTTGTTCCTTCCCAATGGCACCAAGCTCTTCAATAAGCTGACGAACTTCCTGCGAGCTCAATACGATCATTATGGATTCCAAGAAGTCATTACACCCACGATATACAAGAAATCCCTATGGGAGAAGTCAGGGCACTGGGAGAACTATGCAGAGGATATGTATGCCGTTACTGGTAGAGGGGCGTCGGGTGAGAAGGAGGGCCGCCAGATAGGAGAGGACGAGGAATATGGATTGAAGCCCATGAATTGTCCTGGACACTGTCTACTTTTCGCATCGCAGAAGAGAAGCTATCGAGACCTTCCAATACGCTTTGCCGATTTCAGTCCTTTACATCGAAATGAGATACATGGGGCTTTGAGTGGTCTGACCAGAGTGCGACGATTTCACCAAGACGATGGGCACATTTTCTGCCGGCCTTCACAAATTCGAGAAGAGATCTCCAAGACCTTAGATTTTGTCAAGACAACCTACCAGACTTTTGGTCTCGGCCCTTATAGGCTCGCACTCTCGACAAGACCAACAGACAATTTCATTGGAACACTCGAGGACTGGAACACTGCAGAACAAGCATTGAGAGATTCTTTGGACGAAAGCGGCCAAGTCTGGACGATTAACGAAGGCGATGGAGCATTTTATGGTCCGAAGATTGACATAATTTTGAAAGATTCTGATGGCAAAGAACATCAGACCGCTACGATCCAGCTTGACTTCCAGCTCCCAGAACGATTTGGTTTAGAATACCAAGCTCCAGCACCTTCGCTAGAACAACGAGGATTGACAACAGAAGATCCTGCCCAACTCGAGGTCGAGGGACCCGTAACCCCCGTACTCATCCATCGAGCAGTTCTGGGATCTGTGGAGAGGATCATGGCTTTATTGATTGAGCATTATAATGGCCGTTGGCCATACTGGCTGAACCCTCGTCAGGTGATCCTCATCACAATCAATGATTCATCGGAAGTGGTGAAATGGGCTGAAAAGGTTAAGAGAACGTTACAGGGCACAGGCGGTAGCCGGAGTTGGGGAGGAGCAGTTCTTGCCGGTGATAAGATATCTGTTGACATTGATTCTACTCCTCGATCCGTGAAGAAGAAAGTTTCAGAAGCAAAACGAAAACGATATGCTGTGGTCGTGGTCGTGGGAAACCAAGACATTGAGCTTGAGCGTGTCGTCGCCGATTTCACTGGCATCCCGGACCCTAAAGGCATGCTTCTGCGGAGTGGGATCCTGAGACAAATATCGGCTCAAAAGAATGGCTCTAGACTACAGATTAATAGCAAGAGCAAAACAGCAGATGGAAAAGATCTTCCACTCCTCGATCCAGCAGAACTAGGAAGGTTTGAGATGAATCCTGGATGGTTGAAGAATTTTCTAGACGGTTTACAGAAGAGCTACTTCTATGATAGCCCATATGAAGGCCAACCTCCTCTGAAGGAATGATATTATATGTATGAATATACCAAGACCTCACATGTAACTTCTTAGAATGTAATAACTTCGTGCATTTGATGACGCTTCCAATTCGCAATTCGTGGTATCAACCATTTTGCCCAGCTGACCGTAACGCCCTCGAATATTCCTCAGCCTCGAATTGTATACAATGCACGGTAAATGTAGCTTCCGCGCATCTCAGCAAGCAGTATGTTTCGTCCACATAGCAATTCATCGCCTCATTCCATCCTCCACTTGACCTCCCAGTTCCTCAATCCTGCCAACCAATCTCCTTCTTTCTGCTAGTTGTAGTCGCATGTAGTCAACTGTTTTCTTCAGAACCACGCTTTCACTTCGTCCTTGACCTTCTAAGCCGGGTACTAATTCGGTGAGCCGGTCAAAGCCTTCGCGGATTGCTTGTCTGCGTTTCTGTTCTGATATTTCTCTTAGCAGACGTTCCATTCTGAAGCACTTGTGCTGTTTAATCAGCGAGTATATAAGATTATAACATACCAGAGGCAATATGATTCGCTTTCTTCTCATGCTCCGAGAGCCTTGGTTTCTCCTCCAAACCATTCGACGAGCCGGCATTGGCAGAACCCTCACGAGTAGGAGAAGTCGACATTCTGGACGATGGCATGAGGTTCACGTATCATCATCTGGTACCTCCTTTTCACCCAAAGGACATTGCACGAGGGGCTAGTTTATTGTCCTCGGTTTCGGTCATGTTGGGCTATCACATGCTCGTGACCTCACGAGGCTTTCAAACCCCCGCCAAGCTAGTCCCGTTTGAGAACCCTTGTCAGCCTTGTCAGTGCCAAGTTCTCAGGCACAGCCGCACATCGTTCGTAGGATTTACAAGCAAAAGTCATTGATCGTCAACATGTCGGAAAAATTGGTACCATTGTTGGGAGAGGATCAGAAGGGAACTCCGCCAACATATGAAGCTGCAGCAGCACAGCATGGAGCTCTGCCAACGAGAAATGGTCCCCCGCCATCCGGTGCCAAGCCTCTGCCTCGCGGCCCATTTCCCCTGGATATTCCAGTTCTCAATCAATTGAAAGGAAAAAGAGTTATTCTTGCATCGGCGAGTCCGCGGAGGAAACAATTATTAGCTACTGTAAGTATATCCATTCCTGCATCCATTCAGCAAACTAATAATTCCAGATTGGCCTCGTAAACCTCGAAATCCTTCCTTCCACTAAACCCGAAAACCTCTCAAAAGCAGACCTTGGCCCATTCGAATACGTCCTCCAAACCGCCGTACAAAAATGTCTCGATGTATATACTGTTGCGTTAGAGAATTCCCTGGCCTCGATACCAGACCCCTCCCTCGTTATTTCGGCCGATACGGTCATCGTTACCAATAGCGGGCATATCCTCGAGAAGCCACGGAGTGAGAAAGATCATATCAGTATGTTGAAGATGTTGAGAGATCAGAAAGTACATAAGTGTTATACGGCTGTTACGGCATTGGCGCCGAGAGAAGATGCGAGGGCTCCGGGGTATAATATTGAGACGGCGGTGGAGGAGACGAGGGTTATATTTGCTGCTGAAGTTAGTGATGAGTTGATTGAGGCTTATGTTAAGACTAGAGAGGGCGTTGATAAAGCTGGAGGATACGGAATTCAAGGGATGGGGAATCTGCTGGTTGAGAGGATTGAGGGGAGCTTTGATAATGTGGTTGGATTGCCGGTGAGAGCAACGTTAGCGTTGATTGAAAAGGTTGTTTTTAATCAGGGCGATGATGCTGGTGATGAGGACGAGGAAGAGGATGAGTAGATCAAGTAGGAAACGAGGTCTCAATATAGCAGGAGCTTCTGGGTTTTAAGAATGGGATCACTGATGCAATTGGCATCCAAAAGCTCTCTGGGCCAAAATTATGCCTGGAACGACATGCCGGTGGCAATACTTTAGGCGAGAGGAGGCCGAATTAAACTTTGATACCGATAGAAATAAGAAATGGAACGGTATACATACAAACAGGCCCAGACTTCAGATTACAGTCTGTGAATCTAGTCTCCAGTCACTTACTTCAGTTTTGCCCATGGATGCAGCTCCAGATGTGACGATATTGTATCTGGTGTTGATTGAAGTGTATTCTTGCTCTTGCTCTGGATCTAGCGCAAGCATGCGTCAATGGAGAAATAATGCGGCTAATGGACAAGTGTCACCGGCTTGTAGACTGGAAAGCATGCTCATCATTCAATGTATGTCGAGTTACTTAATGAGTTTCCGAGAGGAGAATGTCATATATCTTGTCTTAAATCTCAGGCGGTAACTTGCCAAAGAGGCTGAAGATTGTGAGGAAAGCCATGATGATGTGGCGTACCCAATGAATCGAGATCTCATGAGTATTATGAATAACGTATGATTAGAGCTTTGGTTTGCAAATCTGATTTAATGGTGTAAGAATCCAGTTCAAAACTAGCTTAGCTTTGCAGTTATGTTCCCACTTGGTACCGTTTCTGGAGGAGAAGCAGAAGATGACGGAGTCAAAGAGTATGATAACTTTCCCGAACAAAATTCTCAATACTTCTCGGTAGTAGCTACCTGGGTATGCAGAGAGGAAAAGCAGAATCATTTGACAAAGTGCGAACTTATGTGGCTTGATGGCAAGCACCCTCAAAAGATTGAATGTGGTCTCATCGCTAAATATTTTCACCTTGAGCAAAGTCAAGAATTGAGTATCATGATTGAAACTTGACTGAAGAGGTCGGTGTTTTCTCCAAGGTCCGTGACAACCCGGCAAACCAGAGCCAAGCACGTGACCGTCGACGACCTCAATCCATCAGCTCGTCGGTATCGGTTCCTGCTTTGTTCCATCTAGTGGTGAGGATTTCAAGTTGACATGTACCCCAGATATCGTCAATTTGCATATTCCGAGTGGAATAAATGTGTTCGAGTCATGTCAGAGCTCTTGAGTGGTTTGTTTGTTCATTCGGGTGTGAAGTTCGTCCGATAGTTCGTCTGAATGTGAGCATGGCGACTCGAGTATATATATGAGGAGTTTGAGACAGGTCTCTTTCTCCAAGCCACCCATTTCAAAGACATTCCTGTCTTTGCGCTTTGACTGTAGCAACTGCGCTTGTTCCTTTACTTTGCTCGTCGTTCCTATTTTCGGTCTCGATATCAAGCGTGCCACCGTTACTGTGCAGCGTCTTGCCGATTCGTCAATCACATCGGCTCTTGCGTTCACTCTAATTGGTGACTACATCTTCAACATGGCGCCTTTCGACCCAGTGAAGGAGATTCCTGACCTTTCAGGACAAGTGATCCTGATCACTGGTGGTATGTGCCTTGCCAGCCTCAATTGAACATGGAGTGGTGGCGAGCTTATCTTCACGAGTACATGATTAACAACTATTCAGGCACCGCTGGTCTTGGGACTCAAGCCATTCTACTTTTGGCAGCGCATAATCCTGATAAGATATACTTCACTGGTCGCTCTACTACCAAGGCCAATGAAGTGATATCCGATGTCAAGACCAAATTCCCATCCGTCTCAGTTACTTTCATTGAACTTGACCTTGCATCACTATCTTCTGTCCAGGACGGTGCCAAGATATTCCTCGCCGCCAATACTAGGCTCGACAAACTCATCTGCAATGCAGGTGTGGCGGCTTTACCTCCGGGTCTCACCAAAGACGGATATGAGCTCCAATTCGGCACAAATCACATGGGTCATGCTTTGCTTGTCAAATTACTTCTACCAACCTTGACCGAAACCACGAAACTGGCGGGTACTGATGTCCGTGTTGTGTTTCTATCTAGCGAAGGGTATTCTGGACATCCCAGCGGCGGTATAATCTTCAAGGACTTGAAGACGACCCAGAACTTCGCTATCATGGGTCCTTGGCAGAGATATGGTCAATCGAAACTGGCCAACGTTCTCTACCCTGCGGAGCTCGCTCGAAGATACAAAGACTCAGGTATCAAATTCTTGAGCATCCATCCGGGAGTGTTCAACACCAGTCTCATCAAGGATCTCCCTTGGGGCCAAAGAGCATTCCTTCATTCGGCTAATGCAATAATGATGCGCGGAATCAAGGATGAGACGAAGAATGGACAAGGTGCCTGGAATACTTGTTGGGCTGCCACAGCGACAAAAACGTCGAATGGGAAGGATATTGTCAACGGAGAGTACTACTCTCCTGTAGGCGAGCCGGTCAAGAAACTCAGGGAAGGCAATAATGCAAAACTGGCGGGGCAGTTGTACGACTATACGGAGAAAGAACTAGCGAGTTGGAATTAAGCTAGTGGATAGCCCAAGATGGCTTGATGGCGACAGTAGGTCTTTTGATGGAGAGTTGTCTGGTTTTTGTACCTTGTTAGTTGTACTGCATGTCATCTGAGATATTTATTTTGCTGTGCATAATCTGTTCGTAGCGGACAAACTCGGTACCTATTGACTACTTTTCAATTCAATGGATATTATCGACGATCTCTATTGCTTCCACTACCGCAGTCTTATCTCTTCTGTGCTAAGTTCCTATAATTTGCTGATGTCCAGGTTTCAGACGGACTTTTTGTTATCAAAGCTGAGTGTGATGCATGTGTTTAAGCAGGTGCCTGCCATTCTCAGAGGGAGTGAAAGTCTACATCTGCGAGTCCGCTCCCCATGGCGAGGAAGGCTCGCTTTGCGTGACTGCCATTTCCGTCGAGGCGAACCATGCATAAGCGAAGAATCTAACATCCTCTCTCTCCACCCTCGCTGCTCTTCGTTTTCACACAGTCCTTCCCATTCAAATTCAAGATTTAGGATTCTAAGGTTCTAACATATAGATTCTTTCCGAAGGAGCTCGGTTGGGCAATTTGAGTCAATCGTCACCATCCCCCAGTTTCACCCCCTCCTGCTATTTGACATCACACCTCCCGGTTCACCTATCTACATGCCATCTAGCATGTAACTGTATGGAAGTGAGCTCCAGACAACATATCCGCAGAGGTAAGTGCGAAACGCAATACGACACGCGTCGTTTGACAAGCTCACAGTGATTCAATGAGACTAACTCTACGCCAGCACGAAGCTAGGCAATCATTCTACTTCATGTTTCGCCATTCTGTGCATCACAATGGCGCATCCAAGGCCATCAGCTCGCATCTATGAAGGCTTAGACGACCAAACTGACACTCTTGCACTGCGGCTACAGATAGAAGACATCGACAATCTTCTTGCAGCACCTGCAAAGGACGCGACGCGTAATGCAGCTGGCTTGACAGAATGGGAACAGACAATGTTGGTACACAAGGAAGAACTACAACGCAATCTATCCATCATCAGAGACAGACAGTTGTCACACAGTCTAGCCATTGCAGTCCTTCGTATGTGCACCCATTCTCAATGCCTAGCTTCTTTGATATAATATTTGCGAAGCTGACTTCTTGTCCTCAGAAGATGCAAATGCCATTGCAGATCTGGTTGCGGAAGAAAGGCAGGCCGAGAGGGATCGAGCAATGGCTTGTCGGCTTGCTGGCATTTTTGTTCCTCTTAGACTAGCCATTCCCGCTCCGCCGCCGCTACCAATGCCCCAGAGGCCTGCCGAACAATCCGCTCCTATAACAGCCCATCCTGCCTTACCGACTCCTGTTGCGACTCCCCCAGTCACCCGAAGTACAACTGAACAATCAAATAGTCGCAAGCGGGGCAGAGAGGATGAAGATGAAGTTGTTGGCCCGCCTCAGAAGAGGTTGAATACCGGAGAAACCAACTTTTCAGAAGCACAATGTCCAGCCAAGTCAGGGACAATCTCAGCTCTCGACACAACTACACACGTTGATGTCCTGGCTAAGGTCACCGCTTCTGCTTCCGGATCCCCAGAAGAAAACCCAGAACTCAAGCCATGTATCAGCTGCAGTGATGACTTCAACAACGATTTGCTAGCTCACATGCCATGCGGACATGATTACTGCTCTGACTGCCTACAAACAGTCGTCATCAACGCCCTTGTCGATGAAGCTTTGTAGGTCTCACCTATATTTTTCAATTTCCCATCGTTTCTGGTATAAGTAGATTCAAGCCGTTCTAATTCCAATACAGGTACCCACCTCGATGCTGTAGACAGCCCTTCGATATGGATTCTATGCGACCATTCCTACCCCCAGAAATAATCAGTGGTTTCCACCTCAAGAAGACCGAGTATGGCACCAGCAATCGAATCTACTGCTCGAATGCAATCTGCTCGTCTTTTCTTTATCCTGACAACATTGCTGGCGACAAAGCGAAGTGCCCCCTATGTTTCACTTTGACCTGTACAATCTGTAAAGCTCCAGCCCACATTGGAGACTGTCCTCAGGATGGTGCTCTTCAAGAAGTCCTGAGTTCGGCTACCGGAGAAGGCTGGAAGCGCTGCGGAAATTGCAAAGCGATGGTTGAGCTTCGCACGGGTTGCAATCACATCACTTGCCGTTGCAAAGCCGAATGTATGTCCCTAATTTTCCTTCCCCTCTCTTTGTCTCAATGTCCTGGCATTTTCAGGACATTCAACTGACCTAAGTTATCGAAACAGGGTGTTACGTTTGTGGTGCTACATGGAAAAGGTGCCAATGTCCTCAATGGCAAGAGGCTATGTTATTGGAGCGAGCTGCACGTGCAGCTGGAAATGCTGAGGGACAATTACCTCAAGCACCAGCCGTCGTTCCTGCCCAATTGGTTGCCCCCGCTCCAGCTCCTGTCGTTCCTGTTCCGGCTCAAATAGCAACCGCACGCCATCATGTCCTTGCTCGCCACCATGATTGCGATCACGACAACTGGGTGAAGGAATGGGGTGAAAGTTCATGTGATGAATGCAGAAGGGACTAGCAGCAGTATCTTTTCCGCTGCACTAATTGTAGTATTAAAGTTTGCTATAACTGTATAACATATCGGCTTTGAGTTTCTGGTCACCAAAGGACAATTTGCAGAGCTCTTAAAGTATCTAGGATGGCTTGCTTAGCACAAGGCGTATATTCGAAAATATGACTACTTTACGCACTAAAACAGATATTCAAGACTATTTCATTGTTGAACTTTCGAATACCTATATCATACAAAGCAAGGCTCCATGCATCGTACAACCATCGTGTATGCTTACCGATTGAACGCCTAGTTGTACGGTATATATGAAGAAGAAATCCCCCAACCAACCTATCCCATAACCCCCCCAAAACTCCCGCAAACCACCGATAATCATAATCAAGAAGAACAGAGAGAAGAAGAAAAAAAGAACAACTACCACCTAAAAACCTCCCTCTTCTGCACAAACATCCCCTTCTCAACATCCATCTGCAAACACCCCAAATTGGCCCTCCGCTCCAGCAAATCAAACCGCATCGCCGCCTTCCTAACCCTCATCTCTTCCGGGATCGGCAATTCTCCCTCTCCTCCTCCTTCTTCCTCCTCTTGCTGTGCCCCCGGACTCGCACTCTTACTACTAAAGCGCCTCGCGCCCTCCTCCTCGAGCCCGATGACCCATCGTCCGAGCGCGACAGTGGCGACGGAGTCCCAGACGCCTTCGCGGCGCGGGTGGTCTTCCATTAGCGCTAGGGCGCGGCGGCGGAGGGTCCTGTTGCGGCATTTGACGACGACGAGGTAGAGGGGTGGGACGATGCCGATGTCGAAGGCGAAGTGGATTAGGGGGTCGTGTTTTGCTGGGCTTGTTGTGGTTGTGGGGGGAGGAGGTGATTGAGGGGTAGGGCTTGAGTTTGAGTTTGGAGGAGGAGGGGAAGAGGTCGGGGTAGGCGAGCATTGGAGGTGGAGGAGAGTAGTGGTGAGGTCGACTATTTGGCGGAACTCGGGCAGGAATTGGTCGTAGGCGGATTCATTGATGAAGAAGGCGGAGTGGAGGGAGATTTGAGAGGCGATGCTGGATATTGAGAGGGTGAGGGCTGAGATGGCGTCTTGGCCGCCGGTGCAGAGCGAGAGGGTTAATAGGGGAGCGAAGGCCGAAGTCCAGGTTTTTAGCTCGGTGGATAGGGAGGCTTGTTCTGTGATTAGGGGCTGGGAGGAGAGAGTGCTGGATGTAGTTGCTAATGGGATCTTGCCGTCGCACCAAGGCATGGGCGAGATGACTTCGTTCCAGGCTGTGGCTTGGCCGCGGCGGGATGCGGGGGGAGGTGTCTTGGGTCTCTCGAGGGAGCCGCCTGAGGTTCGGGGGACGTGGACTGAGCTTGTGAAGTGCATGAGGCGGCGCGTGATGAGGTCTAGGTAGATGCGAGCTTGTTCCATGCTGGAGAATTGGGTAGGCATGGCTTGGATCGTTTCTCGTCCTTCTTGCTTGAGCATTGAATGTACTTCGACTGGTCGAGGATCAAAGACGCTCATGCTTTGGATCTCCATCCTGCCGAAGGATTGGACGAGGAAGTCTTCGATGACTTCTGGTGCTGGTGAAGAGAAGCCTTGTGGGTGGTGTTGTAGACTCCGATTTTGCTTCGCTACCCAATCCTGGATCAACGCAAGACCGCTTTGAAGCTGGCCTGCTGCCGATTCGTGGTTCCCGTGAATAGCCTCGAAACAAATGATAATGATACAGATGATGAGCGTAGTCCTCATACTCTGATTCCCACTCGAGATATCGTTCCGCATCCTCTTGATAGCTTTATCGTACTGTTCCAAAGCATGCCTATGATGCATATACGACTCACTCGCCAAATCCTCACTCTGGCCCAGTCCCTGACGAGTCCTCGACTCCCTCGTCGTGCCAGGAGCAGGCAAACGTTCAATCTCCAAAAGCAACGTCTGTCCGTCCACAGCACATTTCCCCGCATGCGCCATCTCGTACGTCTTCCCCAACGCCCCAATCGCCACAGCCGCATGCCGGATTGAAGCCTCATGCATACACGCCTGCAGAATCATGCGACTCCACGACTCCGGGTTGAAATACGGACAGATCTCCGCCGCGATACGGTCAGAGAATAGTCTGAAGTAGTGTAACTCGAGTTCGGACTCGAAGAGCGTGGACGCGGGTTGCAGCATCATGGGGCCATGGTTCTTCGGGACCAGCGCCCGGGCTTGCTGCGCGAAAGAGCCGTACGAGGAACTCGGTGGGCGGCGACGACCAGGCAGGTAGCCGCCGCACTCAGTGCCGTACTTGAGACAGCGGATGCACTGCGGTCTGGTCTCGTCGCATTTTACTCTTCGTGCCCTGCACGTGATGCATCTACGTTGGGTCAATATAACGAATCTTGCTCTCGCCACCTCTTATCATGGGAGAAAGGGAGCTTCTTCTCTTACCCCGACTTGACTTTTCTATGAATGACCCGGCCCTGCGACGCCTCCTTGGCGGTCATGGCTCCCCCTCGACCCGGTGCTCGTTCGTTTTAAGGTTCAGACAAGTAGTTCGTAGCTTAGAGACCGAGCGAGCATACGAGGTTGTCGCGTCTAGACATAACATAGAGACTCGCTCTGTCTTTACGGCCGTAACCTTGTCTATGAGCTATAGCCGCTAGAGGGTGGTTTCGCTATACGCTTTGGTCGGAATTTATATAGTGGGATTGAGATCGAGAATTGATCTTCCTCTTTTGCGGTCAAAAGGTTTGATTCGATGCGGCGCTGGCGGACCAATGAGCGCATGCGATCGGGGAGGTGTGCGGCTGAGAGTTTTAGATCTCTACAGCCGATTGCATAACTCGTGACACTACGGCAAAATCAAAAAAGTGAACTTTTTTTGGAACATTTAAATTTTTAGAGTGACTACTCCCTTATTGCGCAACTATAGTGCTTTAAATTAAAAATTTAAATTAGTAACTTTGTAGAGGGTCCTTGAATTAGTGAATGTATTACTTATTTAAAAGAGTGCAGAGGGTGTGGTGAGAATGAGAGCTTATAAGGCTGCCACGCTCAAAATTCAAGGGTTGGAGGGGAAGTGTTGCTGCCTAAGGCTATAGAAAAAGTGGTAAAATGCTTTGGCAGCTTTATAAGCTTTTATTTTCACTACATTTTTTGCACTCTTTGAAATATGTGATGTATTCACTAATTTAAGGGCTCTCTACAAAGTTATTAATTTGGATTTTTACTTTAAGGCGCTGTAGTTGCGCAATGAGAGGGTAGCATTCTTAGATTTTCATAATTCAAAAAAAAAAAAGTTCGGTTGATTTTGCCGTGGTGTCACGAGTTATGCAATCGGCTGTATTTTAAAGTGTTTTTGGCCTCAAGAGAAGATTGAAGCTTGGGAAGCAGAACTTTTTCCAACGGGTTTATGTGAATCTGGTATAGACACAGTCTATAACCTCATCACATTGTCGCTTAATGCACATTATGCATGGAAAAAAGGAGCGTTTGCACTTAAACCAATTTCTTTGTCGGAAGATAAGACCACTTTGAAAGTGCAGTTCTTCTGGCAGAAACAACAAGAAACTCAAACGGCGATAAGTCTTCTAACTACGCCATTTTCGAATGAAGGACTTATTCAGAATACGGACGTCGAATTCGCCCCTGTAACGCTCATCAAGGAAAATGACGGAGATAAGAACTGTTTTAAAATTAAATCCGGGGAATATTTCACGCTTCAAACTAATGACCTGACAACAAAACCGTTGCCCAGCTTCACGCTTCTCGAGCTACAATGGTTTCTCCAGCGTATTCAGGGTATGGCTGGTGCTGCCGATATTGAATGGCCATCTTTATCAGAAGCAGGCTGGGATATATTAGACATGGAGTTTCCACGTTTTGACTTTGATGCAAGGGAGGATTCGTCTTGCTTTTCCCCTTAATCGCCACTTTTTCTAACTCTCGCTTAACCCCACAGCCTCTCGTGCAGGAAGAACTCGGCTTTGGAGGTACGAAGGAACAACAAGAATTTTGACCAGCTCTCCATCTGCGAAATTCCTAGCCTGAAATATCTGATACTTTTGTTGCTTGTCAACAGAATTCAATGAAAGTGCTTTATTGCTCCTTGACTGTTGTGACATAATAGCGTATTACTTGCTATGGACTTCGAGGCCACTCGCAGAGACTCGCTTCCATGTCCCACTATGGACAGAATACTAGAGCTTTCATACTACTTAGATTGCACTTTGTTGTGAGAACAACTTATGCCTCCGAAAAGCATTGACGAAGCAACTCTGTACACAAGACAGGACAGTCCATCTCTAGCTGATCGAGCTGAAGCCTTGTAGCACTTGCCTATTTCAACACGAGGGCTGGCACTTCACCCTAGGCTTAGCCTCTGATATCAAGCGCACTTTCCTTGTAGATCAAAATAAGTTTTCACCAACTTCCTCTCTTCCAACACTTTTGAAATCACATATCTCTATCCTCATCCTTAGGTAATCAAACTCAAGCAACAACATATCTGACACATCTTATCTCAAGTCAAAAGTCAAGAAATGCTATAGCAACACACAGTACTGCATTTGATTGACTGAGGCTGCGCGGAACTTGCCTATTTCAATGCCAAGTTGACACTTTCACCAAAGCCAGGCTCTGATCTCAAGGGTACTTCCCTCATAACTCACCACACTAATTCTTCCAAACGTCTTTTTTTTTCTCGAAGATTTTAAGATCACCTTCCGCTATCCTCATATTTAGCAAAGCGAATACAAGCAACAAGATATTCTGCACATCTCTATCTCAAGTCATAAGTCAAACAAAAATATATCAAGATATCAATATCGCAGCCTCGAACATACACATCCAACAAACAGCATGGCAATCACCCCTCTGGTCCCCGGCTTATCTGCCAGTATCCTCATCAACGGTGTTCCTGCCCCCGAGCTCACTGATCCCGAACCCCAAATCCCCTCACCTACGCACCCGAACCCCAAAGTATCCGCTTATCAACAGGCTCATACGGTCACTTCTTACATAAAATGCACGGCCAACACGCGCTTCTCCATTCTTCTCACCGTCGAGGAACCTATCCGCACGGAGTTCGCAGGTATTCGACGAATGAAATGGGCTAAGCTAGGGTTTGAGATCACAATTGATGGGAACAAAGTGCCGACAGAGAAATGCACCCGGCCGTGGTTTAACAAGAATCCGCAAAAGGAGACTTGGAAGTGCATTGTTAAGGGCGTGAAAGTTGGAAAGGGAAAGTCATGTTTCATCCGGGAATTCGAATTCTTGAAGGTCGAGACGAGTGAGTTCTTTCTTCCTGAGAAAAAAGATGAGATTGGTAACAGAAGCGTAGATAGCGAAAGGATTGAGAAGGCCGAGATTGAGCGTATGCGCCAATGCATGCAAGACATCGGAATAATCGAAATCAAAGCTTATGCAGAGAACTATGGCAAGAAGGGTGGCGATATGGAGGATACGACCGAGGATTTCCTTGACGAGGACCAAGAGGAGATCCACGAGAAAGCATTGAAAGGTGAGGCGAAAGATCACGGCACTGGGTAAGTCAGCTTTGATGAAAGGGCTCATGTGCTAATGTGCATTCATAGATTGAGGCGGGCGAGGAAAGTTGCTAGAGGCGAGTTCTGGCGAACCGAGAAGATAGATGGAGAGGACTACCCGCTTGCTATCTTTAAATTCATCTACCGTAGCGAAGGTTTGTCTCCACGCTGTGTAGAAATGGCTGGATGCTGACACATGAACACAGAGGCACTTAAGCAAATGCTCATCATCCCACGGACCCCTTCACCATCTCCAAGCCCAGAATCCGACGAAGAGGGCGAGGAGCAGGAGGATGAGGAGGTGGACGAACTCACTCCAGCTCAGAAGCGCGTAATCCAAAGCTTACGCAAGGAGATGCTGAAGGGAAACCGTACACGCAACGTTGCAAGCAGCAGTCGAAGTACACCAGGAAGAGGAACACTAGGAGGGAACAGGGTTTCGAAAGTCAAGAAGGAGCAAACGAGTGACAAGCTCAATCCTCCGAGGAAGTCACAACAATCGACTCGGAGACGCAAAGAGAGAGGTGGTAAGGCAGTGGTTATTGATCTGGTGACGGACAGTGAGAATGAGGATGACGAGTCACTATTCGCGCAACAATAGAAGATCAGTGGTCGGAAGTGATTGCGATGAGAAGTGGATGAGATGCAGCAACGGAATGGGGGACGACGGAACAAATACGGATGATGATCCATTGATGAAGAATTTGTTTATAGTTCGGCAACTCTGCCAAGGTTTACATAGAATTCTGCTTGATGGATATGGAAGGGACTGATAGTTGAGCGTTATCTGAGGAATGGGGGCCAACAGCACAAAATAGCAATGGATTTTCATCATAGTAACTCGACGTGTCCATAGTTGGGACAGAAATGATAAGACTTCGCGTTTTCGTACTATACCTACACTCAAGAATGTTGCAGACGCTTAATAGACCCCATTATCCCTCTAGACACCCCATCATCCCGCCGCATACTCCTCAAAATGCCTTCCCCAATCTCATCACACCGCATCAGCTTTTCGTCACCATCCTCATCCGACCCTTTCCCTCCACGATATATAGTCCAGGCGCAAGTATTTGACTAGTTGATGCCCCCAAAAGTTTACTTGTCCTTCTTAGGAGTACCATCAGCAGCCGTGAACTTATCACCCAAGCTGTTATACTCTCGGCTCAAGCCCTCGGACTGCTTCTTTAAGGTCTCCAAATCACGATCCTTCTGGGCCAATTCCTTTCTCAGCTTGCCGATCTCACCAGCGTTTCCGGCGTTGGCCAACTTCTCGGACTCCTTGCCTGTTGCCTTTGGGTCGCCTTCGTACTTCTTGACCTTCTCTTCGAGGCGGAGGACATCGAGGATCATGGTATATGTTCGGTTGAGGATTAGGGAGAGGAAGAGAGTGAAGCCGCACAGGTACATGTTTCGCTGGGAGTAGAATTTGCGGGCTTGAACCTCCATGCGTTCGTGGCCGAGGACAGCAGCACTATTGTATGGTCAGCGAGGCTCTGTGGTGAGGCGGTGGGGTATGGTATACCCTTGTTGTTTGTTCGACTCAGCGAGCTCAAGTTGGACTCTGTAGACGCGGTTGACGCTGTCGATGAAGAGGATCAGGATGAAGATAAAGGTAATCTTCATCCCGTATTGGAGTTTCGCAACAAGCGGACTCTCGGAGCTAGGTTGCGGTGAGCAGAGGTATGGAGAATTCTGGTAGGTGTGCGTACATGAATGTAAACATCTTTCTGCGGATAGTGAAAGGGAGAGGGATGATGAGGAGCATGAATAGCGTCATCTCTGCCACGAGCAGGAGGAAGACCTGTTGCGGGTGTCAGTGGAGTCCAAGCACAGCAGCGCAACTTGACAGCTCATGCTGCGACATTGCTAGATATGCGATCAACTTACGAGACTGTAATAGAGCGTCATTTTGATCGTTGAATTGGGTTTGTATGTTTGAGGAAGTGATCGTATGCAATCGTGTCCTATTCTCGAAGCATCAGTTTGCTGTTGATCAGGCTCCGGCTTTTCTGCACACGAGCTTATGAATTTGCAAATCGGTGCAGAGAGTGCGAAGCTTTAAGCAGAACTAATGAAGTGGTACTCACAAGGGACAATGTATCTGCCAAACTTCTTCGAAATGTTTGTCGGACAATACAAGTGTTTGTTGGAAGTGTGTGCAGCGAGGTCGATCAAGGTGGTGTGGCTTTTCGAGCTCCGGAGCTTCAACGTCATCAGGAACTAGGAACTTCCAAGGTTAAATGGCGCTAAAATATGTGCGCAGGGGTCACTTCACGTGAGTGGCTGAGAACATCTATCACGTGAATATATGAAAACTATGCAGAGATTTCACAATGATACTTTCTGCCTCTCGATAGTTTGGACCTTCTAACTTCTCGAAGCCTTCTACGACTCTTAGGTTGGCTTGGAAAACCTTATGTCAGTATCACATATTGCACAAGATTCCCCTGGATATTCTCCGGTAAGCGAGCTTCAGGAAAGAAGTTGAGGCTAAGTTGGATATGCTTAGAGTTGTAGGAGCCTACCAATGTAGGTCTTTCATGTTAACTCTAGTGTAGCGAATAGACTGGGTGAATATGTAGCATGACTGAGTCTAAAGTCAGGAAAAGAGTAATAAGCGAAGTGCGAGAAGCGAAGAGCGAAGAGCAAGGGTTCTAGACGGATTCACTAGAACGTTGGCGTGCATCTCGGACACGGGATGGCATTCGCATAGTACATCGGAGTAAAGTCAAAAGGTTCGAATGATATATACGATTGCATTGCTCACGCTATCTATAAAATAAGGGGATATCACTTGAAAACTCTAACGCCGTCCATGCACAGCCAACCGAAGTCCCTTTCATAGTGTGTTGAAATTCGACGGCATCGTGCCGCCGATCGATTCTCCTAGCATTGGTAAATCTTGAGCCATGACTGGAAAATTGGTCATGTACCAAGGGTCAAGCAATGTATCCCAGTCAACGTCGACGTTCTCGAACTCAGCCATATTGTCGCCAGCGTCGGCAGCTTCGAGCAATGCCACCTCATGCCTCTTCTTCTTCATAGAATCTCGGAGAAGAACTTGGGCTGTGTTCAGAGCTTCTGTGGCCACGTGAGTTCCTAGCTGTCGTGTGATGTTTTCCAATGTCGCAATGGCACTAGAAACATTGGACAGACTCTCCGCAGTATCGATTGCCAGGAGGCAACAGACGTATTGAAATGTTGTACAAAGAACATTCCACCAGTATGTTTTTTCCTGCGCGAGTGCATATGCTGCTTCTATGGCTCTATTCCCAATGGCAATGATCTGAAGCACATCTTCCTTGTCGAGGGGAAGCTTGAGAAGTCGATGATGTCGGTACAAAGACATGCACAGATCTGCTTTTGACATTGAGACGAATAGCTGCTCGTCAGGAATTTGTTGCAATTTCGGCAAAGTCTTCTTAAGATCGGGTCCGTTGGAGGAGTCGGAATCCCTCGGCACCAGTTGAGAAATTGCAATCAGGTGCGCTGTGGCATCGCCAGGTACAGCTTGTGGTAATTTGCAAGTAATGCTGTTGAGCACGATGCATGACCGTGCGTATTCGTAGGAAATCATGACGTTCACGTGCCATGCCATCCAGAAGATCTTCCGAGCTTGTTCACAACCTTGCTGGTTCTTGAGTATCGTTCCTGGCGTACCAGCATTAGTCAACACGACGGCATCGATCTCATGGTGTAAACCACATGCTTCTGCTACATGCAAAGTAGTACAGCTGGCAAGCCAGGCTCGGTGCGGTTTGGTGATGGTCCTGAGATATGTCGTTCGCAAGATCCATGCACAGACATGGTCGATGTTTGGAGTCAAAGATGAATCCTCAAGTACATGTTTGGCGTATCTTGCTATTTCGGCTTCTCGTGAATGTCCCAAGTCTGCTGAGAAGAATGAACCTAGCACGACTACACCAGCAATAACGGCATCGAATGCTAAAGATTTAGTTGGTGCATTCCACCACTGCAAAACGTCCTTTAGGAATTCTTTCTTATCGATGATGCCGAAAACGGGAAGGCATGTTTCGAAATAGACTTCAGAGAAAGTTTTGAAGTCTTCCCGAGATATCAGATCTCGGAGGTTACCATGTGCCTCTGGTTCCTCTTCAGGACGAATGCCACAATTCCAGGCAAAAGAATGAAGTCGAGGTGGATTTGCTGACTGAAAGTCGAGACCTAGGGCTCTAGGAAATGCCATCAAAGAGTGAAGTCCCATGTATCTGATCTTGACGGGATCCAAAATCCCTCGATCGCTGGGAGACATCTGAGACTCTACATCTTCACTCTCCGATTGCTTGCCAGGAGAGATGACGGGCACTCGTCGATCCGTCACGGGACTGCTTGCCTGGCCAGGTTTCTCAGCGAATGGTGCTGAGGGACCGTCATCTTCTGAGATAAAGTTAGCATGCTGGTTCAAAAGCTATCGTGGAAGAGGTCAATTTTCTTACGAGGATATTGACATTGATAGCCATATGTTGTGCACATCGAGCAGGGAAATTGGACATCGCATTTACGTTTTCGCTGCCGACATGGAAGGCATGCCTTTCTGGCTCTTTGCCGTTTTCGTGGAGGAGGTTGTGGATCAGTGGGAAAGGAGGATGCAGACATGATAGTAGGATATTGTGAAGGAATTTTGCGTTCTAGAGGACATTTTCTTAGGATGGATGATGCGTCTCTATGTTTATATGCCAGTTGGAGCACCGAATAGGCAAGAGCCAAAGATGTTGTTGGTCTGGAATTAAGGAGGTCGGCAACGACAATGCTTATGACAGGGGCTCGAGACTAGTGATGCGCCACTTGAACCTAGAACTTGAAAAATTAGCTAAGCCATAAGGCTGCTTGATAAGTGTTAGAATACATGCGGGCGACGTAATGTTTTCGACTGCAGCTTTTATTTTGCATCTCAATTAATAAGCTGTCCCTGCAGATCATAAGCGAGCGAGTGATATGAGTGGCTGTGCTCACAGCTAAGTCCCATCTTTCCGCAGGGTTTTGCAGAGACTGAATCATTTCTGACTACTCTGCGGGTATTGCGGGGCGAGCGTAACGAGTTTTTCGTGGTTATCCTTCTGGAAGCAGCTGTCCATTTCTTGCAACTTCTCATCATCGGCTCCCTCCTTTTTTTCTAGCTTGCTGTTTGAGGGATGTCCAATGCCAACTTTGCTCTTTTCGAAGAAATTGTCAATCACCGACTTTTTGCTCCAGATTCTCAGCGACAGCTGACACATCTCAACATTACCAGATCATTGGCAAGCGCTCTCTCAGTAACGAGGATCGAGATGGTGTGAACGAGAATATCTGGATCAGAAAGAAGAAGTCATGGCATGAAGGCAGCCTAGGACTTTGCTGTGCATTTGGGAAGATCGACATCGAGTGATGGTAGAAGTTATCGGACGGGCCGGACGGACCGCTCTCGCGAATCATTCATTGGATGTTTTGAAACGAAAGTAGGAATTGATGAACATTCCAGATTTGATAAAATTCGCTCAGCATTTGCAAAGTGTCTTCTAGAATTCGACTCAAAGTGGAATGCGACAATATCAGCAAGGGCTGGAAATTGTTGAGTTGACTTGCCCGTTGAACCACAACCTGGCAAGTCGGTAGTCTTGTCAAATACTTTAATAATCATTCCGCAGTTGCCACTCTATTGTCTTGTTATTACGGAAGCTGTTCTGAAGGTTTGAGAATAAGAAGAGGTTTGAAGAAGAAAAGTGACTATTCACGAAAGTCGCAATTCTTTGGGCCAGCCATCGAGAATTTCCAGCATTTTCGACATAATGTTGTGACAAGAAATGCTTCCGAATGTCAGAAGCGGTCCACACATTATCATCACGAGCGTTTGATTAGTACTTGGATTTGTGGACGAGAATTTGCAAAAAGATACGGAGTAGATGGGATTGTGAGGTTTATGAAGAGGTCGATGCCTCGACATTCCTCGCGGGCCCCTGCTGCATGGGCACAAGATTAGTACATCGAAATGTATGCAAGATCGTCTGTCGCGCCATATCACCCTGGATAATGATGGTGCGTGTATAATTGCATAGGGAAGGTTTCGATCTGCTGAGAGATGTCCCTGGAAAGACAAACTCAAAGCTATGGCGCCTGACGAGGAAGACTGGGATATGGGAAGAACTATGAAAGAATTGTAAGATGGAGTGGAAGTCATTCGTATGAATTTAAGGAGGTAGAAAGAGGACGAACTGGGGTAGATAATTCGTCGTCGATATAGCACGTGATATCACTTTACGAAACGTGGAGAGCGCTTTGATGAAAGAAAATCCTTCTATTCTGGTAAAGCAAATGACGCTCATCATATCTAGCCTTTGATAGACTGCTCACACTAAATACCACTTCTATCCGAAATCCTGGTCTACCTCTCATACGTGCACCTATCATGAAAGTACACTCTTTGGTCCGTGCTTGCATCAAGCCCAACACTATTCATCCCTTCGTGAAGCGCATACTACTAAGCCTCCAAGTCCAACTCGTGGGTCAGTACTTCTTGCACATGCACCTTGTTGCTTTATTTCTTGCTAGAGCAGGAAGAGCAGTTGCTCCTGAGCGATCCAAGACACCAGCCTCCTCAACGTGATTACCGTCTATCAGCGTGTGGAGTCCGCCCGTCTTCTCAATCGCTTAGATTTCTACTACTTCAGCTTTTCTTCCATCTACAGTAGCAGCGATCTCGTGTTTTGGATTCTTCTTCGGGTCGTCGTCATTATCTCCATCCTGACCAGGATTCGCCATCTCATATTCAAGGGCTTTGATCAAGCGATAGAACCCGAAAGCTAGAATTGAACCCATGCCTGGCCCAACCCAGTATATCCACTGCGTACTCAAGAGACCACCAACAGCACCTGGCCCGAAACTGCGCGCTGGATTCAAGGAGCCGCCGATATAATACACGGCAACAAGCCGGCTGATGAAGAGCGAGAGTCAGATGCCGACTAGGGCCATGAAAGCTGCACGATGTTTCTCCTTGGCGAGCATGATGATCGTGAACACAAGCGTGGCGGTACATATTGCTTCGATCCAGATGCCCTGAGCTGTTGATGTGCCTTCACTGAAAGTCGTCCCGAAAGCAAGTGGACATGGGAACAAGGCCCCACTAATAACATTTCGTGCCTGCGAAGGTTTCATATCTATTTCAGCTCTATAATTCTACGATCTATCATGCGCCTCCAGCCTCATCCTGCTTTTTGTTTCGACTTCTATCACTCAACTGAGTCAAAGCATACAAGAATGATATACATAAGCCCAAAGACGCCAACCCAATCTCCATATACCACGCACCTCGATATCCTCTCAGTAAGTCCATACCTCCATGGTTCACCTGGCTCTCTACTGTTCCAGCAAAACCAAGTCCGATACTGACTGAATAATTGATGACAGTGTTGACCAAACTCGCAGCGACACCCTGGTGATCGTGATGCATGTGGTTACTCAACAGGATATTCGAAGCTGGAAAGCTCATATCCATACCCCACGGCATAATAACGATACTGACGAAAGTCTGGGCCCAATATGTCTGTCCCACAGGTGCAGTGGCGATTAAGACGCCTCCAATGGTAAAGGCGAGCATGGAGGCCATCATCACGACGCTCGGCCCTAGTTTGTGCAGTACAGCTCCTGTCGTGAGGGCAGCTGCCAACCCAGAGACGGCACATGGTGCAAACTGCGCACTGGTGAGAAGCGGACTCTGTCCGCGGAGCTCTTCTACGAATTGCCAAAGATAGAACACCCAGATTCCGAAACTCGACCATCCGGCTGCTATACAGCCTAGTACGAACGCGGTATCCTTCGTCAAGGCATCCATTGGTACCAAAGGATATTTGGCCCTCGATTCTATGAATCCGAAGACACCGATGAAGACGAAGCCGATAATGAGCATGATATAGACATAAGGCGTCGACCATCCGGCATTCGGTCCTTGGTTCCATGCAAGGTTGATGAGCACCAACGCCACGACACCACTGATAGCACCGAACCCGTCGATCCGGGCAAACATACTCGTCCCGTCATTCTCATGTATCGGACTCGGCGTATGAGGGATAGCAAAATATGCCGCCACCGCAAGCGCGACGTTGATCATCCCCATGGTCCAAAAAGCCCACGGCCACCACGCCAGCTGTGCAAAGAGCGAGGAGAAGACTGCTCCGACGAGGAACCCAGAAGGCGCAGTAGCCCCAAAGATACTGAACACCATATCCTTCCTCCTCCCTTGCTTATACGTCCTCCCCATAATCGCAAGTGCATTCGGGAGTAGGAATGCTGGTCCAATCCCTTGCAACGCCCGACAGATATCAAAGAAAATCGGCGAATTCCTCGAGTAAACACTGAACCCCGCTATGAGAGACCATAATCCATACCACAAGAACCCCGCGATGAAGAACCTCTTGTGGCCATACAAATCTCCCAATCTCCCCGCAATCAGGATGAATGTACCGACAGTAAGAGAGTACGCGGCAGGAAACCAGGAAAGTTGGCCCGGGTTCGTAGTCCCGAACGAAGCGCCGATGATGTGCAGAGGAGCGATGGCTTGGCCGAGAGAAGCTTGGGTCATGAGTTGCGCCATGGAGAGCACGCCGACGAAACATATCTCTTTGAAGAGCGATTTTGGGGGTTCGACGCGGCTTTGCGTTGGGTAGAGGGAGGGCGATTCTTCTTTCATGGCGGCTAGTTCGGCGGGGTCGAGGTCCAGATCTGTGTCATTTGGAGAATGGATCTCTGAGTTTGGTGTTGTGCTCATGTCTATTTTTGATATCGTAGTACCAAAACTTACATAGGGACTAGGTACCTAGTTGAAAGAGAAAAAGGGGTCGGTAAGTGGCACGTGAACAAATAAGCGAACACCAAAAGCACTCCTTAACAAAAATTTTTGGATACCGAACACAAAGAACAATAGGAAAGGGAAAAGGGATCTATAAAAGCATCTCAAGAAAAAGGCTCCGCATCTTTCCAAGACCAGAGTGGATACCGGGCCTTATCTTACAAATATCGTATTGCAGTTGTCATTGTGGATATCGAAACTCAGAGGCGTTCGCCGCAGGAACCGCAATTGCCGATCCAGCTCCGCTCGCGTCCCAGCACCCTTCTGTGGTATCGCAGAGACGGATTCTCGGATCTGCTGGGGCAGGATAAGGTGGCATTTGGGGTAGGGTAGTGAAGATACTGGCGTTTTAATCCGCAGTATCCGATTTGTAGCAGATTGAACTCCGCAAGGCGTGATGACAATAGGGGTGTCTCGCTTATCCATCCCATCTGTGGAAGGTTGTCGGTCTGTCGTGAAGATGAGATGGGTCCTGATGCTCAAGAATTGGTAAGGAGTAATGTTTTCTTGATTATTAGTTATTGGTTGAGGTAGAAGTATGCGTACGCCCTTCCTAGGACCCAAGTCGTTCCCACACAGAAATTGTTTGTTTCCAAGAGCGACAATCCGTAATTGTGGTCGGTCTATGCAGCGAGAGGTTGAGCAAACATCTCGGCTCAGTTTAGAAAAGAAGAAATACCCTCCCGAAGCCACTATCCACTCATTCACTCTTGTTTGGACGCCACAATCACTGTCCGGGCTGCCTCTCGTCCCGTTCCGCTCTTGGTAAGATTCCGCTTACGTCTAGACTTTGTCATCGACGTCGTAGCAGCCTCGATGCACAATTAAAGCGTAGATTTATCACTCAAGACTCAGAAGCAGACCAGACTTTCTTGCGTGTCAGTCACTCATCTTTGGACATTCTACCAGATGAATACGAACACCACACAGTGAACAAAAGATTTATATCCGAAGAGAAAAGTCTTGATTACGCCTCGCTATGCTTTGCTTGCTGTGACGAACAGCACATGTGGAATATACAAATACAAGCATTTTCGGAAAGAAACAAAACTCCAAACACGCTGGTATATGCCTTCATCATGAATTCCCATACCCCGGACTCCTTGCTGTGGAAAGCTCTATTGTACCAAGTTCTTTCATACTTTTTTGTCATCTGAATCTTCTCGTTCGAGACCTAGACCTTTCATGCCTGTAATAACTTCCGCGTCTGCGTCTTGCTCTCTACCTTCGTTGGTGGCTCCTGTGACATCCCCAACTGCCGCTTCGTCGTCAGTGTATTCTTCGACTTCGTCCGCTTCGAGCATGCTGCTTGTCATGGGATCTTCTTCTTCCTCAATGGAACCGGACAGTATGCTCTCTTCTAGACCACCATCGCCGTCCTCATCGATCGAATCTCTAGAAATGTAGGAATCGCCGAGTTCATCATTGCCCTCATCATCATCCTCTTCGTCACTACCGTCATCGACAGCATCCTTTTCGTCGCTTTCCGAATCACTAAAGTCGTCGATATCAAGAACAGGCTCTCGCCAGTACTGGAAATCGGTATACTCCTCTCCGCCGCCCTTCACGAGCGTATTGACAGGAGGGAAGTAGTGGTCTACAACTTCACGCATATTGACATAACTGTATCTGAGCTTGTTCAAACTCAAAAGATCCAGTGATACTTCTGCGTAACTGTTGATCGTGAAAATGCGATTACTGGGGATGCTGACAGAGCGATACGATAAAGCATCCGTTAACTTGTTGCCAAATCCGGCGTAGAATGGGGTACGGCTGGGTCCAAAAAGATTCTTGATATCGCGCAAGCAGGCCATTTTAAAGACTTCTGGTTTGCGGATGTAGAGTTCTCTTCTCAGTGCTGCAATCGTCCTATCAGGACTCAGAATCACAGGACCCTTTGGTAGTCGATAGCTTTCTTGAAGAATTCCGTTTAGATATGCTCTTGTCATGTCCGCTTGTCCCACACCGCGGGAAGTCAAATACATGATATTGTACCCATTGTTGACAATATCTGTGTAGAGCTTGGCTACACCAATGTGAGTCCAGTCACGACCGATATAGTTCAAGACGTGACCCAATGCATCGGATTTTGTGATAGTTCCATCAATATCAGATATGACAATAGGGACATCATAGCGCCAAAGATACATGAAAGCTTGACAAGTGGCTCTGTTGACTGTAAAGCTCATTGGATTTGGACCAGGCTTGAGACCTATCGATTTCAGTTGGTCGCTCGTCAATCGTAGCGTCTTTGCATAGTTGCGATTGGGATCCCCTGCACTTTCAGGTGGAGTTTTTGGAGGCGTTTCTAAACCAATCCCAGTACTGGCATCAGAACCAGAGCGACGATGGGTTGTGATCAGCGGCGTTCGAGCATCGCTTTCCGTTTCACTGTGGTATCCAGGATCTGATGCGGCATCATTCAGTCCCACCAAGGCAGCTCGCTGACTTGCTGCCTCCTTCGCTTCCTCAGTGCTATAGATCCAGAGATTGCCATTTTCGTCTGCGCCAATCAATGCTCCAATATCGTAGTTGCCTTCCAGTTCTTCAGAGAGGATCTTCCGAGCGATGACTTCAGCACGTAACGCATCTTCGTCACTACTCTTGTATCCAGTCATGTCCAGCATCAAATCACCCGTATCTGTCACTTGTGAAGGAATATTTGCGACCGAGAGTCTGTTCGATAATGCGACAGCCCGCTCGAGAGCTTCCTTAGTAGGCAGAGGCGGTGGACTATGCGATCTTTCCGTGATCCCATCAGAATGTCCGTCAACAGGAGGTATTGTTGGGGTCATGGACCGTGTCACCCGTTGTCGTTCTGTGCCATCGCTATTATGTGTTCGTGCAGAGGTCGGAAGGAGTTCGTCGGTATGATGTCGCACTGGTGCAATACCTGACCAGTCCCCTGATACAGGTCGCTCTGTTGGAAATTCTGGAGATGCAGATAGAGGAGTCAAAGTGCCTAAGGGATCATCAGCAATGAGGGATATATGGGGAGAGATGAGCATACTCAAGTTACTGGGCCGCCTGGAAACCGAGGTAGATCCTACCCCGGTCCCAGGCCTGCTCATGCTCCCAGATCTTGCCTTTCCATTGCTCGTCTCCAGATCCAGAAAATCTGGTTCGGACAGAGGTGTCACACTCGAGGTCGCAGCTTGTAGAGGCGGACTGGAGGCTGGGGAGACTAAGGGAGAAGTCTGCATAGCCTCAGGAATTGTGTCGCTGGTCTCGAAGACAAAGAAGGCCTCGCCACCTTCTCCCAGCTTCATGGCATAGTCCTGCTTGACATCGTTGACTCGAAATTCCACCTTCTTCTCGAACGGTCGTAGGAGTGAAAACTTTCCGAATCGGATATGAAATGGAGAGCATGCCAGCGATCCATCTTCTTGTTCGATAACTATAACATCGATGGCTCCGCTAAGAGTCGATGGATTTATGCTATTCCATGTTTTAGAAACGCTTCCGCTGATTCCTCGAATGTAATTCATGGCAGTCGGAGGCTTTTGAATAGGAGCTGCTTCTCAAATGTTTGAGGCAGATGGTAGAAGGAATCCTTCAGCCGGGTATTCTCGAGGTCGGATAAGAAAAGGAGAGGTCGAGGAAGAGATGTAGGAGACAATAAGGTTGTTGTTGATCCTGCGGCAAGGGTTGAGAAATGGTGTGGGGTGGGCCGTTTGATGGGAAAACGTAGAATTATGTAAAAAGGTCGTATGAAAGTATTAGCACGCAAAAGGCGGATGTTTATTGATGCATCAGGTGTAGTAACGAAAGTAAGAAGCTGGAAGAGAGTAGAAAAAGGTGAAGAATTGTTTGGTTGAGTGGTTGACTCGTGTTGGGGAGGAAGTTTGCGGATCAGATCACGATGCTGCTCAACTGACGACACTTCACTGTCAGACTGCAGGTTCGGTTCGGCATGATCCATCGGCGGACCAGGGTCAAAGCGCTCCGCTTTTTATTAAGCCGAGGCGTCCATTCATCCTCGAGGGAAACCTTTGTCTCTCTCAAACAAAGAAATATATCTCGGACTAAGCCCTGTTTGTGGACGGGATGTGTGTTTTCTTTTGAACGGCAACAAGGATGCAATAACAGCTCAATGCGAATCAGATTCTATGTACACAATGTGACACTTTGAGCTCGGAGGATTCTCCCGGTACGACCAGGCACATTTCCACTTTCAGGGGTCATATTTATGCTCGTATGTGACGGAAGTTTTACTCACATGTCAGTCAGCTCTATCAGCCTCAATTGTTTCTTCTTAAGTCACAAGCTGATGTGGGATCGGGAATCAATACATTGTTTTGTGGTCTTGCAAAGTGCAGGGACGATATAGCCACACTGTCTTTCCAATTTTTTCTTCAACTTATTTTCCATAGTCGAGATGTCGCATACCAGTTTATGCCATCTTCGTTCTCTTCTTGTTTGGAAGCGTTCTCCGAGCGGATGGATATCCGCCTCGCCCATACATTCCAATCATCTTCTTCTGAAAGTATACATGCATAATGCGCAACTACCGGCGATCCGAAAGTGAGGAGGAGTTTCTCGACTCTTGCGAACTGAATCAAGGATCATGCTAGGACTTGCGTACCAAGATCTGATTGAGATCGGAAGAAGACCAGATGAATGAGATTGAGACTTTCGGAGAATGCTGTTGCCAGCTTGCTCTGCAAGAAATTTATCGCCACAACAACGTTGAGCGTTGATGACAAGGGACATGTTTTCGAGAATCAGTCAAAACTTATGATTTATTCAGTGTTATCCTCCCAGGTTCGTGAATTGTATAAAGGTATCTTCATCTTCATCTCAATTGCCTTTTGTGCAACCAGATCTTGTATTGAATATGGAGTCGTATTTTCTGATACTACCTTTCGAGACTCTGGGTCGATGAACTGCAAAGGTAGAGCCACTGAGAAAAACTACCAGACTCTGGTCTTCAGGCTTGGTAAAGAGACGCCGCGTGACAGTCTACTTCCTTAGGCCTAGAGTTGTAAGTATGTTATGGACTAGCTTTGTTGTAGTAGAACTCCTTCAAAGCACCACGGCTATTGACAATTATGAGAAATGGTAGATTTCCGGAGCTGTGATCAACATTGGATTGTTAGACTAAGGCTAGAACGCCTCGAAGAATCAAAAGAGGACATCCTTCTATATAACATATCGACGCTCTTTGTGTACGAGGAAGAATGCTACTTATCCCGACGGCATCGTCTAGGAATTTCAAGTTAATGACGGTATGCTGGCAGTGCCCTAAGTTGTGATTTCGGATTTTGTGGGGTGTTCCGACATCAGATGCTCTAACAAGGGTACATCAACGCTTTTCACAGCGTCAACAACACCAGTAATCGAGCCCTGCTGCATTCGCAAGACTTACCGCAAAGAACGTATGCTGCGGGGAAGTGTACTGAGGTTATTCGTGTAGACAATTTCCCTTTACCGCAGACATCTTGAAGGAATTTAAGCTCTAGAGCCGAACAAGTTGTCGAGACTTGAACATCGTTCTTACCTTACAGAAATGGACGCTAAACAAACCGAGTCGTAATTGCCTCATCTATCGAGATGCATCGATATCTCAATGTTTTGTTCCCCGCCATGCACGCAATATATAGGCAGAGGCAACTGCCGGCGTCGTCCTCATCGTTATTGGCTGGCCGTGTATTCCTCCCTCTATTGGCTTAGTTATGGAGGCCCGTGCTGAGCAAGAACCGCCGGAGGGCCGTCAACAGCAAGAAACTCACGATGAAGCACTCCTGTTCCATATATTGCTGTGTATCTTGATCCCCGTGGTCTTTCTCGGCCTCTCTATTACTCAGACTGGAAAGCCGGACCTCACATCTCTCGTCGTGTATTGGATGAATGCCGCGACCTTTTATCGGGAGAAGCTCGACTTGGTCCTGAACCATGCCACCGAAAGGAACATGATTATCATACAGTCCATCGGAACCTGCGTTGCCCTCATATGGTTAGTATATCTGCGAAGAAGGCTTACGTCGTGGTGTTGACTGTGCTGCTAGGCTACTGGGTCGAGCGTGGAATGTCCTCTGGAAACCTGTCAATGATCTTATCAGCATCCTCGGCGTCGAAGTTCCAGACTCTCCTGAAGTCTCACTCGCTGGAATCAAGCACAATGCAATCACCCTTCACTGGTCGCGACCGGGGCCGCAGAAGCCCGTCGTCAAATATCTGATCCAGGTTAATGGAGTCAACGGTAGGTCGAGCTGGCATGAATGGGAGGATCACAGCTGAACATAAACAGTGGGGGAATCATCGCGGCTAGAAACCGCGATTGAGGTTACTGGGCTTCGACCAGGGCACTTCTACAATGTCCGAGTCATTGCGGTTGGACCGAACAATTTCCAAGCAGGGAGCAAGGTCATAAGATTAAGAACAATGGGTCGAGATGGACGTCCGTTAGGCAACACCGTGGCACCTTTGAATCCAGCAGAAGATCAAGATTCCAATAGCGACGATGAATCTCAGGGCACCCGAAATCCCGGAGTTGGAATCCAAGCGGCGGCACTTCCGGAAGCATCGCAGGCCATGACCCGCGAACCCAGCGCGAGCCATGCGAGTCAAAGGAGGAATACTGGTGGCAGAAAGCATTCTCCGTCGACTGCGGGAGCTGATCAAGCTGCTAGAGAGCATGCGGCCTCGAATCTTCCGGAGGAATCTATGCACCAGTTGACGACGAAATTCGAATCGATTCGGCGAGAGATAGAAGAGATGGCTGCACAATCTGCGAGAGACAATGAAGAGTACCAGTCGCAAGTTGAGTCTTTCATGAGGGAACGAGATGAAAAGAAGCAAGCATTGAAAGATAAGGAAGAGGCCAGTGAGAGGCTGAAAAAGGAAGTAAACTTTTATGAACGTTTGAATCGGCAATCCCAAAATCGAAAATCCCAGAAAGAGAAGACTTTGAAGGACAAGCTATCTGAGCGAACTAAGATGCAAGAAGACATGCTTAGGTGGGAGAAGGAATCTCAGGAAATGAAGATCGAACGGGAGGCTTGGCGGACGGAGCAAGAAGGCATCGAGAAAAACAAAGAAAACGAGGTTGAGGAGCTTCGGGAGAGTATTCGCAAGTTTCAACTCTCTCAAGAAGCTCTCGATGAGGAAATCCACGCTAAGGGAATCCAAATCAAACACTTGGAAGACGAGCGTAGAAAGCTTCCTGGAGGGGAAGACAATGAAGACTCACGATCACGAGATGCCAGCGACAGACAATCAGAGCTCGATTGGCAAATCACAGAAAGAGACTGGCTTAACAAGCTCAATGATTGTGGTCAACAGGTCTCCGACGTTGGCGCTCTCATTACGCAAAGGCAAGCCCGACTTGCGACCCTACAAGCCAATCCGATCATCTACCATGCCAACTCTACTGGTGTTGATTTCGAACCTACTGGGCCACAAAGTAAACTCAAGTCACGCAGCACGCGCTCTCGGAAAAGTCGGACAAGCACAATATCTTCTCCAATATCTGCCTTCCCTATCACAGACTCTGCCTTTCCGAGCGCCGCTGCTTATAACAATCTAAACACGACATCGCCTACCTTTGCCCCAGGGCCATATATCGATATGAGAAACGACACCGCAATGGTGCCATTATCTGAGCATATTAGCGGCATGAATGAAGACGATTTCAGAGCACTCACTGCGGGCGCACCTCTAAGTCCGACTGCAACACAGCTATTACCATCAAACATCTTTGCCGATGACGACCTGCCGAGTTCCGGTGACAATGATGATGGATCATTTGGGCCTGCCCTGTATGATGATCCACAATCTCCACATTCATCCAGTCGATCGGCTAGCATATTCTCAAGCCCTCAAAATTCTTCGCACAATTTGGCTAAGTACGGCGTCTCTGGTCGTGACTATGCAGAATCTGATCGTAGGTCGGCGAACTCCCCGAGAGCCAATTTCGGAGCTATTGGTTCTCCCGTGTCAGAGCAACCTGCTGTGTCTCACAATAGCAAACTCAGAGACTTGTTTCTTCTACCTAGGAATCGTGGAAAGACAATGCAGGAGGATGGGCCGTCCTTGGGTTCCCTGAAGCAAGGCCAGAGTCAATCGTTTCCACGATCTATGGATGAACCAGAGCCTATGACGACAAAGCATCGACGAATAAGTTTCTCGTCAGGCTTGACAAGCTTTCTCCGAGGCTCTCCTACAACTGAGTCTGCTTCTCAAGGTAATGCACCTGCACCTGCCAGAAATGTCGGTGCTAGAAACCGTCGTGGTTTCAACATGTTTAGCAATAGTCTCGACGATCCAAGTATCCGATCTGACCGCGATCCTGCAAGTCCTCGCCCTCTTTCCATTGCCTCTTCTGATCTGCCTCGTCCTTCTACGGATAGTGCACCATTTGGTTGGGGCCCTCCTCAAGAATCACTACTCAACAGAGCCAGCCCACTGGCCACAAATTGGTCGATCAATGTCCCACAGACCTGGTCTACGAATCCATCACGGAGACCTAGCTTTCAGCATGGTTCGTCGAGTGCGTTGACTTCTGGCATAGCTGACGATGACGATGAATTTCTACCGCCATCGGATCCCTACGCTCATCAGTCTAGTCCATCCGCCTCTGTTGGTGTGATTGGCACGCGACCACCTTCGTCCCACAAACCAGTCACTCCCAAGCTCAATCCCGCTGCTCCTGCCTTCAGTTTTGGTTTTAGTCGGAGTAAAAACGACAAGGATCACCAGAAGGGTAAGGGGAAGGGCAAAGCTGCTGAAGCACCAGCCGCATCCGAGGGAAGCCAAGAAGCCCCTGACACTTCGTCTCCTCCAGCGTCAAGAAAGTCTCGCGATACCCATTCAATTCATACACAGAATAGTATGGCTGAGTCGTATGAGAGTTTGGATCGCGTTTCAAGCAATCCTGCTAGTGAAAAGGCACCACTGTCCAGCGCCAGCACTAAAGAGAGAGAGCCCTCATCCTTCAAGCAATTATTCCGCAAAGGCAGCTCTAGTAAATTTAGTGTGACGTCCCTGCGAAACAAGGAGGGTTTCTTTGGCGGGAAAAAAGCTGGCAGCAGTACGGCCTCGGATCGAAATACTTCGGCAGAGCGTGATGGCAGCTTTGATGAATTTGGTGAGGATACGTATGGACGCAGTGTGGACAGTGTCACTAGCAGTCCTATGATCGGCAGTATTGGTTCAAGTGAGTGGAAGGGCAAAGATAAAGAGGCGGGCACGCCGAAGGAAGGTAAGATGTGGTCTAGATTCAGTCTCAAGAAGGGTAAAACCAGAGAGAGCTTGGATGTTGATCGCAGTGAGACTGAGCTTACTGGTACTGAGGATGAGGGTTGACTTACTAGCGAAATAAATATCTGAATCTGCAAGCCCACGACCCAATCAAGTGCACATGGAGGTGATCTTTCTGTCCCCTGTTGACATTAGGCCTCGAAACCCTATCTACTAATACTAATAGTACTGAGGATTTAGCTACTTACTGCATCTCAGCTGTTTACGTGCCTCCTGCAGAGCCAACACCTGAGACCACGACTCAAGTTTCGCGTTCTTCGCCCATTTACGTAGTTACCTCGCTGTCATTGACTTCATTGGTATTGCTTGTAAAGAATAACAAATACCATAGATTTCACCTACTATGTCGCATTATGATACCGACGACTATCTGCATCTCACAACTAGCAGCTTCCATTAGCCTCAATAAGTGCATCAAATAGGAGGTGGGAAACCAGCCGGTGTGCTAGGAAGAGGTTATAAGCGACATGGAAGCCATAGCGAGCTGCTTATGAGCAAGCTGATCGTGACCTAACGGAGAATAAGGAAAGCTAGGTCTGCTTCTCGGACATTTTCACTCACCCTAGCCCTGTTTGCACACCGCTGCTGACATCAACCATAATCTCTTCAGAGTTTCAGGCGTGTCTTCGCTGACTCAATTGCTACGTAGAGATTTAGCGGATTGGTGATAATCTAGCTCTTAGCGATGAATTCAAGAGATTTCCACCTGGTCTCTGGTCTCTCCGTCGGTGAAATTCATGGCCGATTTTGCGATAGGGCCTAAATTCACAAAATGTAAAGTATTGCGCACAACAAATTAAATTTACACTTAATCTTTTTAATCAGAACGTAGAATAGCTTCTTGATAAGTCAGAACTTAAGTTTAATTAGAAACGAACTATGCACTAGTGTTCAATGCTAGAATTGGTACGGGGCATTTCCGTGTTCTCGAATGCCAAAATCGGCTCTGAACATATTTTCCTTTACTGTCAAAAACACGCATCCACTTTCTATCATCTCAACAAATCCAAGATCTCAGACATCACTGTCCCTCATCTCACAATCGAAATGTTTCCTAAAAGTCCATACATCGCGTCACACATCCCTCGCCGCCGATTGCTCGTCTAGTAACGTTTTGGTTCCAGCACAGTCCGCTGTGGAAGCATTTATAGACAAAGTAGCGTGGGGCGGGGCGGGAACCATAGGTCTTGAGATTGATGGTTGAAAAGTGAAGTTTCCTTTCTTGGAGACCTGAAATATGGTGGAGATAGGAGTGACGGAATTTAAATAATTGGTTCACAACAGCTAATATTGAGATATAACCTCTTATTTTGCTATCCTCTGAAGCCAGCTGAGGGTGCCATTTAGCAGTACCATGTCTCAGATTTTGGAAGCTCAGCCGAGGTTGCGAAAATGTTCTATGGAGTTCTTGTTCACTAATACGCACCCAGGAAATGTTTGCTTTTGTTGCTTTCATAGGTATATGTTCCAGCTGAAATAGACAGCCCGCGCCCGCAGTGAACTCCAAGTCCAATTTCCAGGCAAGTCGACCTTGACTGATATGGTATGGAATGAACAAGGAAAGATAAATAAGCCCCACCACCGCCTCTGAAACGGTTCGAAATATTTGGATCGCCGCGTTTTGGAGCAGAAGCCTACTCAGAGTCGTCACAATCCTCAACAAAAGCCCTCAGGTCTCGTGCTTGAGTCTTCTGTCTCTTGGCTGATTTACCAGCAACTTCAGTCTTCTTTTGTCTTGGCTCAATGATTCTTGTCGAGGGGTTCGGTGTAAGATTGACAGCTCGGTTGACTCGATGGCTTCTGTCTCGCTTGCGCTCAGCCGGGCTATCTTCTTCAGTCAAGTCGATTGGAGCATTTCTACGAGATCCGCTCTGCGTGCCCTCTCTCTTGACACCGAACTCCGATTTGATTTTAGTCTCAGTCTTGACTTTGGACTCGGTCTTTACACCTGAATTTCCGCCACGATTCTGGAATGGGTCAGCCTCGTAAATCGTCATACATAACACCAACATCTGACATACTTTAGTTCTTAGGAACTCGCGGAACTGTCGCATCGTCTCGGGATCATTCATATCAGTTGGTGGAGGAGAAGCCGAAAGAGAACTGTCAATTGGTTCTGCCTTTGGAGATGGCGCACGAATGATGAGGAGACTCTTCAGAGCATCTTTTGAAGTTGTAAGCAAGATCTCTATTCAATGCCATTTCTTCTTGTAAAACTACTCACCAGCAGAACGATATTTGAGTTTGAAAGTGGCGATAGGCTTGTCTTTTCCATCGAGAAGCCTGACCCAATGATAAATTTTCGATCGAGTCTCGACAGCATCCCCAAAGCTGCACCAGTCAGTTAGAATTTCGCATCCCAAAGGCAAGATTTTGCGACTCACTATGTTGTGTGACTCTTTGCTTCCCCTTTCAAAGCCTTTTCATGAATTTCGGCCTGGTTCATCTGAAGACCATCACCCAATGGAGTGCTTTTCTCAGGAGTCGCTAGAGTGGGTGTACCAGCTCGAAAGAATTGAACAACAATTTCACCTGCTTGTTTCATAGCATCTGCATCTTTCTTAATGTCCCTAGCAGCTGTATCATTGGCAACTAAAGAAATCAGCTTAGAGATTTGACAGAAATGTAAATCTGAAGAATGTACCTATCGGGCGGAATTTGAATTTCTTGAGCAACTGTTGCGTGTCATCTTCCGGCGAAGCAAAAAAAGCCCCGTCCAAAACATGAGCTAACTTCTTCACAACCTTGTTGTTCGAGATGAAATCTGGGAATGTGGCTGACGAGAAATTAACCTTTCTAACGACCTCGCCATCGATGGTAATGTGAGAGACCAGCGCTGGAGAATCCAAGGAGAAGGAGGTATCAATGGATATTTGAATCGCAAACTCTTGTCCGAGATTGCCTCGACGAAGTTCGATACCAGCTTGATAGCATGTTCTGCAGTTTCATCCTCATCGTGGTACTTAGGCAGTGCGTTGCCATCGACTAGAATGCACACCTCCACACCGGGCACTCCTTCGAGGATAGCCATGATGATGATTGATTCAGCTTCGTTGTATGAACAAAAAACGAATTGCTTGACGAGTGTGACTGTCAGTCCCTTGTTAGTAATAGAGAGCAACTGAAACCGCTGATGATGTTTTCAGACTCTATGATGAGTGGAGATCAGAGAATGACTTACTTCCACTGACCACAACGTCGAGAGAGCAAATCCGAAGTATCAGAAGCCTGTCAAGTCAAGACCGAGTCTTCTAAATGAGATGGCCTGCGACGAACTTGGCTGCTCACAAGATCGTTCCTTCTAGTTGGGTTTGGAAAATATGAAGGATTAATAGGAGGTGAACCAACTTGGTGATTCCGTGTGTTCGTTGCCTGAAAAATGCTGTTCGAAGTCGTGGTCTGTTGTGGGGTGTGAAGTTAGCAGGTTGTTGTCGAAAGAAAGAAGATCGAGGACGGCGAGGACAGGAATATCGTTTTGTACGGCTTTCTCGCTTAACTCGCTGTTTCCATGTTGCTTTGTGAGGACCCCTTCAAAGCTCAATTCAGGAAGTCTACGTTCTATTCTTCACTATCAGTATCGATTTAGTTTATGCTGGAGACTCAGTTGGTATGACACATGTGCGCAGAACTTCATGATAGAAAATTGCTCTTCATTGCACTGAAGCATTTTCTACGGAAGACCAGCCACTGCCCTTCCAGAAAACCATCATGTCTACCAATATTCCTGAGCAATATCAACGCAAATCATCCTGGTATAGTATCCAGCGCCGTCAACGCCTCTGTCCACGCCCGTACAAGCAAGAAAAAAGATTGCAGAATGCTGATCGCATTTCCCTAGGAGCGTGTCATCAACTAATTTGCAGGGGCAATGTTTTCCTCATCTGAGTCCTCTGTTAAATCGATGGTGATCTTCTTTCCGGCCTTTCTTCTCTTCGACGATTCAGCACCTCCGTCATCTGCACGTTCTCGCTTGATCGTGGGGGTGCCTGAAGCGCTTCTGCCTCGGTTCTGTAGAGCAAGTCAGTGTGAAATGTTGCGTCGAGAATGAGCTGTTATACCATATCCTTCAGAAAGCGTGCCACCTGCCGCTTCTGAGCAGCATCGAGATTATTCAGGTCTACTGGAGGGGGCGAAGGCGAGGGCGAAGCTGGGACGCGCTCAGGCTCCGGGGATGGTGTTCGCTCGATAACCAAAAGACTCTTAAGCGCGGCTCAAGAAGGGTCAGTGATTGCTCGATGAGGCAAGGGGTAATTTACACTTACCTCTCGATCTATATTTGAGCTTGAATACGGCGATCGGGTAGTTAATACCATCGATTTTGTTGACGTTGAAATAGTCCTTCTTAACAAGCTTTGTCGCGGCATCAAAGCTGCAGAGTTTATCAGTATTTTGCACGTGAAGTATGGCAGACACAAGGTAGAACTTACTTCACACTATGACTTTTCGAATTGCCCTTCAAGGCCTTCTCGTGTACCTTGGTGCTCAGCGATGTAGGTGCGTCCAGTGGTAAATATGCATCGACTTCCGAGATCGCATTGCAGCGATAGACCTTGACCTCGATCTCACCAATTGATCCTATCGTTTCAGCGTCTTTCTTGACATCTCGGAGCTTGTCATCGTCAGTTGCTAGAAAGCTGTCAGCGAAGAACGCAGAAAATGACACTCGAAAGTACTCGTATCAATTTGACAGAACTTAAAGGGTTTAATGAATTCTTGTCCCATGTTTCCCGGTGCTGCGATAGAATAGCCCTCTGCTTCGCGGGTGATTGGTTTCAAAACACTATTACCACGAAGATGAGCATTGAATCTGTGTTTCAGGATTAACGGGCATTTGGCCCATTTGCCGTCGATGTAGACCTCTGCTGAAAGACAATCGCAATCGAAGTCGAAACCTTTGCCAAGCGATATCTTGACTGTGAACGCCTTGTTGGAGATGGCCTCGACATATTTAGAGACAGTCCTCGCTGCTTGGTATACTCCAACAGGTTCATCATCACGGTACTCTTCAAGCGCCGTATTCTCCACGCAGACGGAGACTTCGAGGCCAGGGACTGCATCGAGGATGGCCATTGCGACTTCTACTCGAGGCAGCGATAGATTTTTCCGTTTATTTGACACTCCGTGTGATTTCCTGCGCTCTTCAGGTCAGATATGATCGTCAGATAGCGCAATAGATAGCGTAGGTAAACGCGTCTGTGAGGAGAAAAGATGGCGCGAGACTAACCTGCAGACTCGGGTATGCACTCTTACCGTGAGTCTGAGACGTACGATTGACCAACCGTGCCGAAGTTTCTTGAGACCAGAGATGTGGTTGAATGGTCGTCGAGGTCGGAAGGCTGAAGAGGGTCGCGGCTGAGACGCGACGAGCTTGGTCTCGTCAACACGTGACTCGAATTCAGCGCGAATACGCGAAATCTGGTCTCCACATCCTACCCTTATATCGATGATACACTGACTCTTCTTCGCACACCTAGGTATATCTTCACTGTGCTTCTTGGTATCATAGGCAAGATCGAATCAGCTCTTTCCAAGATCAAGAACCATAATGATAATCGTCTCCTCCCATCTCGAGGTATTCTTCCAGATGTCTAGGACACAAGCCTGATATCTGGTATAGGAATTCTAGAAAGTTTGGACAATCATGTCCGCGATAGTTGTTGTTGCATGGCAGTTTCCACAAGTCTCGTTTGCAGCGACATCCTTCGTACCTGGTTTCAAGTCGTGCACACATTCTGACCCTTCTTCGAGTCGCGAGCTTTGAGGGATGGAGGTGGTGCTGTTATTCAAAGACGCGATAGCTGGTATGTTGATCTTGTCGTTGAAAATTTGTACTGCACGTTTTTCAATTCAAAGTACTTGTGCCATGGTTCAAATCGACATGTGATCGATATCCACCGGGCCTGTTTGGATTAGCATTTCGAACATAGGCATGACTGCTAGATTCATTATTCTGTATCGACAGACTAACACTTAGTCATGCTCATTTGGTTATTTTGTTTCTTTCACTCCCACTGTTCCCCATTCTTGGCTTGATATTAGAGATAGCCCATTATGCTCGCTGATATCTATCGTCTCTGCATCCTTTTCTGGTTTCATGTTGTATTTGACGTTACAACCCGAGCACGAAATCCCATTATCGAAGTTAGAGATAATGTGATGCTGTCGGCAAAGCCAGTAAAATTTCTGTCGAAGTTCACAAGTCCTCTGCTCGTGTTTGAGGAAAGCCCCGCAGATCAGACATCTGATGATATGCTCTGTACACATTTTGACCTCTGTTGACTTTGAACTTATATTCGAATTCCTTTGAAGTCTTTATGTTGGTCCATGGAATAACTTATTCAAAGACTACAAAGCACATTCACAGAGCATCTTGGGACTTCTTTTACGAGAGAGCCCGCATTGCTGTATTTCCTGTCAATGCAAATCTGATTCACTAAACCAGTATGAATGCTACAGACTAGACTTGAATACCTCATAGAACCAGAGCCCCCCAGCAATCAAACTCTACTCAACGTTAAGCATCACCAATCATCCCCACCAGTTCGCAATCCCCCTCAGACATCGACGACACGATCCAGGCTCCTCTTGCAAGTCATAATTGTAGTATCTGCAGTTGGGATTGAACTCTGTTTGGAAATTGCACCGTATCTTATAGTGTGTAATAACATCGCGGCAGTCTTTCCATCTGTGGAGGAGCTCGTTGCACATTCTTTCGAGAGTTGAGGTTCAAGGCGAAAATAAGCGAGATCATATGTATCTGTCAAGTGGTATCAAGACGCAGACATATGCATTAGTGTTATGTGCCTGACTATACCTAGGTAGTCAAGAACGTGGATGTGTTATTCACGAATGCTCAGCATGTACCAAAATATGAGTGGGACGGACACCAGAGTCATGGTGTTCCCTCATAACGTTGGGGAAAGACATGATCATGTCCCACAAGTCAACAGAACTTCACAACGTTGCAAGTGCCCACTTCATTTATGCAAAATGCTCTATGGGAATGCCCCAGAACCTGTTAGAATTCAACAAGATTCCAAGTAGTGACCTTTTCATATAGTATACTTAATGAGATTGTCCCAGAGGCTGGCGACACTTAACAAGATTAGAAGCAGTTATTTTCACTTATGCAAAATTTCCATGAAAATCTCTGAGAAGTTGTCAGAACTTAACAACATTGCAAGTAGCTATTTTCATACATGCAAAACTTGCTATGGAAATGCCCTGAAAGCTGACAGAGCTTAACAATATTACAAGTAGCTATTTCGACATATGCAAAACTATCTACGAGAACGTCCTAGAAGTTGTTAGGACTTAACAACATCACAAGTCTCTATCTTCGCTTGTGAACTGAGAGAAGTAACAATCCATATCTCAATATTCACTTCCTCTCCATCTCAATACCTTCCCTTTCTACCTAATCTCACTACTCAATCTTCAATTCACTCTTTGAAATCGATTCACTTAGCGAAATCTCATCTCACGACCTAGAGGACAAGACCTATAAATACCCCGCCACCCTCGCCCCCGTCGCTCGTCGCTCATCATCCAGTTCATTCGTGCCCATGGCCGGCTCCTGGTGGCATAGGTAGGCATACAGTGACATAGCTGTGCGAGTTCAAGTGCTGTACCAAAAGTTTGTGACTATAAGATAAGATTCCGTATTGTGATGGCGGCAAATAGAGTTGACGACGGCAACAGATATTTGACAACAAGCTTACATGCTAACAACAGAACTGAAGGGGTAGCATTCGAGTGAATACTGATGAGGGCATTCCAGTACAACTCACCGAGATGTATATACCCGAAAATTCCTTTTCACAACCTCAACACAGTTTCACATCATTAGCCACAATCAAAAACATTTCACATCACGCACACACACTAATCCGTGGCTCAAAAACAGAATCCGCATTCCCGATCAATGTTTGAGAATCTGCAAGCCCCCGGCAAACAACCCACCACTCAATTCAGCCTCTGCGCCAGCAACCAATCATCGCGACCTCCAAGCGCTCTCCCCTCAAGGCTGAAAAAAGAAAAGAAACACATTTAGGTTTCTTTCATGCAAGGGTCCGGCCACATAATCGGTCCCCCGCATTGACAAATAGAAAGCAGAGAAACGTCATCCCGAAACAAAAACGAAGTCTATCTGTACAGGGAACCCAATCATCGCGAGTCGTTGATTCATCCAGCCTTCGCATCACCTCCGAGAAAGTCTTTCCCCGCATCGGATCACATCTTCTCGTCCTCTGATGGTAAGGCCGGTAGTTCTTTGTCTGTGATTCCGTTGATGTGTCCACCGACATGTCTCAATAGCCTCAATCCGCGGGGTTGCAGGTCGACATTGGCTTGATCGTTGATTTGACCATTGGCAGGAGGATTCGCGGAACCATTGGCGTGATCGTTGACTAGGTCATCGACCTGATTGACCTGACCGTTGACATTGACCTCATCGGCCTGGCCATTGACCAAAAGGCCCCGACCAAGAACCTCGCTCGTCGCCTCAGTATCAGCCTCATACCCCCTCTCAACCTCCTCCATCTCCCCCTCACTCCCACTGCTCTCATCGCTACTCTCCCCCTCGAAAGCACCCTCCATAGCCCCCTTCACCAAATCCCTAACCACACCCGCAACCGCATCCGCAACCGCACCCTCCTCCCCCTCAACCCTCTCCCCATCCCCATTCTCGTCCCCCAAAACCAGGACCCCCATCCTCTTCTCCAACTCCTTATCATCCTCATCCGCATCCGCATCCTCAAACTCCAGCCCCTCCGGCGTAACAACCCTCAACACGCGTCCCACATGCTTAAGACACGTCTTCTCGCCCAGCCGCGCCGTCTGCGTCGTGCGCTTGAACCGCGGACACAGCGGCGACCATTCGTGCTGCGCTTGCGTGGCCGAGAAGCACGTGTAGTGGCCGGTTCGCGAGATGCAGCCGCAGTGCTTGTAGATGTAGTGGATTTCGATGCACATGGTTGATGGATGGCTGCTTGCGCGCTTTTGCTTAATTGAGTTATCGGGTTGCGTGATTTGCGCTTCGAAAGATGCGTCGGCGGGATTGTTGATGAGATTCGCGGGCTGTATGTTGTGCGTTGAGATAGTTCACGACTCTGGGATGTCGAAAGTTCGTAAAGGGTGAATGGCTGGTGACGAAGGTGAATGGGGTGACGTTAGTTTTCATCCTTAGTTGTTGTTGATGTCCAGAGGAAAGCTGGACATTTGTTTTGATCCAAACGTTGTTGGGCCTTTGGAACTTTCGCAAAGTACAAAGTCCTGTCTGGACCTAGGTCAATGAGTTCCAATAGAGATAGTCTGTTGTATCAAAAAGGCGCAATGGAATGTCCATCGGACTCACAGGACTTATCATGCTCAAAAGGGAGGATGAAGTGCAACGCAAATTCGCATAAGAGACTCAACTTCAAATGCACACACACAAAGAAAAACATAAAGAGGCTAAATGTTGCATTGATGGCAAGTAAATGATGGAATACGACCTATGTCAGCGCCAAGTCTGAACGCCAACAACCTGACTTCCTTGGGGGGTATCTAAACAATTTCCAAAGTCCAAGCCTGCTAAAACGAATGTATGCACCAAACACACCAAGCCTAGGAACGCCTTACATGCATCCCTTCTTCTTTATGCCTCCCTTATCAAACACTTGACCCTATCCAGATTTGGATTGAACTTCGTACATGTGACATAACTTCCTGTCCGTCCTCCGTATTGTTTCGAGATTGTGTAAAGATATAGCCGGCCAATTTTTGAACAAGCAGAATCCAAGCCATCCAATTAGACTGAAACACTAACATTTTTCCTAGTGTCGGCTTCATCCAATGGAAAGCCGAATACCAATCTGAATAGATCTTTCAAAAATGCGTATTGTCCACTTCTCATCATCCAACTGACACTCTTAGCCACATCCACGGCACTAGCTTTCTTGCCAATAGCTGGTAATGACTTTGAACTTCGAAACGTGGGGTCGCCTAGAACAAGGTCTTTGTATGAAGCTAATAGAGTTGCGTGGCTAGGGAGTGAGCCAAAGGACCCCGTTGGAAGGGCTTTCACAAACTTTTGGAGGGCAGGAGGCTCGGTCTTGCTGGGAACTGCAGATGTTGGTGTGGTTCGTGAAAATCCAACGTTCATGGCGGCTTTGAGAATGAGAATTTTGAGTCGGGTAAGATTGGCATCTTCTGGACTCGTAGCGGTAGTGATTGTGCTAGATGTTTTTTGACTGCCTTGAGAATATCCAGACAAGGTCGATGTCGCGCTTGACCATCGATTCATTGAACGATTGTTTTCTGTGCCAAGGACAAGAATATTAGGAATATTAGGAGAATGTTCTTCTGGTGAAATAGGCGTGTCTTCGAACTCGGTAGTGGGTGTTTCAGGAATTTGCGGTTCGGGTTGATATCGCATGCGAGCATGCTCTGGATGTTCAGGATTTTCGGGTAAGCTGGGTAAACTGTTTTTGGCCGTACGAGAATGAGACGACCGGCTCATCTGATCCGAAATTTGTGAAAAGGTCGTTTGTGAAGGACGTGGTGTGCCTCTTTCTGGTCGGACCTGAGTCCAACCCTCACGGAACAAATCGCATAGCTCCCAACATGCTTGCACTGCTGAGCCAAGAAGTTCCTCATCTGGAGCTTTGCCCTCCCTCTTATTCTGGCGAAGGCTGAAAAGCATTTCAGCCAATCCCCAACAAGCTCGTAGGAGAGCATCCGTCTCCTCTGCTAACTCATTCCGTTGCTTCATGAGTCGATGACATAAGGTAATGTAGAAGTCCAAGGTCCGTTCCCTGAATGCTTCGGGAAGGTTTCTGTCGTGAGTATTGTATAAATGGTTGTTCAATTCAAAGCTGACACGTAAGACTGAGTCCGAAATTTCGTCTTTCTGTTGCCGTACATCGAACAACGATTGACAGAAATCTCGGCATAAGTCGAGAGTAGGTCTGACGTGAAAGTCTTGCTCTTCATCTCGGCTATCGTAAAGCTTCTGGCATAGCTTCCAACAGCACTTCCAAGCTTTCTCCTGTGCATCTCCAGTTCCAGAATAGCTAAATATTCTCTCCCGGTGGATAGAGCTAAGACTTGCAAGGGTATTGCACAACGTCCAGCATTCATGTAGAGCCGTCTTCAATGCTATGACTTCCTGTTCGGAATTGGAAACGGTCTGGGCATCGAAATCGTCGTCGTCGGTCTCGCGTTGATCTTCAGGAATGCCTGCAAACCATGAGTACTGCGAATATCCTGAGTTGGTTCTGAAGTTCATTGGCGCACCTTCAAGGCTGCTGACGCTACTTGACCGAATCGAACCGTAGTCGCCTGCTAGAGCTTCTACTTCTTGTCGAGTTTGGGCTCGTGGTGTAGCGTTTTCCAATCCATATTTCACCGGGGTGACATCTGTCGATATTGGTGGGGGTGAGATGGGGCTTGGCTGTGAGTTCTATTGGCTATCAGTCAAGATTCTCACGAGAGCAAGTCTCTCGCATTACCTTATCTTTTATAACTTGTAGGTCTACTCGAATTGCGGAAGGGGTAGCTTCACCCTGCTGATATGGAGTTGGCGTGGCTCTATCGGCTGGATTCGGTCGCATGGGAGGAAGGCTTTCCCTGGATGCCTACGAAGTTCAGCTCTGACTCAACTTGGCAATTGTCAGCCAGCTTACGAAGTTTCCATAACCCTCAGGCGCATGTATGACAGAGATAGATTCATCCTCGAGAGAAGCTCGAAAGTAATCTGGGACAGTGGTGGTGAGTCTCTTCAACTATGGACCTTGTCAGCCCTATGTAGCCTTGTTTGTTTGAGAGGGCGCGCATACTGTCGCCTGCGAATCCACCGATTCAGCTACTCTTGGTGGTGTATTATGTTCTTCTTCCACCTCATCTGCGGCCTCGTCTTCTATCTCGGTTGTCTCTGTGCCATTCGAGGTCACCGGTGATGGTCCTACCATATCACTTGGACTTGTCATCTGTAGACTGTTGGGAGAAAGTCCGCCATCTTCAATTGAGTTTGGACGAAGCCGTGACGAATCGGAGGAGTTGCGTGCCGACCTGCAACAGATTGTTAGCATTCTGAGTATATTCAGAAATATTCAAATCGTACATGGTCTGAAATCGAGGAGAATGTTGAGCTGGGGAGTTTGGTGATAAAGAGAATTCTGTATACGGCGAGAAAGCAGACATAAGATTTCCTGGTGAAGAGACGAGGGGGCTCTCCAAGGCCATTGTTGGAGCAAGGCTCATCTGCAATTATCGATCCCTCTGGCCTCCAGGACGGGGCCTTGAGGCTGGCTATGAGGAACAGTGAAGCAGCGTGCTCCTAGTCGAGGCACAGGCAGGGACTCTGGTGAGTTGGTGTGGGTCTCTCAAGGCTGAATGATATGAAGCTGCCGGAGAAGATAGCTAGAAGCTCTCTAGCTAGCTGAGCGTGAAGAAGGAGGAGTAGCAGCTCTCATGGGCAAAGGAGGGGCCCTACAGCTGCAACAGGAGACCAGAGTACCGCAGGTACGTGGAGACAAGTGGTGCATATAGACGCAGCGCAAGACAGTTGAGTTGCAGCCAGCGAGTCGGGAGGGCGTGGTTGGTGGTTGGAGATGGTAGTGCTGGACGTGGACCGTGTCGCATACTACTGTAGTTAGTCCGTTTGTCGTTGTTCTCTCTAGGTCGGATAAGGTTCGACCTTCGAGCAGCGTAGATTTGAAGTGTCTGTGCCGCAGAAGCACGTTCCAGCGAACGGGCAGCGCAGAAGAGAGAAAGAAGGTTGGCTTGGCTTCGAGTATCCACCGGTCCCAAGAGCTGGCTGGCCCCAAATGCTGACCTCACCTGGCCTGTGAATGATGAGGGAGAGGAGATTCGCTGAGAGCCGTGGATGCGTGAGAAGATCCGCAACGCTGGCGAACTGGCGGGAGAGTGACTTGACAGCGCAACCGTTGCAAATTGTGAGAGTGTGAACAATGAGCAATGGAGAAGCTCGAATGAATGGTCGGCGACGCTGCACTTGGGCTCGATGAAATGTAGTGCGACTTGCGTGCAGGGAATCTAAAAGCCAACGAATGGGAGGCGCATCTCTTGATCGAAGGAACCCAGCTGCATGGGTGGGCAGGGGTCGCCGGCGCTTAAACTTTCACAGACTCGCACTCGCAGCAGCAGAGCAGAACTCTATGTTTCTCGGCTTCCTTGCTCTGGGCTTGCTTGGATGTTGATTGCGGAAACGTGGAGTGGTGGACCGGTGGTCCTCGATAACGAGCAAGCACCAGCGATTGAACCTCACCACACTGCCTCCCAGTCCCTCTCCCACTCCTGCTACAAGGACTATCCTTCCCCCGGTCACGATTGCGTGAAACAAGCACTTCCCCCCGGATGGATGTGCCATGACAATAAACTTCGCAGTGCCCGCCAGGATGGAAAAGTGGCTTGCCCCAAAGCCAATAGAGGAGAAGGTCAATGACCTTCCAGCGCTTGTGGAGAATGGCGGAATACCCGCTCTTGGTAACAAACCAGCTTACACAACTCAAAAACGATGATTCGGAAGGAAGACATTTTAAGAACTAGCCGACCCGATTTTACCGGCGTCATGGAGATGGGTGAAAGGTTACTTCAAAGATCGACCTCCTCAGGAAGATCTGCGTGAACGCGGCTTGAAGCCACGGCCGAGACCCAACACAAGGGTCGCGCTCGGTTTCTCTCTCTCCTCCTGCGGTCAGCCTGCCACGACGATGCTTTTTGTTTCTCGCTCCACCTGGTCTCTAGTCGGTGAGACAATATCACGTTGAGATAATAGCGCCCAAGAGGTTTCGGCTACGGCATCATCCCGTCCCTTTGGTAATGAACACGACAAACAAATAGTCATTGGCTGCTTGCTTGCCATTGAGTTCCAGCCATTGGCTACATGGCTTGCCATTTACCAGTCGTCAGTATGTTTTCTTGTTTCCGCGGGCCACGGTTGAGCGAATCCGATATGAAGATGATAAGAGCCTCTCCGAGTCACAAGGTAACGGAGTGTGGTCCCGAATGCACTTACGCCGTATCGAGCCCTACACACACGCACCTTGCGCTTGCATAGCCGCCGTGATTCATACAACCCTATCAGGATCCAGCAGGAATCACAATATTCCCGAGTGTCATGTTGGGTTGCTTGCAGTTCAATGCAGCCAACAAACTGTTAGCCTCGTGGCACGGCGGAGCAAGATCTCGATTGAGGTTGAACTTCCACCTTCGTGGCGTTGCGATTAATGCGTTGCAAAATGCAACGCCATGGCACGGATTCGGAGATATTTTCTGGCTCTGGATTAGAGTTGCAAGCAAGATGGCGCCTATGAATCAATCCTTTGTCCATCGGCTACTGCGGCGCGGGTAATTGCTTTTCGTGTGCCATGTTGGAAGTGAATATTGGGACACATCGTCTAATGTTGGGTGATATAGTCTAGATTGACAGAAAAAAGCCCCATTCCTAACATCCTCATCCATCTGGCTTTACATAAATTTACAGCGCTTCATCCATCGAGGCGGTGGAGATGGCTTCTGCGATTTCGTTCCCATAATCTAATTTTTGACCAGAAGGGCTTTCAAATCGGTTGCTCTTGGGCATAGCCTTATCGATCTTGAGCAGGATATCAGCTTAAACGTATTGTTCTTCTGAATATTGAGCTTGGCCAAGAAGAAGGATACGAACGAAAGCAAGAAAGGAATTTAGGCAAATTCTCTTCCACTTGGTTGCAGACACACTATAAACATGAGGAATGAGTAGTCATTAACATGAATAATCGAGTAGGACTGGACTGAAGATGCCGCCCATATGGAGAGATTTATTCGACCAACGGCTCGGGAGCCGCGTCTATTGTGCAATTCTGACGTACAATGTCGACTCGGCAAGAGTTTCTGGGCTCCAAGTGGAAAACGGGTGACTGAAACTGCCCCACCATTCAGAAGTCCTGATGCAAGAAAAACAAAATACTGACCTGCGGTTGAGGATAGAGTTGCTGCATATCAAGCCGCCATAGACCAGTGATTCCATGAGTATACAGACTGTGAGGAATGGACTCTCAAAAGCAGAAAATTAGAAGACAAAATTCAATGACTGATGAAATGAAAGACGGTAAGACTGAAGGACTGAAGGTAAATATCAAGAGCTTTTGGAATATGGACGCCTTGCAGAGAGAGACAAACAACTCCTACTTTGGAGCCAAATTCGCCGCTTCGACAACATATTTCCACAGGTTCAACGGCCACCTTGTATATATACTTCTGTTCAAATTCTGGGGAAAACATCGTTTGATATTGGGAATCGTCGATTTTGTGCAGGAACAAAAGTCCTCTAATGCTTCAACGCCTGCCCCATAACGCCATTCATTCATGCACTTCCTGTGACGTCCTCCAACTATGCGCCTGTACCATATTCGTTGGCGTTTCTAATTCAAAGCAGCCTTCTTTGCGTCTCGGTCCGCAGGGTTGTACCTGTGTATCTAGTCAGGAACTTATACTCGTATAGAGGTGTCGTGGAACTTGGGGCGTAGAGAATGTCTCGTAATGCACGTACTTCAGAAGCTTCTCGATGAGGTCCACATGGGTCATTATCATCCTCCTACAGCAATATCTCTTGCATCCCAGACTATCCATGGCGTCACTATAAGCTTAATCAGTATATGCGCCTTGTATGAAGCTGAATGGGCCGTGTTGTTGTTTGCGCCCAAGGTAATATGTCTTTGAAAGTATCTCGAAATCTCGTTTGAGGCTCGCAGATGCTCGAGAGGCAAAAAATAGACTAACCCATCCTGAACTCCCGAATCGATGAGCTTTAGATATCTTTCCCACAGGTCGCCTGTAAGAGGAACAAATGTTAGTATATCTCGTGGAAAATAATGGCGGGGAGAACGGGATGCTCATACCGACAACCTTGCCGCAACTGAAACACCGAACGGGAATGATCATGTTGAATTCTTCGATTATTAGAGTGTGATGAGGTACAAAATTGCTACCAGACGCGCTCGAAGAGGAGAGGATGTTGTTTGTAGACGTCGCGTGCTATTGAAGGATTTCGGAGAACATAAGGTTGTTGAAAAACCACGCTAAAAGTTTTTGTCCGCTTATTTTTTTTCTTGCGATAACGATACCGAAGATGATTTCCAAAATCCCAAACCACACATGGACTCTGCAACAATATGGCCTCCGTATTGAAGCGCAAGAGAGCCCCAGTGGAGGTCCCTGATACTCCAAAGCGTGCGAAGTCCTCTGAGAATCACCCTGCCGATTTCCTTCAAAAGCCTTCTGGTTGGGATGCAGCTTTTAGACCTCCGTCCAAACCCACCACGAACGGTGAAGAAAACCACACCCTTTCGAATGGACAATTAGCTTCCCCCGAAGCAGAAGCTATAGAATATGATCGATTCATAACGGAGAAACCTGTGGCGAAAAGCAAAAATGCTTTGGTAGAAGTCTCTGAGCAGACAAGGAAGAAGGAGAAAAGACCGAAACAAAAGAAGCCTCGGGACCAGAGGACATGGAGGATCTCGGGCCCAATTGGGGGCAGGATGGTTAATGCTGATCCTGTGTTCACTGCAGATGAGGAGTAGGTTGCTATAGAAGAGAGATGTTGACATCGTACTGACAGAAATTCACAGGTACTTCATCGTCGCAAATCGAACTACTCTTCACGTCTACTCCACCTCAAATTCTTTATTAACCCGATCAATAAAATTAAACCTTCACGACAGACCCGGCGCCCGCATCGTTGCATACTGCCTCTCACCTACACACCCGGATCATCTATGGGTATCTTGTTCTGATGGTATTGTCTTCAGTGTGAATTGGACGTCGGGTGATGGTGCCGGTCAACATTGGATTACATCCTCCACAGGATGTAACCACATGACGGCAGCTTCCATGGAATCTGCAGGTCGACGACGGGATGTTATCTTTACCACTGAGGTACGAAAGACAGGCGGTTTTCGGATTACAGCAAATGAACTTCCTCTGCCCCCGACATTACCAAGTACGAGGACAATATACACATCACCTCATCGTATAGAGTTCCTACAGACATCCCAGGATGGTTCAGTGGTCGTGGGAGTCACTGGAAACAAAATCTTACTTGGCCGTCTACGATCTACGGATTACGAGAGCGTTGATAAGGTGCGGTATGAGTTCAGAATATTCGAGTCTATAGATGCCATCAAATCTCTTGATATGAGGGTGACCATCCGGAGAGGGGCCGATCTTGAAGGCTTGAAGAAGCACAACATATTGAAGAAGACACCAGTCGTTGATCTTGTGGTCGGGGATGTTAGAGGTGTCATATTTCTACACGAGGACTTACTAGCAAAGCTTTTTGTCCAGTCACAAGACGGGTCTTTCTCCTCAGGTGTTAGTATGGCGCCACGAAAATTGCACTGGCATAGGCAGGCAGTGCAGACTGTCAAGTGGTCACAAGATGGTAAGGAAGCTACTCGCATAATAGACATGTGATGCTAATGTGAAATCAGGAAACTACGTCATCTCAGGAGGTTCTGAAACTGTCTTAGTCCTTTGGCAACTGGAGACTGGGAAGCACCAATTTCTACCTCACATGTCAGCAACAATTCAAAACGTTGTTGTTGCTCCCAGGGGAAATGCTTATGGCATTCAGCTTGCGGACAACTCGGCCATGATCTTGTCTACTGCGGAGCTTCAACCAACAGCAAACATCTCTGGAATCCAGACCTGCGTCATTGAGGCTGAAGATCCTGTGGAGTCCATTGTGTCAAGAGTGGAAGACCAAGCTTGGGGTGAACCTTTGCTCCAGCGAACACCAGCTATCATTAGCCCCATCAACCCATCTCGACTTCTCCTTGGAGTTGGTTTGACACAGGACATCAGAGCGCAAAATCCTCCTGTGCTGAGTAATCCTTTTCTTCAGACATTCGACCTAGCCTCTGGTCACAGCATTTCTCGACAAGCCATGATACGAAACAATATCACTAACATCAACACTGCACCAAACGCTCACCGATTATCAGAGCCAACCATCGTGCTCATGAAGGTTTCTGGTGATGGCCATTGGTTAGCAACAGTTGATGAGTGGTGTCCTCCACTTCGAGATCTCGAGTATCTAAAGAATCACTTGAATGATGCTTACTTGGAACAAGAACACCGACGTGAAGTGTATCTTAAGTTCTGGCAGTGGGACGTTGAGAGCCAATCTTGGGAGCTTGTATCGAGAGTCGATAATGCTCACCTCGTGGACAAGGCCTCAGGTCAAGTAGGGAGGATACTTGACCTTGCTGTGGACCCAAGCGCTCTTCGCTTCTCAACCATCGGCCAGGATAATGTGGTTCGGACCTGGACTCCAAAGAGTCGTAAGCGGGATGGTGTCCTTGTGCGTGGAAAGAACGACAAGCCTCTCAAGAACTGGACCTGCGAACAAAGCATACCATTGGGTAAGGCAGACCTAGAAAGCACGACTCGCTCTAAATTGCCTACGACTGGTCGTGTTACGTTCTCGGAAGACGGATCAATCCTTGCAGCTGCAATCGGGAATAATGAAAATCTTCTTCATCTATTGGACCCGGAATCCGGAGCAGTAAGGTTGACTCATACTGGCCTCTTCGAAAATGGAGTTTTTGGAATGGAGTTTTTGGGACAAGATCTGATTATCCTGTCAGAGAAGCTTTGCATCTTTGATGTGGTCGCAGAAGAGATGAGATTGGGCATCAAGACCAGCGATGCTACCCAGCGTCTCTCCACCAATCAAAAACGAGAGCTGATGATTTTGGCAGTTGATGTGAACAGTCGAACTTTTGCGCTTGCCATGCCGAGCTTGAGAAAGCCAGCACCCGAGAAGAAAGAGCAGTCCTTAAGAGATGCGCACTCTGAACTTATTGTGTTTCACCAAGATAGCAGAGAACCTCGAATCAAGAGGTCTTTCGATACCTTAATCACAGCCATACTTCCAACCGTCGATTCGGAAGGCTACCTTGTCCTGGATGCAGCAGCTCAAATTCATACCGTGCTCAAGAAAGGAGCACAAGCAGTCACTACCATGGCACAATCAACAGCCGCGCTACAACTTGATGTCACTCCTGAAGAAGCTGCCGGGGATCTCTTACGCCTCGTTGAAGATGTGGAGGAGATCGAGGACGAGTATCAACTCCCGACACCGTCCGTGACACAAGCCAGCGATGACGACGACGAAAATGAGGTTCCGGTCGTCACACACCAGCAGCTGGCACAGGTCTTTGACATCGGTCCTTCTTTTGCTTTGCCGCCTATGGAGGAGATGTTCTATCAAGTTGCGGGACTCTTCTCTAGTAAGCCGTTGCCGCAAAGTGTATCTTGATTTATGGGAGGGCTGTATTGCATAGCGTTTGATGGGCATTTCAGCGCAAGGAGCTTTGTAAAGCAGGAAAAGTACAGATAATGAATTGCATACCTAAGATTCCGAGTCCTTCCTAGTGATGACAATGATTTCCTATGTGACCTGTGATTCAAGCAATGTTGCGCTGCGTTAAGCTGGCTTAGCGTGCTAAATTCGCTAAACCAATTGCGAACCTCGCTTGAAACCCATCTATATAGATTTTAATAAACAAATATTTGGCGTAGTAGTCGGTCTGGCCGAGTTGGTTTTACGACCTCTCGGTGACGACCGGCTATTGCCGTGCATCTGGTGCCTGGGGTCACAGTTAAGACGCACGGTCTCTTAGAGACTCGTAAAAGGGAAATAGACGCATTTGGTTTATAGTATAATCGGAATGAGGTTGATTTTCACCGGTTTGAGGAGAAACGTTAATCTTCACTCCGGACTCCAGTAGTAGAAGGCCCTAAACGGTTTTTTTTGGCTCTTGTGTTCCCTTTTTTTTTTTTAGTTTTGCTATTTTACAAAACTCTCAAGCATATCTCGGGTATAAAATAAAGATAAGCGTTTGTAAGCTTGTAGAGTTAACGAGTCTAGCTATTATTCCCCAACTTCACTTTAACTATTTTCCGAGTTAATTTAACGCATGAATTGCATAAGTATTCGCTATAGATTTGATTTCCCGAAAAGCAAATTTAATTGACGAAAAAAAGAAACGAGTCTTTGCTCTCTATTTTGTTGGAAGTAAATAAAGAAGCAAAGCGACGTAGAGACATTTTATTAAGCTATTTGTAATTGTAAAAGTAATTTAACGTAAATTAATTATTTCTATTTAAATGTAGTTCTCAGACATAGCGGATTTCAATAATGCTCTTGTGAATTGCTTGAGACATAAGAAGTATAAGTAAGAAGTAAGTAAATGTAAAAATATTTAGCAAAGCTTCTTCACGTTCATTTTTACTTGTTAAAGTTCAACTATTTTAGCGAGTAAAGTCACAAGTTTCACGTTCAAAGCTATTGTGTGGAATGTTTAGGTGTTGAGGCTTGGCTGGAATTGAGCTCTTCAAAATGCTAACGAAAGTTGCGCCTGAATTTGGGCTCGCAAATACAGCGTATAATACTTTACAAGCCTGCTTAATCGCTTCCGTCTCGGCACACACAAAGCCCACACTCAAAAATTGCAAAAAAAAAGCCAAAAAAAAAAAGGATTGTAAAAAGAAACAGCAAAAGATAAGTCGTTTATAACTATTTACTACTGGGGTATGGACAAATCCTACTCGTTGTTTTCGGACATCCACATACATCTACACAATATACTTTATCTCGGCGACCCCAAACGCCATAGAGTACAAGATAACAAGAAGTTACGGCAAAATAATGTTTATTTAACATTATACAACCATGGCTTCCGGAGCCGCCAACTTGGCTCCTGATTGGTCGAGCTAATCTCGTAGGCGAACCCGCATTCACTTAAATTCAACGACATTTTGTTTCGAAATGCTTCTTATTCACGATCCATCATGGGCAGAGCTTAATTCATGTTATTCATTGTCAGCTTCCATGTCTCAAGTACGAACTCAATGCTACAAAATCACTACCACTTATGTAGGCACAATACCTCGTCTCCACTTTTGAGCCGACCGGACTCACGTACGTCTTGCCGATGCGATTTTACAATGCAATTCATCACTACATTCCATCCATGCATCATTTTACTTCTTAACAGCACTGATTTCGATGCAGTCATACATCACCAGAGATTTGAAATTCGAGTCACCAACAGAGACATTTATTTGACAATTCTTTATTTTTATTCCTAGGGAAAGTAGTACGAGAACCCTCATTCTATACAGGTGATAATGGCCGACAATCTGCCATCCAAAGTCAGAAAAGCACTTATGGAATTCCGTCCTCAAAAACAAGTGTACGCTCCGCCAATGAATTCCCTTCCCTCAATTTACGTGAAAGGCAACCCCTATACCGCGTGAACACACATGAACTACTACTTGTGTAAAAGGAGATCCAAGGTCAGCGTCCCTTTCGCAAGTACGCATGGGTGGCAGCCAACAAGTCATTAGCCACGCAGTCATCAACCCTGCCGTTGAACTCGTCGATGTTAACATCCTTTGAGGAGAGGATAGCTGGTATCAGATTGCTCCCAAAACGGAACGACTTGAAAAGGTCGAAGCATTTCCGAGCATACCTAATCCCATCATTCGAGTCAGCGAAAACAATGAAGTAGCCGCCAGTTTTCTCATCAGCCTGCACGTTCTCCTCAGCGACCCAGAACTCGACCATCTTCTTGACAACTATGAGATTGTCATTACTCATAGGAATAGAGTACTCCGGAATCCAAATGTAGGTACGGTCGGCCAGCTTGAATCTCAGATCACCCCTACTGATTCCCTCAGAGCGCCAAGCCCGGTACTCTCCCGGTTCGTCGATTCTACGTCGCTTGCTGGCAGATGAGATTGATTCTACACCCTCCTCAGCTTTGCGCTTGGAAGAAGTAGTCACCTTAATTGGCATGTCTACAGGAATAGACTTGTCGCTACAGCTTGATACTACAAGCTCGTGTACTCCGCGCTTGGAAGAGGTGGTGATTTCATTTGGCATGATAGGGCACACTTATCGCCAGAGGTCGATGTTGCCGGCTTGTTGAGTCCGCGCATGGAAGATGCAACCACTTCAACTGATATGTCTATGAGGGTTGACTTGTCGCCTGAAGCAGACCGCAAGATAGAGGATCGACGTGCATTGGATTCCCCTTGAATGGCATGGTCAATGGTCGATGACCCGCTGATTCCAGATTTGCTTCTTGGGATTGAAAGTGTAGATGACGTTTCATCATCGACATTACCTACCGCATATCCTGCCGCATATTTACCGTTTCCTGGCGTACGGGATTTTGCAGATCTGATACCGGAGATAGCTCTCGAAGGGTTACTAAATCCAAGGCATGGAGCGAAGTCTGAAATGATTGTCTCGAGACCTCTTGCCTCTCGCATTGCCTAACCATGTCAGTAAACTCAATTGTCATACGGTGTCTTGACTCATTGAAGATCTCACCTTGAGCTTAGGAAACTCGACTTTCCATGCCTGCGACTTTTTCCATACAACATTATCCCTCTTGAAAGCTGCCAAATTCTCCTTGCGCTCATTTTCAACTTTCGCCTTTTGCATTTTGTGTTCTGCAGTTGCTTCTCGATGAGCTGCATTTGTCACGCTCCGACCATTTTGCTTTAAGGCCTTCTGGACCTCGATATGCTTTGCCACTTCTTGTTGATCCAGTTCCTTTAGCTTGTTGTCGTATCCTTTGACCATGGCTTGCTTGTCCTCTCGCATTTGTTTGATCGAGTCCAGAGATGTGTAATTTCTTCGGCAACTAAGCTCAATCCCTTCCTCGGTACTTTCATCCTCTTCTGCAGCAAGATAGGCAAAGCGTGTGGAATTTGGACCGCTATCATCGACGTCACTATCCTCAAAGGAGATATAGTCTGGCATCGCAATTGCTTGGCTATTGGCCATGACGTTGGCAGCTTGAGATAAACGGGTTCCGCTGGGTTGCTTGTCGCTCTGGATGAGCATGTGGAGGCGAACGAATAGATCGCTGTTGTCGGTCTTGAGGACAGTAGGCAGCGCAGCAGGAATGTCTGGCATCGTAATTGCTTGACTGTTGACTGGAAGCTCAGCGGCAGGTTGAAGTGGATGCTTTGCCTTTCTCATGCGATTGCGTTCCTTTTCTCTCTCGAGGAGCATGTGAACGCGAGCATTTACTTGGGCGACGGCCGGATGGACAATAGAAGGTGTCTGAATGTCTGTTCCGACTTTGTTTTCACGCTGATGTTCTCGCAGACGCTTCGAAAGTTGCGCCCTGGTGCCGTCAATTGGTAGATTTTGGGCCCGGCATTGAGCCTGCAGGTTGAGTACGCGGCCATGGTCCCATGCGTCTACCATGGTGGGCGAAACTGTACCGCAAGACGAATCGTGGTGTACAGTGTTTGCGCGTGTAGCTCTTAGAAAGAATTTGGAAGGAGGAAGTTGAGTCTTTGGTTGTGATAGCCAGATCTGGACTAGCACAACTGTCTGAAAGCGATAAGCGCTTCCAATTCACCCGAATTGGATCCCTAGTGGTCTGTTGATCTTTAAGAGGCTAACGTCTAAGTTAGCGTACAACATACCGCTCTTCCAAGGGCCAGTTTGCCGTAAATGTCCTAAGATTGGAGGCCCAGAAGGTCTTCTACAAAGTACGTCTCAAATATCTGATTAGGTGTCACAAAAGTTGGAAGTTCACATATAAGCATGGGTTATACTGTAGTACCCGACGTCTTCTGAACCTGCTTTAAGTTGTAAGTTGCAGCAGGAGTCAATCAAGATATCTTGGTGGTCAAGCTGTCGTAAGCTTAATATTGACTATAAACTTTCTATACTTCCAAGGACAAGATGCAATACTAAACGCCGATAGGATTATATTATGCACCGGAAGTAGCCAACTCAAGAAAAGTTGAATACCCCCCCCCCCCCCCTTTCGGCGACAAAAACTGCTTCGTAACCAGACTCAATTTTCAACTAAATTCTATACTGCCAATGAAAATTTGATGAACTCTTAAAGATTTTAGCAGCTCAAAGTTCTTTGAACCTTTATCTGCTAAATATTCAAGCATAAGTCTTTTCTGCGATATTGTGAATTAGACAATCTAGATTTCGCTGCCTAAAGATGTTTTTCTCCTAAGTCCGGCTATTAGCAATTATCTCGGCAGCCGAAAAGAAAGCACCAGAAGAAAGCACAAAAGAGAATCGAAGATAAAAAAAGACAAAAGATAGTTTCTGACTATCTACTACTGGGGTGCCAGAGAGCGGATTTTAGTCTATCCACTAACCGGTTGATTTTCAACCTCATTCCGGTCAAACGGGAATGGGTCTATATCACTTCATGAGTCTTGTTTTATACTCAGTCTCATGCATCCTTTATTATGATGACCCCCGGCATCAAATGCATGGCAATAGTTGCCCAGTGAACCACCAGGCCGACTACTACGCCAAACTTGTGTTTATTTAAATTCATATGGGTGGGTTTTAAGCGAGCTCTTTGATTAGCTTAGCTTATAATCTGGCAATGGCACGCTAGGCCAGCTCAACACAATGACAATGATGTTTCACAGAACCCATAATAGAAGTAAACTATACCTGACATCTCCGCAGCTTGATCAACACACATCTGTAAAGTACACCAATTTAAACTTTCTCTACTTGAAGGTGAAGCTGTCGACAGATCTCATTCAAACTCTATCGGCTACTAATCTCGTTCGCAACTCTTACAACCTCATTTTCCCTTCCCACCATTGGTTCCCAGCTCTTTAATCCCATGCTTTTCAGACCCTCTTCTCCTCCCGCATTCTTAATATCGTTCTCCTTCATTTGTCCAACATGTTGGCTCTCCCCCACACCTCCTGGAAAATCTGGCCCTGGCGTTCCGCTTTTGAATGCCTCTCTCTGCGTGACTAGATATCTCGCATTCGCCTCTGTCAACGGACAGACTGGAATGTAGAGAACACTCGAGTCTCCTTTTCCACCATGAATCCCATCAACAGCATGTATCATATCACAATGCCATGCCACATAATCTCCTGGCTTGACGTTTGGAACACTGACCATGCTCTTCTCGAGCTCCAGATGAGGATGCAGAGCCGTTGTCAACTCTTGAGCACAGCCCAACGTCGCTCCTTGCAAGGCAGTGCTTTGCACGGGATCCAGCTCCCAATTTTCCGTCTCCAAAAATCCACTCTTCCCAACATCTCCCATCTTCGGCGAGAAGAACGGCCTCAGAAGATAATAAGCAGTCGCCAAGTTGAACAGCGGATTGACGAGCAGAGTACCCTCTCCCGCCCCAGTATTTGACATACTCAACCACCCCTGAAACATCCTGAACATACTGCAGGCCCCTGCACCATTGTATAGATCGCTCTCGGCATTGACCCTCCCACTCGCATCCCAAGAATCGAACTCTTCCCACCTCCCTTCAAAAATCTTGTCATATACAGCACCGAGCCCATAACCATTTTTCTCCCATCGTTCGGCCGAGCCGCCATCAATGTGTGGTCCCAAAGCAAAACCCGCGTCGCCTGGCATACGGATCCTCAACCGATCAGCATACGACACCGGATGGCTCGTCGAGATCTTTGCCGCGGGATCAGAATCCGTGTGCCAAAACGACATCAAGAATTTCTGCGTCTCGAGAACATTAGGATGCGCTCGAGCTTTGATCTGGCCAGGACTCCAATACAGCTCATAAACAGCTTTATTGTCTTTCGGGAACGCCTTGGTTTGTGGATTGGCGCGGATGTAGTCCCTGATTTCCTGTTTCCAGGACAGAGCTTCGGATTCTGGGACCACGTCTCGGATCACTGCTACTCCACGCTTCTTGAGAGAGCGGGTGAAGGGCTGGACTCGAGAGAAGTTGTTGATTTCTGAGAATTCGATCTCGGGGATGATTGAGGAGCCGTGGGTGGTGATTTGATCTATTTCAGATCGGAGCGTGGAGAGTAAACGTTGCCACGAGGCTGTGATTTCTTTCTCTCGGCCTTGGATAAGGGATGTTTTGATATCGGCGAATCGATCGGGGAGAGGTTGTGGAGCTGAGCCGGAGAGAGAGGCGAAGACGGATGAGATGTCTCCTTCAGCACGGGGAGCTCGAGCTGTTGCCGCCATGGCGACACTTCGCCGTTGAGCACGGAAAAGCTGATGTGGAAGTCTTGAACGACAACTGGATGAAAGCATCTTGAACAATGGAAAGGGAATGATGAGTAGGAATCAATTGAATCCGAACGTTGAGGTTTGAGAGTTGTTAAATATCTGGGATGAAAAGCGGACTTTCCTGAAATAGGAACTCCGACTTTGCGGAGTGGGGATCTTGGAGTAGCGGGCCGCCCACAGGACCGACAGATGTGGGATAGAGGCAACTGTGGCGACGGCAACTCAACCGAGCGTGAACTATCATTATGTTCATTATTTCCATTGTGACCATTGTTACTTCACTGGCAGACGCCAATGTACCACTGACTGCCATGATATCATGCACACCATTCTGTGCCCCCAATTGGATCCAGCGCAGCAAAACAGTAATAAATGCCCAGCCCTAAAAATATATTCGCGATGAGAAGTAGGAGAGACTCGCAACTAAGCCTTGGTCTTCTTAGTCTTACGATCACTGGCAGGCGTAGCTGTGCTCTTCCTCTTCTTCGATGCCGGAGTCTTTGCCTCTTCTTCCTCGCCTTCCTCGGCTCCAGATTCCGATTCTGGTTTTGATTCTACTTTCTTGGCCGGTCTGCCACGATTCTTTGTTTCGCCATTTGCAGCAGGGACTGCAGCTACCTTCTTCTCTTTCTTGGCCTTTGGTGCAACACCATCTTCGGTTTTGGCTTTTGTTGTGCCTGCTGGGCGGCCTCTGCCACGACCAGGAACGGTGACCTTCTTTGGCTTCTTTTCGCTGTCTGCCAAAGGAGGACGTCCTCTTCCTCGACCGCTTGGCTCCTTCTTCGGCTTTGGCTCTGGTTCATTTTCTTGAATCAGTGTGAAGGCTGCCTTCTCCAATTCGGTTGGTGTACACTTGATGCGTGACATGAATGCTTTGGCCTTCGAGAATACTTCTTCAAATTCCTTAGTGGTATACTTGAGGCTGACATCCTCACCATCCTTGACCAGCCATCTGTAGAGCTCATCACTAAAGAATATGACGTTTTGAGGATCGTGGACAGAGAGGATGAGAGTGGCAGTAGCAGGTCCGACACCTTTAAGGACTGTGAGCTTTTCAATCGTGCCAGCAATGTTATCCTTGTTGGAAGCGTAATGCTCGAAAGCCTCGGTGGTAGCGGAAGCGATGCCCTCGTCATTGTTGGATGCAATATGCTTTTGCAATGCAGGGCGAAATTTGCCATGGCGCCTATTCTTCCATCAGTTCCATGGTCAAAATAGCAGTCGATCGAGGTTGGATAATTGCTTTTGACACTCGAAAACATAACGCGCCAAAAATCATAACAGCCTCAAACATTATGGCAAGCAGCTCAAATCAAAGATGCACTTACACTTTCCATTCAGCAAGCTTTTGTAGAGCTTCCGAGTCCAAGGTTTTCCCAGCATTCATGCTAAAGTTCATTGGCGCATATTGATACCTGAACTTATCGAGTTCCTCTAGACTTGTCTGACCTTCCTTTGCTGCTTTCAAACGCGTCAATTATCAAGTCGAGTATACGTACATATAGAATTTCAAGGGGAGTAACTTACGAGTCTTGACCATTCCCTTCAAAACCGTGCCATATCGCGACAACGCGTCCTTGAATACTGCAGCCGTGATAGAAGAAGCCATTGGAACGGAGGTTTCGCTCTCTGCTTTCTTGCCGAAGAGATTTCGCAACATGTGATACGTTTTAATCGACTTCCTGATGAGTTTCGATGATCTGAGAATTTGTTGTGAATTTTTGGAAAGGAGACAGAGTTGGAAACTCAGACTTGTCTGTTACGATATACAAAATAAGGCTAAATTATTGACAGGGGTCCCGTGGCGCGGAACCCTTGCCAATCACGCCAATCTAGAAGGGGTCGGCGCTGGGATCAGCTGAAGCCGATGGGGCTGAGTTGATTCGGATTTTCTTTGTACAAATACCGCAACTTTTTCCAAAATCTCTACCACTTCGACCTTTGATCTGCCACCTCTCGCAATCTACACAAATCTTCCGATAAGAACATAGAACAGTCTCTCTCTCATTCCGAAACCAACTACGTCCGTCAAAATGGGAAACGTATGCCCCTCCTCACCTCACTACCACCTGAGAGCACGCTGACTGTCCACCAGGGTGCAAAGGCAGCCTCCAAGCGTGATCGCAAGGATAAGGACACTAAGGTTGCCAAGTCGCAACTCAAGGTCAACGAGCAGGCTAAGGATATCCAATGTCAAGTCTGCAAGTCGACGTTCCTGAAGACTACTCGGGCTCCAGCGTGTGTTCCGCCTTTTCCAGACATTCACCTTTGCACATGCTTTCTGCAGGCGTGGAATTTTGCTTCATCATGTCGGACATGTGCTAATATTTTACCTATAGTCTCACCGAGCATGCTACGAACAAGCATAGCAAGACCCTCGAAGAATGCTTCTCTAGCTTCACCGAGCAACCTAAGAAATAGAGACGAGATCAGATACGTTGAAGCTGTTGGCTTTTTGTGATTTGGGTGGTGGAATGTCATTTTGCTGTAGCAGGGTTGAGGAGTTATGACTGCACGAAGACATGAGCGTTGGAACTTGTAATTGAAGCGGCTGGCGCATAGGGATTGCATAGACAGACAGACAAACAAATGGCTATGCGCAATGTGTCTATGATACATTGTCACCAAAGCCCTAGTGAGCCTCTATGGCTGGTGCATTCTCTACTTGCACCGCCGTGCCTTCTTTGGATGATGTTGCTGCTTTGGTCTTGGCAGCTTTTTCCCGTTCCTTGGCTTGCTGGGCTCCGATGGATGCTAATATGTCAGGATACCATCTCTCGCCAACGTCGGGATGGCTCTTGACTCTATTCTTCAGAGTCGCTTCACCTAGGGTCTTCGCTCCGAATCCACCCTTGAAGGTAAATTCCACATCGTCCAGCCTCCCGCCGTTTCTCTCCACAACCTTCCTCCTCATTTCCCTTATCTTCTCTGGAACTCTGCCAACCCCTCCTCCGCCATCAAGATCGTTCAACTCATCAAACTCCGCATCATAACTAACACCTTGAAAAAATGGGACAGAGAACCTTGCCCCAGTTCCTGGAGCAGGACTTAGAACTCGATGGGTAGTCGACATGCATACACCCTGTGTCAAAGCTTCCATTCCTTGCCCAATAGCAACCACCAATGTCCCATCAATTGGCGGACAATCAATCCACTCGCCTCTCATATTCTGCACCTGCAAACCTCTATGCTTCGTCACCTGCAGAAGATAACTACTCAACATGGAATCCTTATGAGGCCCCACGCCTTGGCCTTCCGGTATTGGCTCTCCTTCTTTCCACAAACCTAGCTCTTGCAAGTCGGGATACTTGACGATCTTCAATTTATGCTGTTGATTGGCTTCGAAGTATTTGTTGAAAGAGGAGGCGGGTAGACCAATTGCTTCAGCTATTAAGCTTGTGAAGTATATAGATACCTCGCCCATGCGGGATATGTATTCACTATATGTAGATTGGAACTCGGGGATGAATGAAGGAGATGGCCATTGATTCGGTGCTATTAGGTTGCGGTAGAGGGGTTCGTCGGGTCTGGGTACAGGGTGACTCGAAGAGAGGTCGATTTGTTCTCGGTGGTCGATCGTATGGGCTGTGATTTCGGCATCTAGTCGTGAATACCCTAGAAAAGATGGAGCATTCTTCATCTCGATCCTTAACCTGCGCAGGATCATTAGCAGAGTGTTGGACATTGAGAAGTGGGGGATTTACTTTTCTTCTGTCGGCAAGTCGAAGAACGCAACTCCTTCCTTGATGACCTTCTGGGTAAGCTCTTCTGGTATGCCTACATTCTTCAGGTACAGAAACCCGACTTCAAGCAGAGCATGAAGTAGTTGCTCTAGAAACTTGGGCTTGGTAGCCGGATTCCGGGCCTCAGAGAGGTCGAGAATTGGGATATGATCGAAGGACATTGTGTGGCGTTGAATGTTCAAGTGAAAAGGAGAAATTCAACAGCTTGAAAGAACTTCTAGACATGAATAAGAGAAGATACTAGACCTCGTACGACTTCATACAATACATCGTGTGATGTATGCTGACCTACGGCTTGCATTGCATTGCGAATATCGGATTCGTGATCCCCGCTAATTCGATGTTGTCATTTCTATCGCACGTGATGGAGAACAATAGAGACCCTAGACCAGATGTACAATCTTTTCATCTCTCGTCAAGCGACTAGACTGCTGTTGCAAGACTTTGAGGGATCCATGCTTGGACGGAGGTGAAAACCTCTCACAGCTGTCGAATAACGTGACTATAAAGTGATTGCCGTGAACAGATCATTTCTGGCAAAGCATACTCGATCGAGTATCTTCGAGACAAGTGATCTTGAGGCAACTGAACGATACTTGGCAGCGCTCAAGTGTTATTCCGAGATAGAGTCTGCTTTTGACACAGAAGCTGAAAAAGAGTGACTTCGGGGGAACCAACCTTTTGGGATGTCACCGTGCGACTTTCAACTGATCCTTCCTACATCTTTATCTTCTGTATCCAGTTCTTAGTCGACGCTTACCTATCTTAAGAAACATCGATGCATTTTGCTCCTGAAGGAGAAATTTCTTCCTGTCCATGTCTTAGCTAAAGTGGGACTTTTATGGAGTCTCTCATGTACTGTGATCCTTATGAATCTGACACTAGTTTGGGGGTCCAAAAGCGATTCCTCACTATTTAAGCTTATGATCGTTGCCTTGTTTCATGATAGCCGTTGTACACGACACGATCGATGATCTCTTCGCATCGATCATGAGCATCGCCAACTGTGCAAGTTGAACCATATCAGAGAGAAATCGTTCTGTTAAGAAGGATCTGTGTCGTACGAATTCTTGAATAGTAATAGTAACATTCCTTTCATCCATGCCGGTGGCTTGTCCATTTTGGTATCATGTCTCTCGTTATTTCCTCAGACAAAGTCTTAGCAACAAAGACATCGGATGACCGGCAACAGTCCAGCCCCAATGCCTCTCGAGTATAAGGGCCAGTATATTCGAGAACACTCTCATGTCAAAATTGTCTGTGCGGCTATACGCTTTCATCATGGCAGGATTCAAGATTCCCATATTTGTATCTCTTGTGCTAGCAGCAGGCGCTGAAGCTCAGATCGCCGCCTATGGTCAATGTGGTGGCACTCCCTGGTGCTTCAACGTTGATTGTCAACCCGGATATACATGTTCATTCCAGAATGCATACTATTCTCAATGTGTACCAATTGCTCTACCTCCTGGAGACTTGGCTCCTTATGGTCAGTCAAGAACGATCTAAATCACTCCGTCACAATGCTGACTAAAGATAGCGGGGTGCGGTCCTCCAAACACTCTGCCATGTTCTCCCGGATATTCTTGTGTTACTGCGAATGGATATGCTATGTGCTCGCCCATCGTCTATTCAACGCTTACAACAGTCAATACTTGTCTGGCAACTTCATCCTCCTCGTCCTCATCCTCATCCTCATCCAGCACGAAGGTCAGCAGCCTCACTCCTAGCTCAAGCCTCAAATCGACAACTCTAAGCACTTCTGTGAAGTCTACTGTAGGTTCAATGACATCGAATGTAGTGGTATCCACGTCAAAACAAGCTACAATTTCAGTTTCGTCTACAAGCAGTAAGATAGCTAGCACTTCGATCAAAAGCACCGCCAGCTCAACCAAGTCAGCCTCTTCTTCAGTCATAAGCTCAGCACCTTCAACAAGCAGTAAGGCTTCTAGCACTTCGGTGAAAAGCACAATCAGCTCAATCAAATCAGCCAGTTCATCCCTACCAACAAGTTCGGTGTCATCAGCAAGCAGTAAGGCTTCTAGTACTTCAATAAAAAGTGCCACCAGCTCAGTCAAATCAGCCAGCTCATCCACGGGCACAATTCCAGGATCGTCAATAAGTAGTAAGGTATCCAGCATTTTGAACACTAGCGCAAGCAGCTCAATCAACGTAGTCGGCTCAGCGTCGACGTTTTCAATATCTACGACCACGACGGCTAGCGCTTCAGCACAACAGACTCCTTATGGTATGTGCCAAAATCTTAGCTCAATCTCTCTCCTTTTAATCTTCTATATTATCTTGATCATTTGCTAATGAGTGCAGGACAATGTGGAGGCATTGGTTGGACTGGCTTGACGGTATGTACTTCGAGCCACCATTCTTGGTTCATTGGCGAACCTTTGGAAGGCTTGGATCATATATACAAGATACAAATTTATATCAGACCTGCACTTCCGGCTGGACATGCATTCCTCAAGCAGGTAATCCTTATGTAAGCAGCCAAGGTTTCATACATACCTTCCGACTGGTTCTTTCTTTTCAACATCCGAGTTATTCTCGGAATTGAACATATGATCTAGTGCATATGTTTTATGTGAGTTGTAGAGATATGTGAGTTCGGATGCAGGACCAATGAGTATTGCCCATCTCCACAGCAGCTCTTGGAATTTCATGTTCTTCCGAAAACATTCTTGAGCTTTGGATGCCAACAAATCCATTAGTACTCACAATGTCTTCCAGGAACAGCACCCCCTGCGACAAGCACAACCACACCAGTAGGCAACACTCCCACGACAACCTTATCATCAGTATCTCAACCGACTACAACTCTGGTCACCTCCACTCAGACAGGCGCGCCAGGAACCTGCACGCCGACTCCTCAAAACTGCGGTGTCACGAACTCGCCTCCCTCTTGTGCTGGCCAAGTGAGATTCGCAGGAATCAGTAAGACTGGTCTGACTGCGCCCCTGGAATGATTGCTAACAATTTGTAGACATTGCTGGTTGTGATTTCGGGACAGATACAACCGTGAGTATCGGCAACCTTCTGCTCTTTGCCAGGAACTGAGAAATATGCAGGGAACTCAGACTCCATCCGGTGCATATTGTCCAATTGGCCCGTAGGTCTACTTCTGCCTTCAATCTTGTCCCTAGGCACACACTCATTGGTTGCGTAGATACAACCCCAATGGACCCGGCCAAATGACCCACTTCGCGTCCGAGAACTTCAACATCTTCCGTTTACCAACGGGTTGGCAATATATCATCAACAGCGTTAATCCCTCCTCGACACTCGACCCCACCAACTTTGGAAATTACAACAGGTATGAAAACTCATTCTTACTCTTACACATATGCTGACTACCTTCATAGCTTGGTACAAGCCTGTTTGAGCACTGGGGCTTACTGTTTAATCGATATACACAACTACGCCCGATTCAGTAAGTCAAGTCATACAACTAAGCTTTGACTCCACTGACGAAAACCCCAGATGGAGCAATTGTCGGACAAGGTGGCCCTAGTAACGCACTCTTTGCGCAACTTTGGGCAAATATCGCAACAGTCTACGCTTCGAATAGTAAAGTCGTCTTCGGCATAATGAACGAGCCCCACGATTGTACGTCAAAAACTGGCATTTGCTTGAAGTCGTCTAACAGGATATAGTGCCAAGTGTTACCACGTGGGCTGCGACGGTTCAGGCTGCGGTCACAGCGATCGTAAGTTCCAAATCATACTCACCTCTCGATTGATGCTGACATAATGTAGCGTAACGCAGGTGCAACCTCACAATTGATCCTCCTCCCAGGTAATGATTGGACTGGTGCAGGTACATTCGTCACTGATGGCTCTGGACCTGCACTACAATCAGTCACCAATCCAGACGGCTCGTATACCAATCTCATCTTTGATGTCCACAAATATCTCGATTCGGATGGAAGTGGAACGGGCACCATATGCGTTGGTGATCAAGTTTCTACAGCTTTTGCGCCGCTGGCTCAGTGGTTGAGATGTAATGGACGACAAGCTATTCTGTCCGAGACGGGTGGCTCGAGTGATCCAACTTGTTTGACGTATTTGTGCTCAGCTGTTTCTTTCTTGAATGCTAATTCTGATAGTAAAATAATCGAGGCTCTAGCTTTGGTCTGATGCTGACAATGATATAGTTTATTTGGGCTATATCGGATGGGCTGCGGGCTCGTTCGCAGTTGGCTATAACTTGGGAGAAACACCTTCGTACAGCAACGGTGTGTGGACAGACATGCCCATTGTCACTACATGCTTGGTTCCGAAATAAGCACCGAATCTCGATAGTCTCCATGATAATCACGAACATTCAACAATGAGCGACTACCGAGAGATTATTGTTAGGTTCTGCTGGGTTTTCGTTCCCGTAATCTTTCAAGCAATTCAAGAAGACACGATAGATGAGTTATGATTAATGGAAGATTGATTTATGTTACGTCAAAGGACCGAGACTGAGACTTTATATCAAGGTGCAAATAAAGACCAAATATTCCATTTCTTTTTTCCTTTTCTCTAGCATAGAAACAGGACACAGTAGACATGATTTCACTTAGAATTCTCACGTAGAAAAACGACGCCTCTCGAACCAACCACAGCCGCCAAATCTCGGCTTAAAAGCATCATTCAGCACATATGCAAGATGAAAATATGCATCTCCACTCCAGCACATCACCACCCGAAGCAAAACAAGCAATTCTCTCAAGCCACAACCACTCGGCGTGCCCAGCCTCGCCGCCACTACTGCAGACGCGGCTGGAAGTACCGTTCGCTGTACATCACACATCTCTTCTCGATCCTTCGAACAATCCAATAGGAAAGCCCACCACAAGACAGCACCGCAGAATCCGGAGTTGATAGGCAGACGGGAGTGGGGTGCATCTCTGTCTCACCTACCTGCAGGCAAGCAAAATCCGCCGAAACCCTCTCGAATAGAGGAACTCTGACTCAAACGCGGAATCATGTGACGGCTGTCTAGGTCTGAGATTTTCACGTACCTGTCAATCAGGGACGTTCGGACGAAGATCAATGGCGGTGTGACGATGATTGGTGCGGCTACCCATAGAGACTGCATACGAGCAACCCAAACAGAATTCCTCGATAAAAGAAGGATGATGAGTCGAGAACTTCGAGATTGGTTTGTACAACTCAATAATAGGATGGTGGGGGACACAAGATCTCCGAGCGTCCGAGGCTGTGGTGTACTGTACAACATCAGGGCGTGGAACACAACAGAAGATGGTGCGCTGACTCTCATGCTGTGTGTTGACATGCATGTGATAGCGTGATATCTCGATTCAAATCCTCGATTTTTTGAAAAGTGTGCTGAGCTCAAGGTTCGGTTTGGGGAAGTACATGCGAGAGGGGTAGGAACGTTGACTCTTAGACATGCAGATAAGCGGCACGATCCAATGTCTCGCGGAGAGCGGCTAGTTTTTCTTCAGTCACTGAATCGAAGACAATCACGTCAATGATGCTGCAATGATGCTTCGATGATAGTCAATTTATGAAATTTAGTCTGCTTGTCGTAATCGCTTTTTGCAATTTGACCGGTCTATGCCTTTCCCTGCCTAACCTTCCCATCAAAAGATCGATCCATCCAAAAAGGAGATCGTTAATCGTTACAACGCCATCAGTAAACCCATCTGTCACAACGCCCTGCTATTCTTCTTCATTTTCGTAGATTGAATCCTGTTGCCTAGCCCTCAAACCCGTAAAAACACCTCGCTCGTGTGATAATGCAATGCCTGGCCACGAAGTGACCTAGTTGATGACCTCCTCGCTCCAATCTCCATCACCTTCGCCGAAGTGAACGGGGCCCAACTTCAAGAAGCGTCGCTTGGACATGAGGCTGCCGTTGCTGCTCAAGCTGGAGCTTCGTCGCGTCTTGGGCTCAACATCGACCGGAAGGGCCGGGATGGCGGCCTCGACCGCTGCGTCAGTGCCAGCAATAGCGGTTTGGACGGGTGACTTGGGAGTTGTTGTCTTGGGAAGAGTTGGGTAGGATGCAGAAGTGGTTGGGGCCAAAGACAGGAATCTGTGGACGGCGACTTGAGAGCGCTCTTCGGCGGCGGGGACGAGGTTCTCGCTGCCGTTCAAGGCGATGGCCATGAGTTCTGCGTTGTTGGCTGAAGCGGCCATTGAGGTTTCTTTGTCTGAGATAGAGTGGAGAGTGTTGCGAATGCAATAGAGTGAAAGCCTGGCGACTGGAGAGGCTCTGACTGTCTGCGGAGAGGAAGGTCTTTGTAGGCGGACGAACAAAGGATCAGGTTGCAGAAGAGGTTTGTAGGATGGAGGCTCGTGTGATGAATTGTTGAAGCTGAAGGATGAAAGAAAATTGAATTGGAAGGTGCCCTTTTATCTTCGATTTCTGCAACGGTGTTTCGCAGGAACTTAGCTTCCCGTGGGGGGACTTCGGCGTCTGATAGAGGGTTGGTGGGTGAGCGCCCAGTCATGCAGCACTATGCTGCACGGGTGAGAGGGATTGGTCGGGTGATAGCAGAAAAGGAAAAGATTCGTAAGCGTAATGAAAACTGACACTGATTGAAAATCCAAAATCGCCGAACAATCAACGAAGAAGGAGAAAGAAGAAGATATTTAAAAGCTTCGAAACAGCAGCAATGACGAATATGAAGCCGATTTCCTAATGGGGAAATGGAGACTTATACTCACGATAATAGAAGTGTTCGACGACTACCGCTCGCGCCCGGCAAGATCGCGCTCATTGGCGACTTCTCCGCAAGCCAAGAATATAAGTCGGAAGCACTTAGAGGTCGCCTCCCACACCAATCTCAGCAATCTGTGCCCCTCGTTTGACTCTCGAGGGTACTGGAGAGGGCAGAAGCACAGGCCCGAAGGTGGCCATGTCTAGCCGTCGTGGATACGAACAAAGCAACCACAAGCCGCTCTCATCGATTTCTTGATTGACTTGTCTCAGAACCCCATCAGCTGTTTGTCTGACAATCCCCACCTCGCTGAAAGCTCAGATCATGCGGAGTTAGGCGAAATATGTGTTGGACTTGCTTGCCAGTGTCGGTCGCGACCGAGATCAATTTACCTTTGCTTCTCAGCTTTTGATCAGTCCACCAACAATACCACTGACGTTACTTTTGTTGGCTCCGGCTTGTGAATAATGACGACGCTGACGACCACTCGATGTAACACAAGACCTGTGAAGTCTCGCATCTCAAATATGTTGGATAGGTGCGCTAATTGAGGAGGTCTCGGTCGCTTCTACCGAGGCAAAAAGGGGTTCGGTAGGAATCGGTTAGGAGAGACCCCTTTTCTGGCCAAGTTGCGTGAGCTGAACCTGCACAAGTTGGAAAGTTGTCGAACCAGATCACAGAACTCGAGTCTGTCAAACTGGAAGGAAACAAACCACAATAGGCAGATGCATTTATGGGTCGCTTTTGAAATGAGTCCAACGCCTTGCTCACAACCTCATCTGTTCTGGAGACGTTGGCATGCCTCAACTAAGAACCCAGATTGGATTTCGGTCTCCGACTCGATTGCCCAGGACGAACCATAGTTGGAGGAGTGTCGTGCATCTCACGTGATCGGTACCGGCCCAAACTCTTTGTTGATGGTAAGTAGGTTGGTCACAGATCTTCGACCGTCGTTGGAAGTCGGAGAAATTCTTCCTTCTAATACTCCTCATACCCATATAGCAAGCCCTTCATGCATGGGATTGTTCTGCATCTGCATGAAATCTCGGTCCGATGACTGTCTGAAAGAGTCCATTCTGTTAAAGTTGCCCGTATATCGCACGGTCGAGAACGATCACACGCGTCTATCGCCTTTCACGATGTAACCTGTTCCAACTGCGGTCATACAGGATTTACAAGACGGGTATGCAGGGTGCTGATACGCGCCAGGAACCCACAAGTTGATCTGAGCGTTGAGACCCGTGCATAGAAACGAACGATCTTTTTAAGGTTCGAAGCCGTCCACACCGGAATGCCTAGGGTTCGACCAAAGTAAGGTTGGACTTGTTGGATGAGGAAAACGCTCACAGAGCATGTCTTCTTCGTGTATGGATATGTTCGGAGTCCGGATCAATATGGAGTAGTTAAGATCGATTGGCGGAGTCTCTTGCCGTTTGGGATTGACTAATCCTATCTTTATGCAGTCTGTCACATCCTTCCTTGATTGAATTGGTTTGATGGCATCTGTCAACTTAGATTAACCTCCCGGGCCCAAGGGTCGGCTTCGAATTTAACGCGTAGTCGCAAGGTTTCTCAACCAGGATTAAAGAAAATTTCTGCGCCCCTGCTGCCGGCGGTTATTGTACCGCTACAATTCGCTAGACGATCGATCTTGGCACAGGTAACAGACGAAGCTCGGAATGCCTTCTTCGTCACAATTTTGTTCTTATCGATAGTGAATGCTGATTGACGGGATCGTCAAAGTGAAATTCGGCCGCAAGTGTAACCAGTTACCAATCATTTCAGCTTACATGAAGCGTTGTCACACTCTGTCCTCTGTCTGCCTTTGGACAAACATTGGGAAACATTGGAGGCATCAATTTCAGATGCTGCAGCTGACATCTCTGTAAAGAAGCCGTTGCCAAAATAGCATGACATCGGGGCCCAGCAGATTTTAGGCCTGTGCTTCCTTCAGCAAATTAATTAAATTGCCCAAATATCAGTTGAAGGCCAAGGCACATCCATGATGCAAGGCTCAAGGCTGGAGAACGCCGCTGAAGCTTTCCACATGGAGAATGGGATTGCCTTTAGCGTGTAAGTGGGGGAACGGCGGGAGGCGGGGCGGTCAATAGCTCCGGTTGTTAAGATGACCTTCGCATCTTAGCTATCATCATCATTTGCGACATTCTCCCAACTCGTGCTCTGAAGTCGAAGATTCTGCCTTTGGAAAGGTATGAAGTTGAATTCCAGTCCTGGTAGGATGTGGTCGAGTATGCGGCCTCTGTAGATCCGTGCATCTCGGTCTCACAGATTAACGGTTCATGCGGGAGAAGGTTTGACAAGACCGTTTTGTGAAGCCCCCCGTAAAAGCCACCGGTCTGGGGGCACGGTAGCGTTGGGGGATTAATCCGTCTTTGCGCCTTTCTCGCAAGGGTAAAGGCTGACTCCATCTCGTATGGAGAACGAAGGTCCGCAGATAAGGCACGGGTTCTTGATGGAGAATGCTGCAACTTATCGAAACCTTCAAGACGACCGCCCGAATACATTACAGGGCCCTGGCGTGTACCAATGGCAGGGCATTCTCCGAGATCACGCAGGCTGATGGCCGGTCGGCTACGTCTCCCGAATACTTGGGGTTGCACGACCACTTGCCAGTGCGAGTGCCAGTGTCATCGCGGCTGTTGGTTGGAAAAGTCCAGGTCGCCAGTCACGGCACTCAAAGTTGACGAGCACGGCGTTGGACCAAGGTTGGGGGCGTGAGAAAGATGTACGAAGTAACAAATGTTGTTGGCCATACAGTAGTCAGTCACGGCAGCAGGGTTACAGCGCCTCACGGCTCACATCTCGCACATCAACGTCTGCCGATGCCTCGCCGCATGCGCAACTGCTCGGCGGTCGCACCGCAATCCTTCAACGCAGCTTCTCGAAGGCGAGAGTGAGCACGAAGGAGCACCAGCACATCTAGCGGTGGCGTTGCTGGCATATTGTATTCGAGATTATATATTATTCGAGGTCAAGGGCTCAGGCATTTCGACACATGGCACCCTGGTCGGCGGGCACGTAGGGCATGCTACGAGCCGCGAGAGCGAGTCGGAATGTCGCCATTCATTGGTTTCGATCGGATGGGGTCGCACATTGGCTGTGATATCCTTGCGTTCGCCCTCGAAGCTAATGTCGACTGTGTGAAGCGATGTTTTGGTGCCGTGAAGTGAAGTGCTATGAGGTGCAGTGAGGCGTGCGGTCTATCCTACGCGCAACAGTGGGGTCTGTCGCCCAGAGCGTGGGCTTGCCCCTTTCCAGAGAGAGCTGGGGTGGCATCGCTCCACGGCTTGAACCTAGCTTAGAGGGCCCTACCGGAAGCCCATACGAGTGAGTCGGCCACCAGCAATTCGAACAGAAGAGTGGAGCTTTGTTCGTCCACCTCACCTCCATCTGAGTCTGAAGCACCAATCTCATACCGGTGGTGTCCATGTGAGCCTTCGCAATGATGCTACAAACCTTGTCAGCATTGAGGATGTTCCCTGTCACACCTACCCTTATGTCCTGCTCCATGACCATGATCCTGCCTTTACCCAGCGGCACTCGGAAGCTGGCGGCGTTCTTAGTCTGAGAAGCCTTGTATGATATTTCTCTTGTTGCAAAGGTCAAATTCCAACTTCAACTCATCACATCCCCTTTCGACCTTCAGACGGGAAGCAAACGACCAACAAGGACACACACAGGTGGCCGGCAGGATCTACTCCTCATCAGTGTCGTCGTGTTGCTACATCCCATCGGGGATGGCAAACAACATACAACAACCAATCTAACTGAACAACTCGAGACCGCAGACTCGGAATGGTGTGACCCGTCTATAAAGCACCGTGCCGACGCTGTTATTTCTTGAGAGCTGGAATATCCATCACTTGAACTTTGACGAGATCGCAACCTCGTGCTCTACCTACTTCAGTACTCTTTTTGTGGAAGCTTTAGTTGTCATTCGATCTCGAACAACCAGCTTCATTGTGGATTATTGCAGCGAGTTTCCGTAAGCTCTTCCATTCTTGACCCCTGTTGGCCTTAGATCTTCTGAATATGTATTGACAACATTCGATATAGATCAACTGGAGAAATCAGATTTGAAAGTCCAAGAACTATCACTTTTCTCAGCACCGGCAAGATGTGCACCTGGTACACGCGCTACTTCAGATGCGGCCACACTGAGAGGTATTTCGTTGTGTGCTCAGCAAAGTCAGCTAAACCACATCTTGCATGCCCCCGCGGAGAGCCTGCGGAGAGGGATGACTATGTGGATTGGGATTGCTCTGGTTGCCAGCGTTAGTCTCGTAAGTCAAGTTGGCACCACTTCTCCTAAGCCGTATTAACAAAAGTCCAGTCCGCATATACCCCAAAGTCCATGTCTCATCTGGAGCCATTCCCTGACGCTCATTAGCAGATGATGCGTGCTGGATTTGATCTGGACCTTTAGCGTTCGTGGAGTTTACGGCTAAGGGAAAAGGGTTGTGTGAGTCTTTGGAGCTTGGGTTCTTGCGGTGGCAAAGGTTATCAGTTCGGATGGGGTAAATAGAATCTCCCTGGAGTTCTTGGGGGCGGAGAGTCAGAATGGAAGATATCATGGAAATGCATTCCTTCTCCCGTTCAATCAGAATATCAGCGAGATCAACACCGATTTGCGGCACAGCACGTAGTGTATTTTCGTGAGGCCCAGAAGTCGCACAACCTAGAGTTGAGCACCATATGCCTGGGGTGTATGTTTTGCCTGTCGAAGCCAAGATTGGGCGCCAATGTGGTCCAAAGAATGGGCACTCGCACACTTTTCAAGCTGAACTAGGATCAAAAATATATCCAAAGGTCCTTCCGAGGAAGGCTAGCCAAGACGCGTGTAATGATTTGTAGGACGTTGGGGGATCACATCCATGCTTCGTAATGATGCGCCGTGAGTGTGCAGAATCGGACGGGCAGACGGGCAAACCCGCTCTCGCTGCAGAGCACTAGCCGTGGTACGGCTAATAGATCGTCAGATTTGAAAGATAGTCGTAACCAACATTCGATGTTGGTGTGTTGGAATGTAGATACAGTTGTGCTTAAGAAGCAAGATCTATATGCCAGAAAGGAGCCGTAGTGGTCGATTCTCGGAGACAATCCTTGCTGCAGTTGCATGCAGGAGTACTCCATCATGTGATAGCTGAAAGTGTTGCCATAAGTGTTGGATATGGAAGGCAATGACTCCATTCCAACTTCTTCTGCAAACATTCGGAGACACATCTCGAAGGTGCCTAAAGACTGCGCCCGAGTTCCCTCACATGCAGTGATTCGGTGATCATCAGAACAGGAGCAACATTTGTTGGGTCCAGAACACGAGCCCTCAAGTCAGATGGACGTATTCGACACTAACTGTTGGATTTTCTCGACCCTCGATTATTGCGGCAAATTGGTGAGAGTTTGCGAAGGCCCAGCATGGCGAATGAAATTCCGTGCATCACTGGCTGATCAAAGTTGGCCACTCGGAGCCCTCGAAGATAGGTTGACAAATGGAGCATGTAACAAAACGGTATGCTTAATAGACGTATCTGGCAAAAGTCTGGACCGAGTTGGAAGCTCAAATCATTCTCCATTCGTACAATCCACACGAGATAATATGCGCTGTCAAACCTGCAGTGGAGAAGAGCCGATAACCTTTCCGTCTCCGAGCGCGAGTCAGCGGCAAAGATACATCGATTCTTCTGTGCTGTCGAGTTCGATGTAGCGCAATGTGACACAAAACGGGCGTGTGGCTGCAGACATCCTGGCACCAAAACGGCAGAGGCGCAGACGCGCCTTACTGCATGGCTGAAGTAACTTTGCTCCTCCGATAGAAGACCAAGAGCAGGACGGCTGGCGTATGACTTTCTGCAAGATCTGGTCAATCGGTCCTTATTAGACGATGATAAAGGCTGATGCATGAGTGGTAATATTCTGAGAATTGATGTCGGGAGATGTACTGCGCAGTGTCACACATCAGGTACTGCCTGAGATCAGCTCTGAAATTATCAATCAGCAGGCTTCAAACTTGAAGCCTACGATTGGAAGAACCATCCGAAAACTCCCAAAAGAATGCAAAATGATGGATACTAGCCATTGGCCTCGCAATGAATTTCAACAAACTGTGGTGATGTTTACGAGGAGGAAGGCTTGCGCGACAGCGAGATGGGGAGTTTCTTAGTGCTGCTGCTTTAGTCTGGTGCGGTCGCCGCATTTATGGTTTGATGCGAAAGACTGACTGATACACATGATCGAGCCGGGAAGAATACCAACAACTAATTCTTCTATTACGTACATGATTCAACGATAAAGTTGTACAAAGTTGTAAAATCTTTGACGTTTCTAGATGCTTGTCTGCAATTCCTGCGATATACTCAGGTGATCCATAGGCAGATTCCAGATGTCCATCGATCTCCTCAATTGGGACACCCTCACAACAGGGCCTGATGGGGATGCGCTAGCTGAAAAGATTCGAAACTTCATCCATGAAAAATTCCAGACGGTGACTCTCCCACGTTTCATCAAGAGTGTCAAGGTGCACGAGTTTGGATTTGGCTCCATCGCTCCAGAAGTTGAGATCAAAGATATATGCGATCCTCTACCAGACTTTTACGAGGAGACTGAAGATGATTACGGCGGAGAAGACGACTATGAGGAGGCCGAGGATGACGGCAGGTCAAAAAATACAGATCACGAGACCTTACGAGAAAGACGAAGGATGGACCGTCTCGAGAGAACAAACGGCTCATCACAAAGCTCTCATCCTCCAGCATATATCGATACTAAGACACTCGGTATGAGGCCAATGCAGTTTCCAAATGATGTTGGAAGTCCATTTCTTGGTGTTAGCACCCCAGGCATACCTGGGGGAACATCGAATCTTCATTACTTTCACTCTCAATTAGCTACTGGCCTGTCTGGTACGCAAACACCTTTGGCTGCCGTCGCTGGCGCACATTACCCCAATGGATGGCCAGATTACGCAAACATGTCCTCCTCGAATGGATTGGGCCATCGACATACACCTAGCGGAAGCTCCTTGTCGCCTCCACCTACCGCAGATGCTGCCCAAAGATCTCTCCGCGAGAAGGCAAGCGTCTCAACATTAGCAACATCAAATTCGACAACGAGACCAAAGACAAGTGAGGGTTTCGTTGAGCCTCCAATCGAGGAAGAGCCAACCTCACCACCACGACGTTTTCGAGAACCTCGCATCGAAGACCTGCAGACAATCTTTCGAGTACGCTATTCAGGAGATGTCAAGCTTTCGCTCACTGCTGAGATCCTGCTAGACTATCCAATGCCAAGTTTTGTCGGTATACCAGTCAAGCTGAATATCACAGGCTTGTCTTTTGACGGAGTTGCAGTCTTGGCATATATTAGGAAGAGAGCACATTTCTGTTTTCTCTCACCTGAAGACGCTTATGCAGCTATTGGAGCAGAGGATGAAGCAGAACACAACTCTGGCATAAAAATGGGTGGGCTCCTCCATGAGATCAAAGTTGAGAGTGAGATTGGACAGAGAGAAAATGGGAAACAGGTTCTCAAAAATGTAGGGAAGGTGGAAAAGTTTGTCCTTGAGCAGGTTAGGAGAATCTTTGAGGACGAGTTCGTGTATCCAAGTTTCTGGACATTCTTGGTTTAGATGCATAAGCACCGCTCTACTCAATTGCTTGTATGGCATAAATTAAAGATCATCGAGACCACAACCCCATACGCTATGCATTACATTTCAATGGTCATAATTATTTCAGAGTTGCCTTGAAGCCCTGATATGCCGAATTCATATCTAGCTCCAGCTCTCTTGCTTGGTCATCGCTCACCTCCTCCGTAGCTTTCATTTGATTCAATGCTATCAACCACTGCACAATCTTTCCTCTGCCGTCGAAGTCTCGATCCGTAACTTTGTTCACACTTTGGATAACGTCTGAGAGAAGTGGATGCAATTGATCTTTTGCAAGTAGTCCAAGCTTGAGGGCATCCAGGAAAGTGATGAAGTCTTGCGTAGCCTCCAAGATCAGAGTTCCATTAGAACCACTATTGTTGTTCGCTGGAGCGTTGATGGCTGGAGCAGTGACTGTACTGGGAAGGCCTATTCTTATACGCTCCGTGGCTCGAGGGACTTCCATCTACTAAAGTCAGAGCTATACCAATAGAGAGGACTATACGTACATCCCACTCATTCTTGAAAGTTTCCAGATCAACGAATGCTCGAGATACACCCTCATCTGTCAAAATAGCTTTGTATTGGTTCAATAACCTGCCACATATCTCGGTATAATCCGTTTCGGAGATCGCATCTTTGAGATATGCTTTTTCGAGTTCGTCTAAGGTAATGATAATGCTAAAGACTTCGGCAAGTGAGTCTTGGAGATCTCGTTCTGCTCTTGTTTCTGCAAGCTTGACTTCCTATTTTCTGATCAGCATTATTTGACGCATTGACTGGGTAGACATACCTCATCGAGATTGATAGTAGCCGAAATGGTACTCGGGACATAGCTGTGAGGGGTGGGCGCGTACGCCTGGCGAGGTTGATACATGTTGAATTTGAAGGTGGGACTTTGAAGCTCTCTGCCTAGACGTACTTTAGTGGGGTAAATACTGCCATGCCAAGACTAGACCGCCCGCCTGAAAAGGATCTAGCGTGCTAGATCCACCGAAAAGTTTCTATCGAGATAAATCTGCGATAAACTGCGGGACCATTGCATTCAACACCCCAAGAACGACTCCAATGGCGAAAAGTACGAAGAAGTCGACTCGCAAGTTCGAGAAGAACCATCTGAAGGATGCTCTAGAGAAGAGGAAAGCTGGCGCAAAAATTAAGCAGCGACAGCAGGTCAAGGCAAAGCGACAAGCACGAAATGCGAAAGATGCTGAATTTATGGGTGGAAAAGATGGAGAGGAGGCGCCCAAGGCTAAGAGCTCTGCCAAAGAGGATGCCTTTGCGAAGATGAATGTGGACGATTTTTTCCAAGGCGGTTTCGAAATCCCAGAGAAGCTTGCGAGGAAGTTGAAGTCGAAAAGCGCTCCAGAGAAATTAGGAAAGAGGAAGAGAACAGAACCGGAAGAAGAGGACGATGATGACTCGTCGGAAGCTTCTTTTGAAGAAGCTCCAGTCATGAGCGACAGCGAAGATGATGCTGCCGAGGACGACATTGGCATGAGCAAGGGTGCTATGGATGCATTGGCAGAGAAGGATCCGGAATTCTACAAATACTTGAAAGAGAATGACCCTGAAGCTTTGGATTTTGACGACTATGCAGATCTCGCTGAAGTCGATGCATTGAGTGGCAGTGACGTGGAGGAGGAACCCAAAAAGAAGAAGCAAAAGAATTCCAAGAAGAAGATTCAAGTTGAAACAGAAGAGGGCTCAGGAGAGGAGGAGGAAGAGGAGGACGATGCATCAGAGGTCACAAAGCCTATGGTTTCGAAATGGACAAAAGCTATGACGGGACAGAACTCATTACGAGCTATGCGACAGGTTGTTCTTGCGTTTAGAGCAGCTGCGCATCTCAATGAGGATGAAGGGAAGGACTACAAGTATACCATTTCGAATCCCGAAGTCTACCACGACTTACTTCTCACGACACTCAAGCACGTTCCGGAGGTGCTAAACCACCATTTACCGGTAAAAGAATCAGCTTCTGGGAAAGTACGAGTGTCAACGGACTCGAAGAAATTCAAAACTCTTTCACCTCTACTCAAATCGCACTCTACTTCCGTCCTTCACCTCCTCGGCTCTCTCTCCGATGCGCCGACCCTCAAGATTACGTTGTCATCTCTTACGCCCTTGCTCCCGTATCTGCTATCGTTCAAGAAGATTCTGAAGACCCTGGTCAAGTCAGTGGTCGACATCTGGTCAGATCCTTCAAGTACCGAGGCAACACGAATAACAGCATTCCTTGTTGTCCGACGGTTGGCAGTGATAGGCGATCCAGGACTTCGTGAAGCAGTATTGAAGACTGTTTACCAAGGATTGATCAAAGGGAGCCGAAGCACGACAATACACACCATTCAAGGCATCAACTTGATGAAAAATTCTGCTGCTGAGCTCTGGGGCATCGACCAAGGAGTTGGCTATACAACTGGATTTACCTTCATCCGCCAACTTGCTATCCATCTGCGGAGTAGCATCACGAATAATCAGAAAGAGTCCTACAAGACGATCTACAACTGGCAATATGTCCATTCATTGGACTTCTGGTCTTGCGTATTATCAGAACATTGCAATCCCATTAAGGAAGCAGAGAGTGGTAAGGAGTCAGAACTACGTCCTCTTATCTACCCATTAGTGCAAGTCACTCTGGGAGCCATGCGTCTGATACCTACATCCACCTACTTCCCTCTTCGATTCCACATGATGCGATCTCTTCTCCGACTCTCTAGAGCTACTGGTACATACATACCTCTCGCAGCAGCACTACTAGAAGTCTTGAACTCTGCGGAGATGAAAAAACCACCCAAGCCAAGTACTTTGAAGAGTCTCGATTTTGCTTCGAATTACAAAGCTCAAAAGACATACCTGCGAACACGAGTCTACCAAGATGGAGTCGGCGAACAAGTTGTAGAACTGTTGTCAGCATTCTTCGTCCTGTGGTCGACCAGTATCGCTTTCCCGGAATTGGCTTTGCCGGTCATTGTCATGCTGAAGCGTTGGTTGAAGGATGCCAATAACAAGGCATCTGGAAACAAGAACAATAAGCTCAATTCTGCTTTGTTGCTGTTAATTCAGAAATTAGAAGCGAATGGCAAATTCATCGAGGAGAGGAGAGCGAAGGTCGACTTCGCACCAAATAATCGAGCTGGTGTGGACGGGTTCCTGAAGGGATTTGAGTGGGAGAAGACACCGTTAGGAGCCTTTGTTGTTGGTCAGAGGAAGCAGAGAGAAGAGAAAGCTAGATTAGTGGAACAAGGTCGCAGAGAGGAGGAGAGGAAGAGGAAACAAGATCGACAGAAGGAGAAGGAGGCCGATGTCAGCGATGAGGAGATGGAAGATGTCGACGAGTCTGGCTTCGAGAGTGAGGAAGATGATGAGTAGGCTTGTAGGTATCCATTGGCGTTTGGCGCTCAAAATGAGCTTGGGTATTGGCTCTATAATGAGTGTTGTAGATATCTGAAAATTCTCTCTATGAAGAACAATACTTGCGGATACCTGACCTTCGGGTACTTTGGATTAAGACAGCCTGCATTCCTGACGTTATTAAAACCTACATGGGCCTTTGAAAAATAATCTACCTTCAAGAGCATCAAGCGATGGCGGTATGGCCGCGATGAGCGCAAAAGGCGCTGATTGCGCGTACAGCGGAGATTGCGCAGAACGCGCGAATTGCGCGGAAACCGCATGTTCAATCTCGGTCCAGATCTCCAGCACCGAAAGGAAAGCGAATATCTGGTCAAGTCTGGAAGAACACTTCGACCTCAGATGAGGAATTGATGCATCCATAGCTTCTGCAATCGAGTGCAGCTTGAAACTGCAAGTGCGACTTAGACACGTTGTCCCAACATCTTTTAGCTAGTGCTATGAAATCACCTACTCTATCATGTCCAGATCCGCTCTTTTACTCACCCATCTGCTTCAATTGCTTAACATTTGATCTTTGGCATGATGTATCTAATTTCATTTCAATTGAATTGGTTCTGCTTCCTTTCTTGTCCATGAAGAGAGCCTCGTCCTGCTTACATTCGCCAGTCAAATTCAATGGCCAGGGGAGAAGAATATGGTGCCATGATATGATTACCAGTACGAGGGAGAATTTGCTTCTGTTGGCAAAGGACGAGAAAATGCCTTCCTGTCTATTAGATATTTGCCTCTAAGGATATTCGATCCAAAGTTCGGCTCATGGGCACGTCAAGCTTTCTGCCGAGATAGCTTCAATTACATATGTAGAAGTCTCTTCTAATCAATTGCAAGTACAATGTTGAATGTAACCCTTCACATAGGCAAAGCCTCAAACAATGTATCTCTCTCATGCTGTACCCAAACCCTAGACTATAGCGAATCCCTTCAGACAGCTTTCATACCCTTCAATAAATTTCAAATGATCATTCCAGTCATTGTTCCAAGTGAGACCATAGCTTTCTAAAACTGTATCTGACGTGCTACCCAATCTTAGCCAACCAATTCTTCGATAAATGTTGTTGACTATCTTTTCGAGAAGCATAATTTCGTGTGACATTGCATGTTGTCCCTTATTTGTCATCCTCCGTATTACCCCTACATACCAGCATACAAGAGGCTTCTTCCTGTGGGGAAGCTGTACGTCCAAAAAAATGCTGCAAAACATATATGGAGTAGGCTCGTGGTTCGTCACCGAGACACCGTTCCTCGTGATGCAAGGATCGCCATTCTTCCAGACCAAGTCCGCGTTCAGGAGAATTCCTTGCATAATGATATATCCCGCCACAGCAGCTGAGCTCTGCGCCATCACACGGGTCTCAGGGAGCATGTGCCAGGTGGTATACCCAGGGTGCTGCAGATACAAGTTCCATGAAATGGGGAGAGAGAACTCTACGCTTGCCCACGACCATGAAGGAGCGCGATATGGCTTTGCTCTTCGCCGAGGTCGCGAAAAGATATGATACCAAGTAAGACTCGCAATAAAATCACGGTCAAACCAATGTCCGGCCAGATAATCGGTTCCTGTCTTCTGTTGGAACATTTGGGCTATGCCAGACAACACGGTCAACCTAGTCTCGGGAAAGGTTATCCTTCTATGAGAGTATTCCGTTACCAATGTAGTCCAGACCGAGCTTAGAGAGTCCGAAATGCCGATGGAAGATATACGACGAGCATCACGGGCTTTCATATTTTCCCGTCTCTTGTCGTACTCCGAAGGATATTGCCCGCACTCGCAAACACCACCTCCGTTGCAGTCAAAGGCAATCTCTTCGTATCCAAAGCTAAGAACTCTTGGTGCCAGAAAATACTCTTGATAACACCATGCTCGTTCTCTCAAAAAATTAGAAGACCATGAGTCGGAGCGACTGTGGTCAATCTCAGGAGGTTCGGTTTGGAGCCAGGTATGATCGTAAGGTATCCTTCCATACAAAGAAAATGGCAAGCCGTTTTCTTTGGGCGAACATGAGAACGATAGCGGCGGTTCTACGAGCTTGCATTTATCCAGAAACCCTTCATGGGTATTTCTACTGTTGGTTGCTGCGATTGTCAAAGTTGCGTTACCATAAATGGAGCTCATCAAACTCGACTGCTCTTCCCACTCCTTGAGGCTCTCCGGGTCCTCTTTGTTGCCTTGCATAATACATAGTGCGTCGATCCACAGAAATTGGATTCCGAGCTTTGAGGCAACAATTACCGCATCCTTGTACGTTTGAGGTAAGTCGGGCCATGGTATGCCGGTCATGAAGACAGGGAGATTGTTTGGGGTTGTGACGAAGTTGTTATCTGTACCCCAGCAGTAACTCAGGCAGGCATACATATCCTTCATCCCCTCTGTTTCAACAAGTTTGATTTTTCCGACAGTTGAGAATTCACGCAGATCCAATACTCTGTGTGGCAAACCGGAAATATCCTTCTTGCAGCCTTCATGCGTTGTAAGACAATTGTCCATCCATTTCCTGGCTTTTGAGAGTCGCCATGATTGACTGTTCTCTTCTATCTGGAAACTAGGCAGCTCGAGATATGGTGTTGGTTGGCCTGCATGGAAATTTAGCATCAGCAAGAAGATAATATTTGATCACTAACCTTCACAGATATATAAACGCATGGCTATGCCATACTCTGATTGGTTTTGGTACTTGGCATGCATATATAGCTCTGCTACCCCTGTGTCCTGGAAACTGCTGAGGTGACACGAGATTGAATTGGAAGCTCCCCTTGCAATGCAGAGTTTTAGGAGATGTGCCGAAGCTTCTTCCACCGCAGGACATGTTGGACATCCAAGGCTGCTACGATGCTTGATGATCATCATCCAGTCTTTCAAACCCCAAGATTTACTGTCGAAAAATGGTTTAAGGTCGGAACACAAGGGGCAATTCGATGATACGATTATCGTGCTTTCTGTTTCGTCCAGAACATCTCCTTCAAGGAGTTAGCATGTCTCCTACTGCAGAGCAGTTGCCAAGTAAGACGTAGAGCACTACCTTGGCGATCAGTATTGACCATATCTTTATCAGAACTATTTTCCATCCTTTGCTGTAGCGGATTTGACGACTCCTTGGTAGATTCATTGCTTCTGCTAGCACTCTTGTTTATCGCTGGAACACGACGGTGCTTAAATTTGTTGAGATAGCTCTTCTGTGTAACTGTTCTGTGTCTCTCGGTGCTCTCCGAAGTATTCTTCATCCAGGAGTCTTCATTCTTCGAGTCAGGCGTCGAGGTCAAGGCTCTTTCAAGCCGCAAAGCTCTCTCTTTGATAGACGGCATGCTTGGTGTTTCCTTTAGTACTTGAGACAGTGAGACCAGCTAAGAGAGAAGCTTTGAGTTCGTATATGAGGCTAGGCTGTAGTTCTTCACTGTTGGTCGCACAATGTTACGTTGTCAACGTCCTTCCAGCGAATATGTTGCATCGTCTAACCAGAAGCTACCTAGACTGGAAAAGCTTCGTCACCGAGTCTCATGTGATCTGAATCATTTCATAAGGAGAATATGGAAATTAAGACTGGATCTCACATCGACCGAAACTGCAAAGAGGAGGTTCGTTTCATACTCACAGAACGTACGAAGAGCCATCGGTGGGGTTTGGCTCAGAAATGTGTGTGCATTGATAAACATCATAAAGAGCGTAACTAAGAAATTCCTCCACTTGATCCTCGTAATGTGCTGTGTCAATTTTGGGGGGTTTAAAAGAACGTGCTAGTGCTGATATCGAATCATCAGAGATGAAAGAGCGTCTTAAAGAGACAAGAAACCCGAATCTGATCCTTCCAAAGAAACAACCGAGACCATCCATCCATCTTCAGTACGAAACTCAGAGCTCCAACTTCTCCAAATCCACACTCCCATCACGGCTCGTCTTCGGAATATTGGGATTGATCGACGCAGTCTTAGTCAAGATCCAACAAGACGCATACATATTAACCCTATTCATATTAGCCCTCACTCACTCACCCAATCCCCCTCTCACATCTCACTCGAAGAAGAAACATACCGATCAATACAAGCCCCATTCTCCCTCGCCCCAACCCTCTTCGCCACAAACCCCAACTCCTCAAACCTTTCCACATACCACGGCACCAGCGCCGCGGACCTCAACATCACGCGCCCCTGCATCTTCAACGCGCGATTCAACTTCGCAATCTGTTTCCCCGCCTCCTGACTCCCGGGGTCAAACCAATCCATGCTATCCATCACCACGGCCACCGTCAGCGTACCGGGCGCCAGCCTCGTCACCACCTCGTTAATCTCATCGGTATGGATCCGCAACCCATCGAACGCCGCCGGCTTCGACAGTTTCTGGTGCGATTTCGGCTTCAGGTAATCCGGGTGGCAGCGCGGCGAGTACTTGCCTTGCATGCAGACCAGGTAATACGGATTATCTTCCCCGATTAAGGAGGTTTCGATGACGGGGTCGAGTGTTTGAACCATGTATTCCCAGACCGCTGCGCCGCGGGAGGAATTGAGTTCTTTCTCCGAATGCTCTTGCGGGAACGGGCTACTTTTCGTCTCAAGCGCCACGTGGTCCGCTTCCAGCATCGCGAGCTGGTTATGCGGGACGCCGAGGGCCGCCCAGAGGAATTTCTCGGACGAGACGACGAAGTAGGAGAGTAGACGGGACATGATCATGGGGCGGATTTGCTTGGTCCATATCTCGCGCTGTTCGTTGAGCGTTTTGGCGGCGAGGAGGGCTTTGATTTGGGAGCTGAAGCCGAGGGTTGTGGAGAGGAGACGCACGATGCGGATTGCGTGGCGGGAACCACCCGTCTCGTAGAGGCCGCGGGAGCGGGAGGATTGGAAGGTAGAGGTGTGGTTGAGCCAGTATTGGAATGCGCGGGAGGACATGTGTGGTGAGAGGCGGGTGATCAGGAGGTTCCTGAAGTTGGGGTGCTTGCCTTCTCCGAAGATCTTCCAGATGTCGGGGTAGGGGAGAGAAGTGAAAGCAGCGACTTTTAGTTCCAGGAGATGGTTCTGGTTGGGGTTGAGGTCTACGGCATGGATGCGTGCGGGAGACTCCAAAGCATAGGACAGGATGTTATCACCTGCGGAGGTGATGGCTAGAACGACATCGTCGGAAGTGAGTTTGAGCAAGCGTTGATCGACACGAGAATCTTCCCAGGTGAAGGCGTAGATGTACTCGTTCTTGAATTGAGTGTGTTTCTTCAACTGGTCATCGTAGTAGATTCTCCAGTGATGGTTTTGGTAGAAGAACGAAGGCAGAGGAAGATTAGCCGAGAGATTTATGATTGCAGCATCGAAAGCCTTGGAACGAAGCTCAGGACTTGCCCTGTCAACCTTGCGAGCCAAGGCATTCTGATGATTGACCGGTGACAAGTACGGAGACTCAGTAGCTGCTGCATCAAGACGCTCGACAATCTCGTGTGGATAGTTAGTTGTGTTGTGAGACGATTCAGGCTTCTTCTGACATCCAACCCAAATATAATATGGAATGGATCCCAGGAGATAGTTGCGAGAGTCAGCACTTAGAACCGTTCCGAATCGGTACTCAAGGTAGTCTCTACGACCAGCCTCGAGACCAACTCGGTCCACATCAAACCATGCTCGCCAGAAAAGACGTCCGAACCAGCTCACGTGACGGTTGATGGCTCCACCGGTATAATTTCTGAAGCTTAGATCCACGGCGGATTGAACGTAGAAATCGATGGCACCAATCACACCGCCAGGGGCGAGTAAAGAGGTCAACGAATCAATGACAGAGTAGAAATCGGGCTTTGAAAATTAGCCAGTGGAAGTCAACGCTCGTGACCAAACTCACAATCATGGACAAGCTATAAGACAAAGTGATGAGGTCCGCACCGCCAACACTTGCACTCTCATCCGCAAAGTAATTTGACATTGGTGACCGGGCGAACGTCAAAGACTTGTCCACCACAGGATCACCTTCATGGTCCTCGAGGCGAAAAGTCCTGGCATCCTGGCACACGACCTTGACATTCTTCCATCCCAAACGTGTAAATCGTTTCCGAGCTACTTCGCACAGGGAAGGCGAGAAATCGACGAGGTAAACACTAGAGAAGAATTCCTCCACGTCGACAAATTCGGACATCGCTTCGATGTTCCACCCAGTGCCGCCTCCGATCTATTGTGAGACAAATGTATCAGTTACACCGCTGTCCAGAGCCCCCATCTTCACATGCCAGGAATTTGAGCAACTCACATCGACCCAGATACGCTTGGTATCGTGGGTACGCTCTTTGGCCGCCTTCTGCACCAGCTGAGCTGCTACTAATCCAAGCATGTCTTCACGACCACGCAACAACCTCTTTCTGGTGGCATCGTATACTCCCGCCTGTGCCTTGTAGAAGCTCTCGAGAGCATCTTGTTGACCGTTGCCGACGTCGCCAGTGTGCGGCTTGAGGAACGAGGCGTAAAAAAATCGCAGAAAAGAGGCGAAGCCGCTTGGGTTTTCGTCATGTTCGGATGTGGTGGTTGTCTTCTTCGGGATGGTGGAATTGGTGGTTGCGGCAAAAATGATGCCAATCAGGACAACAATTGTTGCTCCTGCAATGATAATTTGGGTGTGGGGATCCTTTGGGGAAAGGATGCTAGGGCCAAGAGCTGCCATGGTACTCTCTCATTGCTCTCAATGAGTTGATTGGTGCTTGAAGTAGTTGATACTCGAAGTACAATTGAGGACCGATGGGATGAGAAGAGAAAAAAAGAAGGGAAAAGAGAAGGGGAAGAGACAGGAGGGATAATATTGAGAGCTGCGGTGCTGGGCTGGCTAGCTAGCTGATCCATTCCTGGTGCTCCTGCTGCTGCGGTGGTTCTCTAGGTCTGGACGCAATTCTGCGTCGTGTGCAGTTTGCATCGGCAAGTATCGCACGTCAGACATAACATTTAGAACCCAAAACCCCTCATGGACCATGACACCCCGGGAGCTGCATCTGCAAGACAAAGCTGCAGCTGCACGTTGCCCCGCCATGATTACTCTCAACGTGTCTCATGGTGAGGCGAGTGGTTGAAGGGGATGCGTCTTTGGCCTATGAGATGGGCACATGTGTGGAGGGGTCGAAGGTGGAAGGAGGTTGATTCGAAGCCATTTAGGGGTCCACTGTCGTGCCAGGGGACGATCGCATTAGCATTTGTATGGGAAAGCTAGAGAGCGTAGTGTAGTGGGGGACTTCTCCGTGCGCTAGACGCGAGCCTGTTTGGAGATTAATTGTAGATGAGGGGTCAGATATCGATAATAATGATCATTTTAATCGGCTGAAGTGTAATCTTTGGCTCTTCTGTCTGCAGCGAGTCGAGTCGAGCACGAGTACGAGTTTGTGAGTGGAGAGAAATGGGAATGCGTGCATGAGCGCGAAGTAGGGGAGAATTATGTAAGCCGGATCTCAGAAGAGCAGGTGAGAAGCACAACCAGCCATGCAACTCGACATATAACAATGCAGGTGCAGACCACAACAGGACCCTAGATCTAGATAGCTAGATGCTAGAGCCGCTGTAAGGAAAAGGGTAGCAAAGGCTCAATGGCAATTCGAAGCAGTGCCAGGAGCTGAGGACAACATCGTCAACAATTGCTTGCTTGCTTGCTTGCTCCCAATTGCCAGCGAGTCGTGCAGTTGCTGCTCTTCACTTCTCCGTCTTCGGCTGCAACATAAATTTACCCATCGAGACAACAAGAAAAGTGATCAACTGACGCGAAACCCTAAGAACCGCTGTCCAGTCCAGGGTGATTCGTCTTGACGATTTGACATGTGGGCGAAAGGACTGGAGCCCTGCGCTTGGGGCAAAAGGAAGATCAGACAAGAGACCGCGGCCAATGGCGTGGAGAGCTGCAATGCACGTTGGCCCATCATTGGGTTTTTCTTGACGAACGAAACGAACGCTGGCTCTTGGCTGGGGAAAAGTCGTGGATGGAGATCTGGATGCAGTCGTAGGTGCATTCAGCCTTCTTCCGAGTTCTTTCCCCATTGGCAGAAGATTGTTACAATTTGAGAGGCAGCGAGCGGTGAGCAAGTCACGTGGATCAATATACTTTCACTTGATGATCTCGGGATCGAGAGGTTGGATTAGAGGGAGAGTATGGAATATTCTCTAGAAGCCATCTAGATTTAAGTGTGGACGACCCTCTCGATAGTCGTCAAAGGAATTCCCCATATACTTGGCGATGAGTCACGTGAAACTCGGGAATCTGCATTGGGCTTCCCACAGGAGAACAAGGGGTAGCGAGATGGTCTGAAAGGGCCGAGATCCCTCCCCTGACTACGTGCGCCATCAGACGGGTAGCGAATGAAGGACTATACCGGAAAGAAGGCATGATACAATTGTGGAAAAAGTCTGGATTCTGGCCTGATCAGATAGAAAACTTGGTTCTTGACGGGAGGTTCTGCATGGATGGTCATATGATATGGTAACTTTATTTTTGGAACTTCTAGAAGAGTAGAACTGGAATATCTTATTAGGGAAAGGAACATCAGCCTGTCAAATTGTCTGGAAGCCGCTGGGACTTCCAAAATATAGAAGTCACTTGATTTGAAATTACCTCAAAAACTGCCCAGGTCAACTTGAAATTTATGATAGAGAAAAAGGCAAATGTAGGATCTATAAGTAATTAAAGGTCGAGAAACCTATCAAACCATCTAAAAGCTGCCGAAACTTGCCAAAGAGAAAAGATACATGCATTTTTTCTAGGCAAGGGATCATTTCATTTCATTTCATACAACCTAGGTAGGCTACTGGCTATCTAATCGTCGAAGAATGCATTCAAGTCCTCATTGTCAGAGAGGTAATCAAAGTGGTCAAAGAGATCCGAGTTGTCCCATCTCGCAGTCTCCTTCTTGAAAAGTTCATCCAAATCATAACCCTTCCAGATGTTCTCGGTCGACCAATCGTTCCAATCGTGGGGCTTCTCTGCGGGGGTTTGCTGGACGGTTGGGGCAAGAGGAGCGGATTGTTCGACAGTTTGAGGGGCAACGGGCTCGGGTTGGTGTTTGGGGGAAGCTGATTGTTCGGCGACTTCTTCGACAATGGTCTTGGCTGGGACAGCGGGCTCGACTTGGTATTCTGGAGGAGCGGAATAATCGACGACTTCTTGGACATCGGGTTCAGGTGCATTGAACTCGAGTCCGAACTCGGGAGGAGCTGGATAGTTATCGAATTGTGGGACAAAGAGTTCATCTTCGAAGGACTGCTGAACTTGTGGGTACAACTCGAATCGGTATTCGGGAGGAGCTTCGTATTCGGTGACATCAGGAATTGTATCCATCTTGGCGGCGATGCGAGCAGTGGCCTTGATCTGAGCAGGTCTAGACATTTGGGTAGGTCTGGACAGTTGGGTAGGTCTGGCAACAGGAGCAGATTCGGGCATCTGTCCAGGTCGTCTTGCAGCGATTCTAAAGCATGTTAATACGGGGCCATTCAAAATCAGCAGTGATTGGAACTTACTCAAGGAACTCCTTCTTCTTGGTATTCAAGACATAGTTGACTCCCGCAGAGGATGCACCACGTCGAGGCCAGATACCATTGATCGCTTCGGCAATCTCCCACTTCTTGAATCCGTCTTTGTAGAGGGTAAAGCAGATATCGATCTGTTCGTCGCTCCACTTGTTGGTGCCGACCATGGTGACGATGGCGTGATGAGGTATAAGAGGAGGGCTTTTGTATGAAGTTGATGGGATGAGGTTGTATGAGTAGAGAGCAGAGGGAAACGAATTTCTGGATGGTTTGTGATCGCAGTGCGATGCGAAGGCTGTAAAGCGTACTTGCAGTATCAGCGATGAGAGTTGTGCGATTCGTGATACTCTTGATGATTGTCGTTGTTGGAAGAAGTTTTGCAGGAGAAGGTGGGAATAATTTGAGCGAGGCTAGGATATTGAAAAATTTTCGTGGTGAGCACGTCGTGGGTTAAAGGTGAATAATTTGCCTCGACATGAGTAAAGTTGAGGGTATTCTCGTGAATGTGCTCGCGAGCCGAACTCCACCCAACCAAATCATCCACATCATCGATCTGCATCGCGACCCGACCAAAGAGCCCATGATACCATGACTTCTCTGGCATTGGCCGATTCCCAATCATCTCTGCAAATATTTTCTCCTTTGTAGTCGCTCTTGAAGCCATTGCCTTCCATGAGCCTTTCGAGCTCGAGGCATAACAATTGTGTTGTTTTGTCTCGAAAAGGGACCGCCGTTAGTACGACGGTGACTTTACCACGTTTTGCGAACTGTTTGATGGTATCGGCGAGTAATTGAGGATGATCATCATCGTATAGAGGATCGACGGCGAGGATAACCTCAAACTCCTTGGACGACCACCCATGCAAGGCATTTTCGTGATCACTCCAGTCAAGGATCTCTGCACAAGCATGCCCGTTACTCACACGGGAGATGGCAGGCATGTTTATGTCGATATTGTAGCGCAGATTCTCGTGAATCGCGGGCAAGTCAGTCAGGACGACGTTGACTCCCCAAAGGGCTGCGGCGGCCATGCCGACCTGGAGGCCAAGTCAGCGTGGAGACTAGACGAGGAGGGTTGTATGTGAAGGGACACAGAGTGTAGAAGAATGGGAAGAGGTCCCTTACCAAGCCTGTGCCGGCTCCAAGTTCCAGCACCTGTAGTTCAGGACCTTCAAGGCCAACTCTAGACTTGCTAAATCGTGGCTGGTCGATTAGCCTTTGAAGTGCTGGTTGAAGGCCAATTTGGGGAAGCAGCTGTACCACTGAGGAGAAACAGTCAGTATGGGTGCTTATCCGAATGAATCACAGCTTCAGTTGCCAGAAACATAAGCAAGAAAGGGAACCGAGCAACAGATGAATCCTTCACTTGTTTAAAGACGCTGCAAAACACTTACTTGTCCATGCACTACCCCAAGTTTTCAGACCTAAGTTATCACCGGTGAGAGGAGGCTCACGAATTTGCAACTCGATATTGGCTGTAGACTGTTGTGTCTCGAAGTCGTTAGCGCAGTGCTGAGGAACTTCAAGGCGAAAAGTGCGTGTGTCTTGACCTCTTGCTGTAAGCATAGTTAGAAGAAAAGTCAAAAATGGCAACACAGAGGCTAAAATAAGTAGAATGGTAACACGATGAACAGGAAACGTACCTGAGCGCCCACAACGCTCGGCCAGTCGTCGAGAAGCCATGTCGACGATCTCGTCTATCTGCTCTTGAGCAGTGACGATACCAAGATCTTCATCTTCAGTATCTTCAAACCACGAGAAATCGGTTTTGAAGACCCCGAGAAGGAACTCTTGGACAGTGCTTTCACTTAAGATTGGCCTATCAACCAAGCTCTTGGCCGAATCGTCATCCCAAGATCTCGGCTTGACCTCCAAGCTTTTCAAAGTCTTGAGAAGAAGTTGAAAGCTTGGTTTGTCTCGAAAGTTGGGAAGAACCATGTCGAAAGCTCCGAGTACTGCATGGTATGTAAGTCGTGGAAGGTGAAGAGAAGGATTGGAGGAAGGTTGAGGTTGATCTTGAAGTTGTTGAGACAAGATGGAGGAGGGAGCGGAAAACAGAAGGGCGGAGAACTTATACCAACAAGGAGGCTTTTCAAATAAGGCCAGATAGGTGGGAAAGCCTAGGAGTGAAGTAAATACCAATGAGTCCTCTCACAGTCATCCCCAGATGATAGAGTGAAGTGGCAAGAAAGGTAATACGACAGAAGTGAGGTTGATATAGCAGCAGCTAGGAATAATCTGGTCATAAGCAGTGCTGGAAAAGACTTCGAAGCTGAGTAAGTCAGCAACATAGCAAAAAGTGACGCTAGGAGGAGGTGAAGAGTTGGAGAGGCCGAAAATGGTAAGCTGGCAGGGTGGATATACGGCGGAGACTTACAGTCGTTGGAGGAGACTTTCCACTTTTGGCATGTGTCGACTGAGCCAGAGTACAATTGAGGTTGGGAATGTAATTGCCAAAAGTTTCAAGGATCCCCAATGAGTAATTTAGCCAGAAGCGGAAGGCAGGCTTTGAGTGAAGAAAGAGCTAGGCCGTGAAGGAGAATTTGACAAGTGAAGTTGATGAAAGCCCAGTGCTTATATCTGCTTTCTGAAGAGATCACTCAACCCAACGGGTGCGAAATTCTCTCTGAACATCTGATTCGAGAAAGGGAATCAAAAAGTATAGCTTCCAGAGAATCGTGTCGTAGAGTTGGACTTTTCCTGTGTATTTATGCCCACACGATCTAGAGTACGAAGCCAGTTGTGATTGTGAGCTTTTGATGAATGTAGAAGTTATTGAGTAGAAAGAGCCAACTTGGATGTCCCAGCCCAATGACAATGTGTTCGAGAGTGTATGAAGTGAGGACTGAATCCAAGCATTAACGTGAATACTATGCGTCGAGATGTCGATAACTCTTACGAAGCCAACAGAACAACAAGAAGTCTTCTCTCTTAACCAGAGAGTCAAGAGCAAGGATGGTGCTCAAGCAAGCCGGGATCCAGAGAGTTTCTAGCGGTGGATGGGCAGTGAGGACGAGTCTTGTTGCCCTAATTCCAAGCGGCCATGAGAAACCTATCTACGAGCCTAATAGAGAGATCAGTATTAGATCTTTCAGATGAAAGCAGCCCTGGATAGCATTACGTTCTCCTGAAGCAGCTTCGAAGGAGTCCATCACGTGGCCTTCGACGGATATTCAAACCCCAGAAAGAGGTTTCATGTACTTACAGTGGAAAGGAGACCGCTTTTGATGACAAGAAAGACTGAAAGTCAAGACTTGGTACAACACCTCGGGCCTTTAAAGCTTCGATCTCTTCATTTTCCACAGGATGTCGTGGGACAATGGATCTCTCAAATTTGCTGCATTCGCATCGCTGACCAATCATATCTCTCTTAAAGACCGCGCTAGCTCCTCGGCCCGTACTTATTCCGTTATGTCCTCGGATGCGATGATGCACTGCATCCTTCCTTCATAAAAGGGGGTAGCGAGTGAATGTGCAGATCAGGGGCTTTGCCGACTATTCTCAGCTCGTTCTGTAAGATACAGCGTGCAGAAGCATAGTCAAGAAGCATCTCGTATGATCAGGATTCAAGAGCAAGCTACGCCATGATCCAGGGGATATTCTTTGCCCGCTTTCTGCCTCAACAAGGTGAGTTTTTGAGTATCTATCTTGATCGAACATCAGGCATCATTTATGAAATGGTTCTCCTCGAGCTCTGATCAGATGAGTTCTTGAACGGGCGCACTTCATTTTGATCCTCAGCCATTCCACCAAGAGCACAATCTAACATCTCTCAGGCACTAAAGTCGTCCATCAAAGCCCCCCAGGTTGCATCGTCCCCGAACCCGACGTCGACCGACCCCGCCTCTTTGACTTTGACCTCCTCTCCGAGTACATTATCCCCCGACAAGCTTTCTGCAACCGCTACGTGACAATCTGCGATCCTGACTGCAAATACCGGATCCTCGGCCACCCCGTGTGCATCAAAGACGAGAAATACGAACGAAATGAATTCATGTTCAACTTCTGCATCGTTATCAACGCTGATGATGACAAAATTCCCTACGAAGCGGTGGTCCGGCGTCTTGCGAGCACGTTCACCGAGATGGAGATCCAGAATCAGTTTTTGAGTTTGGAGGACTACTCTAATTCTCAAGATAGGAGGTCTATTGCTGCTTTACTTGAGATTATCAAGGAGGATTTGAATAATTACAACGAATGCATGATTCCAGTTGGTATGTTTAGCTATCACGTGATAGTCCTCGAGCTGACGAGAAGAAGACGATGCAAACACAATCAACATGAAGCTCTTCCCCATTCATCCCCATCCACCACCTGTGAAATCGTGGCACGTGCCTATTTCGAAGATCAAGTTCTCCGAGATCATAGACGATACCTGGGACCTGACGATGAAGAAAGTAATTTCTCAAATCGACGGCATTAAAGATGTCCGACGAATCGCCCACGACGCAGACGTTGCTCTCGATTTGACAAAGATTGCATTGCAGCATCTACTGTACTACGACAGTGTTATAATGTTAGATCTATTTCTCTTCGGGAATGTTTATGCCCCGACCCCGGATGTGAATGATTTCATCGAAGACAGGGATGGCATGCAAGATGAATGTGCGAACTACGTCTACATCAACGGTCCTCGACTTCCAAACTTCTATCTTTGTCGGCTGTTTACCTCACTCTGTACTTCGAGGACAGTCAAGGAATGGCTGAAGCTGCATATCGACCAGGGGTTTCCGGTCTTGAATTATGTCGATGTGAGGAGATTTATACAGTTTGGGGTGATCAAGGGGTTGATATACAGAGTACATAAGTATACGGTGAGTGCGCAGTACCTGGCTGGGCTAGTGAATGGTGAGAGGAAAGAGTGGAGAGAATGGAGGACTGGAGAAGGTATGGGACGGTTTGCAGATGGATGTCATTGTTTTGATCAGATTTGCGTGGAGAGGAATATCGGGGACGCAAAGATCATGGATCAGCTGTGGAAGTTTCCGAAGGGAGATGTGGAAATCATATATCGGTGATCCAGAGGGGAAATCGAGTTCTGATTTGGCACATATTGCGCTCCGATCTTTTGGGTAGATAGCAGCACATTGGGAACAGACTCGGAGGCATCAAACTGTATCTAGAGCTATATGTCGTGCTATGCTATTCTCATTACTATAAGTACTAGGTTCAAGTCGCCTATTTTACAAGTCATAACATCATGATAGTCATAATCAAAACAATGCCGTAACGGGTATCTTCATACCGTACCATATTTTTACGTTAAGCTTTTCCCAAGTGCTGAGTCCTCGAGATCTCCCCCCTCTCAATATCTTGGCTGACTCTCATTCTGAACCCTGTAGCCTTTTCTCTCTGCTGCTCCCTTTCTCTCTCTTCTCTTGTTTGAGCAGTGCCAGGCCTTCGACTGTTCATGCTAAGTCTCTCTCTTATCCACTCAGTCTCAAGACTTTTGGCCAGGCTTAGCGTCTGTTCGATCCTCAAGACATCGATGCTAGCCAATGGCTTATCGCCATTCGAAAGTCCATCTTTTCCCAATCGCTTCTTCAGTGCGCTCATAGCTCTCCACTTCCTAAAATATCTCCATGCTTCCACGATATCGTCCAGCCTCAAAGCAAGAACAATGAGTGGGATGCTGACAGCGAGGCCGATACCAAAGAGATATTTGCTGACGTATCCCAGTGGTAGACTCGGGCCTTGGTCGTTCCTTGGAAACTCTTGGATATTTATTGCGAAGAAGGCAGCAATAAAACTCAAAGGGAGGAAAATAATTGTCACAATTGTGAATACCATAATGGTCTGACTCTGCCGTGCACCAACGGCAGCTTGATCCCTTGCAAAGCGTGCTTCAAAAACATTGGCGTGTTTTTGTTTGAGATCCAGCATGTCTGTGATAGACTTGTAGATTCGTTCTGCCTGTCGATCCATTCGATCGATGTCTTTTAGGTGGATCTCGATTGTTTTGAGTTGGTCTCTGAAGCGTTTCTTGACATCCTGTTGACTTTTCTGCTCGTCATAATAGATCTCGAGAATCGCATCCCGTAGATTGACCAACACGTGTTCCTGATCTTCGAGAACTTTGGCAATCATGTTTAACTCATCTCGAATATCCTTTGTTTCTGCTAAGAGATCCGTTTCTTGTCCAATATCCAGGAGTCTGTCGACAAAAAAAGGACGACGCTGAAGCTCTTCGGCATCAAATTGCTCTTCAGCATTTTCGCGATCTTTCGCTATAGCGTCGGGGTCATAATGTAATAACTTTGAAGATCTATGCCATCGTCGATGATGAGATAGCCATTGTGAGGCTTGTGCTGAAGCTGCGTTGAATTCCTTGAACAAGACCGTTTCGCGATCTGTTGCATTTCCAATGCTGGATTCGAACATGTCGAGGAATTGATAGTCCTCGTCTCCCATTCGGTGTCTGTCAAAAACACCTGTACAGCGATTTGTGATGACCATAGCCAGGTCATAGACAGATTTTACTGGATCCCGGGTTTTGCTGTTGATGTCTTCAATGACACTATCAAGTCTGGAAAGAAGTCAGCACTACGGACGTCAAATATCACGGATCCAGGACGTTTTCGAATACTCACACATTCAATGGATCGTTCTTCGGTTGCTGCCATCTCTGCGGAAATGCAGTGACAATGAGATCTTTGCCCAGAACCCACATCCACAATTGGTCCACCATTACGACTTTCGGATCGACGTCCTCTGCCTCGCCTTGTGTTCTAACTTGATATCGGTAGACAACTTGATCTGTATCTCGACTTGATGTATCAATATTGTGGTAGAACGATTGATCCAATGTGCGACGAACATGTAGCGAGACCGTGGATGTGTTGAGATGTGCTCTAATGAGCATTTCATCGTATGTCTGAGCTTTACCAAGTCGGCACAGGGGTAACTTCATAGTCTCAGCTCGTTTGATAGCTTCTTGCATTTCCTGTCGGCGTCGAGTAGTCTCAAAATGCAGATAAGGCATGTAGGTAAAGACATTGCCTTTTTGTTGGGTAATCTCCTTTCGTGCAGCAGAGCCTGGCCGAGGGCTATCCGGACCATTGGATTTTCGTAAAGATTCAAATTTAGGGGTGTCGCTCCCTTTGGGTGACTTGTTGCCTTTCACATACGCCTTGTCCTATCGTTGAGGTTATAATCATGTTTTCTGAAGGAAAGTATAGTACGAGGGGTGAGAGCGGAAAATCGCGTTAGAAATCGGATCATTGCTTACCTTCTTACCTCTTTCATTTCTGTCGGTCTTGTTCTCCTTTCCGCTATGGCCAGGAGAGGTTTTGGACCAGTCATAACTGTCCTGGCGTGTAGGATTGCGATTTGGTGTTCTCGGTGCAGCATTCGGACCGTTGATAACAATCGTTGGTGGACCTTGTTCATTTGAGCTGTCACCCGATTCATCAAGCGTTTTCGGAATGCGTGGAGCTCGAGTCGTGCTTTGACAAAGTGGTCTCATGAAATGTGAGTGAGATTGCTGTCCTCGATGTTGGTGACTGAATGATCGCTCTAAGGCTTTGAAACCTTCTACATCACTAGCTCCTTCTTCGATGAACAATTTCGTTAAGAGCGCTTCAATCCAGGCCATGTTATTCGCTGGTAGATGTATCCAGCGGAAGTCTGAAGCCTTGTCATTCGGGAGGATGGTGAGCTTCGGTTTCCTTTCGTTCACTGGATCACGAGCATACAACAACTCTAATTTTGGTCAGCCAAACCGTATGTTTACCCATGAATACAAGATATGTCTCGAGTAACTCATGTGCTTCATGCTTCAAATGTCTTTCTCCTAACCAACAAATTTATTGCCAAATAGACAAACGTTGTCAGATCAGACACACAGACATGGCCTCTCCATAGTTATGAGAAGATGTGTAACACAGTTACGAGGAAGACTTTCGAGCCTAGCCACGACTTTGGAAAGAATGAGCTGCACTTACCAAAGATGGTAGGTTTCCTGACACGATTTTCGTTACGAAAGTTTCCAAAGTCAACAATCGTAGCATTGAAGCCATTGCAAGCTCCAAGTGCGTCTTCCGACATGGTATTATAGTCGAAAGGAGCAAGGAGAGCCACAATATCCTTCCGCTTGTTTTGGGCTGCTCGCAGAAATGGTGTGCTTCCAAAGGAATCTCGTACGGTTCTCTTAATCTCAGGGCGCTCTAGCAAGCATTTTACAACCTCGATATGACCACCTTGAGCAGCGATGTGAAGAGCAGTCATCCCGTTCAAGAGTTTGGCGTTGACATCCGATCCGGCTTTGAGAAGTATACGAACAATCTTCTCCGAGCCTATTTCGCAAGCGTTGTGAAGAGGAGTCCATGATCCGTCGCTCTTTGCCTGCACATCGGCACCGTGTCCAAGCAGTAACTCGACGATATCATCCCAGTCGTGTGCCGCTGACAAATGCATGGGAGTCTTTCCTCGCATCTCCACTGCATATACACTAGCTCGCGCACCCCTTGATCGTGCGAGAAGTTGTTGAGCAAGACCTCGTTTGCCAGTCGCACAAGCCCAATGAAGCGGTGTCTGCTTCAGTTAGCATGCGGCCATTGCAGGTTGGGTAAAGTCATCTTGTAAAGATAGTTGACTTACTCGGCCAAGTTTATCTTGTCCATCTTCTCCATCCAGTATTATGTCGTGTGCTAGTAAAAGCTCAACCACCGAGTCTCCCCATTGCATTTGTTTATCAGCACCCAGATTATGCAGAACATTCCTTCCTCTGTCGTCTTTTGCATTGACATTTGCTCCCTTCTTGATCAACAGCTCCAAGATATTCCAATGATTCTTCCAGGCAGCGGTCATCAAGGCCGTCCTGCCTTTCTTGTCTGCCGTCTCTGGGTTTGCGCCATACTTGAGCAGCAGATGCACGATCCCAATATTGTTTCTCTCGACAGCTTTCAACAGCGGAGGAGCTCTATTGCCAGTGGCCCCATCTGGGTTTGCACCATTCTCAAGTAGAAATTGTGTAGCTCCAACTTTGCCCCTCTCCGAACTTCGTATCAAGCCCTTTTGAAGGAAGCTCTCGTCCAGCTGTTTCCTGGTTTTAGCAGTTTCAAGGATTTGTCGCAGTTTCTCAATGTCGTCATCTTGTGCTGCTCGTAGTAGGTGAGGCTCGAGTCGTTCATTGTGATCGCTGGACTTCGATGTTGCACTGAGTCGTCGTTCCCCTTCTACTCGCGACATCGTCTAGGGAACATCCCAACAGATTGTTTCGAATTGACTCGGCACACTACAGATGACAAGATTAGTCGTCGTTGCATTCTTGTACAAATGCGACACCTGTAAGGAAAAGATCAAGGCTTACAAATACAGAGAGCGAGAGATTTTCTTATGAGTGGCGGTCGCAAATCATTCAGAATCGCCATTGCGGCTGACTGCAGGGGATCAAATTGCCGATTGCTGTGGCGGGGAAACGGGGGTTTTAGCGCATGTAAGCCTAACTCAACGACACTCTAGCAGAAAGTACTTATATCTTCGAACTACATTTCCAACCTCATTCTTCGTCGCATCGCAAAGTTTATTTATTTGTCGTGGGAGTTCATACTGTTGTCTTCATTTCGGGATCTTGAATGTCCTCCAATGAGGTAGTCCCTCAGCCCTCCCAGTCATTCGTGTATCGTGATGTCTTGTTCTGAGGTTGCTTTTCTTCCGTGCTTCAGTGTACCTCATTAGCATTCGACCAATAGATCATTTATGAGAAAGTCACCCACCTCGTGATATCTTTATCTTCTCTCTAAATGTCGAGCGACCACCCATCTCACCAGCATAAGCAAATAGTGAGTCAGCATCTCTAAGGAATACCATACTGTCGCACATGAGCGTAAAAGGCTGTGAGTAAAGACCAGAGGAATCCTGCACTGCCGCAATGGCACCTAACCTCATGTTGGAGGGAGTATTGGTATGTTGAGAACTTTGGCTGCGGGTGGGGGGAGTGTTGAGAAGAGAGGAGGATTCGAGAATCGAAAGAGGGCGTTTCAAATGAACTGGGTGGGTTGTGACGTTCTAGGAAGGCACGATGAGGAGTAGTGAGGGCAAGTGTGCGAAGTTGTGGCATTTTGGGTAGGCACGGTTTGGGTAGTGCTGTTTGCACTTCACTTGGGTAGGAACTATCTCGTCTTTCGAGAAGGCACGTTGTGAAGCAATGAACGAGCATCGAGTGATAAGAGCAAGTGCCTCCGTAAGAAATTGCAACTGGACTCGTTTCCATGTGGCAATTCGTTGTGCCAAATGAAAAATTTGCATCGAGTGGAGGAGTGCCTTCTCTTCTGTTCAAAAGCCATTGTCTCACGCTAGCATCAGCGATGAAATTGGTGATCAAGGGAGTTCCTTTCACTCCTGGAAACTCAAGGGCATGACCAAGTCAGAAAAAGAACGCTGCTATTGCTGTTTTGCTATGGACGGGTTTATCTCGTGAATGGTGTAGTGCCTTCCACAAGCGTTGTATCTGCTGCACTGCCCACCAATATTTTGCATAATCTCGAATGTACAACCAAAGGGAAATAATTGAGCATCTTGACTCCAGACTGGCAAGTGGCCATCTGTATCCAATCTGCGAATGCTATGTGGACTAACCCTCCATGAAGAAGTCGTCGATGTCGTATTCAGGGGCTCGACGTGAGACTCGCTTACCTAGCCGACATTAGTATTGTACAGCAGAGGGTATATACTTATGTAGAGGACTTGCCTGCGAATCTCAAGGATAACATCAATTCATCGAGTCCAAGCCCTACTCTACCAACATCCTTTGAGGTAGCATGCTCGGTAGGAGTTTCAGTTTTGGTCTCAGTCTCGCGTCCCGAAGTGCTGGTACTCGCGTCGACATAGCAAACCATAGGCAGGATACCAGGCTTTCGGATGATACGAGTCTCTCCACTGCATATAATATTAGTATTACAGGCACCGACACGAATTGTACTGCTCCTAGTCCAATAATCTCCCTTCTAAGAATCGCAATAAACTGCATTCGTTTGCCTCATCTCACCCCCTGACTAGCATGCGAAAGACTTGCACTTCGTAAAAGAAGAAGCTTACCTGAGCAGAACTTGAAGATAGATGGTTTCATTCCGGGGTGGGCAATGGATAGCTGCGCTGATGTTGCCAGTCTTCTCGTTGTCCCCCATGGAAGTGTCGCTACTTTTGTTGAGATTCTTGGTTGCAGGACGGATCTCAACCTCAGGTTCTTCACCAGTGTCTGCTTCGTCGCTAAGTCCCGATTAGTTGTTTACACATCAAGATTTCAGTGTGTAATACGCACGAAGGATAGTCCATGTCTTCAAGATCTGGATAGCGCTCAGAATCACCTAGAGCCTTTTCGGAATACTCTGAGTTTGGTACGTCGCTTGGTGGACCTCTGAATCCTCGAGGACAGATGTAGTCTTTAGGTGAGAATATTCTTGGTGTGTAGTTATGTTTCACAATGTAGTAGAATTCGCTTTGACATGTTTCCATGATTGTGTAAGAAGGTTGCTAGCGGCCGATTGTTTGTCCGAGGTTTGGCGAAGAGTCATGGAGAAAGAGCACCACTTGTGGAAGGAGAAATGCAACCAATTTTTAAGACACTAGGCTGAGTGTAACTCTTTCCGAATCAGGAGATAGCTTGGTTCTGTCTGTGCTTCTAGCATTGAGTTAGCATCTAGTGAGGTGAACACTTGAAACTGACCATCTGGTTTTACAGAGTCAAGTAATGATGTCATGGTTCCCGTACCTTATGCTTGATTTTGCACAGGCCGTTTGCAGTACTCCAGTCTTTGACTGCGCGTGTAGTGCTAAAGATTTCAAAGGAACGCTACGTTTCTTCTTCAACTTTATAACATTCGCTTCTCATTACAACATAGAAAGCCTATCAAAATAAGCGAACAGGACCCCCAAGCTCGCCTAGTCTTGCAGCAAGTAGCAACAAAGTCATAGACTTGTAAATCTTCACATTCATGTCCCTCCTAGCAAGATACTCATCCATAATGATGGCCGCGTTTGCCATAACCATATCCTCCTCCATACCCACCATGTCCATGCTTGCCATAGCCCCTCACAGCCTCATTGACCCCAACATCTGCTTCATCTTTGTCTTCTCTCCGCCAATGTTTGCCGGACCACCCGCCCCATCCGCCACCGTGACCACCATGCCCATACCACTCCCCATTCGTCTTCACCATGTCATCGTCACCTTCAGCAGCTACATCAGCAGTATCGTCTGCTTCAAGGACGTCATCTCTCTTGTAATGTTTTCCTCCTTCCCCTCCTTGGCCTCCTTTTCCACCCTTCCCAGGCTTTCCCCTATAGCCGTTATACCCTCCTCCATGTCCTTTCCCCTTATCCTTATTCTTATCATCATCATCATCGTCGTCGTCGCCGTCGTGGTCGTCATCATCATCTCTCTTGAACTGGACGTCACGTTCTTCAGTGAGGACCGGAGCTACGATGGGAAGAGTTGGCAAGAGAGCATTTCTAGGAGCGATCTCATTGTCGGGAATCTGGACCAAGATTAGTCTAATGGTCAAGTGAGACTAGGGACTGGGAGCTCACCGCCAATGGAGCAGCCATTGCAAGTGGGGACGCTCCCAGCGCTGCAATGCAGAGAAGAATGTTCTGAACGAGCATGTCGAAAATTTTATGAGGGTGCTAGAGATTGTTGATGGTTGTACTGAAAACTGAAGCCAAAGCTGGTGAAGAAGGAAGACCTCATGCACTGAGAAGACTCTCATTATATAGATAATTTCCTTGTTCTGGACCTCTCGGCCTCAAGTGAGGCTTTCATTCAAAAAGGTAATTGATGCCATTAGCTTTGTGGCTATTCTTGAAGTCCGAGCATGCGAGAGTTGCCGATATCCAATAACGAGGCTTAACTTTGAGAGATTTTGATCACGAAAGCTTCATGGAGGCAATGCTGTACTGTACACTCGTAAGCCAAGGCATAACTCTGAGGTCATCGCTGGGGATCTCTTCTTGTCGATGGGAGTCCAGATTTGATCTTGTCACCGCCTCGTTGGGTGAGATGTTTTCCAGGTACGGAAGACGTAAGTGAGAGTGCAGTGGTCAGTGAAGCAAGGCAGGTCGAACTTTGGTGATGATTCTTGATTGGCTAGCTTCTGACCTTGAAGCTTCATTCCAGTATCCAAAGCTCGGAGAGAGTGAAGAAACTCTCGCAAAATCGGATCGGGCATGGGTGAGTTCCGAGTGCCAAGCTTCGAGTCCGAAAGCTTCACTAGAAACACTAGCCTCTTGACATGGCAGTGAGAACCTTCGCCTGAGCCCCAAAGTCGACTTGTGATGACATGCCTGTGCGGGTCGAAACTTACAGCCAAAATATAGTCTTTAGGTCATTTGGAACAGTCTCATGTTCTTGATACAGCAGATGTAGCAGTATTCCAGATGACACGGAACATTGAGATGAACTTCTAAATGAAGGTTGTCCCACGCAAAGATCAATTGACAAACAGAGGTTCATCGAAGCTAAGGGGAAATCTCCTCAAGATTTCAAGTCACAGCAGCCATGATCATGATTTCCAGCCAAGAGATCAAAGGTTGTCAAAGACTCGGGCCCAAAACTAATCTCCAAAATGTCTCTAAGGTCATCTGCATCCGCAAAGTCCGGCGCATACTTCTGCAGCTACAGAGGGATCATGAATCTTTCGCATGAAGACAGAATAAGATTAAAGTGTGCGGGATGTGTTCATATATTATCAATCTGGTTAGTGCGGGGTAGCTACCGAGCCCAACACGAGTTCCTGGAGCTCGAGTTGAGGTTCAAAGAAAGTTCGCCAATCGGTTTGATTGGCATGCCTGCGAGCCAAGTCTTGGCATGGGAATTTGTTGGTCTTAAGGCTCGGCATTAGGCTTCGTGATCCGAACTCCACACTACAAATCTGGTGGAATTGAGAGGGCATATGAGAATTGGCAAACAAGACCGTAAGATTTATCAACTGAAACCTCATTCCGCACCTCGAGGTCAACTTGGCAAGAAACGTGAATTAATTCATGTCTTCATCAATGCGGTCTATTAAATCTATTCCCTGCAACGCCTCGAACACAACTTATCTCTCGCATTCTCGGATTATAATTCTTGTCTTCTTACCTTCTCGCCTTTGGTGTATACATCATAACACCACCTTGATCACGCTCAAAGTCGCTTGAAAACCTTCCCAGCAACTCAAAACCCACACTCCGATACATCATTTCTCCAGCCGGGCTTGATTCCAACCCCACAACCACATTCTCCGCCTCCGCCTTCCCAATAATTTCCGTCATTAACCTCTTCCCCCCTTTCCTCCCCTGATATTCCTCTCTAACAACCACGCTCAGAGCATGCCACCTATTCTCCCTCTCCGGCTTTCCATCCCAATGAATCTTCCTATCAGCTTTCCCCCACTCAACAAACATCACCGCACCTTTCTTATCCTCAGACTTATCTCCTCCCGCAAGGAAATTAACAATCCAAAACCACACCACCCCGTATAGTAGACTCCAAATCCACATCCCGATCCTCTCTAAACGAGAATGACTCTCAATCTGCTTCCTCGCGCCCTTGTCATTGCCCAATCTAACAAATGTGGCATACCCGACAGGCAAATCTGGATTACTCTTCGTGCAAAGCACAAAAGTCAGGCTTCGCGGGTCAAGCAAGCGTTTTTGAGCCCGTTGAACGAAACCACGTTCCCAGTCTTGAGGGTATTGGTAGCGTTTTGGAGCGACGAAATGTGAAAGTCGAGTATGCATGTAAGTTGTTGCTGCGATTCTTCCAATTTCGGGTCCATCCCAGAGACGGCGAGCTTCTCTGACGATCAGCTCTTCTTGGTATTTTGGGACTGTCTTTTTAAGAGGAGAGGTGTGGGCTTCAACAGCTATGGCGTCAGTTGACGATGTAGACATAGTGCATGAGACTCAGGAGATTGATGTCAAACGAGGATATCCTCTGGGGCAATTTGATATATCTGATCTTGGAAGTACAAGAAAGATTCGGAGTGACTCACGCCGTCTTATACTCAAAAATTTCTTAGCTGCGATTTAGCGACCCAGTTTTAGCGACCAAAAAAAGGAGGTGGAAGGCGCAGAAAGGTATGTATCACGTGTTCAAGATGCATCCCACCTTCCTAATTGGGATCGGTGAGGCTTGACGAGTCTTGGTCTTCGCCTTCTCGGTTTCTTTTGTTGCTGCCTCGAACGTTGACGTTTGTACTTATCTGTCCACCTTAATTAACTTCCTTTAAGATAATATCACAATGGAGCTGAGCATGGTTGCCTACGAATGTATTTGGATCGACACCTTTGGCCAACGAACCGATTGCAAGTGGTGCGATTGAGAAAGACGATAGATAGTATCATAGCACTTAGCATAGTATTTTCTGCATGTATCCCAAGGACGAAAGCAGCGCATCCTAAGGATGACCGTCTAACGCTAGAATAGGGGATACATTCCCATCCGGTCTCAACTCTCGTTCTCGCCGTCACCAGTCTGGAACCAGCTCCTGGCCATCCTCACTTTTTCGTGCTCTTCGGCATCTTCACCCTCTTCGCTTGATGACTACGAATTAACTAGTAGTCCATAGCCGTCTGTACGTTCCATGACTTCTCGTCACCCCTCTTGAACTTTTCATCCTCGGCGTCAATAAATTCATCTTCGTTCTCCTCCTCTGCTTCCTCATCGTACGCCTTCATCATCTAACAAATGTTAGCAACTTGTTAATCAATGATATAGACATATACTTTTATAGTAAGTTTGTCAAATCCATAATCTATAACTAAATCTATCACTCGTCAGATAGGGCCCCAACAAGAGTGCCGGGAAGCAAAACCGACTATTACCTAGGTAGGTAAGTGCTTCCTTAAGGGAGGGAGATCGCTTAAATGACCCACTCCAGTTAGAAGGTTTCGGGCGACGATGTGCAGGTGCTTCGGAAAGCATAATCACAAGCTATATTTGTCAAATTACCTACCTAAGTAGTTTGATGGACAAGAAGAGAGCAACCCCGAAGGTTTGACTAATGTGGCTCAGAGGTAGCTCTCTTAGTTTTGCACCAACATGCCGAACAAATCAATGAATAGTTACTTCTTTTGTTTTCTTTCTAAAAAAAACTCCAAGGATTCGCACATGTTAAAGAATTGTATTGACTAAGCATAAGTATGTTTTTGTTTCATTCCGCTATTAGCTAGCTGTGCAATAGCTGCTTAGTAGAAAAGTGTGCTCGTGGGGTGAATGGAAAATGAAAATAAGAAATGACCTCCAGACATAACCTCAAAGCAAGTAAGTTCTCCCTTTCCAGCCAGAATTGACTAATCTACCGCTTGAATATCGCTCTATTCAGAGCTCCATGTCCGATATTAGAGAGCTTGTGGGGTAAGCTGGGTACTGTTAACAAAGGTTTCGTATTTTCACTGGAATAGTATATTGGAACTGACAAACATACGTTCCTTGCCAGCTTTTCTCGTCAAAATGGGTGATTTTCTGCCACGATCGCGGCACCAGCCTCCTCAAGTAACTTCACTCCCGCCCACATTCCCTCCCACACACCGACAGATGTGTCATTTGATTCATCTGTAAGCTCGATCTAGATTAATAATTAGCAACTCGACATCTTGGAGAGAATATTCGTGGAGGACACATGCCTTCTTCTCCTCGCTTGGCAGTTTTTCTTGGCTCGGAGTTGCAACTTCTAGTGCCTCTCCTGCGACCATTTTACCTGCAGTCTGAGTATCTTCCTCGATTCCTAAACTGTCCGCTTGCGCACACATTGGTGTATCGGGTGAAATACCATTGTTCGGCGTCATCGATGGCCCATCGTTTACTTCACCTCGAGAAGTATCTGTTTGCAAAGGTCCAAATACCAGAGCCAGATCTGACAATTCAGGGTTCTCCCATGAGTTGTCTATTAGTTTGAGTTGACGATCCACCATTTGACTGTTTGGGGACTTGTTGACAACAGCTGACTCAGCAGGCTTCGTCAAATCTGCGATTTTGGCCAGACTCTTGTACAATGCGGTTTTCATAGGGTCCCGTCTATCCACTTGCTCCCTGAAAATCTCTAGCATGATGTACTCTGTCTTCGAAAGGAGGATCCCGGTTCTGTTGAATAAATGAATCCTCAGTTGTCTCAACTTGTCGTCATCTGTAAAAATTATCCCCAATGTACCCCTTCTCCACGCTTCGATCGTGGCATTCTCTATCTCTTCTGGACTCAGCTCCTGGTCTTCCCAATGTTTCCCTGGGGAAAGCCTGGGAACTCTAGACTGAAGGTTAGGACATTTCCACATTTGACAGATAGGAAGAGACAAACGTTTCTTCGCCGGCACTCATAGCGACCGATAAATTCTCAACTGTCAATTGTGTGTGTAGGAGATGCTGGATGACGAAAGTAATAGTCGATGCCAAGTTGACCAAGTGTTGAATATGAGATCAACTAATCTTGAGGCTATGAGGCTAGGCTGACAAACGGGTCGTGAATCTGAATCAGGATCGTTTGACTGGAGTCGAAAGAGGCTGGAAAGTGTCTAGATACTCAGCGTGAATAGTAAATTGTGGATCGAAGTATGTAGCCAAAACCAGGTTCGTCAAGATAACGTGAGGTAAGCAGAGAGTTGAGGTAGATTGATTTGTCAAAGTTGTCGCAGAATCCGAAGCTGAAGTAGAAGAGAGTGGAAGTAGGGTGGAATTGTAAGAGTTGGATTGTAGGAAGTGGAGTGAGTTGACAAAAAGTAGGATGAAATCGAGAGTCAAGCAACGCTTTTGAAGATGAAGGAGGCTGGAGGGTGTTCAAATAGTCGGCAGAGATAGCGAATTATGGAACGAAGCATGTGGTCAAATATAGACTTGTTAGGATAGCGCGAAGTGAGAGAGTTGAGATAGAATAATTTGTCAAATGTGTTTCTAAGTGTCGAGGTTCAGACAGAAGAAGGAAGTGGAGTCGAATTGTGGGAAATAGAGATTGGTTGTAAGAATTAAAGTGAATTAACAAAAGGATCAGTTGAAGCTGAGAGTTAAGAAGTCTGTCTAGTTTGTGGTGTTCAAGTTAAGTTCAATATTGGGATGGACGAGAGATATCTGGATTTCTGAAATAGATAGAGACTAGAAAATCGAAAGTGAATTAATTATGCTCTTCCGATTACTATTGGTAAATATTAGTTCTCTTCAGGATTTTGCCAAATTAGGCAGTGCCGAGATTTGACAAATAAGATCATTACTTATGCAAATGGAGCTATATTTTCCTAAATTTTGAAATTTGTTAAATCCTTAGTTCATCACTAAGTCCAGCATTTGTTGGATACTTTCTATTATTTCAGAGGGCGTATCACAAATAAGAAGACAGTGATTTTGTTGAGTTTCATTAATTAATTGATTTGCCAGGATACTAAGATCCACATGCAAACGAGATGAACTTAGTAATTATATCCTCCTTGACTGCTATGAATCAAGATTTGCAATGTAAATCGAAGGCTTACCACTGGAGAAGTAACCGGAGAAAAGCTATCTGACAATCCGCAACCCTCTATCACCAATGTTGTTTGTTAATAGCTCGGAGTTTGTCTGATTGCCCTTAACATCCAACTGCTTGGCCTCTTGTTCACCCATGTCCTGCTCGTCATCTTGCACATCGTCAACAATCAATCCCTCCACGGGTGTAACACCAACTTCGGCACCAAGTTCAGTTAGTCTCTGCTTGGCATCTTCTTGACGTTGGGTCAGCAGCTTTCTCTCCTCTTCGATAGTAAATCGGTCGATGACTTTGGTGTAAGGCGATTCGGTGAGAGAGGCATCCTCAGTGATGACGCGGTCCAGTACTACGGTCCAGTAGCATTCTAGTTACATATATAAACTTAAAGTAAAAAAATGTATTATTATTAAGCGTTTACTTATTGTCAAATAATATAGTGCTATGATTCAACTCCTCTCTCTTCCAAATATATGAACCCCCAAACTGCACAATACCTATTCCGATTTTCGTGACACAGAAATCAATACAAAAGAGACGGTTAGTGCCGCAGTACGTAATCCCATGTTATTTGATACTACGCTCCGGTAGTGTTCTTGCTGCATGTATAATTTCAGGGTGGGGAGGTTTATAGTGGTTATGCAAGAGAGGTTGTTGTTATTTAATGTTTGTTTATTGTCAAGTAAAGTAGTGCTGTTGTTAAATTCTGCTCGTTCTTTTCCTCCCATCCCCCAAACTATTTATGAATCATTGAAAAATAAAGTCCTTATTCTTTTTCTAACTTACTTCAGGATTGGCTATTACTTTACTTTTTGCCCAACATTCTTATTGTCCTATCTTTGTAGTAAATTCACCAAAAAAGGCTACTTTTACCAAAGGTTTATTTACTGTCAAGTAATATAGCACTATCATTAACTTTTGGTTGTTCTTTTCCTCCCAAGCCTACTTCAATAACAACAACAAAAAAACTAGCAAAGTCCTCACTTTCACAACCCACTTCAGCGCTAGCTATTTACTCACCTCTACCAAACATTCTCTTCGCTATCCTATAATTACTGATAAAAAAGCACGTCTTTGTTCCAGTACTTTGAAGTAACCAAAATCTGCTGAAGTTCATCCCAACCATAATCGCCTCCTGTAGCATCAAATCGTAGACTCACGTATGCTGTGCCCACGTCTTACTTTCCAACGTCTGGTCGATCGAGATCTCTTTTAACAATAGCAATGATAAGTGTTAGACAAATATTCCAAGAAGCACATTTACTTGAAACTAAAGAGTCCCATATCCAAGACAAACTATTAAAGCTGATATGTTAAGTACGTGACATAAAATACTTACAAGGAAGTGTTGCAGAGACAGAAGCTTGGGATAGTGATATTAATAGTAAAGAGGAAAAGCGGTGCTAAAATAATCAGCTCTCGGGTTTCTTGTATCTGTTATACTCCTTGTATAATATTAGCAACTGAGCATTAAAATCAACGACGTCTTGACAGTCGGTGGCAAATTTGTGGGTTAATAAGTAAAACTATCGTTTATAGTTCACAGCAATACGACCTTTCAGAACCATTTTCAGATTTCCTATCTCTCTTACTTCTTCAATCTATTGCTCGAAACATTCTACGGCTCCATTCCCTCTGACATAGCGGTGTTCAAGATAACTGAACCCCCTTTGAAGAAGAAACATGCGTAGCTAGAGCGGAAGCTTTATTCTCAGGACAGACAATTTCAGAACTTAAAGATTTTAGCCTTCAAACTAAAGAATTAAGGCTTAAATGTCAGGTAAATAAAACAAAATATTCTCAAAATAGAATGTCTATTTCTGAGACAGACATCTCAGAATCAAAAAGTCTCGTCCCCAAAACGAATAATCAGGGAAGAAATATCAGGTATAAAGAAAAAGTGATTCGCAGAGCAGGAGCTCTATTCCCAGGACATACATTTACACTTATCACAAGTTAAAACTCCATATCAACACTTTACTGTCTAATAAATCAACGCATTGAATCAATCAATTTGATTGATTCAACTACTCTCTACATGACCCACTACCCCACCCCCATTCTCTCTGCTCAAGAAAACCACCCACCACCCTCCCTCTCCTCCTCTCTTCTCTCCTCAACATACTCTTCTTCTTCTCTTTCCTCTTCTCTCTCCCTCTCACCCCAGCCAGCTTCATTTCCGCCACCATATTCCTGCTCTCTAGGCGGATCCTCGAATCCCCTCTCGCCATATCCCTGCTGTCTCGATGGTTCTGTATAACCGCCACCGAAGCCGCCTCCACCTCCAAATCCACCTCTACTACCGCCATATTCGTCATTCCTGCCATATTCTGGCTGGCGTGAGGGCGCGGTATAGCCTCCACCAAAGCCACCTCCTCCCCCGAAGCCGCCTCTACTTCCATATTCTTGTCTTGGTGGTTCTTGATAGCCCCCACCAAAACCTCCTCGTCCTCCATACTCCTCATTCCTGCCATATTCAGGCTGTCTCGGAGGTTCTTGATACCCACCACCAAAATCCTCCCTCCTAGCCTCAAACTCCTCGACGTTCCCACTATGATGCTTCTTATGATGATGGTTCCTTCTCCTCTTCTCCGAATCATCACTATCGCTCTCTTTATGCTCCCTCCAAACCTCCGTCTCAGCCTCAAACCCAGGCCTCTGCGTAACCCTCTCCGTCGTCCGCTCAAAACCCCCTCCATAGCTCGGTTGCGTCTGCACCCTCTCTTCAAACCCATAGCCACCGCCTCTCTCCTCCTGCTCGAACCGCTTATACTCCGTCTCCCTACCTCCACCGGGATACGCCGTCTCGCTATACTGCGCTTGCGCGTACTGATTCCCACTATGTCCCACTTCCGTATAATTCTGCGTAAAGCCTCCTCCGGCCGTATATCCCTGGCCTGTAAACGCTCGACTTTCAGGTTGTTCTTCATTCGAACCGCCAAATGCGCCAGATAGCAAGCTTCCGCCCACGGCGCCGGCGAGTCCAGAGACGATGGTACCCAGTGCTCCACCACCAACAGCTTCTTCGGCGAACTTGCTGATTTCGTCGTTTCCGCCTCCGCCTCCGAGAGCAGAGGAAAGGAATCCAGAGCCTCCGGCACCAGTAGCAGATTTGGCCATCCCGAGGGGCTTTCCACATCCATGGCCTGTGTCGTGAACACCTTCTTTGTGATTCTCGCCGTTCATGACTCCGTCTCTACTCAACTGTCTCCTGAGATCATTCTGCTCGTACTGGCTCTTTGAGCGCCACCATTGCTCCACGACAGAGAACATGAGATGCCGACCTTCTGATGCCCCATCGTCGCCGAAGGCGCGTTGAGCTGGGTGGTGGAAGACGCCGTTGATGATGCGGGTTATCGTGCGGTTGGGGTCGATTCGCTCGTCGTCGATGGCGAGCATTAGTTGGGGGACGACCCATTTGAGGACTTGGGAGGCGATTTTACCGGCTGGTTCGTCTTGGGGTCGTTAGTCTTGAGGATCTCGGCTTTTTTGGAGGAATAGAGGTAGGATATGACTTACTAAGAACATTGGAGAAGTGATCTTTGGAGAGCATAGAGTGCGTGGGATCTGAGGAATTGGGATCGTTGAAAACGATGAGCTGCTTTTCTTTGCTGCTTTGGATGATTTCCGAGGAGCCTTCATTGAGTTCGGTTTTGATCTGCTCGATGATTGGAACAACAAAGGGGGCTAGTAGTGAGAAGACGAAGATGTTGACTTGATTCTCGATGTTCTCAATCAGGTCTGGAAGAATTGGGATTTTCTCCTGTTGAAGAATTAGTACGGCCTCTGAAAAAGGATCGAGGAGCAGTGTCCCAATAGTCCAGTCCTAAGATTTGTCTTGAGAAGAAGGATGATTTTGACTTACGATAGTCTCCGTGATACCTTGCATAATCTCATCATGCCATTGAATGATGGGATAGATCTCCTTAGATACCTGCTGCATTTGCCTAGTCCAAGCTTCAGGTTGACGAGGAGAGACTCGCATCTGGCTCATTTGAGCAGCCGTTGCATTTGTTTGGAGCTCATCAGCTTTGCCAGCTTCGTCTTTGCCGCCAAAGAGACCAGATGGGACAGAACTGAGAAGCTCCTTCAACATGCTTGTGTCGGCACGATTACCTTCTTGCAAGGAACCTTCGAGTTCTTGGAGCTCACTTTGTGTTGCTTTGTCGTCGAATTCGCCCATGACGGAGTGAAGGAAGTCTACTCCTCCAAATGTACCTGTTACGATTGGATAGACTGGATGCTGGGTACCTTGGAGTCGGATGGCTGTATTGCGACCAACGTGAGGGAAGACGTCACGCTCGCCCATTTCAATGAGAGCCAATTCAGTGTAGTTGCTATGTGCAGAGTAATCTGGACCATTAGCTCTAGTACCATTTTGTCAAGAGTGGTGATTTACCTTCGAGGCAATGAAGACCAGTACCAAGAAGACGTAAGGACTCGTAAAGCTCATCCTTATTCCTGCTTCGAGCATACGATCTGCCCAGCTGGATACATCTTCCAAATAGTTGACGGACATGCAAAGCAGAGGTCATAATACCAGCTTGCTCGTTTGCAATATAGTTCTTCAATCCAGTTCTCGGATCAATAGCCAGTTCTACGCGTTCATTGACCGGCCCACGAAGTCTAGGATCATATTGTGTAGCATCAAGGTTATCTGCATAGTCTTTAGGATTATCGATATGGTCTTCTGGGCGGTAGCAGCCAAGTCTTTCTGCAGTAACTTCGAACTCGCGTGTCCCGTATCCGAAAGTCATGAATCCGAGGACCCAGAGGAGAATGCGGATAGCTTCGGCGGAAACATATTTGACGGTGCCAACATCGATTGCCTGTGCTGCAAACGGGGAGAGTCAGCTTGAGTTTGCAGGCCGAGGGAAGTTTGGAAGTCTTTACTCACAGTAATCGCGCAACCAATTACCAAAGTAAACTCTGGCTACATTCATCTTGTCAAACTTTTTCCCGCCTGCAGCTCTTGACATCATGAGTGTCAATAATGTATCCTCAATATCTCCATGGCGCCCTAAAAACTCAGTCAGCCGATTTTCAGCTCCTGCAACGGGCACACGAACAATTCAGTCCTTCCACCTTTGACACACTGGCAATATTCCCTGCACCGAAAGCATGAGCTGGACGTGCCAGAAGCAGAAGGATAGCTAAAGTTAGCACTGCCGTTGAAGTGCTGAAGGACGGCATCTTGTCTGTTGTGTTGTGAGTGATTATGATTCGCGATGGAGGGGCAGCTTTGAGAAGAAAGAGTTTGTGGCGGGGTCGTATTATTTGTGTGAACGCCAAGGGTTTCAACGATATGTGCCAAGTGCACGATGGCCACTCAGCATTGGCAATGGGGCCACAGAAAAAGAACACTGCAGCTGAGTACGAGAGAAATCGGGAAAAGAGAAGCGTGCTTGGATGCAGAAGCTGACGTTGTTGAGCTGCAGGTTGTGTGAGGGCAACAAGCAGAGATCCCGTCATCAACAGACGCGATATCAGACGGTAACCCACGATAGCAGTACCTACGCTGCAGCCGAAGCAGTGAATGTGGAAGCTTTACAAGCTTCAGCTATCACCGCCGTCAGAGCTGTTCCGTGTGTGGGCTTGGCAGGATTGAAGGTGTTGTACAGCAAAGCTTCCCGGGGTCAAACCACTGTTGGTGAAGCTGACACGGATATGTGGGGGAGAGAGAGCAAACGAGTTCAGCCCGACGATGTCGGTCTTGGTGACGAGCATTTAGGCGCCGACGAGGACACACTTCACTTCTTTTGGCGGCAGCTTCGGGAGCATGCGGGGTAGGGAACGGATATCTTCAAGGGGATGATGGGAGGGAAGGACTTCATTCAGTGCCGTCGCCAGCCAGTGTCTCAGCATGTCACACCCATGGCTCTCGATCACAACGGTCTTTTCCACCACCATCGGCATTTCAGGGCGAAATAGCGGACTTTCTTTGCCAGGTTGTCATTGCTGCTGTTGGTGATGATCATCACGTTTTCGATTCCCACCAAGTCCCTCCCACGCCAGCTCTCCTCCGAGCTCGCCGTAGGCCACACACCACACACCACACACCACACACCACACCACATCAGCCGCAGACCTATGCGGTCCATCATATCTGGGGCTGCATCACTATCGTCAGCAGTCTCAGCACAGCACAGCACCGCACACCATCAACCCAGCTTGGGGATAGCTTCAGAGTCTGGGATACGAGCTCCATCGACCCCTACCCACTGTTTCACTATTCGATCAGTATCTGCATGCTACAAGAGCAGCTAGACGCTCACCACGATCCTCGATCACCATGATGTACTGACCGAATAGGCCTTCCAACCTCCCCAAATACAAATAGGCTCAAGCCTCGCCAGAGTGATACGTTACAATCGACGATCGATGGGCGGGCACAGTACAGCACACCGCAGGGCAGCACACACTCAGCGACGGGGCTCCCCAGGTCTACCAACCAGATGGCAGCATCAGCTCGCATCGCATCCTGTATTTCTGGGAACAAGGGAACGAAGGCGCCGGGAAATCAGGGAGGTTGGCACTGGCACCAATGCTTCCTACGTTCCGGCGCTTCTTCGTTCCCCATAGTCGTCGACGCCCGCACTCGAGAGACGCCCAACTGGCAGCAGGAACAGATGACTGCAATCAGGTCCAAGAATCAACCACAAAATAGAGCGCAGATGGATTATCTGTTCATGGCAAAAGTATCACTAAATGATTCTGAACTTCACAAAGCGATAGATGAACTTTCATCGAGGTACCCTTTCACATCCATTTCTTCAGTCAACCCGCTGTGTAATTCCTGGCCCTGCTAGCCTGGTCATCGGAGCCCAGCTTGGGAAACTCGCTAAGGTGGCCCGACATCACTGTGAAAAATTCGCGCGCAACCCGCCAAATCCTTCTTTCTCCCCCAGAAATCCCCTCGAACTTCATCCATCCGTGGGCTCTTCAGTGACCACAGCACATCAATTATCACGCCCACCACCACAACACCACAGATCCATCATCATGGCACGCGCCAAGAAGGCCGAAGACAAGCAGAAAGAAGAGAAGACCCTTTCCATTGATGTCGATAGCTTCGTTCGCACACGCGACTCGGTATGTCCTCCTGCTCCTCCATTCCATCCCATCCCCATACCCGGCGCATATCATCTTCAATCGTTCCCTCGTCCTTGAAGACCTTCCGCCACTTCTCTCCTCCCCCCGCGCGCCGCACATCACAACATCAACTGGTCCAACACGCTCAGAGACTTCGAATCCCGCATTCCCATCATCCCGCGACCCTATCGTGAGCGTGTCTCTCGTCTGCGACTCATAGTTGACCTCGCTGCACGTACGCGCTGCTCATTGTTTACTTCGCGTCCGGCGATGTCAACCCCGCGCCTCTCACTCGATGACTACTACTTGAATCAACAGACACTAATGTGGGCAAAGGTTGTCACTGGTCTCGCGACGCTCCAAGATGCCATCCAAACCCTCTCGACCGCCTACATCAAGCATACCAACGCGGTCCTCGGAGAGCACGGCGCGGGTCTCGATGTTGACTCTGCTCTAGCCAAGCTCGGGGAAAACCCACTCTTCAAGCTGGGAGAGCAATCCAATCGCGCGGCCAGTCCTGAGAAGTCTGCACCCGCTGAGGTTCCTGCCGACAAGAAGGAACGCAAGAAGAGACAACATGATCCCAATGCTCCCAAGCGTCCTCTTACTCCCTTCTTCCTATACATGCAGACCGCACGTCCCATTATTGCCGCAGACCTCGGAGCAGATGTAGCCAAGGGAGCTGTGAGCAACGAGGGAACCAGAAGATGGGGAACAATGGCGCAAGATGACAAGCAGGTAAGTTTTCCACTCTTCAATTGGGATCCATCCTAACAACCTTAGCTCTGGACCAATGCCTACAAAGACAACCTCCGTCTCTACAACGCCAAGATGCACTCCTACAAAGCCGGCAACCTCTCAGCCAAAGACATGACAGACGAGCAAGCCGCCGGCTATGCCGACGAGCACAACATCTCCACTGACAACACAGCCGATGCCCAATTGGTCGGAGAGTCCTCAGCAGCAGCTCTCAACGACGAGGATGCCGAAGGTGAGCCAGACAAGGAACCCACACCACCGCCCAAGACCCCCAAAGCCAAATCCACCCGCAAGAGCAGGGGCAGTGCTAAAGAAACCCCTGCGGCTCCAGAGACCATCGTCCCTCCCGCGAGCTCTAGCATCGTTCCTCCCAAAGCCGCAGCAGAGAAAGAGAAGAGTCCAGATAAGAAGCGGAAGAGATCTAACAAGAAGGGAGCCGATGAGCCCGTGAGCACGATTGAGAAGGAGGACGCGGTCGAGACGCCCAAGAGCGCGCCGAAGCCCAGGAAGAAGAAGGCGAAGGCTGATAATTAGACCTTTCGTTATTCCTTTTTTCACGTTCTTATGACCTTCTTATCTTTTGCTTGCTGGAATGAAAGGAGGGTGCATTCGTTGTCTCATACTAAGGAAAATGGTACATGGTGGTTTTTGGGTTCGGTTTACTTGCGCTTCATGGGTGGATGGGATTTTCTTCTCATGGTGTGGCTGGATGGATGGCTGGCTGGGGTGAGTGGGAAGAAGATGGGTAGCTAGTTGGCAGTACAATTGTTTATTGGCTTGGCTTAGTCGATTGCTTGAATGAACATACCCATTCATATTCTTTTGTTAGTTGAGTAGATTGAGTTGGTGTTATTGGATGAGTGGGAAGTTTCCTATATCAATTTGTGTGTAAATGTCTGGGCTAGCCATAAGTACGGCGCTTTTATGATTGTCCAGGAATATCCTGGTCTTTGAGAGACTCTGATACCATTCCTTTTTTCGGCCTCGAGGTCACAAACTTCAATTGCGTTGCAAGTACTTTATAACCTTAAGCTTCACTCGAAAATCGGCATTTCAATACTTCAATCCATTTTCAAATACTTCCCTGCCCCGGACTTTACTTCACCCTTCCTCAACCCTGGACTCAGCACTTAGCTATCAAATTCAAGTGAATCTTCTTCACCCCTGAAACCCGAAATTCAATAACCTACTCAAGTGAATCTAACCTGCTTCCTCCACTTCTCTTGAGCTTTCTTGGAATACCTACCTATATAAACAACCTCCCCTCCCTCTCACCATCCATAAATCAAGGAACAGCCTCTGTTGTCCCATGTGGTTCTGGAGCCTTTTCCCTCATCCCGCTTCCACGTGGAATTTGGGAGTTCTGACTGCGTACGATGGGAGATTTGATAGGTCGGGTTGGAGTTTGTGTTTAGAGGAAGCGGGAGGGGTTTGCTGTTGTCAAGTTTTGGGTTTGTTGTCAAATACCTACATTACCTCTCTCTCTCTCTCTCTCACCCAATATTTGCGCTCCATACATGGCTCTGCATATCTCAAGACATATGTCGCATATACCACGCACCTAGTACATCTTCTTTTGGTGCTCGAATATTGTTAAAGAATCCGGAGAAACTTCGGGCGGTCGGGGTTTATATAGATTTTAAGGAGAGCTGTTGGACGGTGGACGGGTTTTCGGGGTTGTGTTACGGATTACCTGGATCACTTGGTTGAAGATCACGTGAGCCCCTGGGTATACACCACCTCGAGGCTAGATGAAGACCGTCACTCTAGCTCCACACCCCGGCACATCAGCAGGCACCAGGGCCAAATAATATGTGCAGCTTCTCAGCCTTGGGAGGATTGAAGTTGTGAAGTTTCGATTCGTTGGAGTTTATATATTCGAGGTTCTGTTGCTTTGCAAGGATTCTTAGGAATTGACTCTTTTTTGGTTTGCTATGGTAGGATATAGAGGTGAATCTTAAGTGAATTTTTACCTTTTTTTTTGTTTTTGAGAAGTTTTCCGGGGGTAAATAGGTATATAAACAACCCCACAGCGACCTTGATAGGAGCAGGAAGCAAAGATTCCAGTAGAACAGATCGATGGTGCCGGAGCCAATTTGTTGCTGTGTTAAGCTTGGGTTTGTGGTTGTGGCTGAGATTTGGTAAGGTAGTGCTAGGTTAGAGTTCAAGCGATCGATGTGGTTGGGTGGCTAGTTGTTTTCAAGTTTTGGGCTATTGTCAAGTTTTAAAATTACTATCAAGTGACGGGTATACAAACAGAATACGCTGAAGGATATAGGATACTTGAAGATATTGCCTACCTTGAAATACATGCTCTGGAGAGGGCACCCCAGAAGCGGACATTCAAAAATGTATTGAACGATGGTTATCTGTGAGGAAGCTCTTCTGGCTTCAGGGCTCTTTATATAGACTCCTGGAAAAAGAAGAAGAATACGAAGAAGGATCTTGAAAAGTGGAGTGGAGTTTATTCACCTAGTCTGATGAGTCAAAAGTCAAATATCCTTTCTGTGCAACTGCCACTTCAAGTGAATCTATTCCGCCCCTCTCTTCAAAGCCATTTCCCGCTCTTCTCTTGGGTATATATATAACCTAGCTATCACCTCAGTGTCGACAGGAAAACAACGGCTCAACTGCCCACCTAGTACCTGGAGTGACGGAGTCAAAAAATTCATTCCATTTTCATTTTGAAGTTTAGGAGCTTTGATTCGGGTTGAGATACGCAGCATAGTATTCAAAAGATAAGGCGTTGAGTTGCTGCTTGGATTTTTTGTTGTCCATGCCTGATTTGTTATCAACTGGAAATTACTTTTCTTTGACAACGGTAAAGCTCGCCACCTCGAATGAATAATAAGATTTCTACTTCAAAGGCCAGGAAGCTGGTGTGAACCTAGTAACTTGAGAAATATGTCTGCCTTAACGCTCTTGAGGGTATACACACAGAACAAACAGGAAACGTGGGTCTGGGGGGCATTATATACTTGAAAGTAAGAAGGCGAAAGAAGAGAAGGCACTGATTTTCAGAGGCTGTTCCATTCACTCAACCCCCAAATCTCATGAGCAAACCATATATTCACTTTGAACAGCACCCTTGATCGAATCTTCACCCCAAATCCACTTTTTCATGGTCTATATAAACACCCCGCCTCCCCTCTCTCTGTCCATCAATCCCAAAACCAGGAGATGTCGTTGAAATATGTGGCCGAGTCTCTGCTTAGTGTCTTGCCGTTGAATTTTGTTCCCGGAGTATGTGAGACCGGGTTTGAGGATGGTAATTTTGCGGTATAGTCTCATTGTCATTCTTTCGATTATCGTCAATAGTCAGTTGCTGCCAAGTAACTTTCGATAGGTCGAACGAATCACTTTATTCTCGAAAACTCAAAATCGATTGTTGATCGCTACACAACAAAACGCTAGTGTGCCTTCTCTCTGTGGTGCCAGGAAGGCGTCCACTTGTGTTCCAGCGATTATCAGCTTGTATTGATGTTGTCTTCGAAATGATGGTAAAGTTATGGAGTTTATATAGCTGTCCGTCAAGAAAAATCGCTGCAGAATTCAGAGGTTAAACTATTCACTCAATCGACGGATTTGATGAGTCAAAGTTGAGCAAAGGCTAACGCGAAACCCACCAACTCTATGGGTATATAAAGTTGCCTTTCCCCGCCTTACAGTCCAGCAAGCAATTAAGAAAATGGTACAGCCAACCTAAGTGGTCCGTTGGAGTACGCTCTCTTCTTGGTTCTTCCCCTGAGTATATGAGCCTGCTCGTAAAGATCCGAGTTTAGGCATCGATCAGTGAGAAGAGGTCGAGGAAAGAGTCTTGTTGTCAACGTCTGCCTTGCTGTCAAGTGAGGGATACTCTTCCATGTTGGAATTTCCAGCTCACACAGATGGTGTTTGAACTTGAGCTAGCGAAGCTTACTACTTCCCCTCGGGATGGATGACCAATAAGGGGAAAGACGCAATGGCATGATATGTGTTGCCCAATGGTGCGGATTTGCATTGCAGGATATATTTTCTTAAAGAATGGGGATTTATATACTTGTAAAAAGAAAGAAAAGGAAGAATTTAGCTGGGTGACTCTTTATTCACCACCAAGAAGTCATTTCTTTTATTCACTCAAACCTCTCATTCACACAATCTTACACAATTCTTGACCTCAACCAACCTGTTCTTTGCGTATATAAACACTTTCCTTGCCTTATCCTCGGTCAGTAAACAAAGATTAAGAGCGCTTGTTTCGTTGACATGCTGGTTCTCGAGTCACCGGCCAAAGTGGCCTCCCTGCTCGGTACTTTCGTATGGGTATGTGAGTTTGGTAATGTATGACAAGTAGCTGTAGGAGTCCTGTAATCAGCTTAAGATGGTGTGTTAGTGGTCTTATTGTCAACATCCAATTGTTGTCAAGTCAACATTTATTCAACTTAATCCAGATTACGAGTCTGAGGTGAGGGTAGGAAACATTGAGACTTCGTTCGCTGGGTGAATAATGTCCCTTCGCTAGGACCCGTTGAACTGTGGACCATAGGCCCACCATTCTGCATTGTGGTAGTACTTCTCTGGAGTTCATGGAGGGGTGGGGTGGGGGTTTATATACCTGTCGAAGGAGAATAATCTTACCACTTATCCTCCAATCATTCACTCAGCCTTCAAGCTCTGGCAACTCTGGTCAGGTAATGTTGGGAGCGAATTAGTGTTGATAACGTTCACTTGAACTATTAGCAGCTGAACTCACCTCCTCCTCTGGTATATAAAGACACCCTCTCTTGCTAACTACTGATCATCGAAAAGAGAGCAGTGCATACCATGGCTGGTGGGTCTCAATCGACTGGCGTCTGTGGTATTTTCATCTTTAGTGATACTCAGGTACCTGGTGTTTGCTTCCAGCTTGAACGTGGATGTGTCAAAGTGGTGAAAAAGATCTTCTTGTTGTCAATTATTTCTTTATTGCCAGATCCCTTTCACTATCTGTGGAGCGACAATCACATTTATTTCGGTTCGAATCTGCAGCGAACTTCTTTAAGTTGAGTATCTGGTACTTGAGACTCGTACAATCTATGATTATCAACTTGAGCTCCAAGCCCACGGAAAGTCACCGGCGCACATCAGTGTGCCCGATAGCGTTTGAACTTAGGTACAGTCCATCACCAGAAATCGAGGTAGGTTTTATACTTCTCTAGCAAAAGAGAAAAAACACTGGAGCTTCATTGTTGGCGTGAATGAACTTGACGTGGTCTTTTGATTTTCTTCGACAGACACCCTCCGTTCACGGGTATATAAACACCCCTCTCTCTCCCACCATCCACAGACAAATAGAAAACAGCAACAAGAAAGCCTTAGTGCTTGCTAGCAATCCTTTGGCTTCTGAGCTTTCTCGGGGCAGAAGGTTGGTGGAGTGTAATTGATTGTGTACATGGTCAACAACTTATCATTGCTATCACATTTTGTCTGTTGTCAATTGTCTTTTGCAGTCTGACAATGAAAGCACTTCTTTAACTTCAAGCTGTCTGAGCAAAACTTGTGGTACACCAATGTGC